TTTTAATAATATCTGGGGTTCGTGGAGAGCCACAGTTCAGTCACAATTCTGTCACGCAGCTTTACCTCTCAGAGTTCCTCTTGATGGGACGTGGCGCCCACAGAAGGGCTTAAGGTGGCTGCGCTAGCCAGGATGGCTCCCCCTGGAAGTGTCTGGACCGACCTACATTTAGACACGGGGAGAGCCATGTCGAGATCAGCAGCACAATCCATGTTAGAAACCCTACACCCCAACTACAAGCATGCAAAATATCAATCTGTCGGAACTGCTGTGAAGGAGACAAGACAAAATGTGCGGGCTGATGCGGGGGCGCGGGGAGTTGTGGTTGCCCGCTGCAGGATCGCGATGCGTCAGTGCAGCCGGAGAAGGCTCGGGCAGTGGTTGGAGCGCCCGGGGGAAGACCAGAGGAGCGCCTGGGGAGACTCTTGGAGGGAGACCGGAGGTCGTCAGGCGCGAATGATGAATGATCCCATCCTCGGGAACAGAACGTTAGCGCCCCGGTCAACCTGTTTGCTCCCTCCCACCCACCTTCCCGACCACAACCCCCATCGCCTTCCCTCCCACCCTAGCTCACTGGTTGCGCTGCATGGCGAAGCGGTTTCCGGCTTGGCAAAATCATGGATCCCAACGGGGTAGAGTCCTGTGAAGCCGTTTCTGGCTCTGGCAAAGGCAGGGTTTTGGCGCACCAGCACTCGTTAGCCTGGTGCTGCGACGAACCCCATCGCATCGATCCGTGGGCTCCATCGGTTTTCGCGGGTTTGTTATTCTTGGCTCCTTGCTCGGCGGGTGTTCAACGTCGAGGCTTGGCCAGTGGCCCAACTTCGGCCGGCGCCTCAGCAGGCCCCCGGAAAGGGCGGGCCGTCCCGGTCTGCGAGTCCTTGACACCCTGTCCATGGACGAACCAGTAAAGGCGGCAATTCAACCCTCACCTCGGATCCACGTGACGGCGCCTTAGGAAGGTCCCTAAAAGTCATCTCTCCCGCCCGTCAATGCAGCCCCGGTGCCGCACGGCGCAGCTCTGTCTCTCCATTGTGGTCCTACCGTTTGACCCCTACCCGACTGATGCATCGCATCCTAGTCCCCGCCAACCCCGCCGCTCCAAGCGGTCGGCACGATCGAGCCCGACCCAGCTGGCATGTTCAGCCCTCCTGTCGCTAATTCACTTTGGTCTTAGGGCTTGGAGTTTCGCCTAATGCCGGCCTTGGTCCCATGGACTGGATTATCCTCCCCGATGTGGGTCAAATTGAGCCGCATGCACACGGGAAGTTTCATGGGCCAGCCAGCCACCTTGCGAACCAACCTCCATTGCCGGGCCAAAACCTTCGTGGAAGTGATCCGTGGATGATCATGTCATTACTGTACCTCTGGCGGGGTAACCTGCACATGCATCAAGAGTCGCTCCACGGCAACGTCTTTGGTGAACCTAGTGCCTTCAGATGCCTGTCGAGACAGAAAAGGAGCCCGAGCGCTTCATCCATACTCACACATCAGGGCCTGATCCTACAATATCCGTAACAACATCGTCCCAATATGGCCGTCAGGCCAGCTTTGGTTTCCAATAACATTATTGAGCAGGGCATGTTCTCGGCCTGCCTGGTCTTTTCACTATTCGCGGTCAACTTCTTTTCCTCCGTCTTCTCACTCATCTTGCAAGTCCTTCTCCTTGTTACCCGCTTGCCCCTCATCTTCATTACCATCGCCGCCTACGGGATACTACTGCAATGGTTCCCAAGTGGCTCCGTTGTTAAGAAGCTTGCTTTATTCATACTGATGGGTATCTGCGGCACGTGGTGGACGGACCTACAAATCGATGGCGTTAGACGTGGCTCGGTAGCCCAACAGCCATCCTGGCGCCTGCCTCAAGGCGGCTCCGTCATCGTGTCATCGGCAACTTCTCCTATCGACGCTGTGTACCTTGCGGCGGCCTTCGATCCTATCTTTACTACATCTTGTCCTGGGACGCGCAAAGTGCGCCGGCTGGGTTTGCTTCAGGCAATCCTACGCGGGTTTCGGCGAATCGGGGATAATCCTCTTGGAGACGCTGCCCTTGGGGAGCTGGAGACCTTGCTTGTGGAACACCCAGCGCGAGTCATTGTGGTGTTCCTGGACTGCCCAAAGACGAACAACAAGGGCCTATTGCCCCGCTTATCAAGCCTAGTCGCTGTTCCCCCTTCCACAAATGCCTTCCGAGTCAGCATCCGGTACACGCCGCCGGACGTGACAACACCGGACCATGGCGGGTACCTGGCAATCCTCTGGAACGTGCTCTCCAGTCCTCTGCACCTTATCCGAGTGCATATCGCCGACGACGTGAATGTCCACACCGCTTTGTCACAGTCACAAGACGAACAGCGAGCCTGCCAATTTGGTAGCGCGGCACAACGGAGATGGTCCGAACCGGAGTTCAAGGTCGAGGGTGACACGCCGACGCACAACTAAACGGCCGCTCAGGGTTCTCGGCGTCATTAAAGAATGAGTACAGCAAACAGGCATCAGCCTTGGGTGGTCAGCAAAGGTCGCGGCAGTGGAGGCGACGGGGATGGATTATTAAGCCCCGAGCAACATGAATGTAGGCAGCGCCCGTGGTTGGTACAGATGTAGTTCAACAGAAGAGGATAAAAGAAAGAGACGATGCATGGATGGCCAGAAGGCGTGGTAAATAGCAATGAACATGCCACGGCGCTCGCAGAACGTAGGATATCGTACATTGGGACTGTCGATGAACACCGCCCGTCACGGCGGGAAAATCGTTCCCTGAGCCGGCCTAGGAGGCCTTAATGCCTGTCTCATAGTTTCCTTGCACCGAAATAGTTCGTCTTCCAAGGCCCGGTTCTTCCGCAGGAGCTCCTGGACGATCCTCTCGCGGCTGCCCTTGCCCTTGACCACCGCAATCTCTCGCTCGAGTCTCCCGATGTGTTCCTTTGTCTTCGTCCGCCTAGCTCGTTGGGCCTTCCTGTCGTTGGCTCTCTTGCGCTCCAGTTGCGGCGAATTCACCTTGGTGACTCTCTTCGTGCCTTCTCCATGGTTTAGCTACTTCTATTGCTTCCACCCGAACCCGATTCATGCTCCTGGGCAATCCTAGGGCCTATAGACCGTGACTTGCCCTTACTAAGGTCGAGGCGCTGAGTAGACCCCAGAGACGAGGACTGAGCTCGAGTGGGATGCTCGTATCTGTGCGGATGTCCCTCCTTTACCATGTACGACGGCGCCGATTCAACCAGCAGTTTGGTAGAACATAAAGATGCTGGCCGCGTCAGTTGGAAGTCTTTAGTTGACATCATTCTGTCGTGGTACATATGGTCTAGGTCGGAAGCAGCCATTTGCACCTGGCCGGGTGCAAAGGGACACACGTCCTGGCGATCATGTGCTTCCATGAGCCCTGGCGGCAATATAGGAACCAGCCGAGCCTGCGTAACCTGTGGACTCGTTCGCGGTGCGCCACCCTCGAGGGAAGGCCCAGAAGGTGTTGACAAAGGCTGCCGCTAAGGAAGCGCTGGATGTGTCGTCTCGTAAAGCCGTGGCTTCTGACATTTGTTCGAGTTTCGGGAGCGAGAGCACTCGAAAGTCGTTGCGGCAGCAGAATTAGCTGCTGTGGGAGAAGACGTCGTAGACGCTCTCCTCGAGGGGTCATGCCTGCCCTCGAAAGTGAATCTCCGGAAAGACCTGGATATGGAGTAAGCATGACTTCTCTCAGGAAAAGAAGGGGAGGGAGTCGGCGATGAAGGGCGACGGTAAGCTCACCTGTCGAATAGAGGGGATAAGTTCCCCTTCAAGTTCTGTCCGAGGCTATGCACCGTCAATAGACTGACTGCTATCGTAATAGTGGCCCTTTTTGAGTCCCGGGTGAGAGCACGGTGTCACCATCGGGAGCATTGGCTTGCTGGGTTGACCTTGCCCCGAAGCTAGGATGGGCCACGAATGACCACATCCAACAACGGATAACAAAATCGTGGTCCAATATCCGGGCAGCGGTCAGGTCAGCGCCAACTCGGCATCTAAAGTCGATGCCGCTTGGATTCCCCGGAGGAAGAGCAATTACGGTAATGTTCTGGTGTGGATGCCCACGACGGATGCAGGGTCTTGGGCCTTATCAACAAAAGATCAAGTGGATAGTGATAGTTCCAGGGCTTCGAAAGCCGGTCAAGTTAGAATATCATACGAATATTTAAAATAGCCATCCTCAGCCTCGACGAAAGGAGCAAATGGTAGTTCCATTGTACTAGAAACGTGTAAGGTAGGACCTATCCACTTGCACGGGGAGTCGGAGTCAAGTTAGAGAGATGCTGAGGGAACCGGCAAGAAGTTTAACAAGCCAAGATGGTCCAATGCAAACAGTGACTTGAAGGAGCAGAGCTCGGACGAGAAAAAGAGAGGTTCGTCTAGAGTTGGAATGGGAACACTGATGGGATGGTGCAAAATCGAAATGTCCAGAGCAGACCAAAGCTGTGAGTCAGGGGCGAGGAATGGTATGGCAACAGGGTGATCAGGGTGTGCCATCTTCAGGCCACCACTATGGCTTGCCTAAGGGTGATTGGTAGAGGGAGAAGATAGTCTCGCGTCCGCCTTTGCCACTGGCGTGGTCGCATGTGCCAGGGGTTGACGATGCTTCGACGACACAACACGTCAGCCACGACCCCCCCATTTCAAGGCTCTTGCCATGGGGGTGAGGTCATGGTGCTGCATCTCGAAGGTTAAGTTTGACTCTGTGTGTCCCGGCCGGCAGGTTCACCGTTGTGTTTAGTTGATCACTGCTCCCTCCGTGGAGATGCGGGTGCCATCCATGCCGATCGGTGGATTATTGTGATGCCAGACGCCCAACATATGGAGACGGGAGGAGTACTCACCTGGAAATTTCCACGCTGCTTAGGTACTTCCAGCTGTGGCACATTTGCCCACGTTCCTGCATTTCTTAGTCCAAAGACATCGCCAGCATGTACCTAGACCTCCTTTAGGCACGTCATGTAACTGATCCACGTTCCGACATGTGAGTGCCTCGCAAATTAGGGCCTGCATTCGTTTTTGATGAGAGATGGTGCCTTGCAAAGAGCGTGGCCTGTAACCGTCGCGTTGGTCCCGACTGAAACGACCCTGTGGGCGGCTGTGGCCAAGTCCACGGGATCGAGTCCGCCGTCGTTGGCCTCTCCAGTGGGCAAATCGGTTCGCGCCCCTGGGAGAGCTGGAGGGATGCCCCGACCGGGGTACCAACCCTTGGCTTGGCCCAGTGATGTAACCCCTTTCCCCGCTTGAGGAGGGTAACCAGATGGATGTTGTGCGGCCCTTGTCATCGAGTAATCCTTGTTGTACCTGACAGGGGCATTGAATGGTACACGGTTGCTCGTTCTGCAAATCCTCGGCGAAGTCGTGGGCTGTGCCATAGCGGACCAATTGGTTGGTCGGGACTGACTCCCAATCCCCTTTGGGACAACTTGGCTCCCCCAACGTGGTGCCCAGCCGTTTTTGCCTTCCACACACACCCAGCTCGAACGCGGCTGCCGCTCTCCGGCATGGCGTCTAGAGAATATGCTTGTCAACGACCCCGTTTAAGCCAACATCCTTTCAGGGCGTAATTCCCCAGCGGCATAACTTGACCAGGAGTTTCCAGGCGGAGGGAGATAGAGTACGGGGCAACGAAACCCAACGGGGCGCATGGTGTGGACTCCCTCCGTCCAGTGATGTGGCAGAGATTGTAGGGCACTTTCACAAGCCTGTTCGTTGACTGCTTGCAGCCACACTTGGAGGGCTTGATGCTAAGCCACGGAGTGGGGTGGGGCGGCTTTGCTCACAGACTGACGTGAACTTTGAAACTGAGTGGCGTGCGTGTTTGTGGCGTGTTTGATTTGCTGGGCCAAATTGGATTTCAGGCTACGGCGGCCGTGCCTGGCCGGGTGGGTACTTAGGCGGCGGGGAAACATTCGTCCTGTTTGGCACAAATTCAAGTTTCATCGACCTGGCATTGAGGATGGTCCGGGTTCGCTCGAAATCCAGCACTCCATGTGCTTGCAGGGGTGGAAATGCCAGTGGCCAAGACGAGTGCCTCGTGTGATTGCTCTGGTTCCAAGACGACGAGCTGCATAGGACTTGCCGGATGCCAGGCCCGTATCTACCGGAAGTGTCGTAGAAGAGTGCGTCGGTTGCGCGGTTTGTCAGTTAACCTTCCGATCGGTTAACCACGCCGCCTCTGCCTTGGACGTCGAGATGCCTCCATCGCTAGAACATGTGACGATAGTTGGCGTGAGGGCGGGGGTCTGCGGCCGAACGAAGGGGAAGAAATGACCACCATACCATCCAACCTACGAGAGCTAGTGCCGCAGTGGACCACCTAGGTATTCCGGCTGGGACTGATTCGCAGTGCCGGCACCGCGTACTAGTATCGCGGCTATGGCCCGATCAAGCCACCAATTAACTAACCCGTTGGCCCTGATGAAGGGCGGCGATCTCCATGTTGAAACAACTGCTCATAAAACCACAGGGCGCTTTAGGTGATAAAGCTTCGGAAGCCCGGTGGCAAACTCTACTATAGCAGGCTCTTGCGCATTCTCGAAGGGCATCGTATGATTGTCGGGCGTGGCTGAGCTACGATCTGTCATGATATTTGATCAGGCACCCCTCGATTTATGTTCAGTGTACTGCATCCATCGAACGCGGGCAGAATTTGGCCACGAGGATATTAACGAACACTAACAGCTCATGAGCGTTATCGCAGGCAACCCGACGACGCCGAACGACTACGACGCCTCAGCTCCAGATTCGCGTATACCGGCTTTGGTGACAGTTGGCGTCGTCGTCGTCGTCGTAGCCCTCGTGCTCTCCATTCTGTACGTAATCTCTCTCAAGTTCCAACCACCCATATGCATGCTCATGAACAAAAGCTGTCTGGTGAAATTACAGAGCCATAATCAGCCTCAGAGAGACGTTGAGAGAGCAAAAAGGAAATTGAAGGAGACAATCGACCTGCGAATGCTAAATGATGCAAGCCCCTCACAAAAGTACGAGCAGATTCAGGGGTTTAAGAGGGAGGCTGCTGTGGCTTCAACCCAGTCCAGCGCAGCTGAAGTCTGGTACAGTATGTTCCAAGTGGTGCAGTTTTCCTGGTAACACTGACATTGCTGCAGTGCAATCTGCCTCGAAGTCCTAGTGGATGTGGACAGCGTCCGACGATTGAAATGCAACCATCTGTTTCACACGACTTGCATCGACTCTTGGCTCAAAAACCGTCATGTCGATTGCCCATTATGCAAGTCAATATTTATTCCAACAGAGGCGTAACGGGCTGAGCGGTAATGACCTCGGGGCAAAGGCCCTCGTCCAGGCAAACTCCCGGCTACTTCTTCTATCTTCCTCATCAGAGTCTTCTTTGTACATCAGGTCCCATTTGGTAGCAATGCAAGTCGGTTCCCTCACACGTGCTTCATAGCCAATTCCTCGTCGGCTGCAACTTTTCTATGGTCTGCGCCTTCATCGACAGGTTCTGCGACGTCAATGTAAGCTGTCCAGCACCAAAGGCCCGCTCACAGTCTGCAGCCATCGTAGGAATACCAAGGATGTAGAACCAGATTGCTGATCAGCGGATGCGTGGCCTGGTGCTCCGGCTCGAGCTCCGCCGGTCCCCGAGTAGGCAGAAGTTGACATATCACCATGTTTCGGCGGCCTCGAAGCAGATTTCGGCTGGGGGGTCATGCATCGGAAGCTGCTGGCTTGGGACCACCGAGCACTTCCTGAGGAGTCTGGAAAGTACAATTCTCTTGTATGACGGGTTTCCGGTGTCGCATTGTGCCGGAGAGCTGCTCTGTGAGTTCCACGCTTCCGCGAGGATCTCTGTGATCGGCAGTTTTTATGAGAGCCCGAAATGGGATCCAAGGTCCATAGAGAGGTGGGATATAAGATCTTGGTCGATATCCTTGTACACGAGATACCGTAGAGTGACGGTAAATGGAAGAGGCAAAAGCAGGAAACAGACGCTGTACGGGCTTTTAGGAGATCATGACAAAGCTTGGGAAACGGAAATGTGCAGAGCAAATAGTGGCCCTATGGGCTGGCAGCCACCGGACATGATTAAATGTGTGTGTGCGTGTGTGTGTGTGTTCTGGTTGACCAAACGTACATCCGAAATTGTCTGCGTACTTAAAATACAGGCTTTCATCAACAGGAGACCATCAACAGGAGACCGAGATATCTGTGGTCCTCTCCTGGGACACCTCGCCAGTCCTTAGCTCCTCTGGGCTGGCACCCAGATCTCCAGTCACGACGATAACTCTTCTTGATGAGAGCCACTCCGTCAAGATTAATTTCGGAGCTGCATGGGTTCATCAACCTCAAACGAATCGGGGAAGATATGTGAGGATCGCTGCATGTCCCCTTCCATCATGAGCAGGGGTAAGGCCGGGGTGATGCGTAGTCATCCGGGGTGATCGGCATTCCCCAGGTTTCCCAGCGATTCGGCACCATTGTGGAGCCATTCTAGCTTTACTAGCTCGTCCACATACGCTCGTCTCCAATCATAAACCCGGAAAGCCCCCTGCGTTGACGAGTGCCCTCTGCAGGCTATCAGACATCAGACCACACAAGGTCCTACATAGTAGCTGAGCTACACAACTCTAACTTACCGAAGACCCAGCTTTCACATGCTGAGGTATGAGTTCTGGAAAGGACGGCACATTGTCAGCCTCCCAGTGCGGGGAAAGGTCAACGGTTGGGGCATACCGAGATGTAAGTCTGTCGTAGGAGGCGTGCTGCGTCCTCAGGCTGGTTTGTACCATGATGTCGAACGACAGTATCATTCAACAGAACAGGCACCCCGCAATCTCTCGGCCGCTCAGCGAGCTTAGATTGAATAGGCATGCCCCGGTAAAAGACAGCGGGTGAATACCTGGCTCAGTGCTTCGATGTAAGTTGTGAGGAGCGAAGTGTGTCACGTTCATATGTGGCACTGGTAGCCATTCCTCTAGCTTGGCTCAGTTAAGTACTTCAAACACACGACTATACGGCGGCTAACAACGGTTGATCCCTTGATACCAAGTACGTCATGTTGCATCTGATGAATCTCCCAGACCCACGCAATTGTTGGCCGGTTACAGCGCTTGGGCCATAGGTTCATTTGACATGTCAGTACCAGCAAGAGAGATCCCATCCAGTAAGGAGGTTCGGCGACACTTCACGGGTCGTTTTCTGCAACGCTCACTCGCCATTATAAGAGAAGTTTGAGTCAAGATGTGTTATAGATACGAGGAAATCTGCACGGTTGAAGCTTCATTCTGAACCAATGATGCGTTACTGCCCGGAAAAAATCGGTGTAGAACGAGCCGCGAAGAAGCATAAAGTCCCCAGAAGCAACCCAGCTTCAAGATCTTTTCCTTTCCTTCTCCTCCTCAGACAGGACGTCTCTTATCATTTAACCGCCTAATCACTTGCCAAGTTCAATTCACTATCTCCCCTTCATCACATGCGTGCAACTGCCGTCAACATGGATGATATCCAATTTGCGTCTTCTGATTCTTCGTCCAAAAATTCCAAGCTCCTCGTCGTCGACCCATCCGCACTCGTTGAAGCCATCCTTGGCCACAAGGCCAACAAGCAAATGTCTCCTGGCTCTGACAGTTTCCAGTCAGACTACGATGAGCTCGGCGATGTGAAACCGGCATCAACGCTCTCCTCCGGAGGACGGAGCCTGCACGCTGACGCCCCCCCCCCCAAGGATGTCAGAGTGGGTGCCGTCAATCCATATGCCCTTGCCGAAGCCCTGCTTGGGCGAAAGATTGAGGCTCGTACGATGGCCTCGGCGAAGATCCTGGCCAGTGTCCTCCAGACGGAATATGATGAACTCTTCGATATGAAGCATGATTCCGTGCTCTTTGCCGGACTGAAGCTCAACAAGAAAGATAGGAAAGCGGAGAAGCTGACGGAGAAGGACATGAAGATCCTAAACGAGCACGATCTCGAAACCCCTGATCTCTCGGAGGTCCAGCAGTTGAAGGACCTCGAGAAGATTGGACTGAAGGACATGGGTGAAGCCCGTGTGAAGATGGCTCGCATGCAGAATGGCAAGCTGCGCTTGATCATCGATGCGCACTCTCTGGGCAAGACGGTCACCAACCGGGAGGTGACCATGACCGTCAACGAGCTTGTCACTCCCTTCAGAATGCAAAAGGGCCACTGGATGCCGCCGAACGGTTCGTGGCGCGACATGTACGACTATTACTTCCAGATGTTCCGCAAGCGCGTCATTGGCGACCTTGCCACGTTCCAGATTGTCAACGGGAACACTATGCACAGCTTCGACGACCCGATCCAGGGTTGTACCAGCAACAGCTGGCTGATTGCCGCCCTCTTCTCCGTCTTCTGGTCGGACCCTTCTGCCATCAACCGCTCGACCCGCGTCCACCAGAACAAGGACGAGAAGAAGCGCCTCGTTATCAAATTCCACGACAAGGGCGGCGACAACAACGCCCGCACCGACACTGTGGAGGTCAACTACGAGATCCCCATGAATAACTCGAACAACGAGCCCCTGTACTGCCGCTCCAGCGACGGAGCTGACATCTGGCCCTCGTTGTACGAGAAGGCCTTCGCCAAATGGATCACCGGCAGCTCCTCTCAGCAGCCCGACATCACCCAGACGCACAGCGGCGATCCGGTCAAGGCCATGGCCCAGATCAACGGGCGCGACACCCATTACTACATTACCGAGAAGCACTCTGCCAACGACTTGCTCGGGCTGGTCCGCTCCAACTGTGTCAACCTCAAGACCATCAACCCCATGACGGCCTGGACCTACGCCACCGGCGATGTGTACACCGGCAGCAACATCGTTGCCAACCATGCCTATTCCGTCCTCGGCTACACTGTCCTCGGCCACAAGCAGTACATCATTCTTCGCAACCCTTGGGGCGTCACCGAGCCGACCGGCTTGACTAGCTACCCGGGACTCCTGGAGCGCATTGATCCGACTACGTGGTACCCTGCCTCCATGCTTGACCATGGCGGTCTCTTCGGTCTCGAGGCCAAGGCCTTCAAGGAATGCTTTGCCTACATTGGCACTGCGAAGTAAGCCAGGGCGTTGAGGTTTCCATAAGCATACGATGTGCTCAAACCCACTCTCTCACCCGCTCCTTTGGTTTCTTGTGGTGCAGTCCACTCCTTGTTGCAGCTTCCCCTTGCTTCAGTTGCTTCCCCGAAGGCTAGGGAGGATACAAGGTGCTAGGATTGGCCTATTCAACATGTTAGGCTTAACAGATTGATCGCTGGCCCTCCAGGGGAGCCGGGGCCCATACGCAGTTCTCATAGGAATGCAAGTTTGCCCCGATATTTGATTAGTTGGACGGCCACGGGGCGATATTTGGTTGAACTGGCAATTTGCCAAATGATTTGCATGCTTAACTCCACCTGTTTGCAAAATATCTACTGCTCATAGGTCGCGCATACTTGGGTAATGTTGGCTGGCAGTGAGATACTCCTGAACGTTGTCTTGTCGCCACTATTGGAACATGAGAATAAAGGAAGTAGTTGCCTCTGAGACATATCATTCATCTGGAAGGTTTGAATAAGGCAATGTCCAGCAAAGATACTAGGCAAAACTTCGCAACGATGGAGTGGTGTGCAAGGCCTGGAGAACCAGTCGCCAGTGTCTGTACTCAGCCAGGCCTTCGGGGCACAGGTGTTCCGACTCCCAGCCTCTTAAATCGGAGGAACACTGACCCCAGAACTTGGTGTTATCAGTGCGGTACCTAGAGTTCGAGGCGATCCTGCCCTGAATCCACGGAATAGCCTCCTTGTAGCGACGAATGTACTCCGTGTTGAGGTTGGATAGGCCAGAGGCCCCGCTGCGTTGACCGGCAAACCATCTGTCGTATCCATAGTAGTTCTGGCAGTCCCAGCGAGAGGCCACGTCGGCGTGGAGGTCTCTCATATCTTGCTTCAAGGGTGACAGGAGACGAACCAGGCGACTGCTAAACAAACTTTCAAGCAGCCTGCTGAATCTAACAGTCTGGCCCCGAGATAAGGCCCGTGGATGAGGGTATGAAGTTGTGCATACCAGCCAAGGTCTTTCCCGCGGGTGACTTGGGCCACGAGCCTAAGTGCGTCTTCGAACATGTTGTTGTTGCATGGCGAGAACCTCAGCCCAAACTGGTGAAATATCTGGACTTCCAGCGTCGCGTCTTCGGGCGATGTGGTTCTTTTCTCCCGCCAGCCGCTTAGCCTCAAAAGCCAGCCCGAGGCTTGCGATGCCGAGTCCGACCTACTCTCATCAATATGCCAAACCCCGCCTTCGGAACCATCCCACGAAGGGTTCGTCGAATGGCACGCCGATCAGTAGTCGGGGGAAGGTCGAACCAAGTCGCAGACAGCGCACTTTGTGCTGCTCGCGTAAGCGCCCTAACGCCTCGATGTGTCGACCTCACGATGAGAACTCCCAGAGACCCGACGAGGTCCCCAGCGTTATCTGCATTCATGGTATATGTCGCACAGAATCCAAGAAGCCCCGTGTGATCGCGAACTACGGAATGATGGGCGTTGCTTCTGCCTAGAAGGGGCCCAAGGATGTCTTGAGGGAGATGGAACCGCGATGGAAGGGCATCCAGCCAAAGCTCTGTGGTCGACTGGAGATCCTGGTCTGAGTTCCAACGCTCCACACGCCATCGATGAGGCATCAAGGCGATGTCATCCTGCCGGCGTTGAGAGGCGGAAACACTGTCATCTATCGAAGAAACTCATGTTAGCGGTTGTCCTGAATCTATCCATCTGTGGTAGTTGTAGACTGGTCATACCGGGAGAAGTGTGCGGCTGTTCCCCAGACCCGACGGCCAACCCGGTATCGACAGCCTCACTCTCTGGGCCCGAAACCGCCGACCAATCATCCTCTGCAATGTTCCTACCTAATCTAAACAGCCCCCCAAGGAGGCGCCACCAAGTGCGAGAGCTTGTTTCTGGTCCCCCCAAGATCTGAGGGGTATCATTTCCAGCTGACATGATCGCAGATGGGGTTCATGAGCGAATCGAGTCGAGAGGGAACGGTCGAGACAGGCGAGAATCAATATGGAGCAGACGTGGATCAGGCTAGAAGAGAACAACGCCGGCGGTTCGCCTCAGTTATATCCCTCTGGAGCCTCGCACAACAGCCGAGCGACCACACCACTAGTCGATCCGGACTCTCGGCGGCATGTAAACGCGTCGGTAATGAAATACCACATCATAATTCCTGACCTTGTCCAGAGTGCGTCACCACATGGGCGTCGCGGTGCGCGCACCAACAGCCTCAGCAGTTGCTCCTTTCATGCAATACGATTCTTAGATGCAGTACAATGTAACCGGCACGCCGCAACCAGAACGCGAAACTCACGCTCATCCTCAGTCTCCCTATTCTCCGGGATCCCATTCCCCGGCTTCAATCACCCGCCGCCAGGCTTCTGTGCAAAGACTCTCTCCCTGCAATGTCAGGTCAAAACCGAACAATACCTCTTGGGAGGAAAGGTGGGACTTACACTCTAATCGTCATTCCATCCTGAAGGATTTCCCTCTCCAGTCGGCTCATCATCTCCTCTCGCGACAGAGAAACTGGTACAAACTCCATGGCTCGCGTCAGGATGCCTTTCATCTGCTCAACCACGCTAACTAGAAGGCAGCGACCCCCGTAAACGGAGATCCCCGTAGTGATTAAGTACCGGTCCCGAGGCCGGCGCAAGACTTTGTAGCCAACGTGCCTCAGCTCACGTTGGGCACGATCACCCCGGTAGATGCCAATATCCAAGCCGGCGGCATTCGTGAGGACGGCAAGCATCCGGAACCAATCGATCCACGCGCTGCCGGGACCTATTGGCCCAGGCGGATGGTAGCTCATATCGGAAATATCTATCACGCCTCCAGGTTGCAAACAACGGAATGCTGCCTGCAGTGTCACTGTCCATTGCCCTCTGCGTCTCAGTGTGAGTTAGCGATAATAGCGACATTTCCGAATGAAAGCTGAGGCTGACGACACCGCAAGGCGATAACACCATAGGTGCGAGCATCAATGGGCGTGGAGGTCACATGCATATGGACGTTCAGGGAGGCAACCGCGAGACTCACCCCCTGGTTGTTCATTTTGAACTTTGGCACCACCTTCACGGCTACCTCGCCAGCATCTCCTTCCAGGTCTCGTGCGCGGTAGACCTGGCTAAAGGCGCCCTTACCGAGGTTCTCGAGTAACTCCCATCGCTCCAGGTCCTGAGTCATCAGGACTTTGCTTTTGCTTTTGATTTCCTCAGCCGCCACTATCACCATGATGCGGTTGTCCACACGCCTGCTCGTCTTCGTCCAGTATAATGTGCGATAGCCTTCAGTGCGATATGTAAAGCGGCTGGTGGCTGACTGTTGGGCGACCGGTGGGCGACTGGAAGTGAATTCTTGCCTTCCCCAACTTACGTAAACCAGTTTTAATAACTGCAAGATCCTCTCGGTGTCGCAATCAGAAGAGGCACTGCACAGTACTGTTCGGTGATGCCGTCCTCCATCACCCAAGCAAGGGCTTATGAGACGAGGATGCAGGAACGCTTCCCAAGTCGGAGGCTGGCTGACTTGTTTGTCCCGTCAGCCATCATCGCCATAAATTGATTGGGTCGCATCTGTCTAATCCAGAGCACAACCTGTTTTTCTCACACGGAAATAACGATCGCGCCTTAATGGCAATCAAGCAGCACTCTCGTAACCATGACGATGCAATGCTGTCATGATAACGGGCTCACGATGACAGTTCGCTCTTGTCGACGTCATTGTGCTACTCGTTTACTGCCTTACCCTCTACGGATCATCATACGTCCCTCCCCCACTTCCGACGCACCCCCCCATCCGACGCCCCCCAAAATCCACCCCATCAAAAAACAGACCCTGGATCTATCCCTTTTTTCAACAACGCCTCGATGCAACAATAATACAGTCCTCTGGCTCACTAGATAATTCGACGTCGCTGGATTCAGCTGTACTATCGTCTTTTTCACCGGCTTCAACCTGGGCCCTATAGATGCGTTCGATGTTGGCGCTTGCCGTTCCGAGGAGTCGTCCCAAACGTACGCGAGTCTCGCCCACAGCCGCCCAGAGAGAGTTTTAAGAGCCGTTCACATAGCTTATTTCATTCATCAGGATGTGCATATAGAGAATCATCAGACACGGAACGGGGTGGCATGTAGTTGGGGTATACACAGCCTTCAATTGAGTTGAAAATAAGACATGAATATTCCTTCCTAATAAGCTGCTTACCGCCTTTACTAATACCAAGTCCTAAAAGGGAGTGTCTTGCAACGAAGGCGATGCACATTCAGCTAATGCTAATCTTACAACTAATGGATCCCTGTTTAGTCTGTAGCACTATCATATCGTGATCATACTTAAAGTGGTCAGGGTCGTCCGATTCGTGTAGCCTGGCGCGTGGGACGACCTGGAACGCCATGAGCGCAGCCATGATGTAGATCTCGCAATAAGCGAGTCTGGAAGGAGAATGAGTCAGCTTTTTCACAGATATAATTCGAGTCAAAGAACTTACTTCTCGCCGATACAAGCCCGACTCCCCCGGCTAAACGCCAACAAGTACTTTTGAAGCTTGTAGTATGGCGATCCATCTTCCAGCAGCCACCTCTCGGGCCTGAACGCCTCCGGTTCTGGAAACAAACCAGGATCCATGTGATTGATGATCGAGGACATTCCGATCGGCGTACCGCGCGGGATCACGTACTCGATGTCTCCCGTCGCGTTCCTATAGTGCAGGTCCTCATCTCTTGCGATGCGGGCGGAGCGGTGGGAAACACCCGGCATTATTCGTAAAGACTCCTGTACAATGGCCCAGAAGTAGGGCTTGTTTTCTAGGTGGGACCACTTGAGTGTAGAGGGAGTGGTGTCTGCAAGGGATTCCTTAAGGCGCTTGTAGATCTCTGGTTGGGAAAGGAGATGGTATGTAATGACGGTGAGGATGGCCTGTGATTGGATTAGAACGTACACCACTCGATCATAGCGATCACGAGGCAAATGCAAGATCATGACACTTACAGCAGTAGTCTCTGTGCCCGCTAGCAGAAAGTTGAATCCCTCGCCGTAAGTCTGCCCCCCGTCTCGCGACCAGGGTACTTCGCGACCACCCCAAACCCCACCAAAATCGCTAAAATCGCTACCTTGTCACTCGGCTATAACTCAGCTAATAAATTAGCTATAGACCTACTTTAAGTAGTTTTAGAGTTAAAATTAATAGCTCTATAAGGCTATACTACAATATCCTACTAAACCTATTTATAGATTATTTTATTAATTCTTAAGTAAAAGAATTCTAAAATATAAAACTCTCCTACTATTAACACATACTGTGTCAGGTGTGACGACCTGACCAACAGGGGACGATTGTTTGGGCACAGGCACAAACAAGGTCGCAGGATCGGGCCAAGGACAAGGGCGGATCATGCGGCAGGCACCGTCACAGGTTTCTTATGTAAGCACGATAAGGATAAGGACAGCGGGTACGGTACCAACGGTCATGGCCAGATGCATGACCGTCACCATGCCAAGACAGACGGTCACTGCCGCAGGCATGACCGTCGGAACAAACATCACGACCGTCGGCTCCAGGAGCCTGACCACGATGAAGGACAAAGGATATATAGAGCCAGGAGGATCTCCTTATAGACAGTCATTACCTTTGTACTTCAGCGATCAATCTAAGTATCAGTCCACCCACACTTGAACTAGTCACTCAATTGCCGAGACTGGTATCTCTTCCAAGAGACACGAACGACAAAACCCAGAGAGAGAACGACAGCAGAGTGTTAGTTGTGATTGCACAGGCTTTACCTATCTTGTAGAACAGTAACCCCAGCGCCCTGCCAGACGGTTGACCCCGGGGGCAGGATCGTGACACCCATTCCCCACTTTTCTTATTTTACTACTTAAACCAGTATTTAGATCTTAAATTTTAGTTTAAATAGCTTTATTATTCTTATCGTTTACGAATAAACTTAACTAAACCTTTATATCTCTTAAGATAAAGGAGTTATAAAGGTGTAAAAATCCTTACATAAGCAGCGATAAGAAGTGGCCCGCTCGCTTGTATGGCCCGCTTGCTTGTGAACTACGTTAACGTAAATGCATAGCGAGTGGGCCAGCATAGCGAGTGGGCCACCTCCATCACTTCACTAGAATTCCATCTTCTAACACATCTTACTCAACAACCAGCCATGGAGACCCCTTCTAAAGATAACCAATTGAATCTCGCACTTCAAGCTATGGACCGTGATCCTTCCCTTTCTATACGCCGCGCAGCTGCAATCTACAACGTCTCGCGAACAACGCTTACCCGCCGCTATAAGGGGACGCCTTCTCGACGCGATAGCCTACCAAATTCGATGAAATTAACAGAGCTAGAGGAGCAGACGATTGTCGACTATATTCTCGACTTGGATGCGCGAGCATATCCTCCTCGGCTAAGTGAGCTTGGAGAAATGGCGAATCGACTGCTCGATAAGCGGGCTGCGCCAACGCGTCGGTCCACGATGGGCGTCAAACTTCGTGAAGCGACAACCACAGCTCCAGACGCGTTTCTTTCGCAAGTACGACTACAAGAGAGCCCAATGCGAGGATCCCGACGCGATAAACGCGTGGTTTCGGCTTATGCGGAACGTAGTCGCGAAAAACGGCGTAGCGGACTCCGATATCTACAACTTCGACGAGACAGGCTTTCAGATGGGCGTTATCGCGACCGGGATGGTCGTTACAAACGCGCAAATACGGTCGAACGTTAAGATGAAGCAACCAGGTAATCGGGAATGGGTTACGGTAATCCAGGGCGTTAGCGCGACTGGATTCTACGTCCCGCCGTTCGTAGTATTTGCCGGCAAATATCACCTCTCGACCTGGTACCAAGATAACGCGATTCCTCGCGACTGGAGAATCGTAACATCCGCAAACGGCTGGACTACAAACGAAATTGGTCTAGATTGGATTCGACATTTCGATCAGCACACAAAGTCGCGAACAAAAGGCGGTTATCGCCTCCTCGTCCTCGACGGCCACGAAAGTCACCACTCGGTCGAATTCGAGCTCTACTGTAAGGACAACAACATTATTACGCTCTGTATGCCTCCTCACTCGTCTCATATACTCCAGCCTCTCGATGTTGGCTGTTTTGGTCCGCTGAAGAAAGCATACGGTCGGCAAATTGAGCTTAAGATGAAGGCGGGTACAACGCATATCAGCAAGGAGGACTTCCTCCCCTCGTTTTTAGCGGCATTCCAGCAGACAATGACGGAAAAAAACATCCAGGGAGGCTTCAGAGGGGCAGGACTTGTACCCTATGACCCTGAAGCCGTTTTATCCAAGCTCGATGTGAAGTTCAAGACGCCAACACCCTCGAGGACGCCTCGGACGTCACCGGAGCCATGGACTTCCCGAACGCCCACCACCGCTATGGAAGCCCGTTCACAGTCTAATTTCATCAAACGTCGGATCTCTCATCACCAGGGAAGCTCTCCAACGTCAATTATTGAAGCAGTTGAGCAGTTCACGAAGGGAGCAAAGGGGATCATGCACCGGTTCGCCCTAATGGAGGCAAGGATGAAGATGCTTGAAGACGAGAATGCAGTACTTAGTAAGCGCCGGAGAGCTAAGAAAACACGTCTCCGGAAAGGCCAGAGCATGACTCTAGGCGAGGGACAGGACCTTATAGCCCAGAGAGAGGTGAACACTCAAATAACACAGGAAACGCAAGAAAATCGAGGTCATGCAGGCGGCACTACGCCAACGCAGCGCCGCTGTGGTACCTGCGGGATGACTGGCCATAATGCGAGAACTTGCCAAATAGTTACTCTAGGGTCTGAACTCGAAGATAGCGATTAGTTTATATCAATTCAAGACGTTTTGGTTTTGCTGACGAGGTTTTGATTCTCGAGATGTGGTGGGGGTGGCCCACTCGCTATGCTGGCCCACTCGCTATGCATTTACGTTACGCATAATGCATCCTTAAGAGCTTCTCAAGGAATTTCTATCCAATCAAGCTTATGAATGTTTTATGATTTCTTCCTCCCAATAACGCGGAAAGCCTCGTCCATGGCCAGCCGCCCCCCCCCCCCCCAAAACACACACACACACACACACAGTTCAGGTCTGACGTCCTTGCGCGCCAGGTCGAGGCAGCTGCAGCTGCAGCATGCTCCATATCCTGCTGCCGCTCACGATGGTGTCGATGTATCGCGGACGGCGTAACGGTACAGCCTCCCTCGCGGCGTTGGTGTCGTCCATCGTGTAACAGTAGTGCCGCCCTGTGTGGCTCCCGGATACAGGTATGCGTTGGACATGGGACCCTTGGGTCTGGGCAGCTCGATCGAGCCCGATTCCGCAGCAGCTGCGTCCTCGGTGGCGTGGTTGCACCGGCGTGGGGCGGGTCGTCGAGCGGCACGGCGTGCCTCTCGGCGGGACTCGAGCTCGGTCGACGAGGAGGTTGGCTCCGGGGGGGATCGAGGTCGGCCAGGGAAAAGGCGAGGCTGGCATCTTGCCGACTCGGTGCATGATCGGCACGTAGAGGAAGTTTATGTCGAGGAGCAGACAGTTGAGGTCACCACTATTTCTCAACCACCAGGTCCGTGATGCTGCCGCGTGGACACGGACTGTTCTCGCGTCGCGCCTCGGCTGGCCATGGCCACAGGGCACGGCCTTCCTCATCTCCGATGGCGTCGGCAATGCTGTTGGAGCAGAAAAAGCGGACTGGCGTCTCCAGGCTGGCGAGGTTGTTGATGGTTGTCGGCTTCGTCGGGGTCGGGAATGTTGTCGTCGAGCGGGCAGTCGCGGCCATTCAATGGCGAGGCTGCCGACATAGGGAGAAGCCGGCGTGACGATGTTTATGGGGCGGGACGTCTCGTCAGCCTACTGTCATATTCCACCCCGTAATTGAGTCAACTTTAAGGGTTCAACATGCCCCACATATGCAGTGTCGACCGTGCACACCTCGACGTCCCTCTCATTCTCATGTAGGACATGTCATGTCCTACGAAAGGTCTGTGCACGTAACAGATCCGTCTCATTCCAGGCCCTTGTCCCCGCGAATTTCGATCCACTCTCGGCTGTGGATTTCCCCTAAATACTGTCTGCCTACGGTCGACTCCTTGATTGCTTGCAAGTCGAAGGACAGTGCCTCCTGGGTGGCCTTGCCTAAGACAGATAGCCGAGGCAATTTCCCCTTCTACACGTGAAAGGGAGGCTATGAGGGCGAATGAGTGGAGGAACTTTATTTTTGAAGCTGTGCAGGTTTGCATAAATCATCATATGCGTGCCTGTCGAGACTATGTGTTGTGGGTTCTCCTCGAACCGGGTTGATATAGGATGGGGCTTCCACAACTACTTAGGCATGATCGACAGATGATGTGTACCAGAGACCGTGCCAACGAGACCCAGAAACGATCACTAAGAGACGTTGATGCAATGATAATTTGGGTGGCTTAAAATGACGTAAGCGCCAAATTATAAGCGCCTCTGCACAATTCCTTCTCAGTCGAGCCCACTCACACCTCCACGATTCCCAATCTGTGAGCACTTTGGCAGGCTGCTGCACCGGATAAACGCATGGAGTACAACCTTGACACCAAGCTATAGCACTTGAAAAAGCCGCCACGTTGTACTTGGCCAAAGGGCGATCACATGTCGGGATATTGAGATGCTGCAAGAAGGCCTGCCAGGCGTGTGAACGTGGCTATCAGAACTAAGACGTGGAAAATCTGATGGCTAGCTCCCACAAGGTCGAACCTATATGGAAACCATCTCTCGGGGATCTACAACCAGGACGTCAATTTTGGGGCCTAGGCAAAGAATCGGAGGCGACGTACCCTTAAGGCATAGACAGCTGCGGCGATGAGATTAAGCGACATCGTACAAGCCAGCCACCGAAGGGACAGATGATTTCCCAGAACGGCCCAGCCTTTGATTTGAAGGCCATGTAACAGTGATGCGAGTGAACCCAAGCCAGATGTGCTGTAGACAAGTACACGCCACTTTCTAAAGGCAGAAAAGCCAAAGTCATGGCCAAAGATGAACCCCACACTCATGACAGCCGTGATGATATTCTTGAAACCAAACGGTTATCAGATACGCTCAGACGAACTGCTGGTAAGAATAACACACAATGGAGCTGTAGAATCTTTGCAGGTCCGGGAGGCCGGACAGTCCGTAATGAACCACGGGTGCATTAGCACTCCAGACGAGGACCACGATGCCTAAATAATCGAGGCGATTGCAGGACTGGGCCCAGCCGCGACTGTGATTGGACAAGAAGTGGAATATGTTCTTAACGTCAGTATAGTAATCTAGCCGGAGAATTCGAGCAACGGGCTTACATGGCGGAGCACGCGAAACAAAAGGCCACTCCGAAGCAGTAGCGCGATATCGTGGGATGATGCATATGATGAAGAAAGAAGGGGATAGTGGTGAAAGCGATACAACCAGACATATGTGAAAGGATGTTCACAGTCTCGTTATGAATGTACAGAACGCTGCGTAGTGATCTGTATCAGGACCCGGAGATTGGCCTACAACAAGATTAGCTACGCATTAGCCGAATTTCCAAGCGCACGTACCGATATCCAGACAGTAGGAATTCATTATCCTGCTGCCATGATGGAATCTCATGATATAACATAAGCTTCTTGGATGACTGCTGGCCCTGTGTACGATTTCTCTTCCCGATAGGTGACATTTCCAATGCGTCGGAAGCCAACTATACAGTAGTGGTGAAGTAAGTTAGAGTATTGTTAAGCAAGTCGATAAAGTATAGAGAACGATAACGTAGTGACCTGGAGCTGCAAGTGCACTTATTATACTCTTTAGTGGAGCATTTACTGTTTGCGATGGGCAGCCTGGTTGTTTATCTCTTCCGTGGGGTACGACAAGCATTATTCTCCTTTATGCTCCTGTGTCATGCCACTCCGGAACTCAAAATACCGGGCACTTGGGCCATCGGACGTCCGCCCTTCTCTTTCAGGCGATAGTTGGCACCTAGGGAGATCATGACATATATATTGGCCCACCCGCCCGTTGGAGCTCCTGAACATGGAGACTCCGACACACCTCGACTTCCTTCTCATTCCTACGTAGGACATGTCGTGTCCTACGAAAGGTCTGTGCACGTATCAGATGCGTCTCATTCCCTTTTCCAGGCGGAGTTGCAGGTTGGGCAAAGCGCCTAACGCAAAGTCCTCCAAAGATGCACCGAACTACACCCGCTTCCTCGAAATGATGCACTAATGCTACTGCCCAGAAATAGCTACTGTCGATCAGCTTCTGCCTGTCTCACACCTTTTCCAGTCACTGGACCTCTAGCTAGTAGCCCGTCCGGTTCCTCAAGGTCTGGTCGATTCCCGTCTTTCCTGGCTTCTACTTTCTTGTCAGTCTCCTCTGGCATCAAATCTGCCAGCTGTTCTCCTTGGAATGGTCCACGAAAAGGCGCACAACGGAAGTGCTCCCGCCCAACGCAGCCAATTGCTGCGCGCTGGGGCTTCTCTAGTCCTCCACCTCCTCTTCCTCTTTCTCGACCACCTCCACCGCCCCCCCACGCCACTTCACTGCAACCCGGCCTGACTCACCAGGCGGCGAAATTGGTTGCATAATAATCCAAATTGCTCCATGCCGCCGCTTATACCGAATTCATTGTGTATGAATTCCCCGATGCGCCATTGACATTGGTCGGAAGCAACTGCACCGCCGGCAAGCAGGAGCATGGTGACCCATAAACGCAGCCACGTGCCACTCGGCTTCTCCAGGCCACAGCTGCTCTTCACTGCCTGGCCGTAGTCTGTTCTGTCAATGAGGTTGCCCGGTCGAATAGGCTGCACTTCTCGTGAATCGGAAATCGCACAAGACATATCTACTAGTCGCCTGACTTAAGCAGTTGTGAACGAGATCTGCGACGTCATGAACTCGACAACAAGCTTCTCAAACACGTGGAAGTCGACCACCGCGCCGAAGTTGAACGACAGCACCGAGTCAGCACATGTATATCAGGTGTAAGGTTTCTGTGCGTCAACATGCAGAGGCCCCGCGCTCCGGCTTTCGCATCATTGCCCCTGCTCTCACCAGACCTTGGCACACAGAGAGGAGGGAAAAAAGAACGTACCCGTGACATTTCACCTCGTCCTTGAGCTTCTCCGCCAGCCCCATGATAGTCCGCAGGTCCAGACTACCCAGCACTGGCTGTCGGCGGATCTGATCCCATGCCTGGATCGGGGTGAGACCGCTTCCAGCACTACCGCCACCATTCCCGTCGCTACTGGCCTCGTCTGCCACAACGTCTGGCGCAAGCGCGAGTAGCCGGTCTAGGATCACTGCTGGCGGAGTGTCCCCTGTCGCAGAGGCCAGCAATGGGGATGGCCATGATGACGAGGGCGAGGACCCGGTCGAAGAGACGTTTGTGCTGGAGCCAGGCGAGGCTTTGATGAAGCGGGAGTGGAACCTGTGCGAGGGTGGGGAAGGGGAGGAGTATTGCTCGATGGCCTGATGGCTCGTCGGGCTTCTTGGGATCGCCGTGGACGTGGTGCAAGCATGGTTCTTCTATCCTGCAATGGAGATGGAAGATTAGGCACCAAGCACGACCGCGCGAAGAGTGCTGAATATTGGGGCCCGCCAAGGAAAAGCCAGACACATACTAACTTGAGCACAAAGGTCATGCCGAGCGTGGCCTGGTCGACGTCACAGACCCGGGTTGTCAGTGAGACCCCATGGAGAGTGGCCGACGCGTGCGGCTGCGGAGGCGGGCTGGGCGACAGCCCCGATGGCGACACGGTGATGCCGTGGTGCTCGCAGGCGCGCCGAAGGTTGTCGAGCTGCGCCGCGAGCCTGTGCTCGCGCTGCTGCGACTTGGACAGGGCACCCTCGAGGTCTTTGACGTAGCGGACCTTGCGCTGGCGATATGTGCTGTTGGCGGGGACCGCGAGAAAGGCACAAGGTCAGCCAAACCACTCATTATGGGACAATCCGCCCAAATGTAGTAGCGCAGATCAGGGACTGACTTTTGGGCCCGGCGGAGCTGCTCGCGCCTTTGTTCGGCCTGGGCTTCCTTGCTCTTCTTGTTCGGATTAAAGATGCGGAAGATGGGGCTCGGAGGCGACATGGTTGCGAATGGACGAACAGGTCCGCAGACGGCACGACATTGACGGGCCCGGACTAAGGCTTAGTTGTGCTGTGCGTCGTGTTCTTCTGGAAGCCCGCTGGCCGGATATGTGGATGTACTGCTGCTTGTACTTGTGCTTGTGCTTGTGCCTGAAAGATCCTGGTCGCCGCTGTCCCGACACTGTTTGGCATTGTGACACCGGTCATGTTGGGCGGACCGTTGGGGTTCCAGGATACGGCTGCTGGAGGAGCGGCACTCGGGCCCCCTCCACCATGGCCCCTAGGCCCCTTTGGCTCATGTTTGGGTTTCATCAGGCCCAGTGCTGTGTCAGCAGAGCCCCGGTCATCATCGGCCGAACCACAGCTGAAGCTTCCCCAGCCCGGAGCTTACCCCGTGGTCCTGCGCTATACCACTTCCGGCAAAATTGATGAGACCATCATTGTTCACTGCAACGGCCCCCAGGGCAGTGTGGGGGCCCCTGGAACCATCTTGTCTTGGCAGTCCGTGATCAGTATTTCCCCTTTGGGAGATTTCGTTGACGAGATCTTGCCGCTCTCCCGCTCTCCAGGGGCGCATCTCGAAGCAATTGCCATTCGAAGCCGACCGAGTCGTCCGAACCGGCTTGCGAGACTAAATGTATAAAGAAGCTGCTGAGTCGCAGTAGTTATCATGTTGAGCTCACCAGTTCAAGCTGCGCTACTCCGTCCGTGTTCTCCACTTCCTTGTCTGTCACTTCCACGGCTCTGGTAGCCAGCCAATCATTTGTTTCTTCCAACGAGCCCACTCGACCTTTGTTACCGCAAATCGAAACGTCCTAGACATCACCAAAGCCCACCATGCGTTTCCAATCAACTATGGCCGTCCTCTCTGGACTGCTGGCCGCCAGCCCAGCCTCTGCCGCTCCCCACAACCGACCACAGGGGCAGGGAGGCAAGGGCAAGTGCCAGCTTGCAGGAGCTGCTTACCTGACAACCAACGGCGAAGCCAACTTCGTGGTCTCTCTGGGTGTTGAGAAGAACGGCATGCTTTCCAAGGGCAAGATGGTCGCGACGGGCGGCTGCGGATCCGCGAGCATCGACGGCAGCACAAAAGAGCCCGCCAAGGCGGATCCTCTTGTATCGCAATCTGCGCTGACGGTCGCTGGGAAGGTGAGCAGCTCCCATTCAGCTGCTTCTGTTGATATCCAACTAATCACAACGTTCCATCCTCACAGAGCCTGTTCGCCGTCAACGCCGGAACGAACGATGTCAGCATGTTTTCGATCGACGACGCCGACCCGACCAAGCTCGTCATGGTCGGTATGCCCGCCAAAGTGCCTGGCGAGTTCCTCAACACTGTCGCCGCGTCAGCCAAACACAAAATCGTATGCGCGGCAGCCACAGGAGCCGTGGCCGGCGTGTCTTGTGCCTCCTTTGATGAAACTAACGGTGTCGGCGCGATGGACGCTCTCCGCCCCATCGACCTCGGCCAGACGACACCACCTGTTGGTCCCACCAACACCGTCTCCCAAGTCCTCTTCTCCGAGGATCAGAACACGCTCTTCGCGATCGTCAAAGGCGACCCAGCCACACCCGGCAAGACGGGCTTCATAGCCGCATTCCCCGTGACCGCTGCGCAGGGCAACACCGCCGCCAGCGTCAGTGCCCAGGGCAAGCAGTCGTCTCCGGCCGACACACTGGTGCTCTTCGGCTCGACCACTTTGCCCGGGTCCAGCGACATCTTCGCGACCGACGCGTCCTTTGGCGCAGCAGTCCTCTCGGTTGCGGCAGACGGCACCACTACGACCAAGAACCGCGGCGTCGTCGACGGACAGGCGGCATCCTGCTGGGCAGCCTTCTCCCCGGCCACCAAGACGGCCTTCATTGCAGACGTGGGCGTCAATCGGCTCGTCGAGATGTCGGTCCAGGACGCGTCGATTGTGCGCGAGCTGGATCTCAGTGCCAACAAGCAGTCGGGCATGATTGACCTGAAGGCTCTGGGCGGGATGGTCTATGCGCTCGCGCCGGGCAACAACGAGACGGCGCCCGCGGTCGTGGTGGTCGATGCCAAGGGCGGCAAGCAGGTGCAGGTTATGGATCTTGGGGCGCTGGGTGTGACGGGGCGGGTGCAGGGCATGGCGGTGCTGGGGCTTTGAGGGTGGTGTAAATGGGATGCTTGTCTTATTCTTCTAGTGTTGCGAATTCGATTTTCCAGGCTTCATTTTGGGATGGACGCGTGACATGGAGCAAGGACTATTGACTGCCAGCCTTCCTGTTCTCGACATTGCTTCCGATCGCACGGGGACCATGGCAAGGACTCTGCGAACAATTAATCATCACAAATCTTCCCCTGGTTGGGCCGACGGGTATCAGCTCACACCCTCTGGCTCAATCCAACCGTGTCCACACTCTCTCGTCAAATTCAATCCTCCAGGCCGGTCCCTGATTGAAACCATACAGATATTCCGCGCCCACTTCCTCCGCGACCTTGCGGGTCTTGTCCACCCCGTCGCTTGCCAGTCTTGCCAACTCTTCAGTTTCATGGTGTCCGCGGCCGATCAACTCCACTATCCTGACCGTCTTGAGATTCGGCAGCTTCTCCGCCCTCCGCTCCTTGAACCCCCTCCATAGATCCGGCCACGAGATCGGGGGATCCCTGCGGGCGCCCCAGCTGAGGGCAAACTCGAACTCCTCGACACTCTCTGGCAGCAGGTCGACCAACGCCGGCAGGGCCGTCGTGACATCCCAGACGGCAAAGTCCTGATCGCGAGCCGGCGTGGTCACCATGGTCTGGACCTCGCCCGTCGCGGGATCGGGCCCGAGAAACACGCCCACGTCCACGACAATCCTCTTCGCGGCCAGGAACCTGCGCAGCGAGCCCACGGCGACGGCCGTCTCCCCGAAGAACCCCTCAATCCCGATAGCCAGATCTGTAATCTGCCTTGCAACCAGCACCGACGACGACGACGACGACGATGACGACGACGACGACGACGAAGTCTGCCCCCTCGCCCCTGCCCCTGCCCCCGCCACCGTTCCCATTCCCGCTCCCGTCGTCGTAGCTGCACCACCACCAGCACCACGCCGGAGCCCCTGCTGCAGCTGTCGTCGTTCTCGAGACAGCGGCTCGTCGATGACAAGAGCACGCGCATTCTCGACCGCCTCGACGAACAAGCCCGCCGCCCACTCGAGCTGGCACCCATGCCACTTGACCTCGTGCAGGTACCGCAGCACCTTGAGGCCGGGCATGCGCTCCACGAGCCGCCCGATCCCCTCTGCGTCCATGCAGCACGACACCAGCTCGAGCGTCTCGATCCCGCTCCACTGCCGGGCCGACAGGAGCGAGGCGGACTCGTCCACCGCCTCGACGCTGCCCGGCCAGCGGTAGGGGATCCCCGTGTACCCGTCGTCCGCGGCGACGAGGTTGGTCGCGCGGAAGGCGCGGATGTGCGGCGAGGTCAGGAACGGGTCGAGAGACTGGGTGTTCACCCGGCCGTCGTACTCGGGCTGCGTGACGTGGTGGAACTCGCGCAGGTGTTCGAGCGGCGAGGTCGTGAGGCCTCGGGTGAGCCGGAGGCGCTTCTTGTCGACCGGGTTCATGTTGTTGTCTGGGCGGGAGAGGATCGTGTCCGGGCTGGTGGTGCCGATGCGGGCGGACATGAGCTCGAGTAATGGGATCACGTCGCTGTCGGTCTCGACGTTGGACCCGGACAGATCGAGGGATCGCCCGATGGAGACGTGGCGGAGTTGCGGGAGGTATGTGAGGAGCACGACGAAGGCGAGCACCTCGACCGCTTCCGGGTCTGGCTCTGAATGCCCGTCCTTGTTGTCGTTATCGTCGTCTTCAGAGCCTCCCACGTCCGGATGATGATCACCACCCGCTTGCTCGTCACCAGGAGCAGCTTCTCCACCCTTCCTGCTGATGGTGGGCGAGAAGAAACGGGCAATAGTCTTCGCCCACTTGCCCGCATCCGCACCAGCCGCCTTGATCCACGGATTCCGCGCCAGGCAGCGCTTCACCATGCGACCCGGTCTCTCAGGACACGGGTTCCGGACCGCATCCTCATGCAGCCACGCCAAGCCCCCGCCCCGATGGCGCACGCCCCCGTGCCGCGGAGAGGGCCCAGTCCCCGACAGATCGCGGGTGACCAGGCTCCGCACAAACCAGCCGATCTGCGGGTACCGCGCGACCCCGTAGATGCAGTCGGCCAGGTCCTCGGCGAGGTCCTCGGGGTCGTGCGCGCGCAGGTCGAGCATGTGGAAGCGCGCCTTCCAGGTGTTGTGCTCGGCGAGGTAGTCCCGGCCCGCGCTGTGCAGGTGCTTGCACGACAGCATCGCGGCCTCGAAGCCGTCGGGCCGTGTGTCGTTGATGATGTGCCGCAGGATCTCGGCGGGGAGGCTGAGGAGGGGCATCGTTTTGATGAAGGGGGCGGTCAGTTTTGAAGGGTTGAAGACTGCCGGATGTCTGGAGAGCCAGTACTGAGGAGGCGTTGTAGAGTTTAAAGGCGTGATCAGGTTTTCAGTACATCAACAGGGGCAGACTCCTGTACCTGATTCACGGCACCACACCACAGAAGAATGTGGCGTGAAGCTTGGCAAGCGAGTTGCAGCATGGAGCCAAGATGCGCCGCGTGGGGAAAAGGGACCGGCACAACAGGCATCCATCCATACGAGACAGGTATACTTCCCTGGGCTCCACACCACATTAGGCATCATCCCCCGAGGTGTGCAGTGGAAATAGAATGGGGCCGTCGGGACGAAGGGTAGGGGCCACGATGAACAGTCCATCGCGTGATTATGGAAGCTGGTTATACGTCTGGCAAGTATCTGCTCTCACATATCAGTCCTTTCGCTCGTTTGGATAGCGAATTGCTTAATATGCGGACTCGCCTTCTGCATTCCAACCTTTTTGCCTGCCGGAGTCCGCTCTCTGGGCATCTCAGTGATCACTAATCGATTGTACTCAACCAAGTAGAGGCAGCAAGTCTCAAGGACCCAACATCGAGAACCATCATGACATGTTTTGAGGATATTGAGATAAGATTAAATATGTATCGATACTATTCTAGGAACTCATTACACATTACATCATTTACAAGGCCAGAGCTACCAAAAAGACTGACAACAGCGACCCCATCGCTACCCCAACATTAGCCGCGCCAGCCGTAGGAATAGGCTGCGTGGTAGACTCGGTCACCGAGGGCAGCGAGATGGGGGGAATGCTCGAGACAGTCGGCATCGGAGCCGGAGGGATGCTGCTCGAGACCGTAGGCATTGGGACAGGGGGGATATCCGTGAACGAGGGCAGAGGGATCGTCGACGCCTCTGTGACCGTCGGCAGCGGCACGGGCGGGACATCCAGCGTGGACGAGGACAGCTCAGTCGTCTCTGTCGGGCCGACCGCCGTCTCGGTCGGGACGATCACAACCTCGGACGTCGTAATAGGCGTCGTCGGCTCGACCAGCGGGCCCGTAAGCGTGGGCGCCGCGTAGGGCGGGTCGAACAGGCCGAACTGCCCGCACGCGTTGCACGGGTACGCCCAGGAGCTGACCTCGCTGGGCGCGGCGAGGATGGGGTTGCAGTGCGGGTCGGGCGCCATGGTGGCAATGGCCGACGGCGCGACCGACTTGGGGCAGTCGGTGCTGAGGTCGCTCAGCTCGAGCTGCACCGTCGCCGTGGAGCCCACAATCGTCGACACCTCGGTCAGGTCGAGCGGGATGATCCAGTTGGTGGTCTGCGGGCCCAGCAGCTGCGAGGCGTTGTTGATGCCCGCCGCCGTGGGCACGAGCATGTACACGGATGGGTAGGTGCTGGAGAATTGAATTGTGTGAGCCTCGGGTGCTTTGGCCGCCAGGAGGCTGGAGGAGGAGGAGGATGGAATGCGAGCTTACAAGGTGTAGTCGAGCGACTCGTCGACCCAGGTGCTGGGGTACGAGTGTGGCCGGTCACTCGGCCAGAAGTACAGGTTGACCGTCTCGGCAGATCTATTGTGAGACGTCAGCATCAAGCTCAGCAAAGTGCAGATTCAGATACACTTACACGCTGCATTGCGTCGGGCATGGGTTGAAAGTCGTCGAGAATATGGTCTCGGTCGTATAAGTCGTCGTCGGCACCGTCGCGGTCGTCGTGTCCGTCTCCGTGACTGTCGCGTATGCGGTGCCCGTGATGGTCACAGAGTCCGTGTCTGTTACGGTCACACTGCCCGTCAGGGTGTTGGTCTCGTATGCAGTGCCGGTCTTGGTGTTGGTGACGAGGTCGGTAAAGTACAGAGTCGTCGTGATGCACTCTGTGATGTACGACTCGACGACCTTTGTCTTGATGCTCGTGACTGTCGAGTTGACCGCGTACGGCACCGTGACCTCGACGAGGTGGGTCGTGGTGCGGTAGTCAGTCTTGGTCTTGTATGTCGTCGTCACATAACTGCAGTGGGTGGCAGTGTCCGACTCGCACGTCGTTTCCGGGTCGTGTTCGGCTGAAAGACGTCATAAATATTAGACCAGATCAAGCAACAGCAAGGAAAAGTGTCTGCTACTCACGTTGCCCAGCCCGTGCCTGAGAGACAAGCAGGGCGGCGGACACAAAAGCTGCAAGGTTCCACAACATGACGGGCTATTGTCCACAAGCGAGTGTGCAAAGCGAGAGAGGTTTAACTACAACGAGTGTTGGTGCAGAAGGACAGGATGCAGGAAACACACAGGCTAAACTCGCGGCATCCGTCTGCAGGACACACCTCTGTTTATCAATGCCAGCCTGCGCCCAGAGAAACTGACAGACGAACCCCAGAAATCAAGGTCAACGCTCCACGCCAAGCCCTTTCTGGGCCGCGCGGTGCGGGAGTCCTCTTCCTCCTCGGCACGCTCCGCAACAAAGTGCCATTGCCCAACGTGCGCATTGTTTACCGGCAGCGCGGACGGATGGCCAGACCCCAGCCGCCGATCTGCTGCGCCAAGCGCATTGATTTCGTCGACATGCGGTCATCACGGCCGGTGCTGTGTGGATACACGTCAGAACACTACTGCAGGGACCTTGCAGGTGGGCTGCCCCAACGAGCCTGGTATTCCTGGTCAGGGGTTTGTGCTATTCCTGCAGGCATCGCTATCTCGCCGATTGGTCGCAACTCCAGTATAAGCAGGGGTCCGCCCCCGGAGTGACGTCGTCCATCACCGCCGCCTCGCGTGGATCCGGAGCTAATGCAGCGGCGCGTTGTTGGAGTAGCTAATAATAACGGACAACTAGTTATTGAAATTGACTGGCAAGCCTCCAGCAAGAGTCAGACCGTCTGTGTAAGTGTAGTCACTAGCCACTTCATAGTCGACCGTCAGCTCATGTGATAGACAGACTTCCAGAACCACCAGCTCCTTCTAACCTTTGACGGTCGCAAGTACTTCTCTCCTAATACCGAAACAGCAAAGAGGGTTCTTAATGTTGGCACCGGCACCGGCATTTGGGCCATTAACTTTAGTATACAGCCTTCCGAGCATATATGCACCTCTTGGACATATGGAGTTGACATTCTGCAGCGGACGAGCATCCCCACGCCGAGGTACGTTCCTTGTCTGAGTATAGGCTGAACGGCACTTATAATCTCTAGGTCGTAGGAGTCGACATTACACCCATCCAGCCTGGCTTATAAGTATCCTTGTTGAACTTAGCTAGCATAATATAGGGCCTGACCGTAGAGGCAGGGTTCCTCCTAATCTGCGTTTCGAGGTTGACGATATCGAAAAGCCTTGGACGTAGACACAGCAATTCGGCTACATCTTCGTCCGTATGCTTGTCGGCTCCCTGGCGAGCTAGGAGCCATTCTTTAAGTAGGCTTACGAGTAAGCTCCTACATCTCCATCAGTATTGAAACGCAGCCCGCTAACCATACGCTAAAGTACCCTCGAGCCTAGGGGCTGGATCGAGCTCCAGGACCCCGGTACCCCCTCTGTCTCTAATAACGGCACCTTAAAGGACAGATCCCCTTTGTGGCAGTATAACAGACGCTTCATCCAGTCTGCTAAGAACCTTAGCCGCCCGATCCATCTCGCTGCCGACCACGACGAGCGCCTCAAGGACGCAGGATTCATCAACGTCGAGCGCAAGGTCTTTAAGTGGCCCATTAATATATGGCCCAAGAACCCCAAGCACAGGGAGGTCGGCTTGTGGACTCTGGCCAACATCGAGGGCAATCTCGAGACCATCAGCATAGCCCTGATAACCCGCGGCCTAGGGATAACTAGGGAGGAGGTGGAGGTCTTCCTCGTAGGCGTCAGGAAGGACCTCCGGGACCGCAGGATCCCATGCTTACTGGCCGGTGTAAGTATTCAATATCTGCTCGAATTATTTGGGGAATAAAACTAACATCGTCTATAGCTACGTGACCATCGGCTAGAAGCCGTTACTGGAGAACTAGATAGCTCAAATTACATCAAGTCTTGATAGTTAGGATCAATATTACGCGAATATCGCATATATAGATTAGTCTCATCTATATCTTCGTAGCGCGGGGGCGGTGGGAGCAAGTGTTGATGATGATTTAGCTTAGTAGTTATTCATTACATCAAATAGTAGCATATGCTGCTTAACAGCACTCTTTACTTTAGCACATCGAATTCGCAAGAGGGTAGTGATTTCAGTATTGGCGGAAGCGCCCATAGTAACGAAGGCTCTGCAGCCGCCGGCCGTAGCTTGGGACTTTCGCTCTGGCCCGGCGCGGTATCGTCCAGGGCGGTCTCCGGGCCCGACGCCATCGTTGAGAAGTCCCATCACAGATGACGGAGAATCTCTTAATCCGTGGACGTCGCGTCAAAGAAGGGGTCATCGCGTCGAAGAAGGGGTCGTCACGTCGAAGAAGGGTCGTCGCGTTCGTAGCAGGATCATCTAGATCGGCATCCTCAACGGGCCGCCCAGTCCGAGAGGCCAGAACTCCCTCGTTCTATCTGTGTTGTACTCGGAGGGCGCTCTGAACCAGGGCCGGGCGGAGGCCTCTCTACGTTCGCCAATGCACCGTCGAGTGGGGTCACTGTTGCCGACCACAGGATATATCGGCGCGCTGACCATCCTCCCGAGGCAACACTACGGAACTCAGCATCCTCACGCAGCGACAACGTGCTGGCCATGGACATATACCTGGCAAAAAGTATCCAGGATGGCACATGGGATGGGTCTGTTATTCGGCCAAGCCCACTGCACTCCCATGACGAAGACTCCTCAGTGATGGCTTACGGGAGGGCTTACTGAGCCAGCAGCCTGGCTTCGGGCAACGCAGGGGCCTCATACAATAAGTAGTGCCACGGCCAGGGCGCTGCTACCGTCAATCCAGGGAATCGCTGATGTTTACACCAAGATTGCCCTCGGTAAAGAGGATGACTAACTTCCCGTCCTCAGAGACCTCACAGCTTCCATAGACGATGCTCTTATCCTCTGTGAAGTCCATGGTGATGATATGGGACGAGACTATGTTGTTGATCTCATCCTTCATACCCTCTCCATTGGCGGAGATAAATTCACACAGAGCAAACCGGGCGTGGTACGTGGTCAGCATATCTGAGGCAAGTTAGATCGGTTAGCTACGTTTGGCTGTCGGAACAACTCGTGTAACATTAACCTACTGGAAGATCATGATTCCTGGAGAGTGGTTGCCGAAGGAACCCTCCTCGGCGTACGGATAGAGAGTTAGGGGATCAATTTCGATGGTCCAGGGCGTTCCAAAGGTGTCCGAAATCTGTTGCTCTACCTCTGGCTTGTTTTGTTCCCATTCGTCACGGACTAGAGGGACATGTTAAACAACCTGGCTTCGCTTGAATCAGGACCCGCTTACCGTTCTTCTTGGCAGGAAGGGGAAGCTTCTCGGCGGGAGGCAAAGGAGGCATGGTCGTGATAACTCAAGGATAGAGAAAGGAACAGGGATTGTATGGGAGGACTGCTTGCTAGGACTGAGGTATTAATCAGTATGGGATGTAGAAGAGGTTGGGGGTCATATCTCGGGCAAACCCCCCATCTTTAATATTTTAAACTTGGTACAACCACGACGACAAGAAAATAATAACTTCCTCCCCGCTTTGGCTGGCTGAAGGAGGAGTCTGCCTCGTGGAGAATAAGCTCTCTCCATTTATCAGCTCAGGACCGGCCTGGATGCTCCTTACCCCCCACGCCGACTCCTGAAACGCGCTATTGTTAGCGATAATATCCACGGCCATGACCATCATGGTAGTATCTTCGTCGATCGCCCATGCAGCTGACTGCAGATCTCTGGCGTTTACGGCCGCAGGCTGCCCGTGGGTGGGCATGCTGCGTCCAGTGGACGACGCCACGCTAGACAAGCTGAACGCTAGCGCTTCTTGGCGCTGCTGGAACAGACTTCGGGGCGCTAACATGCATCCGCTTCGCCCGGTGGATACTGTAGCCCAGCAGGAAGTCTTGCTAAGATTCCCTCGTGCCTGGGTCAAGCGGCGTTGAATTATAGAATCCAGCTGGTATTTATAGATCTTTGCCCATCGCTTCCTAGAAAGCTCTTTTGCGTTGCTCCTGGGCATCAGAAACATCAAACACACCGACAACTCTTATCATCCTGTCTCTCTCTCTCGATACTAAACGCACTTGACATCATGTCTGTGTAAGTGCCCTTCACTCCCATTTTATTTTTCGCAGTCCTGCCCAACATGTTGTAAAGCTAATGACCTCTACTTTGCGTGCCATAGACCCCTCACGGCCGTTTTCATCCGATAGCTCGAGAAGACACGAGATCCTACGCCCGTCAAGAAATTCCGTCATCGGTCGTACAAGACGAGATGAAGCACGAAGACTACAAGGTCGGATGGATCTGCGCCCTGCCTACGGAGCTTGCAGCCGCCGCCTGCATGTTGGATGAGCTCCACAACCCGTTGCCTCAACCAGCCACCGATGATAACAACTACACTCTGGGTCGGATTGGGCCTCATAATGTGGCGATTGCGGGACTTCCGGCAGGCGTGATGGGTGTCACCTCGGCTGCTCGTGTAGCCGAACAAATGCGAACTTCATTTCCCTCTATGAGGTTTGGCCTGATGGTCGGGATTGGAGGCGGAGTGCCGAGTGACGATCACGATATTCGACTAGGGGATGTGGTAGTGAGCAAACCAGGCGACACATCAGGAGGCGTCATCCAGTACGACTTTGGCAAGACAGTGAAAGAGTGTCGCTTTGTGCGGACCAGTTCCCTGAATCGTCCTCCGGATGTTTTGTTAAAGGCCGTCACCAATCTGCAGGCACGACACATGTACGAAACGTCTCGCATCCCGAGAATCTTGTCCGATAGCACGGCTCGATGTCCTCTTCGCAAACAAGCATGCTCCTATCCCGGCGCGAGCTCAGACCAGCTCTATTGCTGGAAATATGACCACGTCCAGCAACAATCGACATGCGCTCAGTGTGATTCAAGCCAACTCGTCAATAGGCTTCCACGACCATCCAATGATCCAGTAATGCACTATGGCTTGATCGCTTCGGGAAATCAGGTGATGAGAGATGGCGTGACACGCGAACGACTTCGCAAAGAACTAAACATACTATGCTTCGAGATGGAGGCGGCAGGGCTTATGGATACATTTCCATGTCTTGTAGTGCGCGGGATCTGTGACTATGCAGACACCCACAAGAATAAGCAGTGGCAAGACTATGCCGCGGCAACGGCTGCAGCCTACGCCAAGGAGCTCCTCGGAATCACTCATATTCACGGCAATGTTGGTAATGAGGGTGCAGAGAAGAATATCTACAGAGGTATGACCTTTCGATGAGAATTTCGGTTGACATATGCTTCCGTCTATGAAAAGAGCAGAGCGAGGGGCGTATTGCTAATTTCCTGTGTGCCCAGGTATCCAAAAACTAAACCCTAACATCGCCTCTGACCGCGAAACATTGTACCGATATTTTCTCTCTTCACTTTCCACAGATCCTATCCCTCGCGATGACCAATGTGCTCGACAAGCCCACTACGTCAGCGAGCATATTCTCTCGAAGTTTCACCGAGCCGGTCCTTGGGGATTGTGCCTACGTAAATACCTGGAGGACGGAAACCCCTTAAATATCCGAGATTTCGAGGGTAAAACACCTCTTCATCATGCAGTGGTGACGAACTACGACAGAGATGATAAGGTGAGGGCGTTAGTGGAGGCGGGAGCAGATATAGCCATGAAGGATTTCATGGAACAGACGCCTGTCGATCTTGCGAGAGGCAAGAATGAACAGATCTTCATATTTCTCTTAAAGACGTGGCAGAAATCGGTTGTGGCAGAACAGCGGTATCAGGATAAGAAATAGAATATCATCTTGTAGCCCTCGTAAATTTCGAGAGGGGGAAATTAAGAGCGACGGGTTAGTTCAGGGGAGCAATATCAGTGACAGATCACCGGAAAACTACGAGAAAAAAAAATGGTAGACGGATTTCAACCTGACCCTTGGTCTCGATGGGAGGAAAACAGGATCAAAATGGAAAGTAGCACATATGGTTTGCCTTAAAACGCTTTGAATCTATTCTGACTTCACAGTTGATTTAGCTCTCCGTACAAACAAATATACCTCATGGATGAACATGGCCTGCTCAGTCTCCTTCCTAGAGGGACGAAGACGTTTCCGGCTGTCTCCTGGAGCTTCATCGGCCAGTTGCGAGCTTTGAGCTGATCCAATGTCTTCGCCGCACGGCTTCACTCCCTGGAGGAGGAGGTCATTGAGCTCGACCTCGCACCGCGATCCTCCGGAGCTCCAACCTGCGCATGGCTTCAGCTTCAGCCCTTCGCACGGTTCCCACCAAATTTCTACTACTACCCAAGCTCGCCCGATGTCAATCAGCTCTGCCCCTGGTCACAGAGAGCCCATTCGATCCTTTATTCACGGCTCTGGCTCTATGCGAGATGACTTGCTGGGTATGTTTGGTTGATGCGATTAAGGCCATCATCTTCCCAGCACCGCCTGCTTACCCACGGCTTTGCTTCCAAATAAATAAATAAAAAAGGAATGAAGAAAGTCAAGAATCGCCAACTCCGGTGAACTAGTTCCGGTAGATAGTGTTCAAAATGCGAGAACCATTTGTCAAGACACCGCGGAGGCCAGGTGTGGGAAAGGATTGCGTAGGGGGGGATGTCGTCGGCGCGCAGATCGTCCGTGAGGGTGTAGTTGTTGGCGTCATCTCGTTGTAGTAGCCGCATTATGGGATACGACCGATGACGGTAAGGGCTACTAGTCGGAGTGAAAAATATCTCGGTGGCCGCAGGTGCCGCGTGAAGGTCAAATGGGATACAAAGAAGCAGGCATCAGCATTATCATGGTAGGATATTGAGCCGCCTCTCAGCTCCAAGGGGTAAGGCAGATTCGTCACTCATCTGTGACGCTATACTGTGCATATGTACTACCGCTTTGCCCTCATATTCTCTGAAGTGCCGGCTTTGAATCATTGACAGTGCAAAGTTGTCAGCGAGATCACGGAAGACCTCATCTGCAACGGCTACGAGTGTCGCCGGGAGAGCTTTTGGGATGGTCGGGTTGTTCTTCTTATTGTGTGGACTAGTGTCGAGGGCACTGTCAAGCCATTTCGCTCCTGGGCTCATGTTCGCCTGCCGCGCCTTCCTTGCTTCGTCCCAGGCGGCGGCCGCTGGGTCGGCGTCTTTCTTTGGAGCCATGGTGCGGGAATGTGTGTTCGTAATAGGTAGTCTTTGGGTGTTTTCTTATGAAGAGAAGGGAAGTGAAAAATTTTGCGAAAAGGAAACTTTGTGAGGGTGGTGTGGTGGCAGGCCTTGATTGCCAGTGGTGGCGATGGTGGGCAACTTGGGTGTGTGATGTTTTTGTTTTATGAGGGATTTCCTGATCCTTTTGTAATGAATTGTGAGAGAGAGAGAGAAGAAACGGAAGAAGGAAATGAAATGCTAGGTGGCGGAGGAATGTTTCGTGTGATTGAGGAAGGTGCGTTTGTTGAGCCTTGAATGGTGTCGTGCGGAGGAACTGATTCTCCGTTGTATGGGTTGTTTCTTTTGCCGAATCGTGCAATTGAACGGAGGTCGCTTCTGCTCTTTTGTACGCCTGGCTTTTGGCCTGACTCAAGGTGCTTCAGCCTGTGATTCTGACTGAGGTCGTGTTCGCGCAGGTGTCGCGTGCCTTCCTGAATTGGCAACAGCTCACCGTTTGCACTCTGCTGCCTGCGCCGACGAGGTGCTTCGTTCCGCAGTATATGAAGGCCTGCTTTCCTGCTTCTGCTTCCTCTTTTCCTCCTCCATTATCGCAACATTCCTCGCTTTTTCTGGGTGCCTTTGGTCGAAATGGCTTCCAAACAGTCGAAACTTCAGTTTGGCAACGCGCGTGGCTCAAAGCCTGCGGCTGCTGCCCAGGGCACCGCTACCAGCGGTCCTCCTCCTCCTGCCGCTGGGCAGCAAGGAGAGCCTGTGCGATACGTCCGATATGCTTCAGAGGCTCCTTCCTTTACCGGCCAGGAAGTCGTGCCATATGAGCGACCCCGATTCGGCGGCCCTCAGGCTGAGGATCCTCCGGAATCTTCTGATCCTCTTCCTGACGACACAAGCCTTGCATCCGACGCGCTGGTTCCTCCTCCATATCTCAACCGCGATCACGAGATTGAGGAAATCATCCCGGAAAAGAAAGAGGAGATCATCACGTGGCTCAAACGTCGTGATACTTCGACTGTGACAATCATTCCCAACCATATTGCCGTGAGTGGGGAGGACGAACCATGGACCATATTGCAATACCTTGCATGATATGGCCACACTGACGAGGAAGAGACTAGAGGAGAGGAGGGTCAGCGATTGGCGCGAGAGTGACAGAGAGAGGCCCTACAGATTGTAGGTTCCCTTGAGCGAGGTCCGCCGATGGAGCAGCTCGAGAGTCGAGCCAGCCCCGAGGGCGCTGATGGCGTAGCTCAAGATCACGAAGCCGACATGGAAAGAATAAGGGACGGTTTCCCCGATGTACCGGTCCAACGAGTTGTCGGCGGTCGACATCTTTGGCCGGTGTTGTGTAGATTTGGGCACCTTTGGTGTCGCCTGATGACAGTTATGCCAAGGCAGCGTGGCTGCTCACGTCGCGCCCTGCACGGCGGTGGATCGGGCTGAAAGGTCTTGCAGAAACCTGCAGGATGCCTTTTCGGTTTCCCTTGCACATCACCTGCAACAAGCACACTATAGCATCACAGAAGGCTCTTTTCAAGAATGGTCATCAGGGGTCCTAGATCACATCTGAGACAGTGATTATTGCGCAGGGGTCTAGACCAGCCTCACGACGCCCCAACGAGGCTCCGTCTGTCTTATCGACGCTCCCTCGCCGTTCACCAGCTCTTCGCTGATGACCCGTCGTCCGTACTTCAGCAGTACATGTGTGGACGCGGACTCGGATGTATCATCCTATCACCTGTTACTTTGCTTGTCTTGACGATGCGTTTCTGCACTGCAAGGCAACGTGACCCGGTCCCGTCTCATGTTATCGACCCCACCCCCACACAGAATGGGTGGTGTCTCACTCTATATCGTCAGGAAACCTGATTGTGCGACTCGGAAGCGGAGGCGTCTCCGGGCGGTGAGGCTGAATTTCGTTGGCCGCCGAGGGTGCTGTGCTGCTGCGTATGACCGATCCGCCAATACGACTGCCCTGCAAGCCCACGTTGAGCATCGAGTCACGCGGGGAGTTGTTTCTCGATTGAGACCGGATAGGCGACAGGATCGGGAAGGCATTGCCCACACGCTTGCGCAGCCGAGCCCGGCCGCTCTCCTGATCGTTCTCCATGGTCAAGGTGCGGGAGAGTGTGCGAGGGAACCAGAAGCCCAGCTTGCCAAGAGGCACACTGAGACCATGAACAACCTGGCGGTGTGGCGTGGCCTTCGTCAGCAACCAAAACCCGTGTCTCTGCGTATTGGCAGGCGTGAGTGGGCATGAAGGAACTATAATACTTACCACACTGCAAATGGCAACAAACCAGACAATGACAGTCGTCGCTTCGCCAAGGTGCGCCACGTCTTTGCGTGTGCCCCCGCTGTGGCTAAGCCCCTCGATGAACTCCAGCGTGATGTACAGATAAAAGATACCGGACACACCCACGGGACCGAAAAATCCCATGAACAAGGCCTGGCGGATCTCTTCGGTCTGCGGGATCCAGCGATGAGCTCCGAGTATGACTGGCGGCCGCCGCAGCAGCAGAATAAGGATGCCCAAGGGGACCAAGCGCAAGATAGGCACGACGTCGTTGTCCAGGAACTTCTCCCAGGGACAGACTGCACCGTACCACATAAAGATGGACACATTGAGCAGCATGTCAATGGTCGGTTGAAGCGAGCTGCACCAGGTCATTTGGTTAGTTGAAATGGAGCTTTCCTTCATTGGACCTCTTCACGAATCGCGGGTCTCATACTGGCCGTTGTTTCACTTGTCAGCATTGACACACAACGCCGAGCGTGTTCCAGGCAGTGGGATCTCACCTCATCGAGTGTCTCAAGACGGAACCAGTCATCCCATGTAAAGACATTTCCGGCGATGAAACAAGCCAGGACATCATCGCTGCCGATCATGCCGCAAGTACCGGTGATGAACAGGGCAAGGGAGATGGCAAAGACGAGAAAGCTCTCTCTGTCTACCCACTTGTGCGTTTCTGCGTGGTAAAGGAGGCACTTGGCCACCCAGCCCACGATGGCGCCGTACAGGACGGACAGCAAGATGGTGTAGCCCCACGTTTCGCCGAACCAGAGACCCATGGCGGTTGCCGCGCCACCGGACTCGCTGACACCGCCATCCCCGGTGTACTTGATGAGCCAGAGAGCGAAGAAGAGGAATGGGTAGCCGAGGCCGTCGTTGGCGCCCGACTCGGCAATGATGATCTTCTGCAGCTCCTTGGGCACGTTGTGATCGGCAAAGCGGCCCTTGACGATGACGTTGGACAGGATGGGATCAGTCGGCGTCACACAAGCGCCAATAGCCAGTGCATGGAGGAAGGGGATGTTTGGCACCAGCCCCCAGACGAGCAGGCTTGTGATCATCCACATCGCCGTCATCACAGGGCCGACGAGCAGCGACAAGGGCCGCCATTCCTTGCGCAAGTAGCGGCTGGGGAGCTGAACACCGGCAAGCACAAGCTGCACGCCAAGGACGAGGCGGGAAAAGGCGAGCGTGACTGCGTTGAGATTGGTCTCGGACCCCAATGCATATTCAAGCGGTCGAATAAGGTTTGCAGCTCGGGGCGACAAGGCAACACCGGCCAACAGAGAGATGACTGGGACGAGGTTAGCGACAATGGATGCGGGAGGGGCCGACGCGTAAAGAACGTACGGGCTTCAGAGAGATAGAAATTCTCTTTGAGGAGATAGGAAACCAGGCCGAAAAGCGAGATCCAGCCCCCGAGCACGCTGACCACGATGTTGAAGTTGGTCAATGCAAGAGTGGGCATTGTAGTGACGCGACGAGGTAGGCTGTGTGGTCTTTATTGGGCTACGTCCCAGGCAAATGCCTCGGGTCGACTATGTGCCCGGTTGGCTTTGCAATGCCGCGATAGACAGCCACGACACAGAGAGCCGAATAGGAACAAAGCCGATGTTATTGGTGCATTTGTTCGGCGAAGCATTTCCCGCAGTAGCTGTAGGGAAGGTAGAAGAAGATGCAGCTAGTCTATAATGCAGAAATTCACAGGGAGAATAGGAAGAAGCCAGAAACTAGTCGACCGTGGAAGAGACTATCTCGGATCAGTTCCGGAGGGCGAGGTTTTCATTGGACGCCGACGGGTAGGGCCGGGGCGTAGAGGGAGGAGAACGGCTCAACGCTTACCGGCAGTGGGCGGCGGCGGCGGCGGAGGTTGGTAGGGGGCCTCTGTCCATCATTCCGCCTGGTAGTGCGCTCCACTACCAGGGCGGCGCCATAGTTAAGGACGGGGTTTAGGACCCACCTGGGGCAAGAGCGTCGTGCACTACCGCGTTGCGCACTACCACGGGGGGATGCACGCGGTCTAATTGGCTGGCGGGGCCGCGCCGGTTGGGGGGGGGGGGGGGGGTGGGGGCGTTGGGTTGGGGTAAGAAAGAGGACAGGAGACAGGGGACGGAGGGCGGCCGGGGGGACCGGGAAGGCGAGAGGAGAAGGAAAATGGAGACGTAAGCAAGGAAAAGAAAGGGTAAGAGTAGGAAGGAAGTTAACGATAGGAGAGGATTAGGCACCGCTCGACGATAGACTACTATACAAATAAAATACATATACGCTATAGCCGTACGGAGACGAAAGAAGGGGGAAATAGGCGAGCCGGGCTAAGTATACATTCGAGGGCGAGGAGAGAGGCGAGTCGTAACCGGAGCCAGGGCTACGAATAACTAGGTAGTAGCCGGCGAAGCGAGAGAGAGATAACGACCTTCTCTACGGACAGTAGGTAGGTAGCTAGGCTTACTAGTTGTCACGATCCGACCTCCGGGGTCAACCGTCTGGCCGGGCTTCGGGGTTGCTGTTCTGCGAAGTAGGTAAAGCTCAAGCAATATCACAACTGGTCGAATGTCGTTCTCTCTCTGGGTTGTCGTGTCTCTGGGAAGAGATACCAGTCTCGGCAATTGAGTGACTAGTTCAAGTGTGGGTGGGAATGGTGGTTAGATTGATCGCTGAAGTGCAAAGGTAGCGACTGTCTGGTAAAGGAAATCCTCCAATATATATAGACCTTTGTCCTTCATCGTGGCTGCTCCCTGGTGGTCATGGATCGCTGGATATGTTGGTGATCCTATATCCAGGTCACCTGGATATGTTCATATCCACATATCCGTCCTGCTGCCATAATGAGATGTTTACGTAAGTCGACCCATGACTCCTTCGCAGCCCCCGCCCTTGTCCATGGCCTGGTGTTGCGGCCTTGTTTGTCCTCTCTTCCGGCCCAAACAATCCCCTGCCTGGTCCTGGGTCGTCACACTAGGACCAGATTACACATTAATACTTAATATAGTTAATAAGTTAGTTAATAATCTCGAGAACCTTTATAAGAACTAGGGAAGCTAAGCGAGGCGGAGATGATGTACTTGTGGGAGCTTCATAGATATGAGAGAGCTGTGGGACTTGATAAAGTTACGATATACCGGCTAGCGATTAATACCCTTATGAACCTAGGATCTTTGTACACTCTTGCGAAGGACCGGTAGAAGGAGGTTAGGTAGCCAGGATCGGAAAGGATGTCTTCCACCAAGACAACGCCACTCCCCTTGCCGCGCTAGCCCAAGACTTGATCGTAACGAGGTGCTTGCATAACGAAACTGCGAAGGTTGGGCATGCCCCTAACAGCTTTCGCAAGGAAAGGGTGGGAATGGCGGAGCACGTTGGCGTAACGTGCACCGTTAGTTGTGGTGATCTCGCAGTCCAGATGCGGGCATGGTCTGATCCAACACTATTTCCTATTCCATTTGTCGAACACCTCAAGTCTCCTCGTGTCTTCTCTTCTTGGGTCAGGCCCTACAGGATTCCAGTTGTGGTAGTCTTCGACGGCATACGGAACCTCGTGTCACATTAGAGTAGTGATGGCTGCTGCGAAATGTGGACGTGAAGCAACCCTCAAGAGTCTGCAACGATCGACGTGGAGTCTCGATAGGCGGACAGAGGAAAAGAGCTAGGAGACAATAGCCTGGTCGTTCCATGCATCAGAGTAGGGTTCTCGGCATTCCCGCTGCGGTCGTTGTGACCCGATGGAAGCGACTCGTAGTGCGTTGAGATCTTGAACGTCCAAAAGAGATATGATTGACGTAAAAAGCTCGCGTGGGAAGCTGTGGAAGCCCGTCAGGGGCGGCGACTGCTTACGGCGTTCTTCATGCCTCTTTTCCGAGGGCCTTCCATGGCTGAGCAGGAGCAAGTTGAGATGACGACAGGTAATAGCGACCTAAAAGGCAGTCGAGATTGAGCTGCGTCAGCGTTCCCACACGACTGGCGAGATTTATTGACGATTCAGTACAGCACGCTTGACGTACCGCCAGCCCGCTGCAACCAATGCTCCGGCCAGGCAGCTCCATGTTTGCTTTAACATTGCCGACTTTGCAGTTCGCTCTTGGTTCTGCTCCTCCACCACGTTCTTTATTAGTGAACCTTTGTGTCACCCACACCACAGACCTGAATCCTCCTCGCCCACTCCGTCCTCAACAGCTGCGATGCTTTGATGCGTCGTTTTGCGACAGGATCCAGCATACAATACACGATGTTACGACATTCTACCTGTTCATCTTGTCAATGATATGCTCTCATAGTCAATCCTGAGTGTGCTGCTCGCGCATAACAGCGCTTCCTCCTCGTCGCACTTACCGGTTTGAGAACCTCAATGGGTAGATATCCAGCTGCCTCGCGACGCCCCTGAAGATACATGAGATAGTACTCGTCGTCCGCCTTGGCTGCTGGCCAGAGCCGCCGCCCCAGCCTCATCACCATGTACGTCACGCCGCACGCCCACACGTCGATCGCTGGGCCGTTGAGCTCGCCTCCGACATGCTGCTCTGGTGTCCGATACCGTTCGGATCCACCGGCGGCCGAGACAGGAAGGACAGCACCATCTGCTTCAGCCCGGCACCGCTGGCTGCAGCCAAAGTCGGCAATCTTGAGACGCCCATCCCGCGTGAGCAGCAGGTTCTCGGGCTTGATGTCGCAGTGCGCGATTCCAGCCGTCTCGTGCAGATACTTGACTCCAGCCATGAGCTGCACGAACAGACAATCGGCTTCTGCAATCTCTAGCACGGCGGGCGCGCGAGAGCGAATCAGCCGGTGTAGATCCCCAGCATCGCAGTACTCCATGACCTGGCTGAGTAGACTGTTGTCGGTGGTGCCGGACTGACTTCCTTGGTGGTCGTCACCACTGCCAGTACCCACAAGTTCAAACGTCTCAATCACATTTGGGTGCTGTAGTTTCTTGGCCATGTCAAACTCTCGTTGAACGCGGCGGCTGTAAGACGAGGAATCCTGGCTGGGCCGGCGCCGAAAATGTTTAACGGCAACCATCAGAGGCTTATTGCTACAGCCATCATCTACGCGCCAGAGTTCCTCTTCTCCGACTTCTGTCCCCAGCGGAGAAGTGGGCGACGACAACAGTGGCCACACCTTTGTCTTGTCGTCGATAAGTGATTGCTTGCCTTGATGATTTGGATTCCGATTGACAACACTGACGGTGCCATAGGCCCCTTGACCTATCACAACACGATCATCCTCATCGACTCCGTCTGTCGGCGAAAGCTTGTCGAGCGAGGGCTCGTAGAGGTCGTCCTCTGTTTCGAAATGGTGGTGCTCGGGCTGGAGGCTCTGCAGCTTTTGCGTCGCTCTGAGAATCAGCTTGCGAACATTGTCGAAACGGCCTTTGACCTGCACGCTCGGTGGCGGACTCTCGCCCTTGGAACTCGACACGAACGCGTGGTAGTTGTGACGATGGCCCCCTGGTAAATCAGGACTGAGCACGAACGGAATCGCCCGCTTTGAACGTGGCGCGAGAGTCATGAGGGATTCCGGATTGAAGGACTGTGACTGCCGACAACGCAAAGGCAAGACGCTATCGATGTCGAAGGGATTGCTGCATCCTCCTTGTGACTTATCTATCCTTCACAGAACGGTCTCAGCATCCTGAGATACCAGGGTAGGGCGACCCTCAAGCGCTTCAATTGCACTGGACTGGCTTGTTGACGCTGCCTTACGAATGCTTGAGCTTGGCGGCAGGACGGATCCACTCCGAAGGCAGTCCTGGCCGCCGTCATCCCGTCACGCATGCCCGCCAAGTAGTATCGATGCCACGATGCAGCACCTGCAGCAGCTCCCGTGCTAGCGAGGTCAGCCATGTCGTAGCTCCTGATCGTGCTTGGAATGTGACGAGGGACCAGCAAGCCCAGGCTGAGCGGCGACGGGACTTGGCGATTCTTGTGGCTCTTCCGTCGCGATGGCGCGGTATTGGTTGAGCACATTATGGCCTCACAGGTTCGCCGCAGTGGCTGCTGTGGACGAACCCTTTACGGAAACAGAGTCCCGGCGGGAGCGTTTCTAATTGGCTCACCACGGGATCTCCGGGAGCCTCGAGATCAGCCAACCCTTTGCCTTGTGGGGCGGGAAGCAGAAAAATAAGGCCATTCCACCGACGCTAGCAAGCTTATTTTGCAATGCCCACTGTAGGGTGGCAGAAAAAAGCAACGCCGGGCCATGTGACAAAGGACTTGGCCAGGGGTCCAAGCGGGGGCCTTTCCTGCCAGCTGTCTCAGTCTCATTCGGCCCACGAGCCGAGCAAGAGAGCAAGTACAAGTCGGCACACACTCAGCTGGGGATCCTCTCGCAGACACTGCAGAACTACTACCTTGTGATCTCGTCCGACATCTCGTGTGTCGACTTGGTCGTTTCCCTTGCTTGTTCACCGCCTTGTAGCAGCAACTCGGCTATTAGCGGCCATTACAGGTGCTTCACTTCTTGCCTTGATTGGTCGTTTCATTGCGAGTTGCATGTCGACAGCGTCCTCACTTCCTATCAGCCTCTTTCTCATGGTTTTCTCAAAGCAGTCGGTGCTGAAGCACCTCAACTTCATCACCATCCACTGTGAGTTTGTCTGACAACGATCTTTCACCATGGGTACACGTCCATACGCCTCCCCCACACGCCATGATCGGCGATTGTGACACTTCGCAGCGCATCACAGCCAGTACCTCAAAAACTCTTCAAGTAGAAATTGACAATTTTGTGTGATGCACAGATGCCTGGATCATCTTCTGCGGCCTATTAGGCCTCATTGTGCTCGCGCCCGAGGGCAACGTTGCGGCCGTCGATGCGTACTTCTTTGGCGCCAGCGCTTCAACCGAGTCTGGTCTCAATACGTGAGTTTGCCTCCACCAACAAGACCAATCATGGAATTCGCGTCTCGGGCGAGCAGTGCGAAGAGAACAACCACAGAGACGAAAAGGATACTAACGAATTGGACGGCGCTACTATAGCGTAGACGTCAAGGAGCTTCGCACGTATCAGCAGATCTTCCTCTACGTGATTCCCATCATCACAAATCTTGGCGTCATCAACATCATTGTTGTCGTGGTGCGCATTCTGTGGTTCAAGAGGAGATTTAGGGCTGTCTGTGAGTCATAATACGCCGGTCCCCAGCTCCCACGAATCATATTTGCGACGGATTTCCTTGTTATCTGCATGTTGCTCACCTTGCATCTCTTTTCACGTAGCATCCACCCTCGTCCGTCCTGAACCTAAAGGTGTCGTCTTCTCCCTGCGTAGACGCGGAGAGGACGATGTTGAAGCCCATCCTCGTCCGCTCTGTGCTCCGACCGACTCAGTTGCCGCAGATATAGAGGCACATTCCGATTTGACAAGCCGTACGGAGACCTCGACCGGGACTGGGAAGATTGCCAACACGGCGGAGACCTCAGAGAAGACCAGCAATACAGACCGTGCACTTTACATTCCGAGCCCTCGGGACCGTGATGATGGTATGCTCTACCCTTGAGCATGGCTTCACACTTTGGTCGGCTTTTGTCAGGGATATCCAGATCATAGTGTCGAGGATATGGATGGCTGATGCTCGATTTGACCATGACAGGAAAGTCCTTCATCGAGAAAGAAATCGCAGCAGGGAATGACTTCTCTGGTCGTGAGTACCAAAATTGTTCCAAAGATCATGCTGTTTACTGGCTCTACCTCTATATACTGACAATACAACAATCCGTCTAGAAAATAAGGACGACGAAGACGACCAAATCAAGCCTGTACCCCATGCCAACAACAACCGGAGACTGTCCATGTTAACCTATCGCTCGCGCGCCGGCAATAACGACGATATGCGCTTGTCCGCCGCCAAGTCTATCGAGAATGCCGCGGGCTCCATGTTCATCTTGGGTGCACGTGCGAATGACAACGGCAGACGCTCTGACGTCTCGCAACTTCCGCGACCAAACGACCTTCCTGGCTTGTCTAAGCAGGTGACCATTGGCCGCAACTCGCAATTCTACGACCTCAGCGAGGAGGACGAGGAGAAGCTTGGTGGCATCGAATATGCTGCGCTCAAGCTGCTGCTCAAGATTGTTATTGGTAAGTCGGCATGTCGTCTGGTCATAGATGGACTTGTAGAGCTAATAGGATGAAAAGGATATTACGTAGGCTTGCACCTGCTTGGAATCATTGGGCTGATACCCTGGATCCATACCGCTCCATCAAAGTACAGAGAGTACTTGATTGAGTGTGGCAACGACTTCTCGTGGTGGTATGTCGAAGTCGATCATCGAACTCATCCTTTCTGACACTTAGTCTAATACGAAACCATTGTCTGTAGGGCTATCTATTCAACCCAGACAATGATAAACAACCTGGGCTTCACTCTCACTCCTGACTCGATGATTTCGTTCCGCGACGCCACCTGGCCGATGCTGCTTATGACCTTCCTCGCGTTTGCCGGCAACACGCTTTATCCAGTCGTGCTCCGACTAGTGATCTGGATTGTGTACAGAGCCACACCTACTCACTCCCCCAACAAGATGACTCTGAAGTTCCTCCTCGACCACCCGCGCCGCTGCTACACCCTTCTCTTCCCCAGCCGACCAACCTGGATTCTCTTTGGCCTCATCGCGGCTCTTAACATCGTCGATGTGATCCTCATCATCGTGCTCGACCTCTACAACCCAACCATCACAGATCTGCCCATGGGTCCGCGGATCCTCGCCGCGCTGTTCCAAGCCGCGTCATCGCGCCATACGGGAACAGCGACAATGAACCTCGCCGAGATCAACCCGGCTGTCCAATTCTCTCTGCTCGTCATGATGTACATTGCTATTCTCCCTATCGCAATCAGCATTCGCACGTCCAACACCTACGAGGAGCAGGCCCTGGGTATCTACAGCCAGGAGCACCAGGCCCTGGACGAGTCTCGCGCGTCGAGTTACTTTATGATGCACATGCGGAACCAGCTCAGCTTCGATCTGTGGTACATCTTCCTGGGCACATTCTGTCTCTGTGTCGCGGAGTCTGAAAGGATCGCCGACAACAACGAGCCTGTGAGTACTTCCTTTCTTTTCTGACCAGCCGCCGCTGCGTGTCTAATCTCGTAAGGAAGCTCGCTAACCTCGAACTTTTCTCCAATAGGCCTTCTCCGTCTTCTCTGTCTTCTTCGAAGTCGTCTCAGCATAGTATGTCATTCACCCCCTCACTCATTCCTTAACTCCCATAATCCAGTCAAACCAACATACTGACCCCGACTCCTAATAGTGGCAACGTCGGCCTCTCCCTCGGGCACCCCACCGTCTCGACCTCGCTATGTGGGCTCTTCGGCATCTTCGGCAAAGTCGTCATCTGCGCCATGATGATCCGCGGCAGGCATCGCTGTCTGCCATACACGCTCGACCGCGCCATCATGCTGCCCGGCGAAGCGGCCCCCGGTGGCGGGGATTACGAGGACAGCGGCGCCACGCGTAGCAGGCTACGCCCGTCAATGACTCTCTCGAGGGCTTCGTCCAGGCAGGTCGCTGTCTTTGGTGAAGGTGCGGACGCGGGCAAGACGAAAGCTAGTTAGATGGATAAAGTGGCTGCCTGGTAGACATTATGGAGCATAGTGGTGGAGTGGGGAAGCGGAAAGTCGCGAACGACCATAGCATCTGTCACGTCGCGATCCCGTTTGATCTCGTTGATCTGCCTCTGACGCAGCACCGCATCGCCAAAGTGAACAGAGCGAAGGAGCAGGAGGGTGGTGTGTATGATGAGCAAAGGAGGATTAAGGATGACTGGGCGAGGGCTGTGTTTGCGCTGGTGGCGAGGGGGCAAGGTGGGGCAGGACGGGGTGCTTGGGCCGGGGAGATCACGGCCGAAATGTTGCAGGAGAGTTATAATAAGGTACGGGCGAAGCAGGGCAAGTCGTTGGATGAGGAGGCAAAGAACAGGAGTCGAAGAGCAAGGCGTAGAGAAAGGGCGGCGATGATGGAGGAAGTGCCGACTAGAACGACGCCAAGTATGATGCTGGAGGCGGAAGGAGAGGAGAAGTGGTTTGCCACGGAAAGGGTTCCGGAGAGACACGAGTCGGACACGAAGAAGAGCTCTGTAGTAGCAAAATCTCATGGTCCTATTGAAGCCGGAAAGAAGGAGAAGACGCAAGAGCAGAAAGCATCGAAAGGAGGCAAGCCTGGAAGACTTGAGGAAGCGATCCTTGCGCCCGGCTTCTACGAGAAGCACGAGGTTCTTTTAGGGCAAAGCTCTGCAGCGACGTTAGTTCGTTCTGCCCAGACGATGCAGAAAGTACGCCAAGGTGGCGAGGGACACCATAATAACAGTGGTGACGATGGAGTGGTCACCGCCCAAACACTTAGCGGAAGTCACAAGGCGCTAGTGCCGCAGCTCTCGTTAATAGCAACGCTGGAAGAGTCTGTTAATGCAGCAAAGGAGGCGGAGAGACAGGAAAGGCAAAGGATGGGGGGAGAAAAGAAAGAGAGAAAAGAAGGAAAGAAGGAAAAAGAGGAGAAACGGAAAATAATTGAAGAAGCGAAGAAAAAGAAGAAAGAGGGAAAGAAGAGAAAAAAAGCAAAGGAGAGGAAAATTAAGGAGGAGAGACAGAAACTAGCAAAGGTGGGAGGAAAGAAGGAGGAAGAGAAAAAGAGAAAAGTAGAAGAGAGGAAGATAAAGGACGGGGCAAACGAGTTAGCAAAGGGGGGGGGGGAGAAAATGGAAAAGGAGGAAAAGCTACATTCAGAGGAGGCGAGAAGGTTGGCGAAGATACAGGAGAGCGATAAGCTCGCCAGATATACCTCGGAGCACCTGGCGATGGAGTCTAAAACGAGTACTAAGCTACTCCGAAACCAAGACTCCTTGATTGAAGGGAATGTGATAGAGCAGAAAATGGATGCGAGGGAACAGAAGAGACTCGACAAGCAGATAACGAAAGCAGAAAAGAAGATGGCGAACAAGGAGCACAGGATGAGACCGATGAGGGGGATGACAAAAGCAAAGGGAAAAGAGAGGAAACTGAAGAAAGAGTTATCACAAGAAGACGGCAGGGCTAGTGGCACAGCGCCGGGGCTTCTCGGTGCTCACGGGTCTACTTTACAAGGCATGGTTCGCGAAGGATTTCACTTCAAAACAGTAGTCTTGAAAGGCGGAGGCTTCCGATGATACTTGCGGTGTTCCACTTAGTAAATCGTGTAGAAATTCTCAAAATGAACTATCACTCATGTTAATACAACTGCGGGGTCATGTTTAGGTCACCAAGTATGGCTTTGCAATTTTAAGTACCTACTTTTTTGCCCAGATTGTGTCCACCAGAGACGACACTCGAGCATTCTCCCAAGAAATTTTCCTCAAAGTGACCCCCTGCCCACAGGACCACACAACCATATGACCGCTCTAATATCCAGCGGTTCTATTCGCAGCGCTCGAAGGCGCTGCCGTGCTAAGGAACCGGCAAACATTGAGGCCAGTTGAGGCTATCGTTGACGGCGCACATTGGCCAGACCCAGACGAAACTCGTGGCGAGTACGGTGATTGGGCCGGTCCAAAGTACTGGTGTCGTAGAATCAGCAAGCCACTGGTGCTGGGCGGGGCCAATGAGCCCGCCTGTCGCTACTGCTTGTGGAGAAGCCCATGCCTGCGGAAGATTGTCGTCTTCCTCGCTGAGTGGGTGATCGAAGACGAGGCTATATCGACCCCATTGTCCGGCATTGGTCAAGTCTGATTCCGGCAACGCATCCTGGATGGACGGTAGTGTGACTCGGTTTGAAGTCATCGTGGATGATGTGGCGGCGATCAGGAGCTAGCCTCTCCAGTCGTCCTTGCAAGACTCAGGATGATATTCGTAATGGTACTGTAGCTGATGTTGATTCTGGTGGGAAAGTTGGGAAGTTCTTGGTGCCGAGGCATCTGGCGATGAAGGTTTCTTCTTTTGTTGAGTATCAGCCAACAACCGAACATCAGAGCTGACGTCGTATGATTAGCCTTACCTGCTACAATTGCATAATAATAAGTTCATCCGGAACCTGCGAGCGCTGAAAATGGATCTTGTCCAATGGGAGCCATCGTAGCCTCGTCCACTGCGGCACGTCTGAAGCTACGTATTGGTCTATGGTACCTATGTCTACAGCCGCATATGGGAGGACCAAGATGTTCTCATGTTCTAGTGCTCACTGCACGAACTCTCCGTTGCGCTCCAACTGAGAAGCTAGTCAAGTCTCTAGAAAGCCTTACACGGCACTATGCGCTACCGAATCATGGGATCGTTCTGTGCAGGGGTGGACTGGGCTGAATTTTGATAGACAGCTAATGCATGTCACGAGACATCACGCGACTCGATACCAAAGAACGCTGCGCGTCGGGTTAGACTTGTCGAAGCTCTAGCTCAGAGTACCCTCCCATGCACCGATCTTCTCAACATGGAACAAACTACGAATACGTGATCCTTCTTAGGTGGGGCAGTATGATAGTCCACCTTAAGACCCATTAGGGGGTGTGTCTACTCTTACCCCTGCACCCGGAATGCCAGAATCGGTGCAGTCAGAAATAGAGTACCGAGGTGCGGACCCGTGAAGACTAGGACCGTCAGAAATGGAGGGAGGCTGGGCAGTCGACCTCGCTGAACAGGGTGCGCTGGAGGCAGTCCGCGAGCCATTATGACGAACCAATACTAGTGGTGTCTTTTTGAGCTTATAGAGTGCTGGCTACAGTTAGCTACAGACACCCAACTTTTCGCGTGTTTTTGATAATCCAGTATTAGTAGGAATTATAACTGCCGGCTGTTGTCAAGTCGACCCCCTGGTAGATATCTCCACCTTGAATATGTCTCTCTCTTGCTCGTAAGGTGCCCTTCTCAGCCTGGTGCCCGTGTTGGTGTGAAAGGCTGCCTGTAAACTTAGCTAATGCTTTCCAAAAACATATGAGCGGCCTGGCCGGCATTCGCGTCTTCCACGCTTTGCTCGGCGTGCTTCCGGGATGGTCTTTCAATTCTTCGGCCGTGCTTGACAATAACAGGGGTTATCATTACGAGCTATGCACTGTCTAGCGAGGAACCTCAACCAAGATTCGAGGCAGAACGCGCGCTTTAGCAGGCGCTGGCACGAGAGCATAGCAGCAATACTGCAAAGATAGACAGAGAGTTAAAGGCTAAGTGTCATCACGGGAAAAATCTATCCTTAATCGAAAATGGAAGTATGCGCATCAGTTAATGATTTTTCAGCTTAGCATTTGATCTACATTCATAATCAGTAAATTGACGACTAGAATTCAGACACTATCCAGTGCATATTCCGCTCTCTATTACGTGCTGGTTGGATTTAGGTTCATAACCTCTTGCTGCGCGGATATTAGCATTAAGCTTGCGTAGCTGAGTTTGGTACTAACGAATTCCAAGCTCCGTGCAACAACACGACGATCATTTCGAGGCCGAGAGCTCGTTCTTAAATCTTTGCTCTGCATTTTACGTAGCAGCCTCTTGTTAGGATGTAGACCAGTCGCGGCCCATGAAGGATGGCTTTCCGGGTTGAGTACAAATGAAATATCCATGCGACGGTCTCGAGTCCAACGTTTGGGATTCAGGCAAAGCGGAGACGCGAGATGTTCCATTGCATTTGTTTGTAGACACGACAAGAGGACTTACTGGGAGCCGAGGAGCTACTCTTATACTCGACGGGTGTAAGACTGCGCACCCGATAAACTTGACGAATGATGAAGGAGCAGTCTACAACCAGACCTCACGTGTAACTGCACCAAGAATGGCTCTTCCAGGCGAACGTATCGCGAGCGCTGTCTCGGGAATGAAAAGAACTTCTAGGCGCCATAGATAGCTGAGTGTGCTTGGGGATGGCAGGACATTTAATATCGGACGTAGCATCCGCTATAGATATGAGCTGAAAAGACCGTTGCAGCAGCTGATGTACCGGTCCCAGCCATGATTCTCGGTCGCCATATATCGATACCCGTCGAAATGGCTCAAGCTATCCAGAGGAGAGAGAGAGTTCTTTCTAGTAGCAATCCACCCTCTTACACATGGTCAATGCATACTTGAGATCCTCTTATCCAGCATCTTTTGTCCATGATCAGGACCAGCTGGCCCAAAGAGGTACTGGACTTGTGCAGCCTCTTTCTACTCGTGCTAACCGTGCTAGTCTGAGCAAGATGAGATGACGGACTTAACTAACCTTTGCGAGTATTTATTCGAATCTGGGTTTACCCTTGGCTGTGTCGATCTGAATCTGCCTTTTCTCGCAAGGTTTCGAAGCTGGACTGTCTTCGAGAATTTTATCCTAGCACGAAAGCACCGAGCTATTGGGCTTATACTCGGCCTTTGCGCCATGGACGATCTGTTGCTCGACTGTGTGAGCCAGTCGGTTTGTACAGCAGATGCGCTTCAAGGCATGTCGCTGTTTAATAAGCCATTGTGGGCAGATTACCATCCCGACTGGCAATTTTATGAGACGGGAGGCTACGACGGGTCTTCTATTTGTGCAAATTGTGTCTTTGAAGGAGCCCAGACGGGACAGTTGGTGTTGTCAACATCGTCGTTAGCTAGCTTTTGAGTAAACGCCAAGATAGCTAGCGTGTACGGCGTCAACGGCGATAAATGGACGCACTTCTGATATAAGTCTTGGTAGGGCGGTCCCGTCTATTTGTTTAGGATCTCGAGAAGAAACACAGCTCCCATGACCTCAGTGAAACAGCACTACACTAACGCCAGTATTGTGCGGAGATCTACAAACCATAGCTGTGGATGCACTGAGGAATCTTTCGCGCCGAGCTCATCTATCTCAAAGTTGCTCCAGGAGGGGTACTCCTTAGAGAACAATAGCGAGGCTCGCGCTTACTGGCGCGATGAGTGCCCCTTGCACAAAGCTCATTTTTTAGATAAGACTCTTCACAGACTTCACAGAACGACCGAGAAATCAGACCAAGTGCAGTATCTGGCTTGCTTCCGTCATATCATCGGCAGCCGTCCATACTTCGTTCAAAAGGGGGAATATGAGCCGTGGCTGGCATTGGTTTGGAAGTGGTGTACGGTCGTTATCGAGGGATTTTCGCACATACCGCATGTGTCTTCATTGCTAATGACTCAAGCTGTTCAAGTTGCCAGCAATATTGAAGGTCCAGTCTTGAAAGCGGCATACTCTCACTTATTGAGCTGGCTTTCGCGATACCGGGGACAGGACGGCTCAATGGGCCCAGAGTACGAGAACCTAGCGACCACAGACATCCATCACCTGGACCCAAAGGTTTTCTTTTTCAGTCACTTGTGTCATTGCACAGGGAGCAGTTTTGCGTCGTCGAAAACCGTGGGGTTCACGCATGCTGGGATGCCATGGCAGATTCGTGTCCTTCTGGGGCTTTCGCTTATCCCTATCAATGAAACAGCACAGTAGTAGACCTTTACTGTAGACATTAGCTCAAGCAGTCACTTCTCCACTCTTATACAACTTTCTTCAGCATAGTTATGTTCGGACTTCTTTTTGGTAAGTATGGCTGGTAGCTGTTCGTATTCGATTGGCTCGTTCTTTCCCTTTTGAGATCTTTTCCTGACGACGACCGAAGTGTTCTTGAATGGACAAGTTGAAGGTTCGCATGGATAAAAGGATGCCAGCTCGCTACAGCTTTGACAAAGGAGAGATTAGACGATTGTTCGTATTAGGTCATCTGATTTAGTGCTAGTCCTTCTCACATCTAGATACCCGCGTGCATGACCTGCCCTTGTCCTTGGCCCGATCTTGCGACCTGTTGGTCGGGTCGTCACACTACGGGCTCCAACTCCTAACGAGGGGTTCGCCGACATACCCGCCCTTTGGGTTTCTAAGACGCCCAATAACCCGACGGAGGCGAGCTCGCAGTCTGATTTTATCAAAGGCCGAATCGCCCGTCATTAGAATAGCTCTCCGAATTCGATTTACGAGGCTGTTGACCAGTTCTCGAAGGGGGCGCAAGGAATCATGTACAAGACGGCATGGACGAAGTCGGAGATCATGATCCTACGAGGGGAGATCGAGGCCCTTAGTAAGCGTCGTAGGTCCAAAAAAAAAAACGAGGAGGGAGCCTGACTCTAGCCGAGGGACAGGACATACAGAACTAGAAGGACGTGGAGGTCCAGATCAAGGAGGAAACGCGACGGAGTAGTGGTCGGAAGTAGAGGACTAAACTGAAGGAACGGTGTTGTGGTATATGTAGCCAGCCCGGACACAACGCCCGCATATGTAAGGTAGATGTGGAAACGTCTTAGGAAGACGATTCCGATTGATTTCAATTGATTTTCTGGCGCTATGATTGACCTTGCTGGGATTGTTGTCGCGTGGTCGTTATGGAGTGTCCAGCTCACGTGTTTGTCCAGCTCACTTGTGGAGTACGTTACTACCGAGACGTACGGCACCTTCACGCACCCAGTTTGTACGTAGATTCTTCTCCATCTTGATGGTAAACAGCATAGGGACTAGTCAGTGGAATCAACTCGCTAGAGGCCTTTTACACGACGTATAGGGTAAAAGAGATTCAATCTGTCATCCACACAAAGTTTGGAGTGCTTGCAAACCGCCGGTCCAGCCAGCAATTGGATTTTGACGCTATATGTGCTATGACCATATCTCTTAAATCACGCACACCAGCCAACTTCTCCTCCCCTCACGGTCGTGCGTCAAGTAGGACATTTCAGCACCTAGTCAATGCGGTGCTCCCGGTATCGCAAAACCTCCGCCGGTCACTTGATCCACCGACCGTTCCCGTGCAGTCTTGGTTCAGACCATCTAGAACACTTGGCTCTCCCGAGTCAACCCGGATCAACATATCCACACAGCCGCGTGTCAGGGTTCCCGTGAAAATACCATTGGTCTCGCTCTCAGCGATAGTGAAAGTATCACCAGCTGTAGTGAGAGAGGTGGGGAACTCATAGGTGCAGCCGTTGCGCTCACCGTTAGCTCTCGCCCAGGTCAATTGGCAGTTCACGCCGTTGTGATCGAAGTTGAAGGTGGCAGAACCACTGGGATCCGTTCCGATGTCGGCTTGCCTAGGCATGCCTGCAGTGAACCCATCACTGTTTAGAGGTCTGATAGTATCTGCTGTGGCCAGTCCGACGGAAATAATGACGCAAGCTAGCTCGAGAATTGCCTTGGTACGCATGATTGGGGCTATGAAAGCACCGTTAGTCACCTTGGCTAAGACTGCAGAGGATAGGAAAGCATGTAGAGGACGGAGTAAGCCTAAGGAAGGAAGCCGCACCTTTTGATAAGAGAAGTTGGCGCGGGGCAGATACTAAGACGGTAAATAAAGAATGGTGGGATCTATCAGAGGCTAGCAAATATTACTAAAGTAGAGTTTGTTATGAAAAGTGGAGGGAGAAGGGAAGTGAAACGCCGGCCCACCTCGTGAAGACTCAGACCTTGAGCGAAGATTGAAGTGCCGGATGTCTCTGAAGGAGTGAAGAAAGACGAAGGCTCAGAGATAAGTCGCATATTTATATATATGGCGATGGCTAATTGTGTTGAATGCTCCGGTAAACTGACGAAAGTATTCAGTGCCAGAATCCGGGGTCCTGAAACTGAAACTGCTAAGCCAATTCATGAAACCCCTTCTGTGACGCCGAAAGCTCAAAGAAATTGAAGGATGCCTGGCCAAGTAGAACGTATGCAACACTCCCGAGCTCCCCTAAAGCATTGCCAAACGCCCCAAACATCGTTAAACTCGATAGCACTTTGCGTTGGAACAGGTGATCTACAGGGTCCTGTCTCAGCCCCAGGTCTAGGAATCCTTGGCAGAACTTAGCCCGAACCTAAACTCGGCCTACTACCCCAACTTATTCGCGGAACCTTATGCTGGCCGCAAGCTATTCTACATTAAGTTACTCCCCTTGGTACTAACCCTTAACACTCTTGAGCAGCGGGCGGTTGTGGTGCGGCCACTTGGGCCTTAGATATGGACCACCCAGCAGGTCAGGCAAACATGACTCCCGTAGGCCGCAATTCTGCCTGACAGGTTGATACATCTGTTTCGACCCAATGGTGGACGCTAGGTACGGCTTCACTATGTTCCATGGTACTTGGGTATGTCTGCCTCTGTCTACGGCCTGCTATGTCACTTGGGTGCTATCGGGGATGGACGGGCGGGCAGTATGGGCGCGGAGCAAGCAGTTTGTCCAGGTATGGCACGAGATTCAGTCAGAGTGGGATCGTCTCTGTGCCGACGTGGGGGGGCTCCTACAGCGCTCGGACTGGATCCGTTTCTGTCAGTGCTTCTCTGGTGGCCTCGTCCATCTCACCCCAGCTGTGGAGAAGACGCGATTCATATGCGTCCAGAGCCAGCAGGTCAGAGCCGGTCACGGCGGGTTATTCGGAATCAGGTACTCTGCGCCTGGCCTCGCCGACAGTCCGGTTTCCCTTGGTGCGGACAAGGGGAGGAAGGCTATTACGTCAGCCCATTTTGACCGATACTTGCTGTGGGCTAGTGCGACTATAGCGAGGTACGAGTAAAAAAAACGTTGGGTCAGCGAAGGGCTCCACCTATTCCCGGTGATGTAGAGCAGACCCCTGCGCTACAAAACCGGCTCACAACCCCGCCGGGCTGGGTCATCCTATTTCGAGCGATAGCGTCCCTCGGATTCCTGCAGCAGGACGACGCTATTCCTAATACAACCATCATTCCCGTGCTGCCAAGTCACGCCTCAACGTGATGTTCAGTTGGCAGTTGGTCGCTCATACCACCTAAGGTCGGAGATGATGTTCTGCCCTTTATTTCCCACCTTTCTTGTCGATCATTCCTTCATAATTCCGCTTGTACTAGCCGCCGGTTCGTGTTCAATATGGCTTCCACTGATACACCCGCGCCGGTTATAGAGTCGCCCAAGTCGGGTCAATCTCCCAAGTCGGCGACCTCTCCCAAGTCGGCACGGTCTCCCGGTGAGACAACTGCCCCGTTGGTATACATCGACCGCACCGAACCATACTGAGGCTGTTGTAACCCGCTAACAACCCCTCCAGGAAGCCGACACGTTTGACGGCGACTCCGTTCTGGGGGTGGTATGGCACGCGAACGACACGCTGGCTGCTTGATTCTGACTACTTCACTTGCAGACGGACGAAGAGCTCTCCACGGCGTCCCTGAGTTCCAGCCTCCGCGAGTTTCACATGGTCCATGGCCGTGCTTACCACAAGGACGAGAGTGGGTGGCCGAGCAACCGTACCACTGATCGTTGCGACGGACGTGCGCCCCAGACTACTTCCTCCCCAGCGATGAGGTGATTTTGCTATGACGGACAACTAGTTATTGAAATTGACTGACAAACCTCCAGTAAGAGTCAGACCGTCTGGGTAAGTGTGGTCACTGGCCACTTCATGGTCGACCGTCAGCTCATGTGATGGACAGACTTCCAGAATCACCAGCTCCTTCTGACCTTTGACGGTCGCAAGTACTTCTCTCCTAATGCCGAAACAGCAAAGAGGGTTCTTGATGTTGGCACCGGCACCGGCATTTGGGCCATTGACTTTGGTATGCAGCCTTCCGAGCATATGTGCACCTCTTGGACACGTGGAGTTGACATTCTGCAGCGGACGAGCATCCCCACGCCGAGGTACGTTCCTTGTCTGAGTGTAGGCTGAACGGCACTCATAATCTCTAGGTTGTGGGAGTCGACATTGCACCCATCCAGCCTGGCTTGTAAGTATCCTTGTTGAACTTGGCTGGCATGATATGGGGCCTGACCGCAGAGGCAGGGTTCCTCCCAATCTGCGTTTCGAGGTTGACGATGTCGAAAAGCCTTGGACGTGGACACAGCAATTCGACTACATCTTCGTCCGCATGCTTGTCGGCTCCCTGGCGAGCTGGGAGCCATTCTTCAAGCAGGCTTACGAGTGAGCTCCTACATCTCCATCAGTATTGAAACGCAGCCCGCTGACCATACGCCAAAGTACCCTCGAGCCTGGGGGCTGGATCGAGCTCCAGGACCCCGGTACCCCCTCTGTCTCTGATGACGGCACCTTGAAGGACAGATCCCCTTTGTGGCAGTATGACAGACGCTTCATCCAGTCTGCTAAGAACCTTGGCCGCCCGATCCATCTCGCTGCCGACCACGACGAGCGCCTCAAGGACGCAGGATTCATCAACATCGAGCGCAAGGTCTTCAAGTGGCCCATCAACACATGGCCCAAGAACCCCAAGCACAAGGAGGTCGGCTTGTGGACTCTGGCCAACATCGAGGGCAATCTCGAGACCATCAGCATGGCCCTGATGACCCGCGGCCTAGGGATAACTAGGGAGGAGGTGGAGGTCTTCCTCGTGGGCGTCAGGAAGGACCTTCGGGACCGCAGGATCCATGCTTACTGGCCGGTGGGAGTGTTCAATATCTGCTCGAATTATTTGGGGAATAAAACTGACATCGTCTACAGCTACGTGACCATCGGCCAGAAGCCGTTGCTGGAGAACTAGACAGCTCAAATTGCATCAAGTCTTGACAGTTGGGATCAATATTACGCGAACATCGCACATACAGATTGGTCTCATCTAGTAGCGCGGGGGCGGTGGGAGCAAGTGTTGATGATTTCGTTTGGCATTCATTACATCAAATGGTAGCATATGCTGCTCAACAGCACTCTTTACTTCAGCACATCAAATTCGCAAGAGGGTGGTGATTTCAGTGTTGGCGGAAGCGCCCATGGCAACGAAGGCTCTGCAGCCGCCGGCCGTAGCTTGGGACTTTCGCTCTGGCCCGGCGCGGTATCGTCCAGGGCGGTCTCCGGACCCGACGCCATCGTTGAGAAGTCCCATCACAGATGACGGAGAATCTCTTAATCCGTGGACGTCGCGTCGAAGAAGGGGTCGTCACGTCGAAGAAGGGTCGTCGCGTTCGTAGCAGGATCATCTAGATCGGCATCCTCAACGGGCTGCCCAGTCCGAGTTGGCCGACGTCCGTCTCGACGACGTCGTCCGAGAGGCCAGAACTCCCTCGTTCTGTCTGTGTTGTACTCGGAGGGCGCTCTGAACCAGGGCCGGGCGGAGGCCTCTCTACGTTCGCCAATGCACCGTCGAGTGGGGTCACTGTTGCCGACCACAGGATATATCGGCACGCTGACCATCCTCCCGAGGCAACACTACGGAACTCAGCATCCTCACGCAGCGACAACGTGCTGGCCATGGACATATGCCTGGCAAAAAGTATCCAGGATGGCACATGGGATGGGTCTGTTATTCGGCCAAGCCCACTGCACTCCCATGACGAAGACTCCTCAGTGATGCCTTACGGGAGGGCTTACTGAGCCAGCAGCCTGGCTTCGGGCAACGCAGGGGCCTCATACAATAAGTAGTGCCACGGCCAGGGCCCTGCTACCGTCAAGAGTCACCAGTTTTAGGGCACGCGTTTAAGGGCGGCACATATCCCACAACGAGCCTCGATGGCGGAGGACAAAGGATGACGGTGATCTACGGTGCAGGACCGCCCTATTCACCAACACAGGATGTTTCACATACCACGCCACAGCTTACGTCAAAGGGTTAGAACGCGACATTCGATATTCGCCGCGCCGTCAGAGGGAAGAGAGCGCCCAATATCATTCTTCGGCAGCTGGCTTCTGGTAGCGCGTCGTATGCTCAGGAGAGATGTGAGAAACTAGATGACTAGTACCACGGAGACGATGAGGGATGAGGGATGGGCTACCAGGAACCTGACTATCAAGCCCATCCAGACACATCCCAGCCTCAGTCTAGGCTTGAGCCTGTATCTTTCTTCACCTCTTGCACAACCTCTAGCACCCTGCGGTTGGCAACATCTCGCTCTTCCAGGTCGAGTGCCCCGTATGCCTCCCGCACCTGTCCAAAGACCTTGGCTTCCCATGCACCGCCGATGTTCACCTGGCCGGCATCGTCCCAGCAAGCTTGCACGGTGGGACCGACGTTCTTGAGCAGTCCTTCTAGACCGCCGGGACCGCCCCCGGCATGGAAGCTCTTGAACGGCCCGGCATATGCCCAGCGCGGCCCCATGCTCGTCTCAAGAATTGTATCGAGCTGCTCAACTGTCACGATGCCCTGGTCCACAAGATGGATTGCCTCGCGAAGCAGCACCCACGCCAGCCGACCCGCCACAAAGCCAGTAATCTCTTTCTGCAGGAGGACAGGCTCACGGCCTCTCCGGCGCAAAAATTCAACCGTACGGTCGATAACAGATTGCGACGTCTGTGGAGACGGTACAATCTCCAAAAGAGGCAGGATATGTGGCGGGTTGAAGGGGTGCACAACGATGAGGCGGGACGGGTCTCTCATATGGGCGTTCTGGCGGGAGGCCGGGATGCCGGAGGTGCTGGTCCAGAACAGGGCGTCTGGCGGAGCATGCTGCTCGACCTCGGACCAGAGGGCAGATTTGAAGGCAAGGTTCTCGGGACCGCATTCTTGGACTATGCCGCTGTCCTTAACGGCGGCTGGCACTGATGAGGCCAGCTTGACCTGTGGGACGCAAGGGTGCAGGCTCTGAGGGAGAAATGCAGGGAGAGACCTGAGAATGTGCGACTCGAGGTCCGGCCGAACATCGACGATGGTGAGGTTTGAAGGAGTCTTCAGATACGTGAGATGTAAAGCGGCAAGAGAGAGCCCGATGGTACCGGCACCAATTATGGTGATCCGCAGATTCGCATCGTCTCCGGTAACATTGACGCTGGCCATTCGAGTATATGTAAGAACTATCCAGCTTCAAAATCAAGACGACTCAAAAAGGTGTGTGAATTCAGTCAGAGCTGTGGGATGGCACGTGAGGGCGGGGAATCGCGTCGCTTTAACACGATTGACACACGCAGTCACGTGATGCGAATGCGCCTTTCTGATGACATGCTGCACGGACCTCATTACCATTCCCTGGGAGGGCCCGTCGATGGTGGCAAGCTCGCGAGTTGAGATGAAGCCCGACTCGGAATCTTGTGTTGGACACGCGCTGAGAGTGTCCAATCTCGAGCGACGCAAGATCTCGCGACCGCAGCATGACGCTATGTTGTCGTCTGTTGGGCTGCTCACAGCCAGGGTGGACCCAGTGTCTCTGTCCGAGGCGATTGAGCTTCTACCCAAGCCGCCAAAGACGCGACCCCACTGAGAACAGGATCGATGTCAAGCTCGGAGCAGTTTGCGCTGGCCGGCTCCATCATGGTTGCTGCAGCCCCTATCCCTACCAACAAAGACATGGATGAAGGCTCAGTCGGCGTACTCGGCGCTCGACGGCTTCCCCCCGGTTTCCTTGACTTCTTGGCCGGTCTCTCTGGTTCTCCTGGCAGCGGCTTCCCCAGTCCCTCAAGCCAATTCCCTATCGGCTTCCCCGGTTTCTCCGGTCCTACCAGCGGTTTCCCTCCGTTCAATATCTCCAATCTCCCCCCCGTCGGCTCTCTCCCCGGCTTCGGTTCTCTCAATATTCCTGACCTCAGTTCTCTCAATATCCCCGGTCTCAGTTCTCTCCCCGGCCTCGGTTCTCTCACCGGCCTTCTCGGTGGCACAGGTAGCCCTCACAGTGGCGGTCAAACTAAGCCCGAGAACGCTGTTCATGGTGATCTTCTTGGCGGCCTTCTTGGGCCTGTTTTAGGTCTTGTTACCGGTCTTCTTGGCGGTCTTGGGCGGTCTTCTTTGACCTCGCCGCTCAGCGCTGTAATGGTTACCATATCAACGTTCGAGGCGGCACGCTTATGTTCTGGGCCATGGCGGTGTGCCCCTTGGAATTGTATATTAGATCCCAGCTCAAAGCTGGGGCGACGACAAGTGTTAGCCGATGTCTTCTTGTCTTTCAACTCGAAGTTTGTTTTGACTCCCGTGGGCCTTGAAGCCGCCTTTCCTCTCTCATCTTGGAGTACGGGCGGCGTTTACACAGTGAATTCTTGGCAGGTGGTCTACCTGCTTCGGTCAATACTTTCTCTTCGCTCATTCTCGCATGCACTTTTCTTTTTTTACGAGAAGGACCATGGATAAAGCTCGCAGACTAGCTTCTGACAGGTCCCAAGGACCGGTCGATAATGACAGCCTGTGGAACTACATCAATGAAGATCCGGACTATCATTCCGAGTATGAACAGCAGCATACAATTACCTCGCTAGAAGTCTGTCAAGACCGAAAGGAGCGTACCCTGTCAATTGATTACAGCTCGTGTTTCTCTCTGCATTGCTGTGCAGATTTCATTACACGTGTTCTGGCTCGTCACAATGCTGCCCCAATCGTACTTGAGCGACCGCTGAAAGTGGGATGCGCGTATTGTGTGTAAAAGCGGTTGAGACTGTACATCGATTTACCTATTCCTACGAAGTCCTTCCATTAGAAGTCATCAGTCGTATGCTTCGTGTCGTGCGAGCGGTCCTCGAACCTGGCCGCGGGCGGTCTGCGCTTTGCCCAATAGCCTGATGCAGGGATGGTTGCTGGTCACTCTAGGCCCCTGGCACGGGCCTGTGTCTTCGGTGTGCATGTGCACCAGCATGAATAAAGCTGCAGGCCACAGCCCGGCCCTGCTGCAAGGCCTGCTTGGGCGGGCAACCCAGGCCAGGGCCTCTGGTGGCGGGCGATGTGCATGCCCTGAGCCAAGTCATGTGCTATTCCTCTCTATCACGTATCAGGGACTGGCTACCAAGTCCAGGTACATTCAAGGGAGTCGTCATGTTGGCCAGGTGAGTTCCTTGGTGGCTTAGTGACGGTATGGATCCTCTCTCGCACACCGCATGTCGACGACGCTCGCATGCACAGGCCTTGGCCGCATTCGTGCCCGACACCAGGAGGCCATGACTCAATTGAATTGTGATGCTCCAGATTGGATCGCGGCGGCTTTTCTGGTCTGCATGAGCTGCACCTCCGGGAAAGGTTGTATAATGGCTCTGCACCATAAGTGAGGATGTACCCAGGCGAGAGTGTGCTGCCATGCTGAAAGCGTACAAGAACACACACCAACAACGCGCCAGCCTCGAAATCCAGAGTCTGGGCCTTAGCACGCTGTCTCAAAAAGACGTTTGCGAGCCAAACACGGCGGGAGTCTGAGCACACCGGAGACACCAGCTGACCTAGACACAACAGGTTCGCGCGTGTGGGAACTGCACTTTGCAGGCGGTCCGGCGCACTGGTCCATGCGCTCCACATCGCGATGGAAGCCTGTAAGACGTGTAAGCTGTCTCTCGCGCCGACAGCACAGAATGCTAGCCAGCAGAAGAAGAAAGGAAGAAACAAGGCTGCAATTGCTCGGTGGGACACAAGCAGCACCAAGTGCTCTTGCCCCCTCGCAGAATGCCCCAGTGATGTTCAACCCCGCACCATTTCCAGCTCACGCGATGTGCCTTGCAACCAGTCCCACAAAAACGACAATGAAAAGTGGGACATGATGTCAAGAGTCCTCTGTCGCTGAGTGTCATTATCATGGGGAGTTTATGGTGTAGTCAGTCTGGAAGTTCGCATGGCGTGCTTTTTACCATCCTTCAGCTGGCGAAAGCTTTGAAAATTTATAGAAATCAAGGTAGACGGGCTCGCGACGGGGCTTCTCGAGTCGTTCCCTGGCTCTGCACGCATGGATGACTAAGCGAGCCGCGAGACCCACAACAAAGACCATGATCCCGACAACAATGGTGCCCAGAAAAATCATGAATCAACGTCCCGCTGTCTGACAAGGACGGTCGCTCCGGAGAATGCTGCAATCACCGTCGTCCCAGGCTAAATATGCATATGATCAACAGACAGTTCTTCTATCAGATACTGGGTGTCACGCATCAGAGCCTCAGCGCGTGCACGCGGCTTCATGAGGCAACAAACCATGATGGCACCTCAAATCCCCAACCATACCTAAATGTCTCCAAGTACGTCGTCTAGCATCGCGTAAGGCTGAAAGAAAGACGCAGGCAGCTCTCTCAACTGCTCATTTCTCTAGTAAATCTAACATAACGACACCTTGTTCTGAAAACAGGCATACTCTGGGCACTCCAGAGACACACAGCCACAAACATTCTTCAAGGATCGACTTGTGACAACGATAATGATGATAGATACTCCCTGCATATGGCGCCTAGTTTTAGACTCGTGAGCTCCCATGAACGGCACCTTGCAGAATGCGCTGGATCTGCTTCAGCGCCGCGGCTTGCTGGTTGGGATACTCTCCAAATTCCTCGAGTAGTGTTTCTGGTTTGATGTCCGCCAGGATCTCCGCGAGCCGGTCCTTGTGAGCCTTGAAGAATTTTGCGAGCGCCTTGATACCGTCGTGGTTCATCAGCGCGCGCAAGGGTACGTGCTGTTCCTCGGTCTCGCATCGCGCCCACCAAATGGCCGCTATGATGCCGTGCTCGGAACGCGATATGCCGCGCACGAAGACAAACCACTTGACCAGGCCGTCGGCTAGGTCGATCAGCCTCGCGGTATGCTCGGGAATGGTGTTGAATCTGGTGAGGACACCCCGGCCGCGGGTCCGCGAGCTGGGCGGCTGGTCCACCCGCTCGATCCACTCGACTCGCTTCTAGCGGCCGCTGACTGTGAGACCGCTGGCGTCGTAGGCCGCTACCATGCGCTTGGTGCCGCATGGCTCCGTCAAAGCTGGTTTCTCCATGTCGCGATGCTGGACATGTCGACGCTGGAGCTCGCTGGCAATCTGGCCGAAGTGGCCGAGGATCATGCCGTCTGTCCAGAATACATGCGAGGACAGGTGCGCACCGAAGCCCTCCGGCAGTCCATGTTGAGAACGGAGATCGACGGTCTCGTTGTAGTTGAGCCCGCCGGTGGCCTCGTTGAATGTGCATGTAGCAACCTCCAGGCGGAACGATGGCAGGTTTATGAGGTGCTTGACCTCGTCCATCTTGATATCAACGGTCTCGTCAGGCGTGTTCGTGACCACGCGCTGGATCGCATTCAGTCCTTGTGTGAGCAGCGCGTTGGTTGAACTCGCGTCGAAGTTGCCGGCCGAATCGAAATACTCGGCCATATCGATGCGGACCACGAATTGCTTGAGCCGTACGGCGTGCGCGAGCAGCGCCAGGATGTGGTTGTGCTGCTCGCTGATAGAATTCAACGCTGCCTGGTTACTGACGCCTGTGAGCATCGCCTCGAGCTCCTGAGTATCCGGCAGGCAGCTCAGTTGGACAACCAGATGGCCGATTGTCGAGAGCGCGCCGGGGCTGTGAGAGGCCAGAAAGGCGAAGAGCTCATGAAAGTCCAAGAACTTGTGCCGCACTACGCTTAGCGGGCCACCCCCTGTAAGCAGGTTGCACAGGAACTTGGAGTTGTGTATGGTTGCGATTCTCTGGGTATCTGCCTCGTATTGCTCGCCGGCTGACGCTTTCTAAACGTTGCTCGTGCGGCCACCCTGCTGCGAGAGCGAGAGCTCGGGGCCACCGAAAGTGTACTCTCCAATCTGTCGCCTGAGCTTTTAAATTTGTTGCGTGGTCAGTGCTTGCCTTTGTCTGCGACAACGATGAGGGGGGGGAGCAAACCTCGGGCGGCAGGCGGTTGAGAAGGCATGTGTTTCCTGGTCTTGCCATGTCGACGTCTCCGTCATGCTACTCGTTTGGCAGCTCCATTGGCGTTTATCGCGCTGAAGTCTACGCGGCGCAGCTTGGTACTGGTGTCGGCGTTCCTGGTAGGTGAGCTTTTTTGTTGTGGTTGAGGGTCAGTTGTGTGAGCGGACGAGGACGACTGGGGTGGTTGCAATCAGCACGGCTGAATGAGAATGCCTGATGTAAGTAACTGTCCGGGAGTTGCCTCACCATCACCTCACACATTGCTCACCCACAGACTTAATACCTGATGCATCAGTGCTTAGGAAGAGCCATGGGCGGACAGAAAGCTAACGTCCTGCAATCGCACGGGTACTACAGTACACGGCCATTCAAGAGTCCCGAAATCGAGTCGAGGAGGGACTTTTGCCAGTGCTATTCCTGTTTGTGCTATTCGAGTTGATCACAGCTGGCTCAAAATCAGTATCAGCCAAAGACAGCACTACCTCAGGATCCCATGATTTAATCAATGATGATCTTGACCATACCGGCATGCCATAAGCGGGCGGTATTTGAGATGCTTTAACCCAAGCCTCGCAACATGTTCCAACGCCAATAATCTTCGGCGGAGACGGAATCCCCTTCGTGAACCTATGCGCTCCACGAGCGACAGCTATCAGTTCGAGCGCTGCATGCTGCCTCGACAAACAAGCATTGGTTTGAGATCATTCCCCCCTCCCACTCGACGGGGTCGATACTGTATGCAGAATGACGACCTGTGGGCGATCTCTCGCGCTGAATCATTTCCAATGGCATGGACCAGAATTTGTTTGCGCCAGGCTTTCGTCGTCTAACAAACAATGCAACACAACAATCTTTCACAACGACCCTGGCAGAACCAAAGGGTCCACCTGCCATCTCTGCTACCTTTTGTATATTTTCGCAAAAGTTGATGGTGCGGATTTCGTGGATCAGAAAGCACAGCTGAACTAGACTTTCCGCACCATCATGTCTGACACAATCATGGACGGTGAAGACTGGACAAAGGTATCGGAGCGGAAGGAGCGTCGGCGCCTACAAAATCGCTTAGCACAGCGTAAATATCGTTAGTAATCCTTCCGTCTGCTCGATTGACTCCCTTGATTAACCCGCGACCAGGCAAGAAAATCAGGGAGCGTCTCAAACTCTTGGAAAGCAGGGCTGAACCTGCCCAGCAACACAGCAGCAAAAAAGAAGGGACCAAGAGCCCTCAAGGTGCCATGGAAATGGAAGAAGTCCCCGTCCTGGAGAGTGTCCTCGGTGACCAGGAAAGAGGCACGTTGAATCACTCGCCAGTGCACCCTACGAGCGACTTTATACCAAAATACGAGCTTGACACACCTCACTACTATACGCCAATCAATTTGAAGCAGGACTTCATGGCCGGCAGCCCCATATCGCAGGAAATTCAATGCAGCTACGCACGGCATCCCTATTACGATGGCAACATATCGTGCCAATGCTTGCGCCACTTGCTTGCCCATCAAGCTTGATCACCAGTGTAGGATCGATAAGTCTCTCGATAAGCACAAGGACTCACTCTAGTGTTAATCAGGGATCTACCGTGGTGCTGAAAATGATGGCATTCACTTGAGATCTTAGCCAAGGAGTGCTAACGTCGTTCCTCGCGAATGCACGTTCTCAAGAGGCTCTCAAATTAGCCACAATACAATATCAATGCTCCCTGCGCCAAGAATGGGGACTATGGGCATGGCTCGTGATTCACAACCAGGCAGTGATCAAAATTTCGTCCAGCTGTAGCCTATTCAGATCTTGACTGAAACATTTTTGCGTCGCTCCAGGGTGTCGAGCTATAAATATGGATCTGTTTTGTGGACTTTACAAAACAACCTGTGAGGAAAGTTGAAGGAATCCCCGCGCATGCTGCCGACTACTATTTTTCCCTATTAAGGACTAGCGCCCCTCTAGATGGAGTGGTTATGATGCTTTACTAGGTCAAGATAAGAGCTGTTTGTTCAGTTGGTTGGATTGTTTGGATTACATTGATTGTTTGGAATGCATAGAGTGTGAATCTTACGAGAGGCCCCCTCTGCGGCAGTGCTTTGAAAAGACGCTGGACATGTTCCTCACAACGTACCATAAATCTATCATTGACTGCAGCTCCCTTTCGCCGATACAGACAATCCTGGATCAAATCCACCATTTCCCAGCATGGCAGAGCGACATGTCGATGCTTGTCAAGCCCTACCCGCCGAAATCAAAGCCATTTATCGAGCTCTATTCCAAGCATATTTCCAAGAGCAACTATCCCCTCAATTGCAAAGAGCTTTCGAATCGTCTTGTTCAGATACACTGAGAGAATGCCTCCCTGGCCCTCTGTGGGAGAAAATATCGAAGCTGATTCATCCAACATGGCCCGCTGCGATTCGCGAACTAACGCTTGCACGCCAGGACAATATCATAAAAGCTGTGATGCTTCACCTACAAGACTCTCTTTATAATGATATATGCTTTGAAAGCGACAGATGGCTCGCGCATGCTGGCAGTCGGCAATTCTCAGCCAGCCTTATTCAGGATTCCCTCACTATTCTGGCGTCGGAAAGCCTGTGTCATCTTTATTCTTCCCGGGAGCATAAGCGCGAATTCTGGCTCATTGACTGCGCCATAGTGGTCTACAACGATGCCACGAAGGAGTGGCCCTCGGGATACGAAACCCTTCTTCTACAAGCGCCAACAACACAGCCATTGTCGATTGAGGCCGCCAATGGGAATCGCCGCTACATATGGGATCAACTCAGTTATCTCATCTCCCATCATTATAACCAGCTATTATTGTTCTGCGAAGAGACCATTCCACTGGTCGTTCCTGATCTCATCAAGGACAAGTTGGCTTATATCTTGCCGAGATATGAACCGCATATCCATGAAAAACTACGCAAACTTCTGCCAACGACGGACTTGTATATCCCGGCAGGCGCACAAACACTCCCGCTTGGACAACCATTACGTCCTTACAGACAGGGGCAGACCGTGTCGGCTCCTCCACCAGCCTCGTGCACGTAAGACGTAGATGGGACCTCCCAAGTATCATGTGCAGGGTGACCCGATCTTCGCCTGGCCGTAATAGCTATGCCGGGTGCTCGACCAAGCCGCCACTTCCGCCGAGAAGCTCGACGAGCATCAAGAAATCCAACACCTCGATAAGTCGAGTTCGGGTGTCCACGTTGGATGGTGCGTACTGGTGGTAAAGCCGCGCCAACAGTTAATTCAGCCCCTGGAGGTCACCATGCGGCACGGGGTTTTCTGCTGCCTGAACTGGATTCTGAAGGCACACTGCAGTGCTCAAACCTCAAAATCCCAATATGAATCCCAAGCGAAATTGGAATGAGTTCATGCATGGCCGTCTGTATGTATCATTCCAAGGTGCATGAGGATTCCTACGACAGCAAACGAACCGATAGTCCCAGTATCTTTAGCGTAGCGTGCTTGCTTCAAAGTCAAAGCTTCCGACTTGCCATTAATAGCAGCAATCTTTATTTTCGTTATCTGAGGGCGGATGTCAGATGTCATCTCTGCAAGACAAGCGTGGTCGCCCTGTCATCACTAACCAGCCTCCCCATCTACTACACATCTACCTCCAATGTCTCACAATACCACTAGGAGTTATGGCCCTGAGTCCCCGACTCGAGAATCGGGAATGGCCTGGCGTCCGCAAAGTCAGCTCATTATGGTGAAGTAGGCAGGTCTCGTCGAAGGTGCGGGCTCTAGGGTACTACTGTTACATGGCTGCACGAGAGTCGTCCGTATAGTTGAATGACGCGTGTTCTCGTTTGCAACCACTAAACTCTCCGCCCTCCTGCCTGATAACATCAGTGGTGAGTCCTTCATGTAGATTCGTGGACTCCACGGCACTGTCTATGGCATGGCCAGACAAGAGAGTGACCTTCGGGGTTCCGCGTCGAGGGTGGAAGGGGAATAGCTCGTCGATCAGATTTCCCAGTGCTGTTTAAAGTGTTTGTCCGGAGGCAAATGAGTACTAGAAAACATTGATGAGGATACCAAACAGCAAGACGAACAATCAGCGTCTAAGCGTGGGCCAGATGCTTCAACACCGTATGAAGAACCGTGCTCATTCGCCTGCAGAGCAAACTTTCCTAGTTTTGGGCAGGTGTTCTTACGTTATGCCTCTGAATCGCACCCGGCAGCGCTTATGCTATTATGTCACCAAGGAATGACAGTCAAGTGGCGACTAGGCAAAGTTTGCTCGAAAGCACCGTCCCAAATATATAGCTTGGCCCACGGTAGATAGGCTGCTTCAAGGACCTACAATCTCTCATTGCTCTCAACAAGCGGAGCTCGCACATCACAATGTCCCTGCTCGGTCTTCCTCTCGACATTTTAACCTTTCTGCCGGCATATTTCGACAATCTTCGAACACTGATACAGTTACAGGCCACGTGCAGGGCTCTGTACGCTGCTCTCGAACGAATCTCACCCAGAACAATTCTGGCGCTTGCTGTGCGGTCAGATTTCAAGCAGTCAAAGGCATGGGGGAGTCGGCCGTGGGTTCATACCCTCGCTTTGGCGGTTGCAGGTCAGGTCTCTGACTGGGCTGTCGGGGACCTTGCGCGTACAACAAGACTCCAAGGTGCCTTTCAACATGGCTCTCGAGGAATCTTAATGCTCGCCCTGGAAGTGGCAGGGTTGACCCTAGCTGACCTTCGCGACCTGTGTGTCGATGATAGCAGCAGTAACAGCGGCCCCGGGGTATCCAGCCGGCGCATGGCCTGGACATTGAGCCGAATTGTGGCCTTCGTGGCGCAAACTCAAGGCGATCGGCAACACCAGAACTTGCTGCACGAAACAGGGATGGCGGCTGACATGGTCTGCCACATAGCCATATATGGAGAATTATTCAAGTCCAGCAGGAGGGCATGCTTGAATCCGGGCGTGAACCGGCCATGTTACTCAGCTGAAGTAAGGCGCATGTACCTCGCACGGTGGCCGCCATTGTCAGAAGTTATGCCGACCCTAGCCCCTTTTGCTAAACAATTGGGTCAGTCCACAATAAACGCTCGCCCTCAAACAGATATCACTCCAGAGCACGCCACGTCTGCGACGTTAAGGAAAATCTTCCAGCAAGAACTTCTCAATCTGTCAAGTAATAAAGCATGGCAGATGAAGTGGCGAACAGCGCTACACGGTGCTGCTGTCCTCACTACGCAGAGCACCGTGGAGGAGGACCTCTTTTGGACCACAACAATGCAGAGTTGTGGCCTAGCGGGTCTGGATGCCTGGTCAACGCTCCAGTGGCGTGGTATTCCTGGTTTAGATAGTTCGAGAAGCTCAAATTTCGCGAGGGAGCGGCAGATGATTGTTGAGGAGAGTCGACAGTATTTCGCGCTGTGGTCATCTCAGATGAGCAGGGACGAAAACTGGCCCGACTTTTTTGATGATCTTCGGGTTGTTCAAGCAGATCAGCGGCTTGAGTAAGGTGGCAATTTCTGCGATCATAGGACCGAGAAGGAACATGTACGCTCTGTTATTAGCATCTTGCCCATTCTGGTTGAGTAACTCACTATGTTGCCAGAAGACTCCATTGTTTGATGAGCGGGAGGCCTGGCCAGCAAGAGAGGTGCTATATCAGTAGCCAGTGTGACTTGGTGCTTGAAATGCTCGTCTTGCTGACTATTATACAACGCCAACACTAACGCAAACTATAGCCTGACATCCCCGTTAGTCCTTAAGCGGACAAAAATCGTACATGGGACTTAGTTCCAATGCAGATACTACGCATTTCCACGCGCCGCAACAGGGCTCTCTTCTCGAGCGAAGAGCGATCTGTGAGAGAACCACCGAAGCAGTGGGTGGAAATCCCCAAGTTGTCCAGAATATACCCGATACTAATCAGTTTTGACATTTCTGGCCTCCTTCTGGCATGTACTATCAAGTCAAGTCCAAGAAGGCGCTTTAGGGCCGATCACTTGTCGAAGTACTAGGCATAGTGAATCAGTGGTAGAGGAGCCACAGTCACTAAGTTCAGGTGCAGTCTGATCAAGATCTAGTAGTCGATCTGTTTGCTTTATCTGCTCAATGGGAATGGTGTTGCAAAAGTCAAGTGTCTCAGATCTCGTTTTCAATTGCTTCAAACACTTGTACAATCCATATCTCGATCGTAGCGTTCACAACACATGCAGCTATTCTTTTCCGCCATCACCCAAGCGCCGCGCTTCATAGCCTGTCTTTTGGCTTGTGCCCTCTCCTGAGTCCTCTCAATGTCTACGTCCTTGGTCAGCAAATGGATGCTAGCAAAGGTTGCTAGCAAAGGTGAAGAATGTGGTCATACTCAGCTGAGTAGCGAACTGACGGTGTTCGGGACGCACCCAGGGGTAGTTCTTGGCCCTCTCAGGGAATAGGTAGATGAGCCCATATATGTAATTGTACTCGTTCTGCTCACGCACTTTGCAAGCGTGTGCAAGTATGTGCCCGTTGGGGAGGAAGCATACTTTTCGACCACTGGTCCCACCCTGCGGCTTTGGAATGGCCCGGTTCTCGCGATAGTGGACGCCTTGAAGACCTTAAACCCTGCGGTCAAGTTTTTCTTAGGAAATCTCTGCTGGAAAGGCTTGAAGCTCCCGAGGACCCCATTCCAAGATTCCTTGAGGTCAATCTTGTAGTACCGAATACAGTCCTATTCCTCGGAGAGATACTTGACATTGCAGTGAGTTCCCTTGGGCTTTGTCCGTCCTTTCCTCGGGTCATCCCCTGGCGGCGACGGCTGTTGCTGAGGAGACCGGAAAGAGCGTTGGGATTCAGGAACTGTCGTGTACTGCCGAGAGAGAAGTCTGAAGCGCACCAAGGGATTGCCGAGGGCACAAGAGGACTTTTTCCAGCCGCCGGCCATGGTTGAAGCTTCGCGTAAGTGGGTCATCCGGGCCGCTGACATCGCTGAGAGATGGTTCAGGCCATGAAAGGGGCGTGATCAAATTTCGTATTGGTGTTCAGGGAGCACATTTCCTGCACAGTGGGCAAAGGTGACTGCGCTGAGGCTGTTGAGTACCTTGGGCAGTGTCATCTGCGCCGCGTCATTTCTCGAGTTCAACTGAAACTCGGAGGACGTTCCAGGGCATCCGACCATGGTTTGGCTTCGCTTACTGGCCTGTTGATGATTGCAGTGAATTGCCCGAACTTCGTTTGGCAGCTGCATTGAAGACTGTGGTCTGTCCGTCCTGAACGGCCAAGGTCGAGTCCGCTACACGTACGAGGTCGCAGAGGTCAGGCAGAGCTGTTTGTGGAGAAGGTTTGCAATCCTGGGCAGTGAGATCATATGAGACATAACCGCAGGAGCACCAGAGATCAACTCACACACACTCGTGGGGGATGACAGTTTTTTTTGTAGAGATGAGGCACGGTGGAACGGACCAGAGCTTTAAACAATGAAAACCTTCACGGCGAAAAGCTGGCTCACTTGGCCCTTAAGATAACTTCCTCGACACAACACGCTATGGGTTGGTGCTACGGCGTGATCCAAGCTGCAGGGGGCTGGTTGCAAAACAACCCTCCACCTTGCAGCACCCCTTCACTTTATCCAGGAACTCCTTGCACTAATCAGGCGACGTGGCCAATAAAAGCAACAATATGCAAGGCCAACCAACCAGGCACGAAGACGCTCTGCAAGACGACATAGCTTGCTACGCCACAAAACACACAGGGCAAAATTTGAGACTGAACCGGAAGGGTTCTCTTTGTCTCGTGGGAACGTCGCAGAAATCCTGCAGGCGACGCTAGACGCGGCGGCGAGATAACGGATAACCGCTGCACTGTTGACCGGATTCTGGAGCGTGGGCTGTCTCTCAGCGTAGTCATTTATAATGTGTCCCTTGCATTTGCCACAGTCTTCCCATCCCCTCAACAATCCGACGCTGCGCTGAATGGCGAGACGACGTATCCAAGAACCCGATATTCTGGGTGAAAGTTCCATCATCGACCGCACATCTCCAAGCGCCCGGATAAAGCCAAAAGGATGAAAACAGCAGGAGTACTGGTCGGTGATCAGCATCTGTTGTCCTCCAGCACTTGAGAGCACTGCATGTCTTAACACGAGACCAACAGGAGGAATTACGACCGTGCAATTTAGTCCGTTGTGTGGTGAGATCTTCGATTGATTCTCATGTTTAAATCTGGATTGCTACTGACAGAAAGGTGTTTGACGGCCCACGTCCACCTGCAGGGACTCGACGCTGAACCAAGACTCGTAGAGTAAAATAGCGAGACCCCGTATGATCTTTGTGCATACACGTCCTCGTTGCGGCTACTCGATAAAGCTCATCTCTACATGTTCTGCCCTCTAAGTTAGTGTTTTCCCTGGTGTCGAACTACAGGGGTCGCCGCTCCGTAGCACGCGCTCGTTGACATCGAGCCACACTGCGTCGCTGTTGTATAACACTTATCCGCCCCTCCAGCCCGGCTGACACCTTCGCTGTTGCAATTCATCTCTTCAGCGCTGTTCCTCCTTCGTGCTCAGGTGATCGGGCAAAGCCGGAATGTGTGTGCGTGTTGGGGGATCTCTTCCGGTTACACGAGATGTAAGGCGAGCGTCTAAACACGTGAACTGCGATGTCGATAGCCTTGGCTCTGTCGACCTACTTATCTCGTAGTCTGGCAAGTGCCACAAAGACGCTGTTGTGCTACTTCTTTGTGAATATCTAACTCTATCTCATTGTCAAGCCAATGAAACTGCTGGAAGGGCAGCCCATTCTTCCGTGGACACCAGGACTGTCCAGCAGCCAGCCAGGCACTTTCACACCCTTTGCCGTCCCTGCATGATTACGAGCCCCGGTATATCGTACAGGTTCAGAGAGCGGAACAACTTGTGGATATCGACTTATCCATAGTGTGTTGCCCTGATCGTCCAAACGCACACACAAGCAATCAATCAATCAAATCAAACACAACCACGCCTATCTGGCTGACTTCCAATCACAGGGTACTTTCACTGAAACCCACATGGCCACTCTCCAAGCCCAGGATCCCGTCGACCTAGCGCGCAGTGACAGCTCTCTAATCGTCAACCGTCGTCCTCGGCTTCGATTGCGATCACGGTCACCCCGATGATAACTCACGATCCAATAATAGACCATCGACCTTGGTGGCGCATTCCAAGGTCTACAGATTTTATGTGGCAGCATCAGACATACGGAGGCTTATTACTCTCCTCCGCCTTCGGTCGTTTTCCAAAGCCTTCTTAGAGTATCGCCTCACCGTCACGCGCAGATGCAGTTGCCAAGAAGCCAAGTGGTCGCTGCTGCAAGTTTTCTTGGTGGCCGCCTCCGCACTGAGCGAGTGCTAGGTTTAGAGCAACCAGGCTTGATAATGTTCATACTTGATGTCTGGAGCTCTTTTGATGTAAAGGGCACCGGCAGAGTGATGCTTCTCATCAACACCAACGCTCGCGATGCCAGGATCGGTGGTGCGTTCACCGTGCAACGTCCTATCGCGGTTTTCAGGTACAAGAGTGTCATGTGAAGGGCTGTCGACCCGTGCCATCAATGTGCCGGGCCTGATTGAGATGGTTGCCGTGGATGTTCGTGAACACCGCCTCATGGCTAGTGATGCAATCAATTCGCCCGTGTGAGCGAGCTTGATCAAAAGACCGGTGAAGGTGCCGTTGTCGTGAGTCCGTCCGCAGTGCTCTACGTGTTGGCGAGACCATGTTCCTTCTTGCTCGCTGCTGTCGCCGCCTTTAGTCTCGGCGCGTCTCGCCACGTTGCAATGTCTTGGGCAGGAAGTAGGAGTGTTGGGTGGCATGGAGTCCTGTGTTCGGCATGCCGACAGTTCGTATCGACGGACTAACTCTTATCGCTGTTGGCGTCAGACGCTTCATACGCCTCATGGCTGAACACAAATGCTTGGGCACGACCTGGTGCGAGTTGACGTGGTAACACAGCGTGTGCATGTCGTCTCTTCTTGAACTGCCAATTGTGCGATTGCCGGGAGCTATCACGCTGTGCAACAGGGCTGCTGCTCTACTGAAGGCTGAGAGCGCGATCTTGGCATCGACGAGTGGTACACGCGGTTTCACGAGCCGCAGGCTGGGTCGGGCAAGAGCATTGTGGTCGAAAGAGTAGATCTTGGTTGCGGCTAATGGGGGCAGCAGCAGTCCTTCATCGCGCTTCATGATCCTCGACCGTGACCTCTGTCTGCACCGTCCTTAGCAATGCTGACTTTGGCCATCGCTGAGTTTGGCCATGATTTGATGCTGAAGGACTTTCGTAGCTGTGGCTAGGGTCGTCGTCCGCTGCCTTTGGCATGAGTACTGCAAATACAGCCATCGACGAGCATTACCCGTGCGTTCCTGATGTCGTCAATCCCGCTGGTCGTGCTGTCTACCAGGGATAATGGTGCGACTCGTCCGGTGTGTCTGGTTGCGGGTTGCGGGTTTCGGAGACGGTGTGCGGTTCAAGGTGTGCAGCGCATGCCGGCTTGCCGTAGACGTCAGTGTGTCCTCAGCGTCAAGTACTGCCAAAGGCGTGACGGTGCAGGTCAATCGGAATCGCAATCGATGGGCCGGAGCAGTGCCATGGAATGATGTGAGCTTGCGAGCGTGCAGGTGGGAGTTGGACGGGGCAGCCTTCTTCTTGAACTTCATTGATCGTCTAGTGTATTGTTTCTAGAGTTGTATATGCGTGAAATTGACGTCTATGCATCGTGCTCGTCTCATACACCGGGTCATGCCGCCTTGGGTATTTCGTTCTCGCCATAACCTCTCCATCATGGTAAAGCCGAATAAACGCCGAACAACTCTTTCTCCATCCAGTATAGGGCTTTCGAATGCAAATGGATTGCCCGATGTCTAACTTTCTATGCTTGCATGCAAGCGATGCCATGCAATCATCTAGTGTCGCATTTCGTGTCTCATGTGAGGCCTGCAAGACGTTGTGTAGCCGAGAATAGAGTCAGAAGACTCGCCTCTCCATCGGGACATTGTAGGAGAATTGGATTTCATCGGACGAGCCCAGCTCTTCTCTTTGGCAGTCGCGGACGTTTCGCCTTGTTGTCGTTGTGATCAGGGCTGCCTGCATTGGGATCTTCTGAAAGGCTCACGTTCAGAACTTCTGGTAGAATTTCACACCGCCGTTTGGCCGAACGTTTCTCCGGACAGGGCGGGAGCTCGTCTTCATACGTGTCCATGCCGTTTACGTTGAAGTCACCAACCACGTCCCGACCCAGTACATGACCAAGGCGCTCTTTCAAGCCGAGCACCGGCCATACGGGTACTCGGGTGTGCTTGATGTGGATGTCTGCAGGGTTTTTGGGCGCCTTGTTGGGTTCATCGAACATCTCTATGTGTGCAGCGGGCACGACCGCGGAGTAGACGATGAAGCACTCTTCCTCCTCAGAAACTGTGATGACGCGGACTTCGACGTCTCTGGGGATGAAAAGCGTCCTCCGAGACTGTACATCGGCATAGACAGCTTGCTGAGCGAGCGCGATAATGGCAGCAACAAAGTACTGGTCCTCGTCCATGTTGCTGGGCATAAGCTTCTTACAGCGCAAGGCGTGCAGTTGCTCCACGGGCTTGTTGCTTGAGCCGTTCGGCCCCTTCGGTATCTTGGTCCATTTGCGCCGAATGTGTTCGAGATGGCTCCGATTTATATAAACCAGCACGGGATGATCTTGCGTCTACAATCATGAGATCAGTGTCACTGCGCAAGGTTGAAGTATTGGAGCAAGGCACGACTTACAGGACTGCTGAAGCTCGTCGACGACAAGGGCTGGCTGGCGGATCTATCAGAGCACGTGGCAGCCGAGTCGAAAGACGAAGATCCCGAATCCGGGTATTTCCAGATGGCCTGCGCCCTGACAGCCTTCGCATAGCATCGACTTCCAAAGCGAAGGTCGAGATCGGCAGACGTCTTTGGGCAGGACAGATGTGATGGGAACAAGGTCGAGAGGGTTTCTTTGAGAGCGCGCGTCTTTAAGTGAGGCAAGGGTTGTTCCTTTTCCACTGTGAGAAGCGCATGGAGGTTGTGTTGAAGTTTGACAACAGTTGGCGGGATGCGCCGCGATCTGCGCCGCGATCTGCGTGGCGAAGAAGTGTTTGCAGGCATGGGAGTGCGCTGGTCTGGTTGTTGAGAGAAGCTGACGCCCAGCAGCTGTGAATGCAATGGTGTCCAGCAGATAGGGCGGGTAAACAGTGATGTGCCTGGGTGTCGTAGCATCGTAGAGTTGAGGGAGCGTGCCTCAGGAACGGTGTGGTCGCGTCGCATCCTTGCGCGCTTGCTCGGAGGCATATTTGTAGTCATGGTGGATGTCGAGCTGGGAGTGAGGGTGTGGCAGACATTCGTCTTGGGGTCGTGATTTGCAGTCGCCGGGGTTGAAGTTGTTGAGAATCGAGGCTTTGTTATTGTTTGTCGCATTGGGAGCGCTTGGGCTACTATAACCATCGATGCTTGTTAGTCATGCCGATCGAATCGAAACGGACAGGGACGCACGCAAGGGAGCTGGACACATTCGCCAGTCCTGCGGGGCCATGTGCTTCTCTGTGGTGAGATCCGGAAAATTTGAAGATCAAAATTGACAAATAATACGATCGAACAGGACTGTATAGCAATACGCACGGGATTTAGGGAGTGGTGTCATGGCGGCGTACTGCTGCCGGCGTTTACTCACATACCTGCAGTTGAGAATCTGCCCAGGAGGCTCAATGTCGATCAGAGATGACTTCCACTGAGCTATCGTCAATTATGCTTTCGTCCGCAGTGCCAGTTCAGCGTTGCTAGGTTGAGAGGCAGATGTGGAGAAGAAGCGGCTGGAGGCAGGGGTGGTGGTCCCTCGAGTGGCGACAGAATGAGGTGGGAAGAAGGCAATTAAGAAGCAGCGCGCAAAGCGCGTTCCTGCAACCACTTTATGGGCGGCTGGGCCCTCCCTCCCTGCTGTCCAAATGCTGCGTGGCCCCACCTGGCCGCTGGCACGAAACCTTGGAGGCCCGCTGCAAGCACGTCCCGATTTAGTAACGGCCAACACCAACATGTCGCGCGTGCACGTGACCTACACATTGACGGGAGCAACTGGTGGCGCGGACAATTGACAGAACCTGGAAGTACGGAGGTCAGCGTTGCGCTTCCCTGTCAATTGCCTCACCGCGTCGAAGTCAGCGACGTATGAACGATGCCTTGAGACTGCCTACTTCGCTGACTACTGTGGGTGGCTGGAACAGGGCATGAGTAGCATACACCGAGTTGTGCACAGATCCAACGCGCCCACTATCAAACCGCGTGGCACCTCAGCCCTCGGCTCAGCCAAACCCAGCACGAGGCGCCAGGTGCATGCACCACCTCTTTGCGGATGGTTGCTCAAGATGGGTTGTGGCGCTAATCGCCCAGGGTCAATCCCCACATCGACCCTGGCATGAGCTGCACTACTCTGGAAGCCAAACAATTGCACCCACAACCAATCTGGATCCCTGCTCGATAAGCGGCTGGGTAAATGACGCGACCAGCGACGAGCGTAGGAAAGAGACGAGCCTAGCAGGGCAGGGTCATACATCTGCACAGTATTAGCCATGTCAAAGTACGAGTACGATTTGCGCGAACGAAGTCACTACCACGTCCAATGCACATGCCTGCACGTATGTGCATTGTGCAATAGTCCAGTGTGCACGTTGCCTTGCACTGTCTGGCCTCTGCGCCTCCGCGTCTACCAGCGGAGGCATTAGGGATGGCCCATTATTTCCCTGCCAAGTGTCCGTGAGGCATGCAGTCATCCGTCTCCTCGGCCTCACCGGCGCATTTGCAATGGCGAAAGATAACGTCCAATGTGTACATTTGACTGCCCTGCGGTAGCCAATATGCGGCTGCCACATCATGCCGAGCTGTTCCTTCATGGCGCCGTGGCGTACCCCTGAACCAGCAGCGCTGCGTCATGTCGAGACAAGGCAGGCTGACCCGCGATCGTCAGCCCGTCTGAGGTCGTCCACTGAATTTGTAGCACAGCGTCTGGATGTTGTGAGTATCAGCAGAGCCACTTGTCGGATTGTCATGCTAGACACACTCGGCATAAGAAGTCGCAAGTAATGTAAGTGTGTATACCGCCATCCATCTCAGCAACACCCATAGTCCGACTACATAGCTAGACGATATCAGACACTCGCCCATGGACAAGTCAATGCAACCTAAGAGAAATACAGAAACACTAGATGGCATCTCTTTGCGATTACCAACTAATCTCCAGACGAACAGGGCCGACTCAGCCCAGACAGCCATCGATCACGCAACAATGTCAAACGCACGGCGCACGAGAAGCAAAATTGTAGTCAAACAGCACAAGGCTGTACATATGTTTCGCGCGTGCCTCGAGGAATTGAAGGTCCCTGAATCCAACACTAAGCATGAAAACGATCTTGGTACACGCATGCTCCAGCAGTCTCCCTGGGTCACGACGGACGCACGATGCACGATGCACCACAGACGTCATGAATGTGGTTCGTGCTGTGAACCCAGTGGCTGGCCGCACGGCGGCATCGCGGAATGCGCAAGGACTCCCCTATGCTTGTCCGGAGGTAAACTAGTCTGGAGGGCAAACGCCGTCTGCTGGCTGCAGAGCCTGAGGATGAAGAAGGGAATGCTTCCACGACTTGGAAAAGTCAGAAAGTGCCACACCCCTTGCAGTCTTGTTTTCTTGCTGGGTATGATTGTGTCGCATCACATGTCTCCTGATTGGACTGTTTAAGTCATCGGGCACTCCACGAAAGGCATCCTCTTATGACGCTACCGCCCTTTCCACAACCCCAATTCCAGGCTTGAGCCATCGTGGGCTGCTATATCTTTGCATTGCCGCGAGGCAGATGTGGCATAGCATTTATCAACTAGACTTGAACGAAACAGTTTTGTGATTGATTGGACACATGCCCACAACGTAGAGTCAAGTTTCAGGCCCAAGTGACGGCCCATGCTGCTCGAGTCGTACTTCTCGCCCCTTTGGAAGTCTTTCGATGCGCAACTGGGCTACGTCTGAGTCAGAGACCAACAGGGAGAGCTGGTTAGCGATACAGACCACCCAAGCGCCCGCTTCTTGAACAATGGCCCATGACTTCACCTGACAATACTCTGGCTTCTGAGAATTCAAATCACAAAGGTGCGATTGGGTTCGCGCGCATAGCGAAGGCCACGCGTTTGGGGTGTGCAGCGGTGAATGCTATCCTTCGGCGTACCACTTGCCAACGTGTCTGCTTTCTTTCCTGTCCCTAGTGACCCTCCATGATGAAACCTCCACCTCGAAGTCACTCAATCCTCCTACCGGCTCGTTGAAACAGTCGAAAAATGGAGTATTGACCGCTGTTCCTCATCGACAGCCCGCTCAGTCATACCTTGGGCGAGACAATCTTCGCAATGGCCACTAACATGATAGCCTTCTTCGCCGAGTTGCATATCAGCGAGAGCCAGGTCTTTGTACAGCGTGACGAGCTCGTCAGAAAGCTCCAAGTACTGTGCTCCAGATCACTTCTCCGAACACCGGCAGGCTCATCAATCGCGCCGACACAGACGTCCACTTGAGCCGTCTGGACCCATTCCTTCCAATCAGTCATTCCTGGGAAACAAAAGGCAGCATTGTGCGCCAACTTCCCATTCAGACCGTATCCGCCCTGTATCGTCTTACCCAGGCGGGCTGCTGGCGCCCCGGGATCTGCGCGTTAGTCAACGGCGACGACGAACAGACACGAGCACGACCTGCATGCTTGCCCGCTTGACAAGCTCTTGTGCTAGCTCTCAAGCAAGACGTCCAACTAGGCGACCGCCTCTTCACTTCGTCGAGCTTGCGCAATCCTTGGCTATCTTGGACGAATCAGAGTGGCAAGGGTTGGCGGAATGGTGCGGATTGGCGTGGCCTGCCCCTGCAGACTACCAGGGATGCTGCTCCGGCAGGCCACGCTCCGACCAGCAACAGCAGCGGGCCCTCGGGGCAAAGGTTCATATTGCTTTACATATTGCTGCACGTCGTGTTGCGTGCCCGCAATGACGGGGGCCTCAATGGGAAGATGCTGTGGCGCAACACAAGTGGGTAACCCAAAATACCTACTCAGCTGAGCAAGATCGTGAAGCAACCCATCGGTGTGGGCCGTCATCGGCCGGAGGTTCATGCCCTTGTTGTTCTTCCTCACCCACCACTTGCCTGGCAGAACGTCTTTCGGGAAGCTGAGGTCAAAGACAGGACGGTTGAAAAATAAGCCCGTGAGGGCAAAGATGAATGATGCTGTGCTTATCAAGTTCCTGTAGTGCCTAGCTGCAATCGTGCTGTTCCATTGATCATTCGAAGCACTACTACAGGACGAGGATCCTTTGCTTGCTTATGGGTGCAAGGAGGCTTTGTTGTTCTGAATGGACCTATTGGATGATACCGCGGGGGTTGCCGGGCTGGGCAACGGGCCGGCAATTTCGACCCTCGGATTGGGTATCACACACTTGATATGTCGAAGAGATCAAGGCTGATGTGCATTGGCATGCGGCAGCAGGCCAACGCACAACAATGAGGTCGATATATTGCTTCACAGACCGAATCAGCCTGCCGCCCTGGCTTCTATTTCGAGACACAATGCATGTGTAGCTTGCGGGCCGCTCAGTCGCTTTGCGACTGATTGATCAGCTCGTTCTTATCGCCGAATTGGGATGGGCGCGGATTGGGTGCGCAGTTGCCCACGCCAGATTGATTGTTGTTGACTGAAGATGGCTGAGATAGGTCTTATCGGTGTAATGGCCAGGGGCAGTGGGACCTTCGCACTCCTGGTGTCTTCGGAGGCACCCGCGTAGTGGACCGCCTCCACTGACGTGCAGAAGGTTTTGTGCCGGAAAGGGGCTAGAATGCCCGCCGGAGTGAACTAGAAGCCGTAGTGGGCAATGGTCTTCTGTGATCCAGTGCTGTAGGGCTCCCGCGACAGCCAAGACAAACCTGAGAGGCGTGGCCCTGTCGCTACTGGCGCTACGTCCGAACATGACAGGCAGCTAGACTCGTGTACAGCTCGGAGTCTTGAAGGTTGACAAGAGTCCCATACGGAAAGCTAGGGTGCGTCTGACAAGCTGCAGCTGGATGTGTTTCCCCGTGGACCAACCACGACACCGCTATAGGCCATCCGCCGTAGTCCCTAGCAACAACGCGCTAACACAATTCAGCCCCCCACAGCTTGCAAGGAGCGACGAACTAATCGTTGATTCGAACAGCGTACGCTCGTACCTTTGTGCAGAACAACATAGACGTCTGCTTCTAGACGGAGCACCGGTTGCTGGCTAGGCGGTGATGTAAAGCTCAGAATTTTCGTGCTGCTCGTACAAAATGTACTTCACATACACCAGGTCTGAGCCCGTCTAAGCTCTTCGGCTTCGAGTGCGGTGGCAGGATGCATGATGCAGCTTTGACACTCACAAGGTCTGCGGGAACGGGACCCGGAACGGGAATTCCGATCGACACTAAGTTCAAGGGGTAGGAAATTGGCTTCAGCCGAGTTGGGCGTCAGCATTACATTCTAAGCCACCGGCGTTGACCGGTGCCCTTGGCTGAGACATTGTTGGTGCAGTGTGGGCTGATCCTCAAAAGTTCCTTCCGGCGTGGCATCCCGCCGACTCGTGTCGTCCGGATCAATTAATTCAATCTCCACGGCAGCGAAGTTCACACTGGTATCCCGAATGCAACGCAGGCGCGTGCGCACTCTTTAGCCCGTCGTGTCTGTGCTTGTGGTGAGTCAGGGGCTTAGCCTCTGACCTTCAAGCCTCATCTAGACCAAGAGAATGAGCTCATGGACGGCGGCGTGGACATGCACGCGACAGGGGCTGGTGAATGTGATGACTCTGCTGAACTCAGAAATGAGCAAAACCTGGTGATCCACACCAGCATAACAGTTTTCGGCCACATAATTGAAATAATGATTGGTTTTCCCCCGGCCCTGTGTAGGAGTGTCCTTACGTGCTGCTTTACACAACGTCTGTGCAAGTAGCAGACGAGATAGAGACAGCGCCTAGCTCCTATCGAGGAGCTTTCATCATGACTTGGGATCGGCTACTTTGTACCGTGGAGATGTGGTATATTGTGAGATACTGCTTTATTATGCGAAATACTCCAACTCTACCAAGTTCACGAATCTCGACTAGACGAGTCTCTGCCGTGGAGCTTCAGATTGCATTGGATACACGATAGGGGGCCAGCCAAAAGAGGCGGCATCATCAAGTTACGAGTGCCTCGGCGCTATCGGTTGCCGTTTTTGCGCAGAAAGCAGTCGTTTTGCTCTCTCGCCTGGTCGTTGGAGTGTCACAGCCTTGTGTGCTAGATGTTCTTGCTGCAACGGTAGTTGAGGAACTGAACTCGTCAAGCCGGATGACGTTGACAGGTGGGCCGATATTCAGACACCACGTGCCCCCGAGGAGGCTGTCGATAAGCGGTTTCATCGTCGGAACGCAAGCAGTGACGATAGAGAGGTTACAGCTTATTATCAACCAAGAGAGAGGTAAGACACCCTCCCAAGGAAAATCGCTCCCCTGACCGTTGCATATATGCGACGTGTTGTAAAACAGTGCCGGTGCGGCAGTCAAAGGACACCTGGATATGATGTAGAAGAGATTAGTGGCTTGCAAGAACTCCTATATGGCGACTGTGATTCAGGGTCCACACATACACAATGCGGATGCAGAAGAGCGCGATGACGGTTGCTTTTCCTCGCATACCTGTCCGAACTCTGTACATCATGAGTATAGCGAGGAGACAACACAGCGCGTCGATAATCATACACATCCCCACGGTGTACTGGTAGATCTTAACGGCGGCAGAGCACGCCTGGGCTGATTCCACGAGCCAAGGGGTCGGTAGATGTCGGAGGCCTGTAGCCAGGGAACTCGAGACGAAACTGCTGCCGATAAGTACTCGAAGGGCTCTATTTGCAATGCGAGTCCCCTCGAAGGGGTTGATGGCATCGATGAAGAGACAAATGCAGATCTGGGTAGATGACACCACTGTGATGCTCAACAGGAAGATTGCGTATTGGATCTAGAGTAGAGAACTTCTGTCAGCAGATGGAAAAGAAAGTATCAGAGTGTTGATCGGCGAATTACTCTACGAATCTGATCTATTTTATCGTCGTCGAGGGTGGCGGCATGCTTGCCGAAGCCCAACGACGCAGCAAAGACTGCCAGGCTCGATTGTATGCCTACGGCTAAAAACCCAAAAAAGAGAGCACCATCGTAGTCTTTGGCCGGGAAGAGCTGTTTCGAACATATCAGGCGGCAGCCGAGCGTGGCCGCAGATATCACCATGCTGGACGTCGCCGCGATCGCAAGGATGCCAGTGCTATCTCCAGAGCCCAATTCAAAGAAGGGATCGAAGGTGGATGGCGAGCCCATCATGAAGATTGGGAGCTAGTATTGGGTCCGGAAGCCTGGCGTAGAGGGTTGAAAGGATGATGCGAAATGCGGTAACAGGACAGTCACAAGTCAAAGTGCTTTCTTAACAAATAAAACCACGGACCAATATACCATGGTGGCATCATGACGAGTCGAGTTTTGCTGCTGCGGACACCTCTGCCTCCTTACGCCAAGTTCTAGGGAGATAACCAACTGAGCACAGCAAACGGATCCAATCTTGTCGACCACCCTGCATCATCTATTGATCTTGAATGATTTTGTTGGTGTGGATGGCTGTACTTCAAAGTCATCACGTTTCACACCAGGGAACACTTGTGACTCGAACACCTTCAATAGCACGGCTGTGGCACGAATTTTGACTTTCGGGTGGGCACCAGAGTCCCATAAGCAGGTTGATGGCAGCTGGATGTGGTAGTTTTGCCTCGCCCCACATCAGGCAACTGCCTATTCTCAGCATGAACAACAAGTAATCCTAGCACACCGGCTACTTACTATGGTAGCCATGTACTCCTGGTTTCGCATGGGACTCGGACGACAGCAGGGCTATGGCCGGCAGAGATAACAGGATCCTTGAGGTAATTTCGCAGGGGTCTTTTGCCAACCTTGCACCCTGTCTTTATGCAGTTGGTTCCTTTGAAAAGCTGTACGCATGATTGGACAATCAACCACAGGGCAATGGCGGCGCGCTGTGATTGCCTGGCCGATATCAGCCCGGGGAAGCGTTCCGGAGCCAGGGTTTTCTGCTATGATACTACTGTGTACGTACTTCGGTACTTCGGTACGTACCATGAGGAGGCTGGCGAGATCAAGATTGCATTCCACACGCTCCGCCAAGGGACTTTTTGGTCTGCTCGTCTCGCACAGGGCTCTTTGGTTGCCAAGCTGTGGCATGGTGCCACAGGGGGCACTGCACACCTCATGCTTTGTCATAATTCAGTCACCAAGCGCGAGACGAGGCGGCGAATTGTAGGTCGAATATGGTAGCGCGTCTGGACCCTTCTATAGTAGCAGTCGTCCCCGGACTGTTTCTTTGCACCGATCTTCGTGTCCTGACTTTCCACTCTTGCCTTATCCTTCCGCTTCGCCCTTACGCTTCCACCATTCATCGGCTACCAACAACTGCAACAACATCATCTCTGGCACTCGAAACTGCATAGGGGGACATAATGACAGGCCTAATCGAGTTGAGGAGCCCTCAGCATTATGCAACGTCGCCATCTCAATGTGATGGCGATGCGGCCATCAGCAGGCAAACACGAACCAAGAAGCTCTTCTCATTCCCACAGATTTTCAGCTTTTCGTTCATGTACTTCGTGACCTGGATCATCGTGGGAGTGTAAGTGCTTGTCCTTCTGCGACTCTGTAGCTTTCCCGCCCGCCTTCAGCTAGCTGACGAAGTCGCTTTTCCGCAGTTACCTCTATTTTGGTCTTCTCAATGGTGGAGTTCTGGGACTCATCGTCAACTATCTGATAGTATTTGTGGGTGTTCTCGCGCAAGCAGCGTGCTTCGCCGAGCTTGCGTCCATATTACCCATCGCTGGTGCCCAATACTTTTGGATATATAAGTTTTCAAGTGAGAAGTACCGCAGATTCCTCACTTGGACTCAAGGATACGCGACCTGGCTCGGCTACGTCTTTACTCTAGCCACAGTGCTGAACTCCAACACTCTGATTATTCAAGGGGTGATTCAGATCAACTACCCAAACTTTAAAATCGAGGGATGGACAACCCTGGTCATCGTTTTGGCAACCTTGGCATGCTATACCATCATGAACGTGTGGTTCTTTGACTTTGTTCCTTGGTTAGAGCTCATCGCTGGCATCGTCAACGTCGTCTCATTCATCGTTACCGTCACCGCACTCCTGACGTTATCACCAAGGAACGACCCACAGTTCTTCCTTACCACGAGTAGCAATTCTGGCTACGTGAGCAGTTTTCTCAGTTGGGAGGTCGGCATGCTCGCATGCATGTGGCTCTTCATGGGTGAGAATGATCTCTGTAGAGTCATTGCTGCAATAAACAACTAACTGACCACCACGCCCACAGGTTTCGAAGGCGTTATTCACATGGCTGAAGAGACGAAAGACCCAGAGCGCACCATACCAAAGGCAATGGTCGCTTCCATTGGATTCAACGGACTCCTTGGGTTGGGCATGCTTTTCATTTTGATTGTCAGTACCTCACTCTGTCGTGCTTCATTCTTCTCCAGGGTTGCGGACTGATAGTTCTACTGTAGCTCTGTATGCCACCCATCGAAGACATGCTCGCGGCCCCGAGCCCGTTCATTTACCTCATTGTCACTGCCACAAGAAACCTTCCATTATCGACGGCCATAGGCTCCAGTATTGCTCTAGTTCTTATCTGCGCTGGAATGACCATGTTCTCTTCAGCGAGCCGGCTGACCTGGGCATGGGCAAGAGACCGTGGATGTGAGTAAAAAAGGACCGGCCATTAACACAAGTCACGAGCGTCCCAGGCTAACCTTCTACTGCCAATACCAGTGCCTTCCTATTTCGGTCATGTCGACTCGACGACCAAGATCCCTCGCCGAGCGGTTCTACTCACAAGCTTCATCGTAGGCGTCATGAGCTTGTTGAATCTCCACCCCGAGGCCTATATCGCACTGGGCGCTATCACATCCCTTTCCACGTTATCCATCTACTTCAGCTACGCTTTGGTTCTGGCCGTCGTGCTGCATCGCCGCCTGAAGGGAGATTTCACGCTTGGAGAGTGGAACTTGGGTCGTTGGGGGCTGCTACTAAACATCTTTGCGCTATCCTACACTATCTACACGATGATATGGCTTCCTTTCCCTACAACCCTCCCGGTAACTGCCCAAACGATGAACTACAGTGGTCCTGTTTTTGTCGGAGCCGGCATGATTGTCACCGGGCTGTGGTTTGGCTGGGCCAAGAAAACTGGAGTGCTCCAGATCAGAAACTCATCGTTTCCATCTTAGACCGGGCCAAGACTCCGCGATGAAGACAGCTCGCTCGCTCAAGGTCTGTGTGAGTAGCTCTAAATGGTTTGCGACGACGGGTGGGGTCTTGGGTGCGAACGGTGGTGTTGCTTTTGTCCGCCAAGCCTTTGGCTGGGGGCGTATATAGTCCTCTCTAGACATCAGCTGGGCTTGCAATTTCAGCATCTATTGCTCGCGACGATGAGATGAGGAACCATGGTGACTATGAATAAGCTTATAAGTTGAATTTACTTAAGACTTAACCTGTCAGGAAGACCGCTGGCCTGACCTAGATGGGCAGAACGCGCCTTGATAGTCCTTCTGAGATTTCTTTGCTGGGAAGGTGTTCCACCACAACCAGTAACCCTGAAACCCGACCTGTAATACGGGTGGTTGCGCAAATGAACCTGACTAGTAGCCGCAAACGGTGAACTTCGTGAAAGCCCTCCCTCTCTCACAAGAGCTCCTCTCTCGAGCAAACTCGATTACAGCCTTAGCCTCTAGCCGCGCAGTTCAAGCGTCGCAGGGCCCGATCGTTGGCGATTATAACTCATAGAAAACCCTTTTTGGCACCAGGATATCATCTTGATCTTCACTTGCGGTCTTGGTTGCCAGCGGCACGGTCGAGGACTGCCAAGGACGGCCTGATCTGGAGGCAGCCAGGTACCATGGCCCGGAGTAGCAAGAGATTGGAGTCTCTGGTTAGATACTACTGACATGCGTTATCAGTCTGCCGGTGACCAAGTTGGCCGGGAGTGGTCTTTACCCAGATCAGGAGCTCTTCAACGATCGCCGCGATAATTGAGCTGCGTGGAAAGAGACGATGGAATTTGGCTAATGTTCAGCAACCAGGCTTCGTGTGATTGGGCGCAACCAGACGCAGCATTATGGACGATAAGAAGTGTTATGGGGGCCAAGAGTCCGTGCGAGTGTTTCTTTGGCACTAGGCCTCCCGCGCGCGCGACAATGCAGGTGGGGAAAGCGGTTCCCAGCCGCGTTCGCAGCACGACGCTCCTGGCGCCCCCGGATTGATGCATGTGACCTACCCATGATGATGGTTGTGGGATCGTGGCTAATGGAGTCTTTGAGATGAGCGATGGGCAATTGGAGTCGTCCGATGGGAAGAGGCTGTTGTCAGATCAGGCCGGTTGCACTGGCGAAGGTGGGGCATCCGTGGAAGGACGATGGGGAGAGACACCTGTCTGCCCCGAAGCTGCTCAACCGTAGGTCTGGTGCAAGTCAGGCGACTCACTGACCTGTACGCAGCTTCAAGCCAGACGAAAAGGTAGCTAACTCTGTTTGAGCATTTGACAGAAGCGTTGCAACGTTGTGAGGGGGGCAGGGGAGGTCAGGGAATCTGGAGGGAACCCCACACACTGCGCTGCTCTGAGTACGGTTGTGTGGATCCCGTCACTAACAAACGCCGATCCCGCTCCTCACGCCCGCTACGATGCCCGTTTGCACACCCGTCCTGATGGAGGAGCAGGAGACTGAACAAAAAAAAAATATTCTTTGAGATACCACAACGATGACTCGTAGTCATGAAGAGTGGATGGCGCCTCCGCCAGCAGAGTCCAGGCGAAGCCTAGATTGAAAGACACTCCGATACCTGCTAATATATCCGACAGCGCCAGAACAGTGGAGGCTGGCGGGGGAAGGGCTCCAGGCGGAAGACTATTAATGAGCCGCCACTATGCGTGATGCCAGGCTGCGTCTGTGTCCGGGCTGACGGCGTCGCGTAGCCGAAGCTGAGCAGCTGGTTCCTACTGAACTGTGGCCCGCAAAGACCAGACACATGAGCACCAGGGCGCGAGCGCGACCTGCCTGCTCCCGACCAGGGTGGTCTTCCTAGCCTTGACGAGTTCCAGTTCTGGGGTTGACCACGCCCCTTAGTACTTGCATCAACGCGTAGAGTAGGCTACTCCTTGTCTGGTGTTTGGGAAGGACATGCGAAGCTCACCGCGAGAGCACCTTCGCGTATTGTGGCTCAGAACGGGGTGGGGCGCTTCAAGGAGGAACACTCACGATGAGGCCATAGACAGTCCAATCACAGCGCCGGACTGTCACACGCGCGGCGGTAGTGGGTGGCGGGAGCCAATTGCTGATTGGGCGGCCTGGGGGTTCGAGCTCGACATTCTCGGCTGGTAATTGGTCACCACTCCTGCCCCACTGCGCTGCCTGCATCCACCCGATGAGCGTTCTCCTCGCGCTTGCTGCTCGCAACACGGTTGGGCCTCAGATGACCTTTGCCAAAACAATCGCTCAAGCTCCACGCTGGCGCAAGTGCACACGTGACAATGGGAGGGGTCTGGCCATTCTTTTTTGGTTGCGGCTGTCACTGTAGTTGCGCTGCTTTAAGGGGGCTCGGGACTTTCATCTCGCTGCCGTTGTTGCCCTCCGGGCGGCTGTCCATCCGAGCCATGTGCAATTCTCGGTGTCTCGTGTGGAGTCGAGTGCTGTCCAAATAAGGTTGCAGAGCCTCTGTGCTGCGTTCTGCATGGTTCCTGGACCTGCATGCATGCAGATCTGACAAGGCAAATGCCGAGGACAAATGAAATGCGAAGCCTCGATAGGGTGGAACGGTATAGATAAGCGGATGGCCCGTGCTTTTGCTGCCAACCCCCCGGCGACCGACACTCCAAGATCCGTCAGGAATGCAAAGAACGCCCCGCCCCTGAAGCTTGCGTAGTGCCTGTGTGCTGCCCGTTCCTTAGTGCTTGTCCCTTATTGCCCGTCCGCGGATGGGGGATTCTTGGCCGTAAGCATAAGAATGCAGGCGAGCGAGTAGCGCTGGGGTAAGTAGTGTTTGCGGCTTGCTCAGTCCCCATGTGCTAAATGGTGCCTGGCCAAAGTTGGGGCGCATGTCCTTCTGGTGCCTCTTCGGAAGTCGTGCCGACCTCTGTGCTGAGTGCGTAAGTTATTAGAACATTCCTGCACCCTGGGCTGCCTTAGTGCCTGTAACGACCGGCGCGATTTCATGATGCTCGTTTGGGCGCTCGCGAGCGGCCGTACCGCGTAATTGAATGCTCAGCGTCGCATCCTTTGTTTCTGCACCACCCGCGAGGCTCCGATCTGATGCACTGATCCACGAGCATGGGTTTCGACTACAAGTACTGCTAAGCGCAATGCAGGGGGGCGCCACCAGATAGCAATTTGCCAGAATTATTGTGGATGACACGCTTGCATAAAGGACACCGCAGACCTAGTGAGAGATCATTCCAATCTCCCGGGGCCCACCAGAGCTGATGCCTACCTAGGATATCGTGGCTCACGACTAGGAGAGTCGCAACTGACCTGGTTGGTGGCATGTGATGTTCAACTCATGGGTCATGGTACCTCAGACACTCACTCAGACCTGACTCGGGACCAAGCACGCTGAAATTAATCAATATAGGAGATATGACGGCAAACACGCGGCAAAGTGCCGCAGGCTACTTCCTTTCTCTCAATGAAATTGGCGGTGATCCATCTATCAATATGCTCAAGACTACTGGCCCCGCCTCGATAATGTGGCTGCCGCCGCCTCCCTTCGCTACGCTGCAGCAGTTCCCTGGACACCTGGAAGCCGGTTGGAGTGATTCTATCACAAGTACAGCTAGGTAAAGCCTTGAGCACTGGTCTCAGAGTATAAGCCGTGAATGGTGCCCCTGCAATCGGCTATTTCTAAATGGGACAGTCGCTTATAACGCGCCTGTTGCTAGATTCAAACACAAACCCCTCGTCGCCTCCGGTGCCCATAGTTAGGTTGGAAACGTGAAAACTATCCGCGCCCTTTCAACTGTTGAACGCCCTGGCCACCGCTCCGAGATGACCACGCGGTTGCGGGAGTCTGGAATGCTGTTGTGGCCGAACTGGATTCATCCACATCACCGACCGGCAGGCAGGCTGTATCAGTGGTTGCCGTCGTGCTCGCATACTCTTCCAGCTCTCTAACAAACTTGACAATGCACTGCTTGACAAAGCTGTATGCTTCGCCTTGGGGTTCCTGCTCCGGGGGTATCTCTGCCTTCGTTGACTGGGCAATGAGCTCAGTTTTGGCATACTCTGCAATCTCGTCGAGCTTATCAGGCTCTATCTCGGACAGCGTTTTGTAGATATGATCAGCCTCGCCCGACCGGGCATAGAACATAGACCAGAGAAGCAACTGAACGGCAATGTTGATGTTGGCGGCTCCGGTCGACGTGTGGCGTTGTATTAAACCCGAAAGTTGCTCTGGAGAGACCTCTGTGGGGCTTCGTATGGCCAGGGTCGCTAACTCGATCCTCTTAACGTCATCTGGCCATGCTTTAACTAGTCCACGCATGAGGTGATCGGCAAGTTCGAGATGGAACTCGGGGTCTGGTCTGTATAGGTGACTTTGTCCTCCGCCCATGTTATTGGTTAATCTCAAAGGTGCGGGAGAAGTGGTGGGTAGATGTCGTCGTGCTGGAGGAGTGTGGGAGAATATGGTAGGCGGTAGTCGGAGATGTGTTCCAGCAGTCGAGATGCCCGTGGGGAGGGATTCGGCATGAAGTTGGTTGGGACGGTGATGTACAAGCGGACAACTCTGCAGTTAATATACAGTACGCTAACGTAGGACTCTTGCAGCCTTGGAAGCTACACTCGTCACAGGTCAGCAGTGCAAGCGGCAAAGGAGGGGCCGAGTGGCGCGAAGCCTCGAGATCATGGCTCGGCGCAAAACTGATGGCATGCTGTCGATGAGTGAACTGCTGCGACCTCATTCGTAGATTGGAGGCGGTGCCGTACGCATCTAGCCCCAGCTACGGCTGCACGGGCTCGGAGAGACTCTGTCGCGCCCCCACAAACAAACCGCCCCCACCCGACACTTTGTGGAACCGGCCCCTACCTGGAGAGCGGGCCGGGCTTCGTTCGTTGCGCGATTCCACCGGCTCCAATCAAGTTTGGGACGGGCCCGTGTACGAGTAAACCCCGCCACGACGACAATATTCTTATCGGCACACTTGTGAAGCGCACGCAGTTGAGAAGGGGCTGGCCTCCCGTATCCCCTCATTTCCGGCAATCTCGGGAGGGAGTGGCTACACTGGATGGCGGCGTGGTCACCCATGCATCATCACGGGGCTCCTCTGACACCGCTTGCTTGTCTCTAGCGAGCCAGGCAGAGCCGTTGTTGCGGAAGTACCTCGGGACGACGGCAATGAATGTGGCCGGCACGGCCCCACTCACCGTCCGGCGCACCCCAAACTCGACCCACCGCAAACCCGGGGCCCACAAATCCGCCCCGCTGCCCCCAACACATGTGCCCTCTCTGCCCGACTCCAACGGCCTCTGCTTCGACGTCCCATGCGAGTGCACCACGCCCAGTTGGCTCTCGGACAGCCCCCTCCTGTACTAATGCGTACCGTACTTGGACCAGACAGGCTGCGATGGGTGGCATGCCGAGCCAGGATAGCAGCGGACGGGGGCGAAGCCCGAGTCCGTGAGTGTCTACCCGGCAGCCAACCCTCAGACATGCAGACGCGAGGAGGGCCACGCCATGGGATCATAAGGGTTTCCATTGGCATGCGACACTACGCACCTCTCCTTCTGGAGAGATTCACGACAAGCCAAGGAATATTCCGTCACTCTTCTTCTTATCAGTAACGACCTAGCAGAGCTCCGCGTTTCTAAGGAGCCCGAGCTCATGCCCCGAGGCTCCATGCGCCCCGACCTTGGCTTTGGCCTCATGCTCCTTGGCGGCCGGGTGTGCATGGAACAATAATCCTCGTTCTCTGGGACGGACGACGGCCGGCGGCCCCAGTGCCGAGTGCATCAAGCGGAGGCGGTTGTGGCCGATACGTGGCAGCCCGTTGACGCGGGGTGCGGCACTGCAGGATGTGGATGAATGGATGATGGCCAGGCGCGGCACCTTCAATCCTTGGGCCAGGCCGTCCGAGGCGGGCAAGCCGTGGCTTTATGGTCTCAAGCTCCAGCGGCTAATCCAAGCCGATCGCATGCTGCCCATCATCGAGCTGCCGCATCGCCAAGTCGTGAATTGGAAGTGAAAGCGAGGCACCTATAGGCCTGGCTGGGCTTCTGAAGGGATCTGAAATGAGGCAAAAGACCTGGGTGTGCACGTCAACTACTGGCATCTTTTGAAACGCTGCTCAGGGCTGCGGGTAACGCAGAACCACGCGCCGTGCGCTCGCCGAAGGGGTTCGGAGACTGCACCGGGCCCTTGCCCCATCCTGGCATTTAACTGGCGGAAACAAATCCGCGCACCGAGTGCGAGTCGGGATACATCCTCTGGAGGAGTTCGAGCCCACTGACTTGCATTAGAGAAAGGAGCTTACCAGGAGTAAATACTACTGTCCTGGTAATGTGGGCCGCGTCGGAGCATCGGGAGAGCCGCGTCGAAGTATCGGGAATAATGCGGCCATATCGTCACCTTCCATGTTTACTTCAACGCCACACTCTCACTCCTTCGAGAATAAAGGCCAGAGCCGGGGGTGCTGCCTCTGCTGAATCTTTCGACAGCCGCATTCCAGCTTGTCACCAGATAACTCACGTGCTTCGTGGTCACCGTCAAGCCCGAGTTCGTAGGCACCAGCCGCAACGCCGCCGGCAGTTGCGTGTCCAACTCTGGCATAAGCTTGCAGAAGTGATAGTGGTGCGCCTGGTCTGCAGCGTGTCATACCTTCCGTGCAAACACGCTCCAGGCCTAGTATTCGTACACACTGGACCGTCATTGAGTGGCTCGCTACATTCCCGGCTTATGTTATGCTAAGCCAAAACTGAGTAGCAAGTCACTATTTGGTAATTCATGATGTAGACCATGACCTCATCTCAACTCGTGACGGACGCTAGCTAGGCAGCTGCGACGTAGGATTGTGTACGTGTATCTGGCGCCACATATCTCGGCCTCGTGTATGACAAGCACAAGGCAGACTTCCTGGATCCACCTAGTCTAGCAGAAGTACAGTAGCCGGCAGGGTTTGGGGGCACTTTTCAGGGGGCGTCGATCTTACCCACTCCGCCTCTGCCCCTGATGAGAGGCGGTAAGAAGCAACTCAGTGTTGGTGGCTCTAGAATGATTGTCAGAAAGGCCGGGCAAGGCCTTGTCTCACTGTCCCACGATGAGGCCATTCCTGCGCCGGCGATGGGCTGCCCACAAGGTTGACTTCCTCGAGCCAGTTTCCTCGTGATGGCCGTACCTCAGTCACCGGGCCAGGGTAGAGTTTCTGCCTTGCCGGCCTGACTCAGATACGTGAGCCCACATCGGACTCCTTATCTCTAGCCAAGGTGTTTTCGGCAAAGGGGCTGACGAGGCTAAGATGTGTCAGTGCACAAATAGGCTGCAACTGTCACATGACTCTTCAACAGGCTTGATAAGGTGATTAGAAAGCGAGAGAGCTGTCCCCCCTTCCGCCGGATCTCCAGGCTAGTTCACAAAAACATGGCAAACTCGGCCTTAATCCCCTCACACACCTCCCCAGCCAGCCTCTCCCCGTCTTCCAGCATAGTCGTGACGTCCCCTAACGCACCAGCCTGCCAGACCACACTGATGACCAAATTCCCACTTCTGACACTGACCACGTCGAACACGAGCGGCGCCGAGGTCGGATTTCGCGGCTGCGCGAAAACAATCCACTCCACCTCCACCTCCACCTCCGCCGCCACTGCCGTCGCCATCGCCGCCGTCGTCCCGGCAGCATCAGCAGGCGCAGCAGCAACAGCAGCATGTGAAGGGGCCGACGAGAAAGCAAGCAGGTTGCTGACCTCGTACGAGCAGTCCCTCTTCTGGCCCATCTTCTTGGCCATCCAGCCGCGCACGCTGGGCACCTAGCGCAGCAGGCCGATCGGCTAGTCGGTCAGCGTTGCGGCACGGATGGCGAGCTTCTCCATGGTCGCGGCCGCGGCGGCCCATTCTGCCTCGGTCAGAGGGCCGTCTTGTTTTTGTTCTTCTTCTTGTCGATTTTGTTGTTGAGGTTGTTGCCTGTGGGACTGCCCGAGCGCCGCGCCGACCTGCGCGGCGGGGATGTCGATGATGCGCAGCCGCGTTGGGTTGGCCATGTTGTCGTCAAACACGGGCGGGCCGATCCAGGTCCCTTGCTCGAGCGTGCTTGTCGACGCCCGCACTCCGAGCAGGATGGCGAGCCACTTGGGGAGCAGCACCGCGAAGAGCGGACCGAGAAGGTAGCCCCAGGATATCGGCAGGCGCTTGGGCGTGTCGAAAGGCTCGTCTAGCGTTGTCGTGGGCGGGATCGTGACGTTGGCAGATGAATCTGAGGCGGCCGAGGCATCGCGGACAACCTCGAGAAGGTGCTGGTGGAAGGTAAGCCTGTTTATGCCGTCGCCGAGCATGTGGGAGAATGAAAACTCAATGAAAAGACGCGTCGTCTTCTGTGCAGCCCAAGGGCAAGACAGTCACGCTCCATGGCGGCCGATCTGCAGCATGGGGCTGGTCGACTAGAGGTATCAGCAACTTCTCGATCCTGGTCCTCTCGTCTTCCGTTGTTCCCTTTTCATTGTTGGACGCAATGAATATGTGCTCCCTGAGATCGACACTGGGCACATGCTCGTAGTATGCCTTGTCCGTATGCTTGTTCTTGACCACTCTAGTTAGAAACGGATGCCTCTCAACGACCTGCCTGGTAGCGCCGTAGTAGTGTGTAGGCGATAGTAAATCGCTTGTAGTGCTAGCGTCGTGGCCAAACGTGTACTGTGCCCTTCTTGTTCACGACGTTAGCATCTGGTTTTGTGGTATGTCATACCCGCCTTTACAAACTCTTTTGAGGTAGGAAGAGCCGGTTTGTAGCGGATTTCGGTCGTAAGGCTCCCTGCATGAGCGTGATAGGGGAAAGCGCCCTTGGCGACAAGGTTGATCCTAGCTTCGTGTTCCGACAGTAACGTGTGTAGATTAGAGCGTCACTCTATCCTTACTAACCTAATCCTGTCTGTCTGAATGGGCAGCCCCGGATAGGACGAGATCCACGTTTCCGCCACGGTGGACGGCAAGGTGTCGTCTGGTTATCGTCTAGAGTGGGGTGGCTTCTCACGTCACTAGCATCCGTCTGGCAAGCGTCCTCAATCTCGCATGTTTCTGCCTTGGCGGCAGCTGGAGGGGAAATTGACCCTTGAAATGATGCGTCGGCGTGGGGTTCGACAGCAATGCCCCAGATGAATGACGAGTGCTATCAGACGATCAAAGTTCTTGCGGCCGTGGAGTAAGTGTACAATGTTGCACCTTGGCCGCCAGAACCGAAAGCCCATGCGTGTCCACCAACGAAGTCAACGAATCAGGACAAAGACATGACCGCTACATACTTCCCGCTTGCCATGGTCCGACGCCTCACCCGCATGCAGTGGGGTCTTGAAACATCCGGGGATTTCGCCTACTGCGTCAAAACGTGGTTCCGCCCCTTCATCCAGCAAATCACCACCACTGACAGACCACGATGACGACCCCTAAGGCCGTACCGGGGCATCGCACGAGATTTCGGCGTGGCCGGCGGCTGGCGCAGTTGTGGGACAAGACTGGGGTCTCGACCCGTCTCTGCACGCGACAAAGACTAGGTTCGATCCTATGCGTGCTGGGGGGAAAAGTGCACAGTAGCACGCACCGAGTTGTGCAAAGATCGACGTGCCTACTATCGAACTAATGCGTCATGTTGAACGAGGCGGCTCAAGCCGGGACCGCCAGCTTATTTGATGTTCCCCACTAGTTACCTCGCGTAGCATCTATGCGTTAGCGTTTGTTGTGAGGCCAAGAAGAGCCACATCCCGGGTTGTCCTGCTCGACACACTTGGCATAAAATAAGTCGCAAATTAGTGACCGCAACCCATCGCGGCAATACCCGCAATCCGGACTACATAGCTCGACTATATCAAACTCTCACCCATGGATAAGTCAATGTAGCGGAGAAATGCAGAAACACCAAATTGCATCTCCTCTTGTGATTGCCGACTCATCTTTACGACCAGCATCCCGATTTAGTACACCACAGCCATCGAGAAGCAGCAATGCCAGACAATGGAGTGCGAGAAGCATGTGTGCAGTCAAACACGGAGTGGAGTCTCGCCATGCACACACGTCAAACCCGTGGTCCAGCCACGCCAGGAACGGGACCTGGGCGGCGCGAAGGAGGCACCTCCCCGCCATGGCTCATCACCGTCGTGGCCAGCCAGACTACACCCGTGGCGGCCATGCAATGAACCGTCTTCACAGTCAACTGCACGATCAGAGTTGGCGCCGAAGCTGAACTTCGCTGGCCCCGCGAGCAGTCTGGGCGACGAGAATAAGCAACCCACGCTCCCGCCGAAAGGCCCGTCAGGCCGGCGGTCTGATGATGGCGTCCTTGTCCCCAGGCAATAAATACAACGTGCCATCTGCCTGCTGAGCCCATGCTCCTCGCGTCACTCGCACCGCCTCACTTCGCTCACTGATGTCGTGTTGGCCACAGTTGAAACACGGGGTTCAATTGAGATAATCGAGCCTCTGTCTCGTACCGCGCCGTTGCCGCGCTGTGACCAAGACACAAAAAAGCACGGAAACACTCACAGCAACGACCAGCACACTCCGGGAGCCGTCACGAGAACGAGTGGGAGGGAGGACTACATGTCCCTGCACGCAGAGCACAGCTGAACGATCGCTGTTGGTGCGGGCACTTGTTTGCTGATCCGACTACACACCCAGGCAAGCACGCAAACATGCACACACTTGGGAGCAGCAAGCACAAGCATCCAGCCACTTATACTCGCTTGCCTCCCCAGAGGCCCCTGGCACGCTGTCAGCTTGCATCCCCTCCACGGGAGCCTTAATCACACGATCGTTACAATCATCACTTGAATCACATCTCTGGCTTCCACGAGCGTTCGCTTTCGTTTTGCTGTACTTCATACCATCATAGCCGTCTGGGACCTGCCACCCAGCCAAGCCCGGGAAGAGTTTGCCACCATGTATTTCGAACCCCGCGGCGTCTGCCTGGCGGGCCTGTCCAGCTTCCTCCGTCGGCGGGCACACCTGTATCTGGCTTACGTGGGGGTGTCGATGATCCTGCTGAGCATGTATATCCTCTCCGTTCCGATCGACGGGCTCAATATCGCCAAGATGCTGCCGTCGTCCTCAAACCCGGGCTCGATGCAAGATGGAGACGACGTGGGAGGGCCACAGACTAACGAGATAACGACGCATGTCATCACGGATGGTGGCTCGGGGCCAAGCGGACAGCAGGATGAGATCCTCTTAACAGCAGGAACACAGCCAGATCTCTCGCAGCCACGGGAGCAGGCTGCCAACGCCACACTAGGGGTATGTGCCATGTTGCCCACCTCTTTTGCGATACCTTGTTGTAGCTTGCGCGCCACGGACACGTGATTTTGTAAATTATGCAACCAGCTAACGACAGCTCGCCACAACCAGTTCGAAAACCTCCTCGTCCTCTCCAACCGCCCGTCATGGCGGACACGCGGCGTTCAAGCAGCGGCGAATCTGACGGGGCTGGAGTTCACCATCCCTCCACAGCCGCCCAACTCCAAAGCCACCGTTGAAGCATTCATGTCGATAAGCCCCGAGGGCGAAAAGTCCCGGCCGGCGCTCGGGTCCGCGACGGCGTGGCTTGCACACATCGACCTGCTCAAGCACATCCTCTCGTCTGACCTCGAGACTGCCTTCATCGTCGAGGACGACGTCGACTGGGACGTGCGCATCAAGAACCAGCTGCGGCTCGTCTCAGACAACGTGCGCGCGTTCCGGCGCCGCAAGATCAACCTGACCGACGAGGTCGTGGTCCAGGACAACGACGCCGAAAGTGACCCCAACGACAACACCCCCTATGGAACGGACTGGGACGTCCTGTGGCTCGGACACTGCGGCTCGCTCGGCCACGACGACGACAAGCACCGCCGGCCGCTGCCCTACGAGGACGAGTCCCGCGTGCCCGGCGACAAGTTCACCGGCTGGTCGCGCGATTACTTCCTCGAGGAGACGCCCGAGGGCCACCGCGTGGTCCAGGAGTCCCGCATGACCATCTGCACGTTCGGATATGCCGTCTCGCGCCAGGGCGTGCTCAACGTGCTCGCTCAGGTCATGAAGGGCGGCTACGAGGCCTTTGACGTCGCCCTGCACGCGCACTGCAGCGAGGGCCGGCTCAAGTGCGTCACCGTCTCGCCGGCCGTGTTCCACCATTACGAGCCCAGCGCCGCGCACGGCTACGTCAGCCCCGTCAAAGAGGGCGACGGCAAGGGCAAGGCCAAGAGCGAGAACGAGTTTGAGGGCTTCATGGGCACCACGGCCAACATTGTCGATAGCGCCAGGTGTCATGCCCTGTGGGGGAAATCATGCTTGCCTTGAGAGACCCGTCTTCTCTCTAGGCGGTGTCTGTCTTCTGGAACCATGGGTGTCTTCATGGACTTTCGTTGCATATATATATATGTGTGTGTGTGTGTATTGTATAGCCGCTCCCGTCGGGAAGCTCACCAGGCTGTTCTCGTCAGCGAATTGTCCGAGTTCCCCCCCTTTGACCCAGAAGGTCTCGTCTGCAAGAACCAAAGCAGCACGGCCAGGGAGTGGCTGTGAGGAGGAAGAGGGTCCACCCACTCACATTTCATAAGCTCTGCCCATGCCTCTTCGTACTCGAGGCGAGGTGGTCCGACGAAGTTGATCCCTGGCTTTTGAAGGTTGAGTTCGGCAGTATTACGTTTGAAGGCACCAAGGGTCGTCAACGCGTCGCGTCTCGGTTGACCCGGGGACACAACTGCGAACTCGATTTTGTCAGCGACGGCTTCAGCTTGATGTGCTTTTCTTCAACAAAACTCACCACCAGACCCATCGAACACGGGATAGTAGAGTGGCTCGACCTAATGCAGTGTCACAAACCCGAAGGCAAATAGGTCCACCACAAATAGCAAGAGGGTGAGATTAGTAAGCGAGGACCACTTCAAATCCCGTATCACTTGGATCTCTTCATTCTTCGTCCTCAGCAAACCAACCTCAGCATCAACATCGGCAACGTATACACATGGATTGGTTTCTGATGTTTCACAGTTGCAGGAAGGGCAGGAGAACGCAGATGCGGCATGGGATTGATCGACTAGACTTGAGCGAAACAGGTTTTTGATTGATTGAACACATTGACACAACGTAGAGCCAATTTTCAGGCTGGAGTGACGGCTCCAGCTGCTTAAGTTCCACTCCTCGCCCCTTTTGGAGTCTTTAGATGCGCAACTGAGGTGCGTCTGAGACAGAGGCTAACAGGGAGAGCTGGCTAGCAATACAGACCACCCAAGCGCCCGCTCCTTGAACAATGGCCCATGACTTCACGTGCCGTTCCAATCATTGATCAGCAGACCAGCGTACTGACAACACTCTTGCTTCTGTGAATACGGATCCCAGAGATGCAGTTGGGTTCGCGCCCATAGCGAAGGCCAAGTGTTTAGGGCGTACAGCAGTCAATGCCATCCGTCAGATTGTCTGCGGGGTGCCACTTGCCAGCGGGTCTGCTTTCTTTCCGGTCCCTGGTGACATGCCTGGATGGACTTCCACCTCAAGTTTATTCAGCTGTGCTACAAGCTCGTTGAGTCTGTCGAACGGTGGAATCTTGTCCACTCTTCCTCATCTTCTGCCCGTTAAGTCATATCTTTGATGAGACTATCATCGAAATGGCCACGGACATGGTCACCAACTTCGCCAAGCTGCAGATCCACGAGAGCCAGGCCTTTGTACAGCTGACAAGCTGGTTGGGAAGCCCCAAGTTCTGTGCTTAGAAGTTGCAAACACTGCCGAGACGCCATCCTTGCCCATTGCTCTGACTTTCAGGTGGCTTGCTTGCTTCTCCAGGTCACTTCCCAGAACACTAGCAGGCTCGTCAATCGTGACAACATGGACGTCTCCTTCGAGCCGTTCGGGCTCAGTTGACTTTGGAAAAAGAAAGGCAGATCGTGCGCCAAATTCCCAGTCAGGCTATAGCTGCCCTGAATCCACCCATCGAGACGGGCTACTGGTGCCCTATGATCTGCGCAGCAGCCAACGGCGACGACGAACAGGCGCAAGCACGATCTGCATACTTGCCAGCTTGACAAGCTCTTGTGCTAGCTCTCAAGCAAGGCGTTCGACGAGGCGACTGCCTCTTCACTTCGTCTAGCTTGCGAAATCCTTGGCTATCTTGGACGAATCAAAGAGGCAGGATGGTGTGGAATGGCGCGGCCTGCCCTGGCAGACTATCAGGGTCTGCCGCATCGTGGCATTCATTTGACCTCCTGCTCCCGGATGCTCCCGGCGGGCTACGCTCGCATTAGCAAGAGCAGGGGACCCCGGGGGCAAGCGTTCACGTAACTTTACATATTGCTGCACGTCATGTTGCGTGCCCGCAATGCCGAGGGTCCCAATTGGGAAAATGCTGTGGTGCAACACAAGTGGGTGGGCCGGGTGCTTGAACAGCTGAGCTATTGTCAAGACCGGGGAGCGCATGCCCTGTGTTGTTCTTCCTTAACCGGCGCTTCGCTGGCACAACATTTTCCGGGATGCCGAGATCAAGGACATGATTGAAAAAGCGAGCCTGTGAGGGCAAAGATCGTATGATGTCGTGCTTATCAGTTTATCCTGTAGCGCTTCCACCCTAGTCAAGACAAGCCTAAGCTGAGTGGCGCTGCCATTACAGGCGCTAGGTCGAGTATGGCAGGCAGCTCGACTCGAATACAGCTAGGGACTTGAAGGTTGCCAAGAGCCCGGCTTCATAGCGGCGCGGAAGAAAGGTCAGTGGGGAAGGGCAGTGCTGCTAGATAAAGTACACAGCTTCCTGGGCGGAACGAGGGATTGTTGACGTGAGGCATTAGAGGATTGACAGCGGCCATGCGAATGCCCCTGCGCCACGGAGCTTAAGGACTCGGCTGAGTTGAGTGCGTGGAGGTGAACGACAGGAAAAGCAATGGCGAAGACAGCTGCGCAGAGGAACGACATGGAGCGAGGATGATGCTGGTAGGCGGCGTGGCACCCCTGTGGTTGAAATTAAAGAAGCGACTTGCGCACACGGGGAGCTAGCCTTGGACCAATCACGACACCACCATAATGGGCTGCCCATCCTGTATGTTAGCCGTATGGTCAAGACTCCAATTTCACTCTCCAGCGCTCTGACCACGAACTTGACATCTCTACACTGCGTCCTCTCTGCCACCTTGCCCGGTTATCATTCCAACCACACTCCCGTATGCCTCCAGCACGGTTTCGCTCTTGACTATATATCTGACACAGACACTCTGCAAATATGGGTGCCTCAAAAGCATCTGCCAATGTTCCAGGTGATCCTGCCCAAGTTGCCTCGCCCCCCAAGGACGAACTGACGACAGAGGGCCAGCACGCTGCCAGCCAGCCTGAGCCGCCCACGCCTCCACTCGCCGTACGTGCTTATATTCAATTGGGGGTTGGTACTGAAACAGGAACCACCTTGATCGACTGACAACTTTTCGACCCGTGCTGTAGGAGGTGGAGGAAGAATACGGGAATGACTCCGCCTACGCCGAATCCATCACCAACTCGACAGCCTCGCTTTCCGCCAGCATTCTCGAGTGCCGCACTTTGCATGGCCGTACATACCACAGTGGACGGGGCGAGGGGCAGTCATGGTTCTTACGTCACACCCTTCATCACACGACAATGAGCCTGACTGGGCTCAAGGCACCCAAACGATGATCGGCATGGCGAGGCAATGGATATCCTTTAGGTCACCACCGTGATCGGCGCCGTGGCAAGAGCGTGGTCCGTGGGGAGATTCTCATACTGACCAAGGCTTTGTACCACAGTCACCACAGTTCAACACTGATGCAAGACGGAAAGCTATATCTGGCTGATCTCAGGGACACTGTTGAGGTTCGTCCACTTGATACCCGACATTTCCAATGCGCCTATTGACTCTTGATTGCAGAAAGTACTCGACGTCGGTTGCGGAACAGGTATGTCTCCCCAGCAAGCCTTCATTCAATATTGGCGCATACAACAGCTGACTCATCGACATAGGCATATGGGCAATGTGTGCAACGATACCCTAACATGACTCTACGCGATCCCGAGCTGACATCCTGCTGTGATTTCGCAGAACAACATCCCGAGTCCGAAGTCATCGGCCTGGACATTTCACCGCAACAGCCACACTGGATTCCTGTCAATTTGAAATTCGAGGTAGATGACATCACACAGCCGTGGACCTATGACCCAAACACATTCGACTACATCCACATGCGCTGGCTGGTGGGCTCGATAACAGACTGGACCCTTCTCTACAAAGAGATCTTCACGGCCCTCAAGCCAGGCGGCATCTTCGAACACAAAGAGTCGTCCTGTGACATTCGGAGCGACAACGGCACCGTCGGCCGGGATACTGCGCTTGCGCTGTGGGGTACGGTGTTTTTGGAAGCTGGGGTGAAGGTCAAACGCACGTTTGCTGTAGTCGAGGACGACATTCAAGTGAAAGCGATGGAGGCTGCGGTATTTGTAGATGTCCAGGTCACCAACATGAGGGTGAGTGTGTCGCAGGGTTGCCCTTCGCGTGCGAGCCGCACTGACTTTGTACAGGTGCCGATTGGTGGTTGGCCCTCTGACGAGAAGGATAAGACCATCGGCAAGTATGCCCAGCTGGCTGTCCAGAGAGATGTTGAAGGTAAAACCAGCCTACCCCAAACAGATGGCATGTGCAGTACTGACATGTTGGCAGGCTTCGTGACCTTCATGTGGAGCTCTGTGATGGGTTGGTCTAAGGAGGAGATTGCGGTGTACGCTGCGCACCTACGAGGAGAGCTCAACTCCGGCAAGTTCCACGCTTGGTGCCCCATGAAAGTTGTCATCGGCAGGAAACCTTGAGCGACGAGACTGGGTCGTGGTGGTTTTTCCAAGAGTCACGAATACCTGCCCAGGTTACATAAAACTTCGTGATGCTGCCCTCCACACCCTTGCGGGACCTGGCGATATCATACTCATGCTTTCCCGCTGGTTTCTGTGGGGAGACTACCACGAACACTTGCTCCTTCCCCCCTTTGCATTGCACGGGGCATACTGGCTTTCGCATTGGACACGAGCGGTGGGGTTCGAATATGGCCTGAGATTATTGAGCTACCAAGGATGAACGGCGACTGGCTCATTAATGCACTGTCCCATCCCGACGGCTCTGGTCATCCCGCCGACGAGTACGCAACCTGGGTCAAGGACGAAAATGCACTGTCCAATGCGCTGCAGCATCTCGATGGCGTAAACTGGGAGGATACAGACCTCTGTACCGAAAAGCTCTTCCCGTGCTTCAAGATCTTCAGAGCGGCGATCGACTCCTTCCTCGCCCACATGATGTTCACCAAGGTGCGGAAGTATATTCCCAAGCTGCGCCATCGCCCAGGCCGAGTACACTGCACGCGCAACTTCAAGGCACGCCGACTGTGGGCACTATATGCGACTCGTGCCAGCGGCCCTTGCAATGCTTCCAACGAGGCCTTACCCTCACCATCGCCCCTAACGTAGCAGGATGGATCTAGTGGCGACCGCACGCTGAACCGCATGGTCATTATCAGCCCATATTACCCCCATTATCTGATGGACACGGTCGAGCAATCTCGCGCCGTGGCATTGCACCTTTACGCGCCGTTGTGTAACGAAGGGTTACGCACCTCCAAAGGCACGTCAAGTCATCTCGATCTATGGAAAGATGACCGTATGGCTTGACATTCTTCCATCCCATCCACAATCTGCTCATGCTTGAAGAGTATTGACTTTTCGCAGCCTCCGCCTCCAGCTTGTCACTCGTGCGAACTTTTCTTGCCATGGTTTGGGGCATCTCAACCTGTTATGGACGTTGACATCGTTCCATGGCCTTCGAGCGGCCTCAGAACCAGTTTGGAACTGGCCCAAGGTCTAACAGGCTGTAGTGATGGCCATGGTCTACGAGCAGCGGAGGTCGCCCTTGGACGAACACTCCACCAGCAATCGATTAACCCTTGAACGCTACGTGAAAGACCCTGCTACAGGATTCCATTCCGCGGACAGCTTCAAGTACCTCTCACAATCAAAAGTGTACTTATCCTTTCCCCCCAAGATCGTCCTCATTTGCCGACATTGCTCTTCCAGATATTTCGAGCTCTATCCAGCTCGTCTTCATCCCCGAAACGGAGGCCGTGTTCCCGGCAGAGGATACCCAGGTTGTGGAGACACATGAGTGCTATCGGATGGTTGTCTCCAAGTTGACTGTGCCCATATCCGTTGCTGCTTCTAACAGCTCCAAGGCCTCGTCATATCTACCTTGACCGTTGTAGATCATCGCAAGATTGGATTGAGACACGATCGTGTCCTGATGAAACTTTCCAAGGGCCTCGAGTGTGGCCAAGGACTGCGCGCAATGAAGCTTCAGTTTCCGCATATACATGCTGCACTTGATCCCTAGCAAAGTCGTCGACATAAAACGATCTGAAACTGAGCCAGCTGCGGAGAGCCGAAGACCTGGGATATGGGTCATAGGTACTGTAGTTACCCCCGCGGGGAGCTGGGAGATGATTGGGGACAGGGTTCTAAGCACGAGAAACAAATTGTGCACTTGAGGTGGAATTGGGTCAATCAGCTCTGGCTAGTCACAAGGCAGAACATCAGGAATCGGATTCAGCATGTCGGCAGGGTGCTGGCTAGACATGTGTGACGGAGCTGGACCAGGTCCCCTATGTACTGGGACGCCTGACTGGCCCCGAGATTCTCGGCTGATCTCCGTGCGCTTGTGGAGACAGCCTGTCCCGTAGGAACTGACTCCACAACATCAAGTTGACCTTGTGACAGCAACAGTCTACATAAGACAGGCGAGAGGCCGGGCGAATCTGTTGTCTTGATCTGCCAGTACAAGAGCCCACCAGAACTGAGTTCCCATCAGACGCTCCATCGCCGGTGATGATGGGAAGTGACGGAATGTTGTGATATTCACGATGTTTCCCGTACAACTGAGGAGAAGATGCGTGCGTCTCTGGTACGGCCTTGTGCGGACCTCGCAGATCTGAGGATGCAGGATGCAGAAGCATGAAATGTCTATGGCATGATACCAGATACATTGTGAAGCAACGCACAGCCGTTCAGTAGTGTAGCGATGTCTGACGCAGTGTGGCGATCAATGCACTGCATCCTAAAGCGAAGGCCTATTCCGACGACATGCGCGCAGCAGCGTACAGTAGCGCAGAATATAATCCACGAGCAATGGCCAACGACTGTCAGTGTGGTCGCCGCACGGCGCACTGCGGACTTCTCCAGGTACAGATTCATTGGAGGCGCGGCTCGTGGTAGTCTGTAGCCCGCACTGTGTTGCTGGCTCGTGCCCGAGCTCTGTTGCCGGCCACAGGCTGCGCCGCACTTTCACGAGACAGTTCTTGGCCCGTGTTAACGCGATCCATCAAGAGACCCTGGGACGCAGTCAATCGCCAAAAATGCGTGGTTGATTTTGGATCAGAGTCAATAGTGGCGCCATGCGGGCCAAACACTGGCTCTCTGACTTGCTTATGCCGGGAATGGACTGCCTTGCCAGTACGAACTGGTGCGCGTCGACAGGGACGCAGCCGCGAGGCAATTGGTATGCATCCACATATCCGATGACTGTGTCCAGCTTTGGCTTTGTTGCTGTGTGCTGCGCTGCATTGTGCGCAATGCGTACATGGAGAAAGAGACTGAGAGTAGAGCAGGAAGGAAGAGAGGCACACGGTCACCAGCCCACGAAGGGGGTATAGAGCAGGGCGAGCAAGTGATTGGTAAGGCTGCGTGATGTGCGGAAAATGCAATCCAAGTTCAGGGCGTCCAGTAAACCCTCCCTTGCAGAAACAACTCATATGGTGTCGCTGCAGCATTGCCAAGCACGACGATCAAGTGGGCCGTAGTCGATGTTGGAGAAAACTCCGTAGAGAAGGCAGGCAATAGTCATCCATCCTGAGTTAATCCGACTCATTGAAAGCACTGCATTGTACGGGTTGACTTGTGACCTCATACTGCTCCCTGGTGATGTGATCTGAAGCTACGTGGATTGTGTTGAACTCGTTCACTGATCGTTCAGGTGCTTTGCAGGGCCAGTGTCACGAATACCAGGTATGGGAGCAGCATCTTTCCATGTACTCTGTAGCAGCGCGCCACGGAGATTAGCTTTCCGCAGAGCACTCTCGGATACCACTCTATTGAGCCACCACACACAGTTCCCCCATTGAAGAGAACCCTTTCATCTCCCCGAACAGCGTAAAAACCCATCTGAGAATCCACAACAATGTCCATCATGTCTAACACCATCAGCATCTTCGGCCGCGGCATCCAAGCCCCATCTCGTGCATCCAGAAGATCTGCACCCCGTCGACTATCTTGACGACGGCGTCAAGAGCCAGTTTGGCTCTCCGGACTACCAGCGTCGCCTGGCTAACGGGCCACGTGGCCGAAAATACCGTGATTGGGGGGAACAACTGCTGCGGGTGGCTTCGGTGGTGACTCCGGTGGTGCGACAAAGACGTCGACGACGGCAGTGCCGACCACGACTTTGGGCAGCTCGGGGTCTTCTGGATCCTCCGGGGCAGGAGGCTCGAGCCGTGGATCCGGGAGTACGCACGGCGGTGCCGCGGCCAGTGTATACATCAGCATCACAAAGATGCTTTCTCTAGTTCTCTGCGTCGCTGCGGCTCTCACATTGTAGGCGGAAATGCTGTTCTTTGGTTGAGCGCTGATACCGAGCTTCGTCATCGCCTTGATGGTATGCTGTCTTTACCTAGCTCTGGGAACCAAAGCCATGCGAAAGCTCAGCTCCTTTACTATTCGATTTATCCGCATCATTGATGTTGATGCTTCAGCTTAGCCGTAGATAGTCTTGTTGTGCGATGCCATGCCCACCACCAGCAAGACGCAGCGAGTCGCCCGGGCAAAGGGAAACTCTAGTAACCCGGGCCGCTCATCTTGAGTCGCAAGACGTATCGGATGATGGCATGGGAGGGATCGAACATGACGTATTCGTTGAAGCGCAACTCGCCACCTGAGGATATCTCACCATATGGTGAAGTCGTGTCTGGCTGTTGCACCAAGAATTGATCATGTTAGCTAAGGGTGCCAAAGATATGGATTGCGAGGAACTTGGCCGCATCCGCTTTATATGCCCCCGCCACTCGTCGAGGTCATGCGTCCCGCAACTGATTCTTCACTCCTCGCTGAGCAACCACTCACCATTAGCACTACTCCAGGCTTCGCTGAGGGAGCAGCCTCAATGTCCCACTTCACCCCTTTCCACGCGGCAGGACCATTCTTCCCAAGCCCCTGAATGCAGCGTTGCCGCCCGCAAGTCGCTTCGACGACCTTGTGACCCCGAGGTATGCTATGCTGGCTCAGCAGTCTATTCCTTCCCACATCGGCCTCGCACAGCAGCAGCACCGCCTCTGCGCTCTCCGACTTTGTGGCACGCCCAGCGCCGCCCGAATGGGGTTGATGACCACCAGAAATCGAAGCCCAGTTGGCATTCTCGTGATGTCGGCAGTAACGGGCAGACTTGCTTGACGAGTCGGCGAGGTATATACCGTTGCCGAACATTGTGCCCGTGAAGCTCGCGCCGCGGCGGCGGATCTGCAAGCCCAAGTCCAGGATGCCAAGGAGGGAATCGAGCGGGGTGCCGTGCCAGAGGAGACGGCGGTCTTCTGCGTCTCTGTGGCTGGTTTGCGGATTCGGTGAGGATTCGCTTGTCGATATTGAAGTTGTGTCCGAGGCTGGGGTCTTGCTGTCGATCCATTCTTGGTAGCCGTTGGGTAGCCCTGGCTTGATGAAGACTCGGTAGATGTCCTGAACCTCAAAATACGTGCGGTGCACTGGGTGGTTGGAACCATGCAGGTATTGACAAAGCTCGCGATACTCAAGCGAAGACCGATCTGTCAGGCGTCTGAAGCCATGTCGTAGCGAGCTGTATGCCTGATACAGCGGCTGTGCTAGCATGCCATGTGTGTGCCAGTGCATTGTCGCGCGGCTGCACACGCTGCTCACAGCGCGGGAGATATCTTGTTGCTCTGGCCACAGCGACGAAAGCAGCCGCAGTTCGAGAAGGAGGGCCTGGTAGCTGGATATCACTGGTGTGTAGTATGTTGATGCCCGGCAGTACGGGATTAGGCTTCTGTAGCGTGACGTGAGCCGCAGCACGGTTTTCCATTTGACGGACCCGTCAGTAGCCTCCAGGACATCCCTAATGAGCTCGAGTATCCTGAAGCCCAGAAATATTGTATATTGACTGAGTTCCTGGTATGGCGCGGTATATGACGACCATGAACTCGTCTGTTCCAAATCCTGCGACTGCTTCGACGCCTGCGCGGACGCCCCGTGGAGGATGAGGTCCATCATGGTTCTGACCTCGTCTACGACCGTCAAGTTGAGCCAGGCATAATCTGGCAGCTCAGGTTGGGGGCCTCGATTCGAGGAAACGTAATCAAGCTCGACAAACTCGTACTGCTCAGTGCGCCGCCCGAACTTTTGCTCCGAGTAGCGCTCCTCCCAGATCTTACCCGTGGCCTTCTTGAACAGTGCTTTGAAGCGAGTCGTCACAGGTCTGAGCGAAGGCGAGGACAGTACCTCGCGCTTGCCCGTGCAGATGTGGCCGAGCTGACCAACACACCCATCTCGTACCAAAAGTATGTACCGCTTCAAGACCTTGTTGTAGATAATCTTGGTTGTTTGTCAGTCGAGACAATTTCATTGCTCAGCCTCTTTCTTTGAAGCGGACCGCTTACCTGCTGCCGCCTGAACAGATTCACGTTTCTGGGCACATCTGCTCGCAGCAAGTATGCGTCCCATATTGAGTGCGTCGACTTCTCCACTACAACAATCGATTCAGACCCAGCAGCGGGATCCACCAGGAGCGAGAGCTTCTTGATATGCAGCATCTGCGACATGAAGTAGTCGTTGTGCCTCGCCAGTTGCTGTTTTCGTAGAGTCAGCCGTGCGGGCGGGTATTGCGGTTTTCGGCCACAGAATGCTCCAAACTCGAGCCGTGAATAGTGCCCATACCCAAAATGAGCACTCGATGTCGAAACGGAGTCGATTCCTGATGATATCCGTGGCAGTCGTGCGGTTTGATGAGAAACGGCATCCGATTGGTTTGTGCTTCCTGCGTAGGTCTCATGAGGTGTTGGTGAATAGCCTACAGCTGAAGTTGAGGCTATATCTGGAGTTGGTGGCGGTGTCGGCAGAGACGCGGCTTTCATGATGAGCTTGTTATCCTGCCAGCACCATTCACGCCAGGAAGACTGAAGGATGGGAAGTGAATGGTACGACGAAGACGTGATGTGATAAGGCTCTGTCAGGAGAGTTTTATTGCAGCACTCTGCCTCGACTTGATGCGACACTGCCGGAGCCTTACACGGTTATTCATAAAATCTCATGTGAAATTACGGCGCAGCAAAATTCAGAGGTGGTACTTATCCTCGTAAAGTGAAATGGAATAAGCAGGGGTGAAAAAGCGGTCGGATGGTTACTATAGCCAGGGGTGACAAGCTTCAGCCTCACCAATCGGCGAAGTTGTCTGCCTTGAAGAACCTGATGGGCTAACTGCAGGCTTGGGGCTGAGTTGTGTAAAGAGCGCACCCAGATGAATTCCACACAATCGGATTGTGATGATCGAAGCAATCAGCGGCCTCGGAAAGAATGGTGAAGAGTCAAGTATAAGGTGCGCATGGGAACCATGTTAAATCAATGCGTACATGCGAGCCTTCCCCGAGATGATCGGGTCGCCGATGGATCATGACTCGATAGAACGATGCCTTGAATCTCAAGGAGATAGGATACGCCACATGTATGGGCGGACGACAAGGCAGCAACAAGTCGGGTTGAAAGTCAATGTTTGCGTTGGGTGTGTACTTATCTCTATGGAGATGAATAGGAGATCGGGCCTCTCTAAGCCTGAATTTGGTACCCTCACATGCCCAAAGGGCGATATTTTGGGAGGTCAAGTAAGTTGAGTAATCCAGTGGCTGAAGTTGCGCTCTCGAGCTTCGCAGTGGTCTCTCTTCAATTCTGTTTCTGTTTCTTTCTCCTGTTTCTTTGAACTGGGCTCCGGCGCTGACGAGCTGCTGATCTTCAAGACCGACGGGGTTGTGGCGGTTGCCCGTCCCTGGTGTCACTATCTGGTGTTTCGACAGCAACATGAGCTCAGCCACCCTCACCTTCCTTAGCATCACGCGCCTGACAATCAAGCTCGATGGCACGCCTTTGACCCTGCTGGAGCTTGGCATCAATGGTTTGGCCAAATTTGAGAAGTCCATTGTCTCGGCCCGTATCTGACTCTAGACTTTGAGACCGGCCTCAAGGCGCTCGATCGGACGCTCGCGGGTATCTAGCTAGAGTTGGACAAGATCGGTGGCACCATCGACTTCAACCCGCTGAAGGCCAACGGCAATGTTTTTTCGCCGTAGGTCTCGGCCGCGTTCAATTTTTCGGCTGTGCCCGCGGCCAAGGCCACGATCGGCCTGCCCGTAGCGGTCAATGTCGCCATCCTTGTTGTGGCTGAGTACAAGTCCAATCACGTGGCTGGCTAGGGCGGGCACGAGTGCCCGAACGGCATCCACTTCTGCAGCAACCTTTTCAAAGAGCTCGAAATTAACTTCTTCGACGCCCCCGAGTTTATCGAGGGCACTTCTGTTGGTGCTTCGTATTCTCCACCGGCGGTTGTCCCGAGGGACGCCGTGGCTTTAGTACCAAGGTCAGGCAGACGGTCGACCCCAGCACGTTCTCCTTACAACTTCTTAGTTGACTTCGCACCTGTAGCGAGTTGATGGCGTCTGCGCTATCCAGAACTGCTTCATTAAAGGTGTAGGCGGGAAGCGCATTGATTAGTTTTGGCCTGTAATCGGAATATCTTGCTCGTCGCGTTGCAGAACCTAAGAGACTTCCCACTGGATGAGGCGATTGGCATTACGGTGCCGTCATACAACAACATCATCAGAGTTCAACGTCGGTGGCATCATCACACGGAAGCGTGCCACGCAGTTCGACATTCGCCTAGATGATATTTTACCTAGCTCCGGAGTAAGGAGCCCCCCTGGCTGTTCAGCACCTGCATGGTTGGAATGATTGCTCATATATTGTGCCTCGTCGCTAGTGCTTCTGCTTTCCCTAAACGCGCCGTCGGGGAACAACAAGCACCCGCCTCTCTGACAATGACATGAGCATTCCCTTTCCCAAGGGGCACCCGACGAGAAGGAGAAGCGCCAGGGCAACACCCTCCCAGCCATTCTCCAGGGCACACCGCCACCAACCCTGCGGGAGTCGATCCCGCCACATCCATGATCGCCTTCGCCACCGCGGCGACCAACACATCTGGCGTTAACACCGTCCAGAGCGTCGCTGCCACCGTCCCCATCGCCGATGCCGTGTCTTTGGCCCCTCCGACTACAACCTTTCAGCCTTCAAGGACGTCACGTCCCTCACGCGCGGCGGCAAACCATTCCCCGGCTAGGCCCAGCTTCTCGACCTCTTAGGACAGTCCCGCCTCGCCGCCGCCGACAACGGCAACTTCTACCTCGCCAACAATGCCAACCCGGTCCTCGCTGCCCCTGAAACCAGCTCATACTCTGAAAGCTCCACCACTTACAAGGACGAGCAGTCCCACTTCTTCCACTACTTCCCCGACACCATGAGCACCTACGACGTCTCCCGTCTACGCGTCGCGGGTTTCCTCGACACCCCGCTCACCGCGCACATAGTGACCCTGCTCTCTGTCAAGAACCACCCTCCAGAGCTCCGTGCACGTCGCCGCCGACACCAACGGCGATTACTTCCTGCTGGCCTGGTGAGGTATCCCCCGGCGGGGAGGGGGGAAAGGAGGAGGGGCAAGATCTTCCTGGTCAGGGACTTCACCAATGGACTGGACAAGCTCAAGAGCGCCGATGCCCAGTAGACCGTTGCGGGCATGAAGGCATTAATGTCACCGAGTGTCAGCCGCTGCTGCTAACGAATGGAGTAGGGCCGCTGTCACCTTAGAATTAGAAGCGACAAAAGCATATTTGAGAGCGTGTAGCTTGTAGCTTATCTTCTGGTATCTAGTTCAGCATAGATTCATCTGGATTAAACCCTCACGAGCACCCTGCACCGGTCTTGTGTGATATGTTACGGGCCCCCCCTCCCACAGATACCTCGTTCAATCCCCAACTTTATAGTCAAAGCATCAATTATAAAGTCTCCGCATCGGAAGCGAAGAGCATTATCTCATGTTTGCGTTCTGTGATGAACCCGGTGGAGATTGCCATGAGAGCCTGGTCTCTTCGTAGCGTGAGAGGAATCATGCGTTGTGTAGTTTTGCTACTTGAGGATCATCATCAATCGCGTATAAAGCTGGGAGGCCTGATAAGACCACAGTGGCGGATCTTCTAATGGCGGACTTCAGGGACAAGAGCGACACGCAATACGCGACTGACTCTCTCACGTTGTCAATTCCCTTATCTAGGCTTTCACTAGGTAATCCTCCACCCGTTAGTCTCGCTACAGATAGATAACAAAAGGGAAGGTGGCAGTCATGGGCGCGCAAGTTCCAAACATCTGTGGCTTCTAGGGCGGCACTCGCAGATGAAACAGCGACCCTGGCCGCATGAGAGCCCACTCTGACACCGAAATAATGCCTGCTCGCACAGAGCCCCGCCTGGTCGGTGGGCTCCTCTACACTACGCAGCTGCCCATCACGAATCTGTGAGAGAGCTGAATCCCCAGGGTGTCGCCCGCGTCTCATGGCTGGGCTGGAGGCCCGGGAAGGTGAGCCTCGCCTTCAATAGGCCCCGCAAACCGTCCGGCACAACGGACTCCACGATCCTGTCGATCAAACCCACCGCGGTGCCATCCCGGCCGACCGCCGCCGGACCTCCCTGGAGAGGAGGCAGCACCCTGGCGCGCTGCGTCCCTAAGTGTTATTAGCAGTGCGCCAGTCTTGTGCGACAGGCCGTCCATGCAGGCTGACAAGGGTGACCCCAGCCTCCACATCTCCATTCCGTTCGTGCTGCCGAGTCAACATCAAGCTTACTCAGTTTTCGGAGTCGTTCATGGTTATGCTCGGCAGCCGAACTTCGCACATGGACACTTGACAACAACGAGTTTGAGTGCTGCTGCCCATGCGTCACCTTCAACCGCGAAAACCCCACCTGACACACGTCTCTTCTGAAATGCCCGCAGAAATGAGCTCAAGGCCTCGTGGATGCACTCAGCCGACCATCGCTGTTCCTCACGTTCTCCGTAGTGGCCACATTGGTACGACCTCATCTAGCACATGCATCAGTTCGGTAGCGGAAGGCTACCAACGAAGACGACAAGGTCAAGATTGGCTAAATCCCACATCGGCGCCTGGCGCTGCTCTACGGTCTCAGCGCCTTCACAACCAAGGTGGCCCGGCCCAAGTGCAGTGTCGGCGACTCTTAGTATCTTGCCAAGTGGTAGCACAGAGGCAGCGCTTTGCAACATCACCAACAAGGCCCAACCGGACCAGCGACGAACCCCGCGTCACCAAGGATCTATCCACCCCATTGGAAATTTGTCGCCACCCGTAATAAGCCCGGCTCAACTCCACTAACCAGACGCTGCCACTGACCTAGAGTCTTCACGATGCGACGAAATGAGAATTGGTCTTTGAGCAAGGTCTCATCTTCGACGACCACCCAAATGCGCTAAGCGACGGCGCTCGCGATTCGAATCAGCTTCGTACCGATCAGGTCTGCTTTACGGGCACGATGACGCGGAGGGAACCATGCCCCGCACAAGCTGACGCCGGCTTCGTTGCTTCTTGGTCTGTGCGAGGAATATCCAGCAGGAGGTCATAACTCCCGCGGACGAGTCTGACAGGCACAATGGGTTGCACCCCTCCCAGACATATCAGTTCATGAAGACAGGCGGTCTCACGTACAGCTACTTGACCACTGACAATCGACTTGCTCAAAATATACTGGGAAACTCCCGAATACTTGTTCTTCCACCTGGCGGAGCCACGAGTGGACGCATCGGCGCACCTCTCTCTTGCACGGCCGTCGGCTTTTCCAATTTCGGCAATCGAAGAACCTTCCAATCCTGATTAGGATGAGTGTTCCTGAGCTAGGGGCCGTCTTGGACGGTGTTGGGCTTATGATGCCCGCTGCGCCCCCAATCACGAGAGGTGCCGATTCTGCCGTACACACCTTGTCGGCACGGCTTCAATGAACCCCAATCCCGCCCACCTCGCACCAGCGCCCACGCACTCCGGCACTCCTGCACCTTTTTCTTTCCCACCAACCCAGCCCCGTTTGGACACGGCACCATGGCTTCCCTTCAGCGCTCGACCGTCATCACCGAGTTCGTCCCCGACGCCGCCGCATCAAGCGCACCCGGCGGCGACGACGGCGATGACTCCGACGACCTGGCGCAACGCCCCTCCCCCAGGAAGCTGAAGCGCGCCAACTTGTCGGCGGCTCACTGCCTCGGAGATGTGCAGCGCATGCGCGTTGAGGCCCAACTGCGAGGCACCACCGCCACCTCCCACAATCAGCTCGCCCTCCACGACTCCGTCGCGACTCCGGGACGCGGCCTGAGCGCCGGCAATGCGACCCTCGTCGCGGCTCTGCGCAACACCGTTCAGGGTGCAGTCAACGATGCTGCCCGTGCCGTCAACGAGCGAGTCGGCCGCTTTGAGCATCGACAGCGCCAGCATCATGGCTCCTTGAAGGGCTTGTTCAGCATGATGAACAATGCCACCACGGCTCAGCTCCGGCTCTTCGGCCGCCTCGACAACGTGGAACAGCTCGCCCTTCCCAGTGTCCGATGCTGGCCTCCGACGCATACCACACCCCTTCGCACCGTGACCGCCTTCCCGGTCGCACTCCGTCGAGCCGGCCCCCGAGTCGAGGCGGAGCCATACGACTTTTGGCGAGATTTTGGGTCCTTGCGCTGAAACGGTCACGAGGCATGGTCGCGACTTGGCTGTGGGGACGTCCAGCTATGTTACGACATCGGGACCATTTGTGGAGGTGTTCACTCCAGATTGGACTTTCTCCAGTGCGCACCTAGAATGGTCCATGGTACAGATAGAGTCCATTCCGCAATATTTGGCATTCACCACTAAACTGACAGGTTATGGACACGCGTTCCCTAAGTCGGTAAGCCCACCACACATGAGTTTCCCTGGAGGTGATTTTGTCATGGTGAGGCTTGTGAAACACGATGGCGATCCCATCCTGGGTGAAGCGATAAACTGATCCCGACTCTGGGGTCATTTCGAAATTGACATCGGCAATGCCGGCGACCAAGTCGGTCCACCTATATGTCTGCCTCACTTCCTCGGAAGAACAAAGCAGGGATCTCAGAACCCACGCATTTTTTGTGGTCTAATAACAAGTCGTCTCTTTTGGGCACGCAAGGCCGATGATGTTCGCTGTGCAACTGGCTTCATATTTTGCTTGTCACTGTAACGCTGGTCGAATGAGCCAATCGAGTAGAAGACGCCTGGTCCTGGTCCGTTGTGACCATATCGAACGGCGAAACGAACAGTGCCTCCGTCGGCCGTTGGTCTAGAGGAGCGGCGGCGAGAATCGTCTCGAAATCCGCTCTCTCTTGTGTATCCGCGTATTCCCGGATCATGGTATCATGGATAGTCTAGAAATCGTCATGGCATTTACGAATGCCTTCAACCCTGTCCTCTGCCCTCGGCATCTGCTTCTGTAGCTGTGTCGCGCCTCGTCCCCTCTGCAACACCCTCTCTGCAATTGTTCTCCATGGGCGGGTCTGCGTTTTCCATAATGCCTCGCCGACCCAGTGTTTCTTCTGCAACTGTCCCATGGTAGTTCCAGGCAGGATTATGTATGTCATTCGTTGACAGGAAGCCACCACAGATATGTTTCTGGCCGCCATTTCGAGAGTCAAAGGAACATCCTCTCTTGGCCGATATGCTTCGAGTTCCTGGTCCAAGACTCGTGTAACTGCCAGCAGGTCCATGGCTCGAACCAGGGGGCTGTCTTGTTGGATTTCCTGCCATAGTCGGTGAATCGTTCTGTTGGCGCCTTGCTTGGGATTCCATTTGAGATTGAAGAGGCTGGACAGCTGCTCATTCAGAAACCCCTGAAGCCCGAATTGGAGTGTCGCCAGAACATCGAGTCATGGGTCGGCTGTGGCAACCGCCTCGATGTTCCAGTGCGAATCAACCGGGAGCTGATCTACCAGAAGGGACAGTGTCCTAAAGGCATCGATCCGACACATAGAGTGGCCTCAATAGCCAAGCTGCTCGCCCTCCGGACTGTGGTCCAATCGCTTTGAGACGATCGGCCCACATCTCTGGATCTTGTTGTAGAATCCACAGGTCATCTTCGGCATGTTCTAAGGATGACTATAACAGAATACGGATGAGCTTCATGTTTATCGTGAGCGACGGCTCCGAATAGTAGAGGTTGATAGCATAATCGGAAGGGGGCATTGGTGCGCCTATCATGACCTTCGTCTAAGATCACATATGCTGTCATCATCTGCCGACAAACAATCGCCCTTCGCATCGTCATCAATCAATGGCAAAAGCAGCATCTCGTCACGAAGAGAACCCTCAAACTCTCTGGCTCCGAACCTGGGTGCAAGGCGTGGAGCCTGCGGAACGCAGGAGCGCCGCGAGACGCAAGCACGTCACGAGACGCAAGCGCGCACCCTGCCGCTGTACACTAAGGCCATCAAGACTTCCCCAGCGTGTCATTCCGCAGTGCCGGAGGAACATGTGGTTATTCGGGGTGGAGAACCGCAGCGAGTCGGCAAGGTCGTATGCGCCGGTCGACATTCGGAAGCCCTACGTCCTTTGTCATCTGCACTTTCCCGACCACGAGAAGCCATCGGATTTGGACACGTTGTGACTCCGCCGCGTGGCGCAAGATGACACCTAGACGTCCTTCACATAAATTAGTCACGTGGATAGTGTAAGCCAGCTGTAACCGCATTAATTATTCATCCATGATCGTCGGATCTTCTTGTGCCTCGCGCAAGATTTCCGTCATCAAGGAGTAGAGTTCCAGGTCTTTCTCGTCGTCTTCCTCGCCGTCTTCCCCGTCGTCTTCCTTGCGCAATTTTACGCGCGATTTCCGTCTTCTCCCGTCGGGAAAGACCACCTTTCGCAATTCATTGACGCAGCGTATCAATACTTGATAGTGCTTTGTGAAGTCTTTCTTAACACTGTCAATGAAGTCCTCCTCATCACTGACCAGCCCCTTTTTAAGATGAGCTAGTTCGGTTGGATCCATGTAGTTCCACGTCTCGAACCAATCGTGTATCCTCGGCTCGCCATTTTCGCCATAGTGGACGCATATCCAGAAAAGAACCCAGAAGAATGACTCGAGATCATGTAGGAAAGTGTGTTGTTCTTCCAGAAGCGCACCGATGGCCATGAAAGCTCGCGTACCGGTCATTCCTACCGCCCCCGAAGGACCTACTCGCTGCTTTTTTATGCCGAGGTCCAGGTCGATCAGCAGTCCATTATGCAACACGCCATGATTATCCTCGCGGATCAACAAGTTGTTGATTGAGATGTCTCGGTGGAGCTGCTCAGACTTGCGCCAAAGTGACTCGTGCGCCTTTATGCAGTCTACCATAGCCCCAAGGAACGCTGAGCGAGAGGGCGCTAGGTAGATCGGTATTCCGTAGCCGTACGTGATGACGCGCCGATGAACTCTGTTCGCCAGCGCGGCGCTGACGGACTTGGTGGGCGACCTGGAGTAAGGCCGCTTACTCGGCGGCGGCAGAGCACCTGCTTGGCTGGAGGACCTCTTCGAGCCGGCCGCGCTGCTGTGGCGGCCTGTTCGCGCCGACCCTGACACGCTGGATCCTCGGCGCACATTGTTGAAAACATCATCAGTCTCGCGGCCGACTTGAACAGTGTAATGGTGATAATAGTGAGGCACATTGATCACTCCGCGCTCGGTGGCGTCGCGGAGCAGCTCGCCTTCTTCGTCACGCTCGCAGTGTTGCCACGCATCCTTAATCACGTATGAGCGATCCTCCTCGCCTTCTTTATGAGCTCTCCAGCATGTTGTAGCCCGGCCGACAATACACCGCGCGCGGGATATCACTTTGTCGATAATGAAGCGCTCGACTGTGCCGTTCCGATCGATCTCGATATACCGCTGACCGTCTGCTGTCGTGAATGTTGGATCAAGTCCGAGTCGCTCCTCGTTCATACTGAGGAAGCCGAGGATTACGAGCACGAATCGTTCTCCGTCCTCGTGGATATCGAATGACTTCGACGCGATCCCACCCAGTCGGTCGAAATGCCACACACGCATGAGGGATCCGCATATGGTAAACCCTAAGACAAAGCGACGAGTGTCCTGAGCAGACAGGACTTCTCGTGCATAACGAGCTAGGTCGCGCCCTGTCTTTGACGCGGCATCTGCGGACGGGTTGCTCTTCAGCTCGCCCGGAATCATGATATGAGACCAGGAATAACCCTCATCCTCACTGACAGCCGAGTCTATAAAGCCAAGGTCCAGCTTGCGCTCTCCGGGGGAGCCTTGGATGGCCGTGTTTGGCGTAGCCAGCACCTTCTTGGACGGCGGGAGGGCGGCTGGCGAGAAGCTCGCGAGTTTCTTGGTGACATTAACGAACCAGGACAGTACACCGGCCTGATCAGCAGCCTGGGCCACCCAGTCCAGCCTGTGCCGAAGAGTCCCTCTGTTTCGTCTCTGCATTTCTCGAAGACGGCCTTGGATGCGGCCGCAAGCCCCGGTATGCTTTCGAAAAACGTCTCGAAGAATTGAGGATTGTCGATGTAGAGCGCGCCGAGTTCAGACTTGAGAGCGTCGTCAACGTGCCGACGAGGTTCGGAGGAGTTCGCCAAGTGACTGGTGCTGTATACCCGTGGCGTCTGTTGGGTGGACGAGGCGGTTGGTCGAGGCGGCGGTGTCGCTTCTGAAGTGAGCCCCATAGGTGTGTCTCGTCGATAGGCTCCGCCAGGGCAGCGGCCAGGATGGGATCCGTACGGTTGAGCTCGAAGGTATCGGGGTGGGTATTTCGAGGAAGCTTTTGAGTTCGCAGTCAATCGTGCGTGGTCTGGACCTTGGTGGGAGGAGCTTGGATGCGGAGCTTCTGCTCAATGATGAAAGAAGGACCACTGTGAGTTTTGTCGTTCTCTATACTTGTCAGCCTCGTGAGGGACATGCAGAAGGCAAGCAAATTACCATCTGGCGGAAGTGCTCCAGCACTGGAGGCGCAGCCAGTTGATGTTTGTCGCAGGCAGCCCGTAGTGACGCGCTGAAATCGACGAGGCCGGTTTCGGCTCAAGGGTTGGTCCTGATGATGGCGCCGCGTTCGTGGACAATGGCGATTATGGTGCCGTGGTAACGATGGTTGTTGGGATCCAGCGTTGTTCGACGTGTTTCTGGCGCGTGAAGACGTCGCGTGGAGCCTAAGCACAATGTCCCACTCTTCGCATGCGCCTCGCTAGATGCATAACTTGGCCATTTCTGACCTCAACAGCTGTACAACAATGGTTGAGACGCAAAATTTCAACAGGCTCGCCTATCCTTAGTCATCTCGAACATGCTCGTGCACTATTGTTCCGTCGTCATTGCGCTCGTGCGTGTAGTGGCGCTGGGGCTTGGCATGGTTCAGTGCACGGCCAGATGTGTGAACAGTTCACGGAAGACACAGCCCAGGACAAAGCACCGCGCGGTCAGTGGAACGTGCGTGGGGAAAGTACTTGTTCAATCGTGCAGGAACAGAGGCGGCCCCTCCAAGGCAGATCTGGATGTGGCTAGTTGCTCGAGTTTTGTTCAATCACCTCTATTCAGAGAAAGACCAGTTGTCCACCGAAGAGCAATGCTTACACACTTCTTGTGATGCTTTGGGTTCAGAATCGACATTCCTTATTCTGCTAGAATTTGCAGCACCCGTGGAATGGAGCATCTTGTCAGAACTCACAGATCAGTGTCCTTCATAGCTCATTGGCAAGGAATGACAAGGAGACGCTCGGATTCTGGACAACAAGAAGGTTGGCCGGCTCATTCTTAATGAGTCTAATGTAATCGACGATAGTCTTTACCCCGTTCCGAGTATCAGAGACCCCCTCTTAGTAGCAAACTTTCGTCCCATCCAAAGTTCACCTGCGCAAGCCACAGCTGCTTGGCACAACCATTGGTTACGACGGTGCGCTCTGTTGGCATGTCCGGCGTGCCGAGCATCTGCACTGCACGAAGAGTCTCGAGCCATTTTGGTGTTGGCACAGCACTCGTCCGATTTCCGTGCGGCGCTGTGTTGCTGCAACGGCTCGATGCCACCAGCTGGCCGTCATGGGCCCCAAGGTTTGAACTTGTGCGTTGCCAGCACAGTCGAGGGAAAATGTCGCTAGGTACTACCTGATCTCTCCACTCGGGCTTGAATTGAGGAACTCGGACGGGCTGGGTCACCTCCGACGCGTAGTATGGGCATTGTCGTATCTGAGCCAAGTGAATCAGGCATTGGGAAGGTGCTGCAGCACCATTTCCTGTACGTATGGAGATCTCGGACCCCCTTGTGGCATCCTTTCGTCATTGGTATACCCTTTCAGGTGAGAGCTGGGCGAAGTCCCTGATACCACTGGTAGAACGGAACCAGTGTGATATTCGCCAGTTTTTGGAGTTGCTGGATGATTCTGTAAACCCCCATAGCGGTCTGCGTGTCGCCCAGGGGTAGTTTGTGCCACAGAATCTGGTGGTCATCGTTAGCTCAACGTTGCATACGACAACTCATATTTGAACGAGCTCACCTGCTTTCCCTCTGCATCCATCGCGAACGCCACCAAGTTCCAGTCGTGGCCTTGTACAAGTATTGCCGGCAGGTAGTCAGGCTTCTCTATCCCAGACGTTGATGAGGTCAGTGAGCTCAGCTCGTCGATTTTATTCTTCTGCGCGCTAAGCCACGTGAGCAATTGCAGCTTTGCGGCATCGGCGCCGTCACCTGCGCGCTTGATCTCGACAGATAGGACAATGGGCCCTTCAGTTAGGCCGGGATAGCTGGTGAAGTTAATGCTCTGTTCTTCTTCTGAAAGTGGGCTGGCCCGCAATAGCTTCTGGAGTTCGCCCTTTTTGTGCTTGTCCCGCGGATAGTACGCAATCGCAAGGTCCACCTTCTTCAACGGGGTTTTGAGCGTTTTGTAGTGAGGGATGATGGAAGCAGAGGAGCACGGGATAACGTTCAGATCGGCAAGCTCATCCTTACCGGAATTTGTGTTGTCCGCCAGTGTGAACTAGGACACCGACTCAGCACCTTCGGTGTGCATTGCCGATACCTGCTACGAGGGCATCCTTTCGACGCTCAATTGCTGATGACATTGTACACCCAACCCCCGCCCCGCCACTATGGCGTTGATTTAAGGTTGGGACTGGGGCATTTGTACAGCTCATGGACGCTGCCCAACAGGGGGACCACGATCCGAAACATTACCATAGTACAGACTCAAGGGGGCGTCATAAAATGCGGCACGCCCGCGAGCACGACTAACGGGAGGTTACCATCTCGTCATCTGCTCTTGCAGCCAACACTTACGGCAAGCACTTAGACCCCTCGATCACGCCTGACCTTGTTTAATGACGTCCCACTCTGAACACTGAGCCAGCTGCCGCCCCAACGCCCGTGGCACAGCCGCCTTTCATCCTTGGTAGTTCCATCGGGGCATCATCCTCAGTTGCTGCTGCGCCAGGAGAATTCTCCCTCTCTCTCAATAGCAATGAGTAAGGCCACACCGCGACTGGCGATATCGCCTACTACGATATCGGCCTGGCCGCGAGCCTCCTTCTTCACAATGAGTTTGATAAGTGCTTGCCTCTTCTTCTAGCACTGGCGATTGCATCGATGACGAGTTCTGAGTGGTCACTTAGCCTCGTCTGTGGCATAGATCTGAGCTTTAGCGGCCACCACATGCTCGAAGATCTTCATCGCCTCCTTGACCCGTCGGTCGTTACAGGATGCCCTCGCAAGCTCGGTTTCGAATAACTTGCTCCAAAGATTTGCCTCACAAAAGAAAATGGGATTGCGATTCCTGGTATCAATTGTCTATGGGCATTGTAATACCCTTGTCCCTGGCTTCTGTCCATGTGAAGTCTCAGAATGAATTCTTGACGGGCGATCGCATTCTGCTCCCCAAAGTCGATGTGGGATTTCCCGATTTGGAAAGAGACAGTTGTGGAAGCTTGCTTTCGGCGTCATCTCGCGCCCGACAGAAGTTGGGGAGTTAAGAGTGGGACTACGCCGATGATCGAATTGCTAGGGGAGCTGGACAATCGTAGCATCTGGTGTACTTTTCTTCAGACCCTCATCCCTTCCAGTAACCTCGTATTGCATGAGCGCGAGTTTTTGTGTACTTCTAGACCCTAACTAGCTTTGAGCTGCCACTTCGCCAGTAGGACCGGGTATATGGACCCGGCTAAAACGCAGGATAGGAGGAATGAGCACGTCTGCTTGCATGGTACGCGGGCTCGGATGAAATGGCCAGAAAGCCCTGAAGGAAAACCCAAAGTAGCCAATTAGCCGTAAGGGAAGAAGATTTGGAGCAAGCGGTGCGGCACAGCCGCTACTTCAAGCAGACTTCAACAGTTACTTCTTAGCGCGCTTGTAAAACTTGGAGTCTTCGCGCCCTCAATTCCTGTAAAGTGGGCTTTCCGCCGATAGTCGCCTCGCTCTGGTTTGTCTCGGACTGAACATGGGGAAGTCGCGCTGGCTGGGCAGCGCTACACGGGCTTTGGGCTGTGCCTGGCGATGGCATGACTCGGTAGCGTTGGTAAGACAGCTTCTGCAATGTATTGTCGTCCGTGGATGCGATGAGCTGAGCCGAATTATTCCTGGCTATGCCTCTGTTGGCCTCTGGTACCACAACCACGACCTGATCGCAGTTCTCATGGGCAGTACACTGTAACCTCTCCAATGCTCTGCCTGATGATCTTGTTGAAGGCCTGGCCGGCGGTTTCGGGGAATTGTTTTGTCATGTCGACGTCGCGCAGCCGCGACCACACGTCATGCCAGTGGAGATCTCCCGTGGTAAGGCCATCAAGACATTCTTGTAGACGGCTGAGTGTGCCTACGGGTAGACCCTCGCTTTCGGATGAAGTATTCTCCCTTGAGGTTTGGTTCTCACAGTTGTCTGGCGAGTCCACGGCGCCAGGTCCAGAGAGCAAAGTCTGCTCGCCTCCAGCCTGTCGTAAGGCCAGTTGTCCCTGCTGAAAGCGTTGCAGGCCTGCATCGGCCTGTTCGCAGACTGTAAGGCATTGGTTTATCACGCCTCTTTCATCATTGAAGTCCATGGCCTCATCCGAGTCAGAAATACGCTGTTGTTGCAGTTGGAAACTATCCTTGGTGTACTCAATCATCTCTTTATATCGTTCAAGGGCTTGTGGCTGTATTGGTGTACACCTGCGCGCCGCCTTAGTGATGGCACATATGGGACTGCCGGCCCGGAGTAAGGAAGTCTACAAACCTTTGGATGGTACTAAGGCCAAGGTGAAGGATGCATGTGTAGTCTTCTAGGAGACGTGGGAGTTCATCAAGTCTACCTTTTCTGAATGCCGTCCCGGACCAGTCTATCCGTCGTTCCGGGGACTGTCCTTGCAACGCTTTGACTAAAGCGTCTTGGAGCTCGTCACAGATCTTTCTCACGTGCTGAATAGTGTCATTGACGAACGACAGACACGTCGGGTCAACGGTCGCCGTCCACTCCGCGAAGACCAGCATGGTGGCAAGCTCGGTCAGCTTCTTGGACAGCTGATTCATCATCCTATCCCGCTCCTTGAGTTTGTCGACTTCCTCATGAGAGTTCTTTGCTGCTCGGAGCGCATCAGTGACGCAGCTGGTAGCCGTCCCCGCGTTGCTGGATGGCGCCATTACACAACAGCCCAGCTCGGACGTTGCTCAGAGCAAGCAAGTGCAATGGTGCTAGGCGATTCTTGGGTGATTCGAGATTTTTGTCAATTACCTGAGATGATCGAGTCGAGGTTCCAGAGCTCTCGCCTTGGCTAATGTTATGGTTGCAGTTGATGCCCAATGCGCTGCCTTCATTCAAGTCACTGAATGCGGGGTTGGCGGCAACCCCACGCTGATAGTGAGACCAGAAAACAGCAGACAGTCCGCCGTGGTGCCTACTTTGGTGATGATTGGAGGAGGCCGAAGCTTGGACGACAAGGGGGTCATCCGCCGATTGAGTGGAACGTCCCTCAGTTACTTCGGCTCCTAATAACACTCCGTAGAAATACAGTACCCGACCCGACTTTCGAAGATCCTGCCTCGCTCATCACTGAGGCTCTACCTTTCGCATCCACGCTGGTGAGCACGAGATAAAGCGATAGGCATAATGAGCAACGACTACGTGCACGCTCGACCCGCCTCAGCGGGCGACATGCGCACATGATACGCCTGAGCGCTTGCACAGAGGGGATCATTGGCTCAACTGCGGGCGTTTCTTGCCATGGACTCCACCGCGAACCTTGGGAGACATCAGCCCCCGACACATGTGAAGTTTGTCCTTGTTCCCGGACACCCTCTCCAAGCATTCGGAAACGAGTTATCGCCCTGGCTGGCTTCCAAGAGAGATCTAGAGATCCAACTCGCTATTGAGATTATGGCGGTTCTACGGGTGCGGCTCAGGACTCGGTGATGTTTGTTTTGCGCTCTACTCCCTAAGGTGCTGAAAGTGCTCCGCATCTCCGTCCTATGGCGTTGTGTGCCCCCGCTCCGCTGTAGAGTTAGGACAGTCGCCTCCAGCCCCACCAATTGATTGTGTGTCTCGAGGAGGGTATTTGTACCATGGTAGGCCACGGACCTGAGGCTGCAAGGCACTGTCTGCAGTGGCGGGTCCTCGGCACCACCTCCAGCATGTGCTGTATCTAGATCGACGGTGAACTGCACGTGAGGGCGGCACAGTACTGGCATCACTCTACGGCGAACATCCTTGAGATGAATTTTCGATTCCCAAGAATCGAATTGTAGTTTATTTGCCTTCTTGAAGTCGGTTATGAGACTTGATATACGACTGAGCTATCAAACGCGATTGACCTCTTTTAAAGTTGCACTTGACCAGAACTTCCGTGAACTTGCAGCACTTCGCTAAAGTCTTGCGGGATCATCGTTGAGGCGAAATCCTTTGCAAACGAGGTTTAATGGACTCTGCATCTCAGGAGGAACTCCCACCGATGCGGCTTTACTGGATTGCGTTGGACAAGTCCTTGCGGGGAGTCACCTGGAGCACGATGCTTGCATAGCAAGCAAGTCGGCCAGCCACTTTTGTTGATCGCTTGATCTCAAGCCTGCCAGTGACGTCAGATGAAGGAGAGAATCACGGCGGATAGGGCGAGGTGACTATCCCGTGGTTATTTGCCAAGCCGCACAAACTGGCTCTCCAACAAGCTTATCTTCCCCGTGCGAAAGTGTTACAGTACTGTACTGTACTGTTCAAACTCCCGAGCGTGACCCGGCATTTTACTATCAAGCATAGTTGCAGCAAGTTTTTGGACCAAACAAGTTCAGAAATAAACAAACAAAACAACTGTTGCTCCTCTAAGCTGTATATAACCCTAGTTTTCGACCTCTCATTCTTCGGCCTACCTCGCCCCGCCTGATTAACCCGCACTGCCCAGCCCGGACTCCAACTCCTGCTACCTTCCTATACAATCAGTGCCCAACGGTCCCTCTCCCAGCCAACCTTATCTCCTCCTCTGGCTCTACGAGAATAACAAAAGCGCGTGGCCATGCTTCTTCAGATAGCCATCCTCCTCGTCTCGGCCCTGACGGTCAATGCCGGTTCCATCCGGAGGCATTGCCACACTGGCCCGCCTGGGCCTCCCGGGCCTCCCACCGCTGGTGGACCTCTTGACCCAAGTGACCCTCCTCCAGCACCCGTTGTCACTCCTACACTGCCAGTTCATGGTGGTAAGTTTAGACGCGATTTATCCCCGCCTCGTCCCTTTATACTAACTTGATAATCAGGATCGAAGGAGCTTGCTGGCCCTGAGCCCCTTGGCTTCAAGTCAGTGCTTATTGGTCACGGTATCCAGAATTACACCTGCCCCGCTGCTGGCGCGAAGGCTACCGCCACTGGTGCTCTCGCTGTTCTCTGGGATATTGCCCCTCTCTTTCCCGGTTCGGGCCCTCTTGCTCTTTCCACGGAAGCGTGGGCGGCCGTGACTGTTAAGGCCCTGCACACCACCGTTATCCCGCTGAACCTTGCCGCTGACGCTGGCCGACCTTACGCTGCAGACCCCAGCGCGCCCTTTCCCGCGGCCGCGGACCTGACTCTCGAGGGTGTCCGGGTTCCGCTCCGCTTTGCTGGCCATCACTACTTTGCCGGCTCTGTTCCCACGTTCACTATGGGCGACGCCCTCTTTGTTGGCAAGAAGAACGACGGCATCGCTGCTCCGGCCGACGCCGACAAGGGCATCACCGGCACCGGCACGATCGACTGGCTAAGGCTTGGTGACACTGGCTCCTCGCATGTCACGACCCTGGCCTACCGCGTCTACACTGCTGGTGGTGTCGCTGGCCCCTGCACCGGGGCCGGCCAGGCCGAGAGCGTCCCTTACACAGCCCAGTACTGGTTCTTCGGCTGATACGTATAGGGATCATATCTTCAGCAGTGGTACCAGGCTGCCGCGCTCGGGAAAGCAATAGACGGTCACGGATTTGAAATCGGTAATATTGCACCATTTTGCATGCGCCTACCGACACAGAAAGTCATAGCCAGACCATGTTTCACTCTTTCTTATCTAGCTTTCCCCAACAGTCTACTCTCATAGGATAGCGGCGGGTGAGGGTTGAAAGTTCGTTTCCGATCTGTGTATAGTGATGGGTGAGATTGCTCGCTGGTGCGCGGAATTTACAATAATACAGGTCTTAATTGTCCGGCCCTTGTCAGGTTCAGATAATAGGCGCGCCGAAGGCCAATGTTCCTAAGTAGTAGCCGCACTGTCGTGTCTGCGGCAAGCTCTTAAAGCAGTGTGCTAGTGAATATTACTACCGGAACGTATATGATACCGGTAGCGATGGACGAAGCAAGGTAAGTAATAGTGACGCTGGCCGAAATCGCGGCGTTCCCTTCAACTATGGCACGACGAGATCAGCGCTATCGAGACTCCCGTCAAGCATTGAAGGTGCCCAAAGGGGGAATAACCGGTTTGTATCAACACTGGCGTCGGGGCGATCGGACCGTTCGTTATGGTTGTCCAAAGGGGCGCTATGGATGGCCGACTGCAGCTCTACCGAGTGGCGTCGTGGAGCTATGGTAAACGTTACGTCGGGACCGTTGGGATTGGTGAAATATTGCTGTTTTCTAGACGCGTTGGCATGGTCGAAAGTCATATGCGCCATCATGCCCATGTAGGCCGACTTGAGATGGTTGGTCTTCCCATTACTAGGGCAGACGGTATTGTCGACTTCGGATGTGTATGAGAGATTGAATCTGCTCGCGTTTGAGTTGCAGATCACATAGTCCTCCCTTTGCCGCATCTGCTTTCTGTTCTCATTGACTTTAGCCTCGACAGCGTCGAAGTCGAGATCTCCCCATGCGCAATTGATCTTGAAGTTCGCGAGGGCCAGGAACACTTGTAGCCTACGGGCGATCTGCGCATGTATATCAGCCTCTTCTTGCCTGCCCGAGCTTTTGTGCAGAGTTTAGAGCAGTGTCTGACCATACGGGTTTTAGCCCGCTTGAGAACCTTTTTTGAAGCGTTAGAACTTTGCCGCTTGGTGAACGACACCATGACTAATGGCGCGTATATATGCCGTGTGGTTTCCGGGATCCGTTATGTGGTGAGGCGGTGGTGTTATAATAAAATTTCGACTATTAGCGAGGGTGTATAGGAGGTGGAATTATAAAGGTGGGGCTGGAGGCAAGGAAAGGGGCTCAAAACTAGCTAGCGGTACAGTACTCTGCAGTCGAAGTCAAATCTAACGGGGTCTTACGAGGTAACGTAAATGCATAGCGAGTGGGCCAGCATAGCGAGTGGGCCACCCCCACCACATCTCGAGAATCAAAACCTCGGCAGCAAAACCAAAACGTCTTGAATTGATATAAACTAATCGCTATCTTCGAGTTCAGACCCTAGAGTAACTATTTGGCAAGTTCTCGCATTATGGCCAGTCATCCCGCAGGTACCACAGCGGCGCTGCGTTGGCGTAGTGCCGCCTGCATGACCTCGATTTTCTTGCGTTTCCTGTGTTATTTGAGTGTTCACCTCTCTCTGGGCTAGAAGGTCCTATCCCTCGCCTAGAGTCATGCTCTGGCCTTTCCGGAGACGTGTTTTCTTAGCTCTCCGGCGCTTACTAAGTACTGCATTCTCGTCTTCAAGCATCTTCATCCTTGCCTCCATTAGGGCGAACCGGTGCATGATCCCCTTTGCTCCCTTCGTGAACTGCTCAACTGCTTCAATAATTGACGTTGGAGAGCTTCCCTGGTGACGAGAGATCCGACGTTTGATGAAATTAGACTGTGAACGGGCTTCCATAGCGGTGGTGGGCGTTCGGGAAGTCCATGGCTCCGGTGACGTCCGAGGCGTCCTCGAGGGTGTTGGCGTCTTGAACTTCACATCGAGCTTGGATAAAACGGCTTCAGGGTCATAGGGTACAAGTCCCGCCCCTCTGAAGCCTCCCTGGATGTTTTTTTCCGTCATTGTCTGCTGGAATGCCGCTAAAAACGAGGGGAGGAAGTCCTCCTTGCTGATATGCGTTGTACCCGCCTTCATCTTAAGCTCAATTTGCCGACCGTATGCTTTCTTCAGCGGACCAAAACAGCCAACATCGAGAGGCTGGAGTATATGAGACGAGTGAGGAGGCATACAGAGCGTAATAATGTTGTTGTCCTTACAGTAGGGCTCGAATTCGACCGAGTGGTGACTTTCGTGGCCGTCGAGGACGAGGAGGCGATAACCGCCTTTTGTTCGCGACTTTGTGTGCTGATCGAAATGTCGAATCCAATCTAGACCAATTTCGTTTGTAGTCCAGCCGTTTGCGGATGTTACGATTCTCCAGTCGCGAGGAATCGCGTTATCTTGGTACCAGGTCGAGAGGTGATATTTGCCGGCAAATACTACGAACGGCGGGACGTAGAATCCAGTCGCGCTAACGCCCTGGATTACCGTAACCCATTCCCGATTACCTGGTTGCTTCATCTTAACGTTCGACCGTATTTGCGCGTTTGTAACGACCATCCCGGTCGCGATAACGCCCATCTGAAAGCCTGTCTCGTCGAAGTTGTAGATATCGGAGTCCGCTACGCCGTTTTTCGCGACTACGTTCCGCACAAGCCGAAACCACGCGTTTATCGCGTCGGGATCCTCGCATTGGGCTCTCTTGTAGTCGTACTTGCGAAAGAAACGCGTCTGGAGCTGTGGTTGTCGCTTAACGAAGTTTGACGCCCATCGTGGACCGACGCGTGGCGCAGCCCGCTTATCGAGCAGTCGATTCGCCATTTCTCCAAGCTCACTTAGCCGAGGAGGATATGCTCGCGCATCCAAGTCGAGAATATAATTAGTCGACAATCGTCTGCTCCTCTAGCTCTGTTAATTTCATCGAATTTGGTAGGCTATCGCGTCGAGAAGGCGTCCCCTTATAGCGGCGGGTAAGCGTTGTTCGAGAGACGTTGTAGATTGCAGCTGCGCGGCGTATAGAAAGGGAAGGATCACGGTCCATAGCTTGAAGTGCGAGATTCAATTGGTTATCTTTAGAAGGGGTCTCCATGGCTGGTTGTTGAGTAAGATGTGTTAGAAGATGGAATTCTAGTGAAGTGATGGAGGTGGCCCACTCGCTATGCTGGCCCACTCGCTATGCATTTACGTTATTCCTATTCTAAGTCACTTTTCTGTCATTTTGGTCGAGGCGTAGGGGCAGGCTGTGATTATGAGACCTAACATAGCTTTCTCGCACGTAGCTCCTGCCTCACGAAGGGTTTCCCAGCTGACTTCGCGACTTTTAGCAGCGCGTTCACGGCTATTGTGCAGTTTTATACTCGCGATTTCATTTGTACGGAATTTTAAGCCGTACAGACATGTTCCCATTGGTTGAAGTTAGTTTACAATACTAATGTCGCATGAGACGTGCGGTATGATTTGGGGCCACTACTGAGTGAAGCCTGTTCAATGTTAACTTCATGGTAAGAATTGTAGATATGATTAAACAAGACATCCTGTATGTTCGCGGACATTCAGCTAAGATACACATCGGAAAAGCAATTTAAGCCCACCTCTACTTAAGGCAAGTAGGGAGAAGGGAAGTCGAAAGGCGCCAATTATGATCCACGTGTCTCTAGATAAAGGTAAAATGTAAGATGAAAACACGGCCACTCGAGCATCCAATAACAAGTTTCGTATCTGCATCCACTGTGGCCCACCTAACAACTCGCGATCGGAGCTCTGGATGAAGCCAGAGGACCGGCTGCGAATCCCTCAAAATCCATGCACCATCCGAACTGATACCATAGCGTTGGCGGCCGGCCATGACGGACATGTTTGGATATAGATCCAATATGTATCCCACGTCATTTCCGACACGGAGTACTTGAACACCGGTATATATATACGTGTCAGTCGTGTTTAATGACAAAGAGCCATCAGCACCAACTTCGTATGTCGCCTCGCACGTGGCCGTAGCCGCATCCCACAGCTTGACTGTCTTATCATGCGATGCCGAGACAACGGCGCGGCCGTCTGGGGAGAAAGCTGCCGATCGGACCGAGGCGGTATGGCCCTCGAGTGTCGCCTCGCATGCGCTCCACCGCTCTGACAGTTCCGGTTTGCACTTGACCCAATCTGGGGCCTCACCGCGGAAGAGCTTTCGTACCAAACTTTTAACAGGACTGAAAACTATTGCTGATGCATAACACTGCAGTGGTCGGGTCTCAAGCGCCGAGCGGAAGCCTCGCAGAAGACGATACACGTCAGCAACTATTGCCTGAAGATCTGAAGCACTCGGAGGATCCTGATTTAGTCAGTATTGTTGACGTACTAAACTGCGTATCAAAACATACCTGAATGTGCTGTTTGAGTCCGTCTAATGCAACGATGCTATCTGGTATGCCGCGTAGTAGACTCAACGCCTCAATCCAGTAGAGAGCCTTATTCCGCAAGAAGCTGTCTGCTATTTCACCGTCGCGTACATTTCTGCCTTCATCCTGATTCGTAATGGCATCCACCAAATGATTGACCCAGTAGACGCAGCAGTACCCGACTGTCGAGAGTGGATCAGGCGTCGGCGGTTTGACTTTCTCGATTGGGAAGCCTGGATCGCGTAGATTGTAGTTATCGCGCTTCAGTATGCTAGACATAGCCTCGATTGAGTTCTCGAGAATCTGGCTGTGAACTGATGGCTGTCCGTTGGGAAAGAGAACAACCGCATAAGACTTCATTAAGAAGTCCTTTGCCGACTGGTGGACAAAGTACACCTTGTCGTCACGAATTGTGAGGAACGAGCCGCACAGGCTGATGATCCCCTCGAGCATTTCGCGATAGGTTTTCATGCGAAAGGACTCTCCGACCAGAGTCATCAACTCAGACAGCGACGGTGGGCGATAGGTCGTTGCTACGAGTGCAAGAACCTGCTTGCAGGATTCAGTATCTTCTGAGGCGAGTGTTTGCTCTATCATTCGTTGATATAGAGCATCAAGCCCCAGAGGAAAAGACTTGACATTCTGTAACACATTCCAGGAGTAAGTCGTTTCGAGTTCTTGATAGACCAAGGCAACCCAGAGAAACGTGCCATCTGCGTTCGACGACAGATAGTGGTAAACTTCCTTGGCGATGTCATCGCGGTAACCCTTGCGTCGTGCAAGCTCGGACACCTTGTGCTCGATGTATGTATTTACGGCTTCTGTAACTGAAGTTTCATTAACCTCAAGCGAAAGCCTGTGCGCCACTTTGCATAATGGTTCCTCAATCTGAGGCCAATTGCGGCTTGAAATGAGCCATTTCGCTGTGGTATTTTGCGAGGTCCTGGCCACCAGGTCGAGAAACACTGGCAGACCTTGCAAACACTCGTCCAGAGCGTCGACCACAAGGACAACTCCCTGAAGTTTGGGATCCCTGAAGTTTGGGATCCTGGAGAATGTTGTTGAAGATTTCACATAGCGCCTGCTAGCTGTTGGTGTCTTCGAAAAGGTCTCTGCCGGCCTTTTCGTGTTGCTTTTCCATGTAGGAAACGAGGGAAACGTGCTTCTCGAGGATCATGTAGATCAGGCTGCGCAATGCAGCTGTTGCGGTATTAATACGCGTGTCGGTAGCCTGGAAAAGAAAGTAGGATAGAGTTTGTCCCTCGGTGCGCATCCTCTCGAGTTCGTCGATGACTCCGCAGAGCAGCATGGTCTTGCCCTTGCCCGGATCGCCTTTGACCCAGAGTAGTCGCTGATTCTCATTGTTGCGCCACTGGCGAAAGTCCGGGTTGTCGAGCACCCATAAGTAGGAGTCCCTGAGTAGGCTGCCCTTCATGTTTTCGATGCGCCTCTTGTCATGGCGAGGATCGGTCACGCGCAAGTCGGCAATGCATTGCTTGGCTGCTTCGCTGACAGTGTCCTTATTACCTGTAAACAAGAATGCATACCAGGACAAACTGGTCAGCCTGTGCTCCAGCATATTGGAAACGCATCTGAAGCCATGACTTCTTACCAATCTCTCGTCTCAGTCTGAGGAATGCCTTCTCCTCGCCCTCGCTGTAGATGAGTGGCATATGCGCGTCGAAGATGCCAAGCATGCAATACGCAAGGTCTTCGGGACGCTTCGTCTTGCGCCCTCCCACCCAAGAGAGTCGCTCGTTGATGCTGAAGTCAGCCAGAGGTTTCCCTCGAAGCGCGTCGACAGGGACCCCTGTGCATTCGTGGAGCAGTGCCTCTAACGTTGTTTTGTTGCCAAGTACGTATCCTTCTGCTGAGAAGAATTTGACCGACCGTGGGGCGATCAGCTCCTGGAGCGTCCAGCCGCGGGTTAGCCACCGGCTTCTTCTGAAGGCTGTCTCCCATGGAAGTTGTGACGCTTTGTCTTCGTCCTTGCCGCCATTGTTGACCACGTCGCTGAGGTAGACGTAGCAATGGTCGGCGTCTCTGTACCAACGAAACATGGAGTTGATCGCTTCTTGAAGCTCCTGGCTGTTAGACTTGTCTATACAGCAGGTGTCGATCCAGAAGTTTTTCAGGCCATCCAGCGCAGCCTGCTGGCTGCAGAACGTGAGCTTTTTATACCCGTCCTTGTGGTGGCCTGTATGATTTTGAACGTCTTGAAAGGTGATCTCCTGGTCATCGGCTCCCCAGGTGTGCGAGAGGATAGCATATGGCGGGACGTCCTCTGGGGGATGCGCCCCAAGTCTGAGGCTGCCATCCTCTTGGATTTCCAAGAGGCGCATCCTGCAAGGGTGGTATGAGCAGGGTATCTCGATTGATTGATGGTTTTGGCTGGCGACGGCGTGATGCGACTTTGGTCATGAAAGACCAAGTCTCCTCGAGCATCAGGATCGTGATGGGGCACAAACAGCAGACGTTTCATGGCGGCTGGACAAGGTAAGGAAATGCGGGGTTGCGCGCCACATGGACACAGTCCCACGACCTTGCTGGAACCAGAAGCGGGGCTGACGTTGCAACCCAGTGCCCTATTCCGCACTGTTTTGGGAAGCCCAAATACGACCCAGTTTGTGGAGGATAAGGCGTCAGCCTCGCAAGGCAGCTACGGTACTGTACATCCAGGCAGCCATCTTTCCGGCCATTCTGGTATGATTGCATGAACATGTAATGTTGAAAGCTCTTGCTGTATAACAACAACTGCAGGAATGTTCGTTTGCAGGGACGCTACTTTATTAGCATATACCATATGCCGCTTTTCTTCTGTGGTCACCTCGTTAATGCAATACATAAAACACACGGGACAATGCCACACCTGACCATTGGCGCGCAAAACGACTTGTCCGAGATGCCCCGCCTGAACGTTTGCGTTATCCACTTATGTGCCCCACGTTGTCGAGACCGGTTGGCTCGTGCGCGTAGAGACTTGTGCTCGATGAAAGCCGGACACCGATTTCGAATCCGACTGTAGCACGTATCTGCCACCCGACTTCCTAACACTGAGCCATTATATCACCAAGCTATATACTCTTGCTAGATCTACAGGAAGGTGCTACAGTGTTCCTATTGAGCATGGATCGAGGACAGGTCCCTCCAGCAGGTATGCCGCAAACGGGGCTCCATGGTCATAGTCTAGAATGCTGTTGAGGAAGGGTGAATCGCATGATGCTGCCCCAGAATGATTTCTTCCTACCTGTCAGATCTTCGATCATCATCTTCGGGATCTTATCATGGTACTTCTTCAAGATCCTTCCGTTGAAACCCTTCTCGGTCCAACACATTGTCAGGTAGCGTGGCCCCCTGGATCTCACTACTTCAACCCTCAACATTACGGTAGGGGGCTTCGGGCTTGCCTCCAAGCTTCCTTCGAAATCGACCTCACTGCAGTCCACAGAGCCATCGTTGAGGCGATGCTGGAGACCGCAGTCATGGATACAGATCGCCAGCTCTCCATGGACAGCATTCTCAGCACACGGGCGAGCATCCTGCACCGCATTGGCCACTGCGTCAACGGCTCAACCCCAATCCACTTCCTCGACTTTGTGTATCCTCCCGATTCGCGCACCCCCTTGGAGCAATACATACGCTTCGAAGTCTTGCGTGTCCTCCGGGCTGTACTGGTGGAGCCGTCTTTCTTCTCTTGCTCTGCGAGCCAGATGGTGGCTGCGGCAGTCTCTGCAACGTGGCGTCGTCGGTTCGGAATCCCCTGGGCGGAGCCGCTCGATTCCCTTCCTGGTCACCATTACGAAGAAATCAAGTGGATAGCGGACCTTCTGTAATGTCGCAAGTGAGTTGCGGGGTGCGGTGATTCCCGGCTCATACTCTCTACAAGAATGTCTTATGTGTATGGGAAGGACGTTCGTAAAACAATGTCAAGGGTACCATAGATTTCTTGCCCTACGGAACCTCCTCGCCGCGGTCTGGGAAGGTGAGACATAGTGTCTGGCAGTGTAGGTGCGGGCCATTCGTAGGCGAATCGACATTTGTATCTACATAAAGCTGGTCAATGTATCTCTCGTTTAGTTACACTTCCTGTCAAGAATTTGCCCGAACCTTGCTTGTCTCAGCCAGCAATATGTGTGACCTGATCTAGCGAGACGAAGCTTAGCTAATTGCCTCCCCTACCATCTGGCGGCAAGGAGTAAGCCGCTACCAGGCGCTCTTCCCACTTGGTATGTAATACAACTTCCTACATATTGTTGCCCCTCTGTTCATGCAAGTTTAAGTCCGCGTCGAACCACGTCCTCTCCTGCAGCAGGGACGCGGAGCGGCGTTCCGCCTGGTGCGCTGTGGCCGATGTCCCACCCCGAACAAGCCGTAGATAATTGTTTTTTTGTTTTTCTTTTGGGCCGAAGACGACGGCCCACAAGCCCAGCCAGTCCGACGTGCTGAGCTTGTGGGATGCCCCGTGACCGAATACCGAGGGAGCTCACCGCTGTTGTGGTGGAGTCCTGTTTCAGCACAGGGGCGGGGGCGGCTCTGTCGCATGTGTACAACATCCACCATGTCCTGCCAGCTCCTCCTCCCTAAAGTGGCAAGTGGGGTGGGGCAACGCGGCTTAACATTCGTCAGGTCTTTGATAGGCCATCGCGCAGCACGCATCGTGCACGATTATGCCAAGCCCAATCGGAAGGATGATGATCATGATGGCACGTCTTTATTTCTAAGGTTTTTCGAACCTGTCTGCCATTTTTCGCGGTGCTATTACGTATCTGGCCCAGGTCCCCGTTGATCCCGTTAGAAAGCGAACGGACGCCAAGCGAATTGTTTGTTTACGTTCTGTCGGCTAGACCCAGCATCTGACTCCACCCTTCGTCTCGCCCAGCTGGAGCGGTTTGTTTGTAGTACATTAATCTTAAATGCGGTGTTGGGGTGGTTGGGACCGCTACTCACGCGACTTTAGGCACGGCTGTGGAAAAATTTCCACGCCCGTGGAAAAGCTTCCACGCCTGTGGAAAAGCTTCCACGCCTGTGGAGAAATTTCCACGCCCGTAGAAAAGCTTCCACGCTCGTGGAAAACTTCCCCAGCGCCCCGCATTTCGCGAACCCCCTTTTGGCCAAAGCGACGTCTCTCAATCATCTTTGCGTCTTCATTCTCCGTGTTATCACTGCCTATGGAGGCTATGAAGTATTTTGCCCTGGGCCGGGCTAAGATCGACTATAAAAGTGACGGCGCCCCACCATGCGGTTGGACATTTCCTTCATTCGAAGATTTAGAACGGATCGTGTAAGCAGATCTTAATATAGTACTTACCATCCCAAAACCTGGATTTTGACGATAAATGAAGTCCATGCAGATCTATCCAACGTATGTTAGAAAACCCAAGCCTAAGCTGATAACTATTGGATAAATCAACTGGAGGTTCGCATCTATGGAGCTACACATCGTAGGGCTCAAAAACTAAGATGATATCTAGAAATCAGTCCCTTTCCCTGAATTTCGACAATCATCTGTTAAATTCGTACTGTCATAATTACTCGTAGGGAGGCAACACTGTTGGCAATATTCGATGACCGCTCAGTACCTTGCCGTCATTCTGGGCCTATTCTAGCCAGCCCATCGGAGCTGAACATGCATTTGGCTGGTCTGCTCTAGCACCTGACCATCCTAATTGCGGGCAAATGATGCGTCCGTACTTGGCGTCCAGGACATCGTCTGTAAATGTTAGCGAGGTATTCAACCATTTTCCCAATACGCCTACCATCTTATCAAGTTGATGCAAGATAGCAATGATTTCACAGCTCCGGAGTCGTTACACAGGCACTCCAATGAACGTCCGTCTGGGGAGAGCTCGCATCGAGAGCATGTCTCCGTGAACGACCCATTATAATAAATGTCTAGGCCTTTTGCCGAGACTAAAGTGCCGCCGAGGTTCCACAAACAAGGTTCCAGGTTGATATATTAGAAGTAAGTAAGATTCGAGTCTAGCGTAGAGTGAAAGCAGTTCGCTTCTACAATAATGGGTGACCCGCTACTGGTGCTTGTAGGGTCTGCGTGTAGTCCAACGTCCATGACCATTGATGTTAGTACTAACGTAATCCACAAGTGGGTGAATCATACAAGTGGATGAATCAGTCCCCCGCCACTTTCGTACAGGCCTTCTTCTTTCCCCTTTCTCTCGACCAGTAATTATGGTGCGGCATTCAGTTGAAAGTAATCTTATTCTTAGCGCTTAATACTCTTCAATCAAACCCAGAATTAAGCGTACGAAAGGCTGCACAGATCTATAATGTATCCTTCTCGACCCTCCAACGACGACGACACGACCGACCTGCGCAACAAGATATCCGACTACCCTGCCAGAAATTAACCTCGCACGAAGAGGAAAGTATTATTTGGTACATAATCGAACTAGATTCGCGATCGTTTTCACCGCGGTTAAGTGGTGTTTGAGAAATGGCGGATCGACTCCTCCGCGAACGTGACGCGCCACATGTCGGAACGAACTGGGCTACGAACTTCGTACGACGACGACTTGAGCTCCGTACGCGTTTTAATCAAAGAATCGACTACTGAAGAGTCCTCTGCGAGGATTCAGGCGCGTATCGCGCGTGGTTTGAGCTCGTTCGAATCAAAATCGCGAAATACGGGATCCACGATAACGACATCTATAACTTCGAAAACGGGCTTCGCGATGGGCAAGATCTCCCCCGAAACTGTCGTTACCACCTCCGATCGACGCGGAAGGCCAAGAGCAGTACAAAAAGGCAATCAGGAATGGGTTACAGGAATCCAGGGTATCGCGTCGTACGGCCAGATCCAAATAGCAAACCTTTAATAGTTGCACCGACCGTGTAAGCCAGAAAGATTTAAGCACACTTGTCAAAGACGCCAGCGGCCCCAGGGTCGCGCACACTGCTCGATGAAGGACAACCTTCTCCCGTCCTCGCCACTCCATTTGAATGGAGCAGAGCCACTGGCTGCAGTGCCCGATATGCAAGCATTACCGCCGCTAGCGCATGGCGCCGCAAAGGTTGCCACCAGCTGAGTGCGAGTAGAAACAATCCCCTCCTGCCTCCTCAATGGTTCGTTAAGCACCGTGGAATAGAGGGGAGCTATTGTTAAGTGTCAAGTTCAGGAGCGAATTACACAGGAAGTGGGGGGCAGAGCACAGTGCTTCCTTGCCGTGTTCTAAGACTTCGGTCGTGTTGATGGTCATACACCGCACAACGACTGGCTCTTGTAGTGCTTCTGCCGAGTCGCGAGTCCATTCTTCGAGGATGCGCCGCGCCTGGGCATACTCGAGACCCTCGTGCAGACCATAAGTCCTTTGGCCTCTCCGTCCTTCGCAATTATCACTGGAGTCAGTGTTACCTGCAATGACGAACCCGTGAACTAGTATTATTCTGATCGAGCACGATATTAGATGGAGTCAGGGTATATATCGGCGGCCTTGCTTCTTACTCGTGCGTCTTAGCTTCTTCGGCTAGCTCCAGAACGCCTTCTAATATTCTGTCAAAAGCGAGCGAGAACTTTGCCTGTGTAGTATTAGCATCTCATATGCGGGGAGGACTATAACTAGAGGGGTGTTACTGGTTCCTCTGAGTGGACCGTGTAATCGACTCGATGTCCGTCATGAAGGCTGCCCGTTCTCAACCCGGTAGTGATTCAGTTTAGGGATTCGGTCATGTTTGTCGGTGATATATGCTGCGAAGCATGAGCTACAGGGATCATAAGAACCGGTATCTTCATGCCATCTACGGAGTACAGAATGATTACTATGCCTAGCAGTGAACGGGAGAAATGAGGTTCTACAGGAAAGGTTAGCATGCTGCCAGTTTGACATGATACCGTGAAGTTGGTGTCATTGTTTTGGTCATATCGTAAAGCGTCTGGGCGATGCCTGTATGTATTGGGCGTGGAAGCAATTCGCGCGCTTGAAGATATGCGCCGTTGCACGCGTGCGTACAATGGGGTTAGAGCGGTGACGACCACACGAACGAGACGAAGGTGCTGCAGAGGGATTAATAGAGTTGCAGTGAGTGGTGTAGGTTGATACGACAGCTAGTGCGGCGACGGTCTTCTGTGCGCGCGCACCTCCGCATTCTGCAGGCCCTTGACTGCAACGAGCCTGCATCAAGCCAGGACATTCATATAACGCATCGGATTAACGCAAAAAGAGCGCTTAGGCACTTCCAGAGTTTCTAACTGCGGTGGGTAGCAGCAAAGTAAATTTCGGTCTATGGACAAACTGTACTTCGATTATCACATGGGAGCAAACCGCGCAGGTTGTTGCTCGCCAGAATCAACCAGGCTTGGCACGATCCTGAACATGGCTTTTACGAACATCGCAGGTGTAACCACGACTTCTGTGCCTTCTGGAGGAGGCTGCCTGGCTGAGATTGCCGGCACCTCCCTGCGGGCCCGTGACCTCTTGAGCAACCTTTCAAGGCCCGTATTGGTATGTGCCCATTGTCTTGAAGCGATATCGAGTAGCGAAGCGGCGGTTGCTTTTGACTTTCGCTCACTTAAGTGCATGGCGAGCTGGGGCTTCAGTCACGAACCAGCTCTGCATAGCATGGTGACTACATTTCCAACTGGCAATGACTATACCGTTCACCAGCCTGCACCTATGATTGAATGCTCCAAGAACGTATCTTAGTCTGGTGGACTGGGTAGTCCACGGTATGCTAAGATATGCCACTCTCCAAAGCCCTCTGTAGTCTCCTCCAAGTAGACTAGCACTGATCTCGGTGGCAAAGGGTCTCGGCATATCCTCTCCTTCGATGCACCTTCAAGCCGGCGGGCATGCGTCAAACGGGACACGAATAATCTACGGTAGGGACTGGGCGGGAGCGCCTCGGTGGGCATAGTAATGAGGCGGACCGTCGCTTAAGTCCGAACATCTCGAGGAGAGAGGGCTGGCGAGGAAATTCCAAAAGAGAAAGGGACCTCCACATAGGCGAGGAGCAGCCGAGTCGCGGTTATGCGATGTATTCGGACCATCAGCTGGTGTTCCTATGTCGCCTTCGAGGACTGATCGGTTGCCGGAGCTCTCATGATAGTGGCCATTTCCTTGCTGTCATCATCTCATTGCCTTCCACCTTCTCCTTTTGATTTGCGTTCGAGGGTGACGCGCACTTCCTACTGATGCAAGGCACTTCAAGAACGAATAACGATTTTCTATCCTCGTTGCTTGAACGTAGAACCCAGAGCACACGTGCATATGGAGCGAGGTATTCTCCACATGCTCGCAGACCAGATATGCGGCCCGCGTTTGCAGGCAAAGTTTCGTTGATCACGGTGGGCCCGCTTTCTCAGTCTCCGGCCCACATCCGTTCCAGACACCAGCTAGATGCCGCTCGAATTAGAGAGTCCAGCAGTGGATTTCTATGAAATTTAAAGAACGCCAATGAGTCGAGAAGGCCCATAGCTATCTTATATTATGATGTGAGGGGGATGCCGTAAAGATCCCGTTTAATAGGTAGGTGCACGGAGGCTTACTCAAGGACGACATCTTCCTTTTGGAAAGCCCCACTCTGCCGGGGTCCTCGCGTCGTGTATTGGGCGCTCGGGATAGCCCAGTTACAGATATGATCCAGCGTGTTCTATCTTTCAACCATATCCATCGCGTGCATCACTCTTGGACAGCAGCTTAACATTTGGTCAATGCGCCTCTATCCTTGTCAAGATATCTTTAATTGCCACACACTCGACAGCACACCCACCAATGTTAGGTTTAAGTTAACGTGCGCGGTGTTGCCCAAGGTCTCGTCAAATGATGGTCAACTACTATGTGCGGGTCTTTCTAAAACGCTCTTTGACTCCGAAAGGACTGCAACCATACGGGAAAGGGGAATTTCGGAATGGGTCGCTGAGAGTCGCGAGAAGCATTCCTCTAGCGATGTTACCAGGCGAACACAGAAGTGCGTGCCCGGCGTCGTCAGTAGTGCTGGGTCGGATGCATCTTTGCGGTTGCACAGAGCCCTGGTGATCCTTCATATGTTCGAAATGGTGCTCAGAGGTTCGTCCCCCTCCGCTAGTCCAGTTATCCGCGGAATAAGAAGCCACGCCGCTATTCCAGGCTTTGTCGCCCATAAGCGGGAATTCGCAGGGCTTTCAAGCCGAGCTCGCCATATAGGGCGCGTGAGCACTTGGGCATCGCTTCGTGGTGATGCCGGAACAGGAACAGAATTACAGGCGCCGTTTGCAACATGATTGGGTTCCACGAACTCTCGTTTACCCAGGCTGAAGGTGTGACACCCATAGATCCAGACGATAATGGCTTGAACAGAGACCGCATGGACCTGGCTTAGCGGGAAGAACCCTCATTCCGGTCAGGACACAACGTCCCAAGACAATAGTAGCGTTATGGCATGTGCTTACTTGACAAATGCGGTATAGAAAGGTCCATCAAATCGCAACAGCGAGAATAGAATCATCTATACCTCCAAGTATATAATAGTGTAAGTCTTGTAGCACGTGTTCTACTGCTGTTGAGCTGGGGACAGCGATATAACCCCATGCGGAAGCGGCTCCGATCCTCATGTCTGACATTACGCCCCAGGACCGCGCCCACGCACTGGTCGCAGTCACTCCGTTACTAGTCTACCGCCGTTATGTACAGGAGAAGTAATGCCAAACCGTACTACCCATCATCGGTTGTTACATAAGAAACACCCGGGAGGCAGCGACGACGACGACGACGACGACGACGACGACGTTCTGTACGGCGTTACTAACACAGCAGGTACTGGTCCGGCCGTACGTGAATCCGCTACTACACTTGACTAAGGTACTTGCGATCGACCCCGTTCGGGCTCCAGCCGAATTTACACCACTACTAGCAGGTCTAGCGTGGTGTAGCCGTGTAATGCTACAAGAGTACTTGTCCGAGCACGCCCCAATCCAGGAGGACGAAGGGCGCAGCTGGCTACAGGAAAAAGGTATCAACGTCTGTTGTGTATTACATTGTTTGACCCTTAATGTTCTCATTATTCGTAAAGAGGCGCCACTGTTACGCAATACTCGATGACCGCCCAGTATCCAACCTTGCCGTTATCCCGGAGCTATTCCAGCCACCCCATCGGAGCTGAACATGAATTTGCCTGGTCTACTCTAGCACCCGACCATCCCGATTTCGGGCAAACGAGGCGTCCGTACTTGGCGTCCAAGACTTCGTCTATAAATGTCAGCTAATTACTCAACCATTTTCGCAATCTGCCCATGAACTTACTCAAGTTGATGCGAGATAGCAATGGATTGACACCACTAGAGTCGTTACACAGGCACTCCAATGAACGTCCGTCAGGGGAAAGATTGCATCTGGAGCATGTTTCCGTGAACGATCCATTTACAATGAACATCTAAGCCTTTTGCCGGGACCAAAGTGCCGCCCTGGTTCCATAAGCAAGGTCCCAGGCTAATGTATGAGAAGTAAGTAAGATTAGAACCCAGCTTGGAGTGAAAGCAATTCGCCTCTACAATAATGGACGACCCACTACTCGTGCTTACAGGGTCTGCGTGTAGCCGAACGTCTATGAACATTGGTGTTAGCACTATACCCCGAGGATATGCTTTGATGCCGTACCGTGACAGTGATCAAATTGATTGTCCGCTAATACTGTCGGAGTGCCTACGGTTAATAGCAAAATACTTAGAAAAATCATGGAGATATGCTGCTTCATTATCGAGAGAAGCGAGATGAACCAGTCTCGACGACGCAGGCAACAAAGTGCCGGAAGGAGTTTAAATGTGCTCACACCGCAGTCAGCTGTAAAGTGCTACATTATTCCTAGTGACCTAATCGTCACCACCATATCTGGTCCATACTGCGTGCGCAGTGTTGCCTCAAGCTGCTGTTGCATCATTGGCCAGAGGACGAAGGTCCTCCATGTGTGAGCGATGCTACAGAACTGCTAGCAAGTCTTCGGGCTGTTTGCCTTACACCCAACTAGAATAACTACCTGTAATGCGTCGCATGTTCAAAATGCTGAGACAGCTGCTTCACGGTGGCGGATATAATGGCTTCGGAGGTACCCCACGAACGCCATGTCTACAAACGCTCGGCGCTGAGACTCAGCACCGGCTTCTTGAAGCTCCGAGGACATCTCAGAGCATGAATCGCCCTCGATCATCATCCCCACACATCTTGTTGAATGAACCAAGCCAGTCATGACCACAGCAAATTCATACAGAGAACGAAACACCACGGGTCAGCCAGCATGTAGCTTCCTGGCAGACTCTCGAGATATGCCGCTCGTGGCCTGGGCAACAACAAATGCATACTGGACTGTCAACCTTCATTGGCCAAGAATTCTCCAGGCAAAGGACAGACTATTTATGAGCACTGACCTAGCTGCCGCCATGACCGGTACACCATCCCTCACGGCCTCCATCTGCCGCCGCTCGCGTCCAGAATGGCAAGTTCGGCCTACACAGCATGCTATTATCATTCAGGCCAGCACTCTTCGCCTGAGGCTGTAGTACTGTGTAGTATCAGATCTAGGGCTATTATTTGTACAGTACAGTAATATGTAAACTGTAAAAGCAATACGCGTCCCGTTGGACATCCAATAGCGATTCTTGACCCATACACTGCATGACAGGACGGACGATATTCTGGAGGCAGCCAAAAAAAGTTCTTCGCATTATTTGTGACCCAGAAGCCCTTCTGTGAAAGACGGTGATACTCATGATTATTGAAACCCTGACTTGGGTGTTGGATCGTCGTTTTAAATACGTCGTCCAAGCTGCTGTGGCCCTGAAGCGTCTGCTGACACTGGCCTGTGGCTGTATCCCAGATTTTGACGGTCTTATCCCAGTAGACCAACGCTAGCTGGTGCCCATCCGGAGAGAAGGCTACGGAGTAGACGAAGCTGCTATGGCCCTCGAGCGTCTGTAGGCATGCATTCCATTCGTCTTCTACCACTGGCTCCAGAGATAACCGCTTCGATGCTTCTTCCTGGAAAAGCCGTCTTACAGTACTGTTCCTTGGACTGAATACGATAGCCGAGCTGTAGACCTGAAGGGGAGCGATCTCAATACCATGCTTATGATATCTCACGAACCGAAGCATATCTCGGATAAGGTCGAAGAATTGAGAAGACTCTCCCGTTGCCTTGTAATCGTCAGTATCTGTTGAATCAACGGAGGCTTTAGGACTCACTTGAAGTTGAGACAAGAGATTGGATAGGATTGTGATTCCGCTTGACAAGTTTCTCAACAGACTGAGAGCCTCTAGCCAGTGGAGGAAGGAACTCCTCAGAAACCGATCAGCGAGCCCGTGGTCGGCAAAATCTTCGGGATTGCTACTACTATCAATGAGGTGGTTGACCCAGTTGATGCACGAGTACCGAACCGATGCCAGTGGATCTGGGTTTGGACTGCGGGTCGGCACCGGCGCCCCGTCATGATCCAAGTTGTAGACATTCCTTCGCAAGGTCCGTTGCATCCCGGCTATGGACTTCAATGCCATCTCGTGATGGAGCGCAGCAAGGGAAGAACCGAGTGTCGTCTCGGGCGAGTGTGCGAAATAATCTTTGACCGATTGGTGCAGAAGATGTACGAATCCATCTTCGGTAACAGTCAGGAAAGCGCTGCACCTCTCGATGTACCACTTCACATCACCTTCGTGAGGGGTGCTTGTGTGTGCTTGTGGCAGTGACAGAGACCCCAGCTCCTCCAAGGTAAGTGGTCGGTAAGCGATAGTTGGCATCGAGAGCATCCGGATACACTGCTGAACATCCTCCTGTGGTTGCTCCTGAACCTTCTCCATCATCTTGTCATAAAAAGGTACTAAACCCGGCGGCATTTTTGTAAGAGTATCCAGCATCATTGAAGGCTTAACTAGTTCAAGTTCTCGTACAACCATACCGGCCCAAAGGAAGTTTCCTGTTGCTTTGGATCGAATTGTGCGGCGAATATCGTCTCGGGATGACGGATCATTTCTTAGTGTTGGTAGTCGAGAAAGTTTCTTGTCGATGAATGTATTGAGAGCCTCTGTGACATGTTCTTCGTTCAGCTCAAGACTCACTCTTGTCTGAGAGTCGTCAAGCCATAAGACCTGTTCGATCTCTCGCCGGTTCCGGCTCGACACAAGCCATTTCGCTGGGTAAGCAAGCACACTCTTGGCGATGAGTCCGAGAAGTTGTTGCTGGTCGTGTTTACACTCGTCTAAAGCATCAACGACCAGGTAGCATCGCTTTGCTGCGGGGCCAGAAAGCATACTGGCGAAAACCGTCGAGAGTTTGTGGAACGTATCTTCGCCCCTCAAAAAGCTGTTTCCCAACATGTTCGTAGGCTTTCTCGATGTGCTCGATCAGGGACGGGCACTGACGGATCAAGACGTACATCAATCCTCGCAGCACAGCCGAGGCGTGGTTGAGTTTTGAATCGGTCTCCTGACAGAGGAAGAAAGACAGGAGTTGTGGGTTGGTGGGAGAGAGAAGACGTCTGATGTTGAGTCTTGACCGAGTCTGTGGCTTAGATAGCTCATCGATGATGCCGCACAGAAGCATGGTTTTGCCCTTGCCAGGATCCCCCTTGATCCAGAGCAGCCGGTGTTTCTTGTCGTTTCGCCATCGCTGGAAACTCTCATGGTCCAGAATCCACTGGTATGCTTCCGGGATAAGTGGGCCTTTCCTTTGCTCGATATCGACCTTTCCGTCGCGAGGATCGGTCAATCGCAGATCAGCGAGGCATTGATTACGCCGAGGTTCGCTGTAGTAGTGGTTGTTAGTGTTGTTAGTGTCGCCAACGTGAAGCTGGGCTTGGCCGGAGACTGTCGCGTTTGCAACACTGTTGCCTTGTGTTATATAGTTGTCGGTCATGGTTGTGATCGACCAAGACGACTTTAGTACTTGCTTGCATGTGAACAGCAAAGACGCTGTAAAGCTGTAAATGTGGTGTGTCGGATTTCAGTTACACTGATGAGTGAGTCTGCTCCCTTCGTTGAGAAGAGGGGCATGACCGTCATGAGTGTTTTGCATATGCACGTGCACTCTCGTCTACGTGGAGTAGGAAGCACTGGTAAGTGGACATGTTTAGCGTATTTCAGCCAATCGCTAATGCACTGCCTGCAAAGGTCGAAATGCCCAACAACGTTCAATAATTAGACAAAGACATGGTGCACAGCCTCCAGGTGGCTTTTTGTCTGAACGAGTGCCACAAGGTGACAGGTAACAGGGGTCTCAGCCTTGCCAGTCTAGCAGGTGGGTCCACCATGGCACAGCGGAGTGGGCCACTACGCAGGACTTTGCTGCTGCAAGGCATCCAGACTTGGGGACGTCACATTTCAACAAAGATAGGGACCGCCTTCTCAACCGACGGCTAGATCCTACGTGTCTGGTAGCTGGGAAGAGTAAGACATGCCTTCAGTGCAATCACACCGCCGACTGTAATAGTGCCCGTTATAGACTGCGAACCGTCCTTTGCCGGCACAGAGTCTGCGTTATTCTCGGAATGGTCGACATGTTTAAACTGGTCAATGCAATTTCGCTCGATTGCTTCCTAAGCGAATCTTTCGTTCGGGAAGCCGTTGCGTGGTTCCTCCCGCTGATGGCATTAGTTTCCCGCTTTATTGTCCGATTAACGCGCCGGGCTGCATCGTGTAAAATCAACACGCTGCCTTCTTCTACTCCTCAAAGTCCTCTATCAGCTAGCCTATATCGGGCATGCTCGGCAGTGGTGGGTGGAGGCGTCAGGACTATTGATGCCGTGTCTCCGGCCTTCGTGATAGTAAACCTTACTCTGGTCCTGAAAGGCTCTCTGACGAAAAAGAAAGCAGGACTTCTGCTCCGCTTCTTCAGCTGAACAGCCACCATGCATCTGGATTGGAAGAGGGCTGAGATAGAACTTCTTAGACAACGTAAGCAAGGAATATGCGTGGCGTATTGCGCGCGCAGAGGTCAGAACGTGGTGATTGATAATTGGATGCGTTCCGACAGAGGCTGCGGGTTCCCCAAGACCCGATTTGCCTCTGGCTGACTGCCTTAACTTGGCGCTCACACCTGAGGCGGCGTCATTGCAGGACAGCCCCCACACATGCCCTTCTGAGCCTGTCACCCCTTTCACAACCACAGTCCTTTAGGCGCAGCCGTCGCCTGATTCTGCAGGCTGTCTTTGTGTAGACACCACAGCTCTGCGGGCTTGAATAGAGCGAACAGGTTTCCATGTCACCATCTATTGAAGCCTGTGAGGCTTTAGGTGCTCTGTGAACCAACATCATCATGGCAGAAGTTTTCGGTATTGTCGCCAGTGCCTTGAGCGTTGCCGCCCTTTTCAACAACTGCGTGGATTGTTTCGAGTATATCCAGCTGGGCCGCCACTTCGGGCAGGACTACCAGATGTGCCAACTCAAGCTGGACGTGGCCCGGACACGCCTCAGCAGGTGGGGCGAGGCGGTGCGCGTCAACGAGGATGCCGTTTTTGGCACGAATACGCCGGTCGAGCAGCCAGTCGAGCTCGCACAATCGATCCTGGAGGGGATCATAGATCTCTTCCAGTCAGCATATAAGACGTCTCGTCGATACGAGAAGACCGCAAAGGCAGAGGAGCTGGTCCTATATGAAGAGAAGGATCTGATGCTCCTCTTCAGGAGGCTGCACGATCGGCTGAAAGGTTTTGCGCATCGGAGGCGGGAACAGAAGGACATCGGCCTGGTCAAGAAGACGGCTTGGGCGTTGTATGATGGACGAGAATTCGAAAGGACCATCGACCGAATCATAAGCTTTGTCGACGAGTTGGAGAAGCTGTTCCCCGTGAACGCTACTTGCCGCCAGCTGGCAGAGATGGAAATTGAAGAGGTTGAGGACGAGCAAACCTTGGCAGAATTGAAGGAAGCGGCTCAAGATACCGACGAGGCATTGCTGGCTGCAATTACGCGCAAGCCAATTACAATCGGCAGTCGAAATTCCGCCAGGGAAGTCAGAGGAGCGGGCAACGCAGATGTCCAGGTTGGCAACCAATACAGTGAGGAGATGCTTCGTGGTGGCGCTATTACGGAGCAGACCTCGAACTCGGCAGAAGTGGTAGACGCGAAGGACAGGGCCAGAGTACAAATTGGTGGGCGGTTCGGCGTCCATTTCTAGCGAACCACATTATACCATCGAAAAGGAATTCGAATGCATTTGCCATCAAGATCAAGACTAGGATAAGGATGGCTACTGGGTTTTGTTTCATCTAGTGGATTGAATATACAAATTCACTAGGCACAGCCATGTGAAAACTATGCCTGAGCCTTCATCGTCAACGCTTAGGCGGAGTGAAATTATCGAAGTCGCATCGCGGCCTTTCACTGGACGAGCCCAAGCACACCAACATGCCTGGCCTCTTGTGGAAGGAGGACTTTGGTGATAAGCACTGCAGCGTATTCTGAAAGAACATTATGTGGCTGCCGAGATCGTCTCGTGGTGGAGTTGCACGTATAGAGGAGGCCAATCAGTGGCTGATTGTGGTCTCGGTCTCTTGCATGAGCAAAAGGCATGGTGCCTGCAATTATGGTCCAAGGGAAAGCGCCTTCCAGCTTGAGTTGGCACATCTGGTACTCATGCTTGAAGCGGCGGGGTATACTCGAGACAACCCACGCAGTTTTTGAAGAGGGTGGTAACGGCTAATGCACCGGCAATAACACCGAAAACTTCTGCCATGGGCCATAGCGAGTCCGTCAGATCGGTAGCATTCTCTCCGGATGGGCGCCAGCTAGCGTCGGCCTCCAGGGATAACACCGTCAAGCTCTGGGATACGGCCAGAGGCCATCGCCAGCGGACGCTCGAGGGCCACAGCGAGTTCGCCAGATCGGTGGCCTTTTTTCCGAATGGCCGTCAGCTAGTGTCGGCCTCTGAGGATCACACCGTCAAGCTCTGGGACACTGCTACCGGCCAGTGTCAGCGGACGCTCAAGAGCCACAGCAGCTTCGACAACGTATTTGCAACAGCGATCCAAAACGCAAGTCCAGGTTCCAATAATCATGAGCATCACCTTCTTTCACAGCAGGGCTTCTGGATCACACATAATTCTCAGAACATACTTTGGCTGCCTCCAGAGTATCGTGCGTCTTGTCATGCAGTGTACGGGTCAAGAATAGCTATTGGATGTCTTACGGGACGCGTATTGCTTTTACAGTTTACATCTGGGAGTTAAAAGCTATCACCTGTGCAGCTATGTGTTCCTCCACTTAGTCTTCTCTCTGATTGTTACAGCAATACATTTGCCTTACAGCTAATATATGGTACCAGGAGGGCCAAGGAGGAGCTCGTCTTATATGCTCTATAACTACAATACAAAACGTCTTAGAGATTGGTAGTACTCTAATCAATTCGATGCGGTACATGACGTGCTAGGATCGCTTCCGGTCCTTAGTGTTCCGGTCTTCAGCCGTAGCGTGGCCTCGGCAATCTCCACTTCCAGTGAGCACACTGGATGCTGCTTGAAAAAGCATAGGACGATATGGCAGAGCCTATCGTGGTGTCCGATAACACTAGGACGGGAGGTATGGTGCGGTACGTCGCGCGTCGTCGAGAACTGCGGCTGGACTGTGCTACGAAAGGTATTCATCGGTACTCCCGAACCTACAAACGAACTACGTAATCAACGACTACCTCCACCCACTCTTGGGCTTCCGTGCAGTAGACATCAGTAAGGCCAATTTCGAGAAGACTAGTCGCGAATGGCCAGGTAGGATAGTTTGTCGCATCCCTAAGTAGATCTGGGTCAGACAGGGGCTTATCGCGGCCGATCTCGAGTGGGAAAATGATAGCAGCACGAGCATGCGCGCGGGCTACCTCCAACGCGTCCTCGTCTTGCAGAGTGCCAGACTGGGCGGCCATACCTGGAAAGCCCGCATTTAGCTGGACTAAAGCCTTTGCATTCGGGTGGTTGGCCTTGAGGAACTGCAGGCCACTGGTTGACGGCAGCACGGCGAAAGCGGTAGTCTTGGATGCGGCGTTGCGGGCGGTGAAATCGGTGCCGGTGGTCTGTCGATGGGTGGATGCCGTAATTGGCAATTGGTGATCTGGAGCGAGAAAGGGTCAGTGGGCACCCGATTTGGCACGACGTGTGTGCGCACTATCTTGTGACAGGGTGCAGGGCGAGGGGCTCAGGAGCGGGCGGTGATGGGAGCATTCCTAGCCACGATATGGTGTTCAGCCTATGCTGGCTGATCCCCAGGGCATGGTGAGCAAAGCTCGATGTGAGCATGCTACGGGTTGTGGTTACTGTATTATCAAGCGGAATGCATGCCAGACACTGACGTTTGATCAAGGACCATGGCGCATGACTCAGCAGCGTGCCGCCCTCTTGTTGGTTGCCACGCTCGGCCTTGTGGGTAGCAGCATCCCCCAGCTTGAGCCCCCTCAGTTAGTGGGTTCCCGCGCAGTACCTGCATTAGCGTGGATTGACCCCCTCAACCCCGCTTGAAGTAGTTTGTTCGAGGCCATGAGAGCGCTGGATTACCGCCACCGACCCAAAAGCTTGCCGGGGCGCCTCACTGCCCCGCCATTGTTCCCCTCAGCCTAGTGGTGCTGACTGCTCGCCTTGGTACCAACTCCCCGGGACTGGCGCTTTAGTGTAGCAGCGACATCATGCGCACACAAGCAGCGCGTCCAAGTCCACCTCAAACTCTAGCGTGCTCCTCTCCAGAAACAACATGCTCAAAGGGCGCAGCCAGGAATCGTCAAATCATGACAGCAGAGGACCAATTCTTTACGGGCCGAGACGCCAGCAGCCATCACTGCTGTAAATTAACTGCGGGTCTCCGAGCAGCCCAGTGCACTGCTTCTCACAGAAGCACCCACACTGATAGTCGTTGCTACCAAGGTCCGGCAATCCAGTAGAGCTCGAAGCGGCAGATTTCGCTTTGATGAACTCCGGCCATTTCTCTATGTGATTTTCAGACTGGCTCGGCCACCGATTCATCACAAGATTGCAGTTCACCTTGGGCAGCCTGAGCAACAAGACCATGATCGTCCAGGCAACGTACATGGGGAGCGACTTGGTCTTGATTCGATTGAACCTCACTCGTCCCCGGAGGCGGCGTGGGTCTCTTCGACGGCTGCAGAGAGCAGTACGGCGGGCCCTTCCCTGGCCAGCAGTACGGCGGCGTCTCGATGCGGTCCGAGTGCGACAGCTCCAGCATGCCCGCAATATTGGAGGACGGGCGCTGCTAGCGATTCGACTGGTTCATGAACGCGGACAACACGACCGTGAGCTTCAGGCAGGTCAAGTGTCCGGATCAGCTTACCGCAATCTCAGGGTGCGTCAGGGACGATGATTGGATGTTTCCAATTCCTTGAGATGGTGACCAGTTGGAGTAGTGTTGAAGATACAGTTTCCAAAGAATAGGCATAGCGTTGGGGCTTGCACGCCGGACAAATGACGAGCTGATTGGGCTGACTCGAATGATTTGTTGTTCCCGCTCCACGTTAGCCGTGTTTGCAGTGGCATACCGGATGTTGACCGTTTTGGGCTGGTTGGAGCCGATTTACCGACCATACGCCGAGATGGCATACGATTGATATCTGATGAGATCCATGCTTCTTTGTCTTCTTCATTATGGCCACGATGCAGGTAAGACTGCCGTTAATGAAACTCCAGGCTCGAGAATTCCGGAGGCGTGGCCGGACCGTAGGCCAAGTATTATTTTCACCATCGCAGGCTCTTCTCTCATACAAGTGTCTATGCTCCCTGCTCTAGTCGCACGCAAATGAACGGGCTCTGCACCAGCCAAAACCTTGTCACGAGTGGAAGCACAGTCTGCCTAATGTTCGTGGTGCAGCACCTGGCTAGAGGTCGGCCTCATTGCTGCGTTCGTCGTCTGTCTCTTTCCCTCCTTCTGCAAGCCCGTTATCAACTCATAAGTTCCCTTATGGTGACGGCGATGTTGCCGTTGCCATCGGCGCGTTGGCGCCCCTTGACATTGACTCTCAAGAAGCACAGCAACAGCAGAAGCGGGGAAACGACGACACAATTGGTAAGTCGTCGACTCCGACCTTGCCGTGCCTTCACTCACCAAATGATTATGAAAGCTCCCGCAGGCGCGCCGACGATGACGGCGATGCGGTGCGGTGCGGTGCGCGCGTCAAGGTTGCCTGGTATCGACGGAAAAGGAAGTGGTAGGCGTTGACTATAGCTTAGCACACGCACACAAGCTTTGCTTCCACGTCTTACAAGAGTGAAAGCATAAATCAGCCATTCAGATACGGACCACTTATGGACGTAGGAGATCCAACGATGATCGAAAATCAGCTGTTTTCGCTGAAGCACTAACGCCTTTGGCACTGAGGAGATGAGCTTCTCTTGTGCGTGAGGGGCCACTCTTGCGTGCACTCGCACACGAGGAGGAACTGCATGTCGACCCGTGACCACGCAAACTCCTGCTGGACTTATACGGGTAGCTTCTCTGGAGACGGTCCTTTGAAGACCAAGCCTTCTTGTGCTTGCTTGCGAAATAAGCTTTGATCAAGGCGTCATCGCAGGTGATGCCGATTATCTGTAGCTTTGCACGACGCTCCCCGTAAGGCTCTCGAAACCCCAGCCAAAGATTAGTGTCGTTATGCTGTGCTTTTCCTCTTACGAGATCAGGCCTAACCACAGCCACTACTAGCACACTGCCCAGCGCATCGTATCGGGCGGCTCTGTAGGATCATTCTTCCAAATCTGGGGAGCCTTTTTGCGGCTCGCCAAATGGCCAAGACGTAGACGATGGCCTTGTCAGTCCCGGTTCTCCCTCTCATCTGACGTCGCTGGCAGGCCTGTGATCCAGCGACCAACATACTCCTGGCTGGCTATGTGTAACTACCCGCAAGTAGGCATCCCACGCAGTTGAGCAGGGATGGATCAGTGAAAATTCCTCCTGAGACACGCGCGGAGTTTGATCAGCCTCGTTCGCAAACGTGTGCACCTCAAGGAAGTGATGCTCCCGCAAGACTTACCAAAACTCTAACAAAGAGCCACTCAAAACCAAAAACAAGAGAGGCTAGAGATGCTTGACGCCTTTCTACCGAATCAGCCTTCATCTCGAAGTTCTGACAAACTTAATTGAGCCCCGGGCGGGTCGTGGTCGATCTATCTCGCATATTGAGCATGTGCTATGATCGGAAGCGTGCAGGATTCCGTCTATAAGAGAGCAAATTCCTTCTCCGGGCCCATTTTCTTTCACTTCCTCAATCCTTGACCACTGTAGATAAATCAATTGCTTATTCCATCAGCGGAATCCCACGGTGCATCCCTACGACTTCCGACACCTGCCGACAACCTCAAAGATGTTGCAGGTCGTCACGGATGGTACATCCAGTGGCGACTCCGAGGTCTCTCTTGCGCAGAGCGTGACCTCTCCTAACAAAGCATCGTGAGTAGTGTGCACCGACCTATTGATAGTGAGACTTTCTCTGATAGCAGCTCTAGACCCTACTCGGACATGATTGCCCTTCGCTGCACCGATGGAGTGCTCTTTGTCCACAGGTTCAAACTCGAGACCATGCCAAAGCTTCATTCTTTGGTCTCACCGCACCATGAGCTCAACATCCTGGGAGTCTCCGCCGCAGCAGGTCATGTACTCGTCAACTTCCTGTACAAGGGATACTACGATGTCGCTCTGTCGTGGAATGCCGGGCGTGTCACGAAAACGCGCGATGCAGAATTGCTACGCTGTAGTTTCGATGTTTATGCCACAGCGCGGCAGTACGACATCGACAGCCTGGCAATCTTGGCACAGGACGATATAGAGAGCCGGACTGTTCACCTCGAGCCTGCCGAGGCCCTGGCCGCTGTCAAGAAGGCCTGTCCGCTGCCGGATACAAAAGACGAGTGGCTGCGCAACTACACGAAGACACTGCTCAATGCCGCATACCCTAGTATCGAAGCCTTCCTGACATCAACCATCATGGCGGCCGACCATGCCGAAGAAACCATGTCAATCACGGAAATGCTGCTGCGTACCGTGATTTCATCAACCATGGAAAGAGAGCTCGAGGAGAAGACAGAGCGAGAGGCTGTGGAAGAGGCTGCACGAGCGGAATTGCGTCCTGAGCTTGAAGCGCTGGAAGCGAAGAAGACGAGGAGAGGGAAGTTGGGCAGGACGGACCAGGCCAGGCTAGATGAGCTGACATGCATCTTCGAGCCGGTATCTAAACCCGACTTCACACCCCCACCCGAAATGGTATAAAGTGGCGGCCCGGATCACGGGTTTGCTGTACACTTGATAAGGTGTATCTGAGATTTCGTACCTCCAATACACTAATTAAGTGCTGTCACTACATAGCGTCTCGGCATATGCGGAAGTCGTTCTAGGGAGCCCGAGAAACTACTTGAAACCGTACCGGGTGTCTGTGAGCCCCAGAGACCGGTGCCGCCAGCAAGGAACAATAATTCGCCCTCATATTCTACACTCTTTTCCTCGTTTTGAAAGACGCTGGAGCACCTCGAGGTCGAGATACCGACCGATGAGTCACGTCGTTGTGGCCGCGGTTGGAGATAGAGCTCTGGTACTGTGTGACATAGAAAAGTCCAAGCAGAGCATTATATGACTGGACAGGACGTTTATGTAACGCGTTGAAGAACTCGAGTTAGGATTGTGACGTGCGATCTTTCAATGGACGGGTAAGATGCCAGCTGCTCAGAGCAGCTACGGGGCGCAATCGCTGATGTCAAACTTCCACCCAGATTCAGTGCCAAACAGGCCTTGCGGGTTCTCACGGCGCGCCGGATTGACGAATGAGTTCTTCGTCCCAGCCCCAAGAGATCGGAACATACAAGCATGGCAGATGAGTTGCGCAGACAAACCGTGTTCCACTATCGCGAACTCTTCCTCCAGACACGGCCTTTGGCGATGTCCGTTCCAGACTTGATTCCAGCCTTGACTGAGTGCCAGAACTTCTGTTGGTCCAGCTTGGACTACGTTGTGAGACGGTGAGCCAGGAGGTCTTACGAGTTCGCCCCGTCCGCGACAGTAATTAGTTCTAACACCACCGCGGATTCAGAACAATCGCCGCTTTCTGGGTCCATCAGTCTTATGCGAAGAGCACATGTCGAGTCTCGAGCAGCTTTCGAAGGTCGAACTCTTCCACTCCAGTCAGATGCGCTTGTCTAGCGATGTGCGTCTTCTCTGCTTGCGAGGCGGAGTACTTGAAGTCAGTCGTGTACCGCTGGATCTATTTCTTCTTAGACGGATCCGCCGTTCGCTCCGGCTCTGATATAGCCCTGCGCAAGTTGTGGCCCGCCAGGGAAAGGCCGGTGCAAGAACCGGCCAAATCCGTGATGATGCCGTCCAACGCCCTAGGTGACAACAACGCCCTAGGTGACAACAACACTTCTTTTGGGTCCGGTAGGGGCCAGATCTGGTTCTCATACAGCTGGCGCAGGGAGTTACCCAGCATGTATGACTCGCATTGGTTGGGACCGTCGTTGTTGGTGCGTCGTTGTAGGCACAGGCTGTTCTCACTTGCACAGCCTTTCAGGAGTTTGTCGATGTTGGTGCGGATGGGACGAAGTAATGCCTCGATCATCCTGACCTTCTTGCCTTTCAAGTAGTCTGTGGCCGATTGTCAGCTAGCCTGCGACAATCACATCAGGTTGGCCCACGTAGCCAGTCTTGTAAGACGGCAGCACTGACCGACTAGCCCTGGAGGAAGGACACGAGGCGTCGAAGCACCCTCCACGGCAGCTCCATTTGGCATGTCCATGACGAGTCGTGTCACAGTTTCTTCGTACTTGTCCTTATGGCCCAGTTGATAGAAGATCCAGCTCAGACGCAAGAGACTCTGCTCGTGCTTGTCGCCTACCTGTAGGGACAGGACCCAATGCGCAACGAAGGGCTGGAACAGCGCCATGCAGTCATACTTGTCCGCCGTGACCACCAGATCGTATAGCTTCATGATGAACGTCTCGGGCGTGCTGGGGAACCTCGAGTACCTTGTCCCATGCATCATTCGCAGCAGTCTCTCCATGGATGACGATGCGTCGTCAGGCAGCTCAACCCCTACGCCAGTCCCGCGCTGCTGGAGTCGACGCTGGACGCGTCGAGACGGCCTTTTCGTGCCGTGCCAGCTCGGATGCCACGCTGCCTGGCTCCGGGGGCTCCTTGGCGAAGACGTCGAGCCCGGCGCCGGCGATCCAGCCTTGGTCGAGGCCCTTGAGCAGCGCCGCCTCGGTGTACACGCCCCCCGGCCATGTTGAGCACCCTCGCCGTCTTCTTCATCTTCTGGGACTCAGCTTCGCCAAGGAGCCGCACCTGGGCGCCAGCACCGTCGAGGCCCAGGAGAACGTCAGCCTCGATGTCTGCTCCCAGATACTCACCATCCTGCTCGGCGGCCTGCCACCTCCGCCATCAACACGCCTTGATCCTCCCGGAGGAGTACCGCAAGCTGCAGCCCTATGTCAAGCTCGTCGAGCGCATGGGTGCCTGTACACGCAGCACTATGCCTCGGCTGGCCGGAACAGCGGCGGCGGAGGCGGCGGCGGCGGCCTGCTTGGTGGCACCAAGTTCGAGCTTGTCTACGAGGGAGAGCTGTCGGGCGTGTCCAACACGCGCCCGCTCTTTGCCGCCCTGGTCAAAGGGCTGGTGTCAGTCATTACCGACTTGGGTGGGCGAGATGTCAACATTGTCAACGCGACCCTCATAGCCAAGGAGAAGGGCATCGTCATCAACGAGGTCCACGAGCGCGGCGGCAGCGGCGACAGGACGTCCTCCGGTGCATATGCGAGCCTGGTCACACTGCGGTCTGTTGATGATCCTCACCACCGTCGTACGGACTCTGGTGGCGGCGTTGCTGCTACTGCTGCTGCTGCTACTGCTATCGCCAGGAGCAGGAGCCGTGGTGCCAATCGTAGCGGTGGGCAGATGATCCAGGGCTACGTGTCGGGCAAGAACATCTACATCTCAAAGCTGGGGCGGTTCATGTCGAGTTTCGTCCCCGAGAGCTCCCTGCTCATCTTGCACAACTACGATGAGCCGGGAAAGATCGGTGGCGTGGGGTTGGTACTGGGAAAGCATGGAATCAATATCCGGTCCATGCAGGTTACTAGCCTGGAGGAGGAGGAAAGCGAGCCTGAGGGGAAGGAGTCTGGCGGAGGAGGCGCGGACTGGCCGTCCTGGCGAGGATGGACTCTGCTGTTGCTGGTGTTGAAGGTGTGCCGGACGATGTGGTAGAAAAACCTGGAAACGAGGCGCTCATGATCTTGGGCGTCAGCGGGACTGTCAGTCGTGCTGTCGTGGAGGATCTCGAGCGTTCGGAGGGTATCCTGGACGTCAGTCTTGTGCAGCTCGGGGGTTAGGCGATGCCTGTGGTGGATAGCATGACACTAAGCCACGGCACTTGCAAGTAAGACAGGCAGGAGGCTATGGCGAGCACATGCGAAGAATGCAACTTGGCTGCTGCGCTGCACAGCTTGAAGAAAGCCAATCTTTGTGGGAGAATGCTCGATACCTACAATCGTTTGTGGACTTCTCGTGAAACAGCACGTTCACAGTCTCCTGCGGTAGTGTTGTTCTTCTCATTTTCTTCGTTCAATTGGCTGTCCTCCACACAAACTAGCTTCCTGGCCAATGCGACACCATGGCCTGAAGTCTTGATTCGCATATTGCTAGGCCGAAATGAACTACATTGAACCAACTTTCCATTTTGCAGAATGATCAACTTTGGCCCCCTAAATGTAGTACATCGAATTTCTCAGATTCTGATGAACCTCAACTGATATGTCTCTACCATAGCCAGCACGGCTCGTTGTCGAAGCACCGCCCACTGAAGCCGTGTCGCTCGAATCCGAGAAAAGGTCCGTCATGTACGCCCGCTGGCGTGTGCAGACAATGTCGGCATAGTATGCTGGGGGGCAGATGCTCACGGCTTTCGTGGCGCGACCGAACATGTAGCACATCTCATGCGTGAGCTCCTGGATGCCATTGGCTGCGGCAGCGCCTTGGCCAAGGGTGGCGCGGAAGACCTCGTCGAGAAGAACTGTGTAGTGCGCTGGCCGGGCGGTGCCTAGATGTTGAGGGAGAAACCATCAGTACCCTTGGCATGAAACCAAACAAGTAGATTGAACATATGGAGAAGGCTTACCTTGCAGTGCGGCATGGGCAACGAGGAAAAAGTCCCAGATCCTCGCCTGGGTCACGCCTCTGTCTACAACAGTGCCAGTGGCTACATTGCGTGATTTGGTCATGTGCTGGGGGTCCGTCGGATAGAATCTCGTCTGGTGCCGCTTCACAGACACGACCACGGTGATCTTTGGTTGTGCGCCGCCGGCAGGATATTTCTTTGTGCATGCCTCGCGGATGAGCGGGAGCTCTTTCTCCAAGACCTGCTGAAACTGCCCTTCGGATACGCCATCACGGAATATGATGATGTTCTCAGGCAGCCTTCCATGGTTGTTTTTGTTTTCCTGCCAAAGCACAAGGCGTTCTCCAAACTTCTCACGTAGTCTCTCGCCGAGCATCTCCACGCGACCATCTTGGGCCCAGGCTGCGGCTGGCCACTGAGAGAGTTCCTTGTCGACGCTTGCGACGAGGCCCACGAGACTGGGTGAATTGGAGCCCGGGGGCGGGTGTGTGACGTCGTACCCGACAACCATGGTCTTGCCCTCACGGATAATGGCAATGTCATTCTTGAGCTGGTGGTTACTGCCACCCATCTTGAGGTTGATTTTCAGACCGACATTGGCGAAATACTGATCCAGCCCCCTGCCCTTAGTGAGGTTCCTTCGCACCATGCAAGTAGTGTGTATACCGAATTCAGTATCACCAAGGCTCTTGACCGCAGCATAGATGTCTGGGTCGTTCTGGGCAAGAATGACGAAAACAAACTGTGCACCTTGTCCGTCCGAAGCTTCTTTGATCTCGGTGAACGCACGGCGCATCTCATCTACCGGGTGGGCCAATCGGGTGTTAACCACAAGACCTTGAGGATGCATGGGTGTTTTGGCGATGGGTATGCCCATGTCTGTGAGGACTTTCGTGAACTGCTCATTCATGACTGTTGTGACGTCCTCCTTGTCCCGTGGATCTGGGTCCACGTGAACAAATGTCCACCTGTCAATCTTGGCACCGGGTTTGAGGACATTGACCCCAATCATATTCCAGGAGCCTTCGCGCGGGTTGGCGTCCTTCTTGTTCTTGTATTGTATGGCCGGATTTTTAAGCTCGCGGCCGTTGATCGTCAGCAGATCCTTCTCAATCTTGACACCAAACTCAGACTTGTAAAGTCGTTAGCAACTCGAGACTCTGTTCATTCGCGGAATTAACGACACTCACCAGTTTCTCGTTGCTATCCAGCTGGAGACACTTCCGCCCGAACGTGGTGATCGATGTTGCATTAGCGACTGGTGAGCGACATGCAAAAGTGATCAGGGTCGGAGTCTCCCTTGCGTTGAGTTTACGCTGCAATGGCTGGCCCGGGATGACCTCGACGGCTTCCGCGGGCATAAAGACTGGTCGTTGGGAGGTTCCGATGTTGATCACGGGCAAGTTCGGGTTAACGGTTTTTTCATAACCTGTGATGTAAAGGGCTTCGAGTTAGTCGAGGCCGGTTCTGGCTATGATGTCGATAGCAGCCTCGAGAACTTACGCCTCTGGAAATATTCGGCGACCGTATAGTACCGATTGGGTATCAAGCCTGTTGACCCTGTCGGACCAGTGAGGTAGAACTCTACCTCAGTGGCGTTTGCGCCCAGCCTTTTCACCTTGGGCGGCTTCGCCTCTTTGCCCTTAGCAGTGTAAGGCGAAGCAAGCCCCTGAATCATCTTCACCACAACCCGCTTCGTCTCACCTTTATCACCCAGGTAAGTGACACGAGCCCGAAGCTTGGACATGTTCTTGTGTAACGTGTGCATGTTGTACAGGGCCGCCTGAGTGAAAAGGTTGATCGCCGGGCCGGCGGGACGAAACACTCCGTGACTGACATTCGCATTGAGCAGCAGACGGCCAGTTGCCGGTCGAGCAGACTGGAAATAACCTCTGATGGCTTCATTCCAGCCCAGTCCTTGTCTCTCAGTCCGGAGCGTTGGCTCATCGATAGGAAAGAAGCGGCTCCGACCAATCGATGCGATTTCGGAGTTCCCTCGGGGACTGTGACCCATAATCACGTTAAGGGCATCGATGACATCCTCGTACTTTGGGAAGGACTTGCTCCCAGTAGGATCATTCATAGTCGTGAGATACCGAAACAACGCTGACAAATCCACGTCGAGGGGTCCGTTGAACTTGACCTCATATTGATCGTCGTGTCCTTCCAGTGTATAGTCGACGAGCACGATGTTGTTGCTTGGAAGCGGAAGAGGTTTCAGCGTGATAACCTGATTCTTGAACTCGGTTACCAGAGGGTGACCATGTGCAATCTGGCTGAGAGCGCTTTTGATGATGCTCATCAGCTTCAGACCTTTCGCGTCTTTGGCTTGTTGTTTCTTGTCCTTGTTCTGCACCGGCTTAACTTCGAGTTGGTATTTGAAGAGAGATTGCTGTTTGATCTTCTTCTCAAAGTAGTTCGCCCAAAGCAACACTGGGCGCCCACTTGTGCCGAACGCTGTACGACAAGGGAAGTGTTCGCCTGGAATCGGTTGAGCTCCTTTGGAGATCTGCGTCCTCGCCATCTTGCTTGTGAGCGCATCTGGTCCAAGCTGTTCCCTCAAGATCTTGTCTTCGAGAGCCTGCGTGGAAGAATCTGGCTTGGGCGCTTGGTTGGGTCTGTGATAGTGTGAGCTCTACTTCTGGTGGAGGCGTGCGTTGCTATTAAGACTCACCTGAAGACCTCTGATTCCCCGGGGAACTTGTCACCACCTCGACCACCTCGACCACCACCACGACCACCACGACCACCACCTCGTCCACCACGGAAGTCACCTCCTCTGCCTCCACCGCGGTGATCACCGCGACCTCCACGATTCTCCCCACCGCCACGGAAGTCGCCCCTGTCACTGCCACGGCTGCCACGGCCGCCGCCACGACCACCGCGCGGGTTGCCTTGGCTGTCGAAGCCGGAAAATGAGACGCCATCTCCGCGGCCTCTGCCGCCCCCGCCTCGCGAGCCGCCCCGGTCACCACGTCCTCCACGGCCTCTGCCTCTCGGCTGGTCGGACATGCCTTCTTGTTCTGGCGGGGCCAAGGACGGTGGTGGCGATTGTGCTGCTGTGATGCGATTTGGTACGTGGGCTATACCGCCAAAATTGCGTGGTTGCTGCTGATTTATTAGTATAAGTGAGGATTGGCGGCGGGTGCAACTGCGAGGTGCTCTGCAAAAGAAATAAAGTCTGCGGCCGAGCATACCGCTTCGCTATAAGTGAGGAGAAGAACACCTGCCGCGAAGCAGGTGAAAGTCTCTCGTCTGTAGGATTTGCGTTCCTCATTGGGCGGTTTGATCGGCTGGTATGACATTGATATATCGGGAGCAGACTTACAAAGCAAGGTTCGTTGAGATATGAATGGCCAAGAGTTCGGTAATTGTGCAAACACGGCGTGTTCCAAATCGGTCTACTTCACACTTTGCGAAGGGATCGTTGGGCGCTTGCTTGTGAAGGACGTTTGCTGCACGGGCCGGCTGTCTCTGATGGTGAGTGCCAGGTGAGCTTCTGGTGAGCGGCGATCAGGGTCGAACTTCCGAGACGAGTTGGGACGGCACGAGCAGGGACAACAAACAGTAGGATCCCGTTCTGCTCAGGCCAACGCAATGAGATACGAGCAGGCCGTGCTCTGGAAAGCGAGTAAGGCCTACAGGAAGATGGATAGATGCTCAATACGATGACGCGCGGAGTTGAGTGGCAAAAGCAACGGGCGTAGAGCGAGCTTTATGGCAGGTGCACGCTTGGAGACCGCAATGCTCAAGTGCTGGACGGGATGTGGGTCCTGCGGGCCAGGCCTGGGCACACCCACCTGTGGTCGACGCAGGCCGCCTCACTGCGCGTGGTCGGCCTCCTGCATACTTGACGCAAGAGGTCGGGCCTGTGACCGTGGGTCGCCCGTGTTGTGGTCGTACGTGGTTAGGCCCTCGAGCAGTGTCGAGTTGACCTGGTCCCTGCGCTTAATGTAGCAAGGGAGAAGTGACTGCTTGGAGGAGAACTGTGCGTCTTCGGCCACGAGCATCTGTGGCTGCTGCTCCGGTGGCCGGCAGTCGACATTCCGGCAGTCACTTCGAGGCGACTCATTGGCACGGTAGTCCAGGAGGTAGTGGATGATTTCGGGTTGCGACCAGTCACGCTCGCGGAGAAGCTTGGTGGGCAGACAGGAGACAAATGACTGCAAGGGGCACGGCTGCTCACGCACGGCAGCAGATCGCGGGAAGCGACGTAGACTTGGTCTCTGCCTTTGCCAGGTAGCCCTCAACGTTGTGCGCACTCGTCCAAGGCTCTCTAGGTCAGCGACAGCGTCTGGCTATAGGAGTTGAGCCGGGGATCATTGCGTGTGGCGACAAATGTGCAATGGCGTGGATGGAGATCCTTGGTGACGCGGGGTTCGTCGCTGGTGCGGCTGGACCTTGTTGACGATATTGCGAAGCGCCTCATAAGAGCGAAGCGATTGCCTCTGCGCTGCCACTCGGCAAGATACTAAATAGTCGCCAACACTGCACTTGGGCGGGGTCACCTTGGTTGTGAAGGCGCGGAAACGGTTGAGAAGTGCCACGTACCAATGTGGGGGTTAGCCATATTGGAGGGTTGGCCAATCTTGACCTTGTCGTCGTCGGCAGCCTTCCGCTCCCCGTGCTGGTGCATGTGCTATATGGGTCGTGCCAGTGTGGTCCATCACGGAGAACGTTAGGAATAGCGACGGTCGGCTGGGCGCGTCCGCGAGACCTTGAGCTCATTTCTGCGGGCATTCAGAAGAGACCAGTGGTCCTAATGCGGTTGGAGATAACGCATGAGCAGCAACACTCAAGCCGATGTCCCCAAATGTACACGTGTACGTAGTTCAGCTGCCGAGAATAACGATGAACGACTTCGAAAACTGAGAAAGCTTGATGTTGACCGAGACAGCAAGGCCACAAAGACGATGAGTTACGTCGTGAAAGATTGCTTGTCAACAACGGACGAGATTACCCACGCCCAAGATGAGAGAGAAGGGGTCGGCGTGAAGAAGAGGGGGAACATTAGCTGCTGAAAGAAGTCCTGGTCGGTTTATCAAACGGCATAGGCTTCTTTGGAGAAAGCCGTGTAACTCTTCGTGATGAACAGCAAAGTCTCTTCCTACCACGATTTGGCATGTAGTCGAGCGAGGCGCTTGATGGGTGCAACTGCCGCGTTTGTTTTGAACTTCCCTGCACGGTTGAGTGCTTGTTGATCAACAAGTTCTGGTCGTTGATAGGGGATGATCTTGATTATTGAGCTCTAGTCTTCGAAAAGAAGATCACGGCAATGCCATAGTACCCTTCCTTGTCCTCACATTCTGATTATGCTTTGAGTCCCAATCTCCTCAAGTGGCTTTGCGGACGAGAGGCCGATTACTTGTCCCCATATCATCAACGCTACCTGTATCTGGCAGTGTGATACGTATATGAAGAACGCGAAAGTATCGTGACTTCGCCCAAACATTCAAAATCGATAATATGTCTAATTTACTTGGCTTGAGGAAAAGAAAATCGTTTCATCGCGAGGTTCCAACACATGTTGCCACTCCGGGGTTTATCTTCCTGCCATATTCTCCGCCGCTCAACCTGCCGCAGTTGTTCCTAATGTCTTCTAGAAGAAGTTTAATCTGCCCATTCGGTGACCCATTAAAGAAACTCGCGTCTGAAACATCGCTCCCGACGCCGTTCCCGAGAGCTAACGGCATGCGGTGGTGGGTCGACGTTCATCATGGCTTGTGGCTCAAGCCTCGGGCTCCTCGCCATGGTGGAGATGTTACCGGGTCACAAAACGCCGGCTTGGACACGGTAGACTGCAAGCACGAGTCAACGGTTTGGACATTCTAGGTGTCCCTGTTTCAAGTAGCTTGATTTTGCAATGTTCGTGTACTAGCGGCTATCCTACGAGCACGGGCCTGAGGCTATCTTGACTTCAGTCGTTCCCGTACTGTCGACGGACCATGTTTTGTCCACATACAGACTCAAACCTTCACAATAGGACCGAGAAGACTATTGGCGTCGTAGTAGAACACTCAAGCGTGGAAGGCCACAACAATCCAGGTTGAGTTTGTGACAAGATGTGGTCATCTTTGGGCATGTCAATTGCAGTGTGGACCATGAACGTGTAAGTACCCCTGCCAATGTTGAGATTCGATAAACTCGAACGACTAAACAGTATGCGCCCAGTACAGTAGATTCTCGGTATATTTCTCTGATACCCGTAAAGCCTTAGAAGTAGTTGAGGTGGTACAACGGGCTGGCCGAAGCGAAGTGATCTCATTCTGGTCAACGCTCCGAATGCGACAGCAATATTGTCCGGTTCAGACAGGCCCCCAAGGTTCTCCGGCCTAGTCACTGACAGCGGTCTTGGAAATTCTTTTTCGCTGATTTTAGTTGTAGTTTGATCATTGTCTCTCAATCTTTTTGTGACGGCCCGGAGTTTTTGCAGCGAATGGAAACCTCCGGTCTTGGCGAGGGATTGTGCTGGCGCCATGCCGGCGAGCCCAGCCAATCGTCCATCAAGGACTGACAGCTTCTCTAGGTAGTCTCAGTTTCATGTTGGATGGCCCCCAAGCGCCCACCAACCCTGCCACTTGCAGGTGTTGTCGTCAGCTGTTACTGATGGTATTTCGTGTGTGCACGGAGGACACCAGAACAAGTGGTCGCCACGATGATCTCGCCGCCACTTAGATACACGAGCCAGTGCACCATATCAGCATCTCCAGCTCTCTCGACCTGTGCTTAATTTGGTCACCGAAGACCATCACTTCGTTGGGGCCATGGCAGCCTTGTGAGTGTGGTGCGACCAGCCGCCTCTGATCTGCTTGCAACGCGCCAGATAGTTCAGTTGGTGCTTGACACGCCACAAGATCTTCAGGACCAACCTGCATTATCATCCCGACCGCATCTCTGGGCGTCCTTTGCAGAGCACGCGCCAGTCTGAGGTGAGGTAGGTTTTGTGACTCTCAATATAGCTGATGCCGTGGCAGCCTTGTCGGGTTTTCAGATACAACACGCTGATGGAGCTACCCCCTTGGCGGCTGTCTCCGTCTCTTGCGCAGCCCTCATGAGTCCTATTTGCAAATCACCGGCCTCCATGGATTCCGAAAAATGAAAACTTTGTTTTTTTCGTCTTAAGGTTCACTGCCATTTAAGCTTGAATGTAGCACAAACTTCTAGAAAAAAAAGTCCACTTTATCTTTAGCGATGATGACATGCAACCCAGATTGACAATGGCTGCCTAGTTCTCCCACGGTCTCTGCACAGACATACAAACCAGGTTCATAGGGATTTGATCACTGGTGCTCGGCTGTCAAGAGCCGGCTGGGTTCATGACTGTACAATGCTGATCACCACCATCACACCGTACTGATGGCCTGCTGCAGCCAATACGGGAATAAAGCTTTTTCAATAGTCCCCTTCCCACACAGGGAGCACGATCTGCAGCGAATGATTTTGGGGCAGAGTGCGAGAGCTCCACACTCATCCCATTCGCAATGCAACGCTGACCACGACGATCTCTGCCGCGAAGCTGCAGTTGGCGGGCCGGGACTGCGGCTTCACCTGACGAGGTGCTGTCAGTGTTGGTTTGTGTTGATTTGTGTGTGTGCGTCCCTGGAGGCATGTGTCCCTTGCTCAGGCCCATCTCCACCATGGCGGAAACATTGCTCTCCCGCTTTTCCAAACGGCACAACCGCAATTCCAAATTAGTTCTTCAGGACATCTAGAAGCACACCAAAGCGGAAGCCGTACTGGCCCGGAACAGGGTGATAATTAGACACCGTCAGCTGCGGCAATGGCGGCAATAACCGACAACCAACTGCATCCACTCTTCCCGCCTCTTCCAACTCGTCCTAAGAAATGAACTGAAATTCAGCCGTCTCACGCGCGCAGAAGCTTCGTGCCCGGCACTCGCTTATGTCCGCCACGACGTGGTGCAACAAGACGCATTGTCCATTCTCACCGTGTCCTGTGCACGCGACACAACTTACTCCTGCCAAGCATGTTTGCACAACTTTGAATGCTCTGATAACCGAGACTGTGGCATACACAGCCACAGCCACCGCCGCAGCAAGACACTCTCTTTTCGCTATCGTTTAAGATCTCATCTCAGCCCATTGTGCTCGGAACATTCTTCTACAACAAGTAAATTGGGGGAGGGCTCTTGTCGTCGCCAAGCTTGTGATGGGTTGCGCCGGCCGTTTCCATAAATTGACCTCTTTCTGGACCCCACGAAGTGACTGAGCGCCCCTCGCTGCCCGCGGCCGAATCTGACACCGCGCGCGCGCGCCCTTGACGGAACAACACGCAAAAAAGAATCAGACTAGGTAGGTAGGGGCGCAGCGCACGGCCAGTAACTCCACGCATCTGCTAGCCAGTTCGGACGGCAACCCATATATCTTTAGAATTAGGGCAGAATAAACACGAGCGGGAAGGCTGTGCAGAACCAAACAGTGGGCTCTCCCCCGCGTGAAGACCGGGATGATGGAGGGACGGGCCCGCGAAAGGTTGGCTGGCAAGTGCCGTTCGGGGCAGGTCAGGAGCCCCCTGCACGTAAGCACCCAGCCCTACGCGCAACCAACTAGTTGAGAATTGGCACTCTGCGGATTTGTCAACATCTTACGACATGGACCGTCCCGCAGCGGAGAAAAGAACCAGGAATTAGAAAGAAATAATAATGGAAAAAGAAAGGAAATAATGTTTTGTGAGAAGGTGTACTCGTTCGAGTCAAGCGTGCTTCGCCCCTCTCCACAACCTGTGGATCTTCCTCCTCAAACTGCGCATGTCACTGAACCTTGACGGAATCCTGGTCGTGCCTTGTCGCCCCAAATGGAACAATAGCTTTCCCATCTCAAGGCTGCAGGCTATCACGAAGATAAGATCTGGGAGATAAGGACGGCATAATGTCCGTCCACACCCATTACCTCAGTGTTGCCGGTAGTGCCTGGGCATTCTGGCATACATGGACGAGGGGATCATGCAGCCCTTCCTTCAGCGGCCAGCTACAGGGGCACATAGCAGGCAACAGCAGGCAAGATCCGCGTGCGATGGAAGAGATCCTCCCATTGACTTTACCAACCATGCCCACATCCGTGCAGATCATTGGGTCTCCAAAGTCCGACAACACGCAGCAAAGTGTCAACAAAGTTGGCAGCCACAACAGGCCATCATCATCCTCCACGCCAGCAGTGTGTGGCTGATCATGACTGCTCCCAATATCGATCGCCTTTCCTGAGAATAGCACATCGAGGGCCGGCCTGCCGGCCTGCCTGCCTGCCAGGCCCTGCAGCGCCGTATCATCGCAAGCCCCATCGCGCCGGTGTACGTCTACCTGCTGTAGGCTGCACGTTCCTTCCAAGAAAAGCCAAGGGCAATCTCCCGTCAGCCATCCATGTCCGTTTCGAGAACCCAGAGGCCCTGCGAGACAGGCTGACACGCCCAAACCTAATCTGCCATCCCACCAATGACACAATCACCACGACGAAGCCGTCAGCCAGGTCTTCCGCGGCCAATCGACTCGACAAAGACTCACTTACTATGCCCCCTGCCGCGTTTCAGATGCACAAATGGAGAGCACGTCCAGATGTGGTATCTCGAGCCACGTTCCAGGCGGGGATTCAGGCCCTGTACTGTAGCCCAGGGTCCTGCCAGCCACGACTCCCCACGGCTCTCACCCTCCCTTTTACAGATCAGGAAAATGATTATACCACGTGGGCTCAGCATGTCACATTCACGTAAAGTACGTATCCAACAACATCTGCGCTCTGACTGAATCGCTGTTTTTGGGGCAGGGCCGCATGCACACTCCAACTCACTGCTCAGCTCAGCCCCCGGCCTGCCTGCCTGCCTGCCTGCCAGTCCACCCTGGCACAAAGCAATGCCTGCCCCCCGCGCGCGGGGCGCTTCGGCCAGACCGGAGCAAGGCTGCAATGGCACATCAACAGGAGGGACCCTGCCTGTAGCATCTGTCACAGCTACCCCCGGGTGATCATCCATTATTACTCCAACGGCCGAAACGGGAGACCACGCCACCCACCTGCTTGGCGGGCACGCCGGTCCCGTGGCCGGGACCGAGTCATGGAGTTGCTCCGAATTGCCAGCCAACATCGGAGCCGGAGCGTGGTTTGTGATTCCCCGCCCGACTTTACATGTTCTGTGCCGGTCGTCGATTTTCTCTCTGGGTTAACGCGGCTCTCTCTCTTTTTGTCTGCTTTGGATGCTCCGGTTTCAAATAAACCAGGGTCTTGCGCTTTCTTTGTCGACATTACTATTGTTGTGTGATTTCGAAGATGGGCGGAGGCTCGTAATAGTACTCGGGGGGCATGGCACGATTCATGCAGCGGGATACTTGATATGGCCTAGGGGATCAATTGAGAATGATTGTTTTTTTTTTTGTTTTTTTTAGATTTATTGACCATGAATGGAATAATGACTGCCAAAAGGACGAAGAATTTGTGTAAGCCAAGGCATGTATTCGGATACAGTTGCTTGGGAACATTGTGTGCTTGATATACGCTATTATGTACCGTGCGACAATCTGCAGAAAACACTTCGTTCCGAGTGTGCCCGCCCGCCACGGAACCATAACAGCACATTTCACGACAAAACCCACGGCATCGACGTTTACAGGAACTCAAGGCAGCACACCCAGATTTTACAAATCACTCTATACCAAAGCCCCCCTCCGCAATGACGAGAAATAGTATAATAATTCTTCAAATCATCGCGCTCACGCGCCCGATTTGACGTGCGTTCCCACGTGGGCTTAAAGTCAAACCCTCAACATGCGGGGGATATATACTTTCGGTGCTGCCGATAATGCTTACGAGGCATAGAGCTCCTCCTTGTCGGCAGTTTAAGCTTGTTTCTCAAACTGGTCCCCCCCCCCCCCCAGCACATATCAACAACCGAGAAAAACCCCATGACAGCGAAACTCCTCTTCATCGCGGCTCGATTGGGAGCAATTAGGCGACAATGACATGGTCCCCATAGATCTGCATGTTCTATAGCAGAACCGTTGTGGTATGCATGATTAGGTGACGGGGGGGGGGGGGGGGTTGATTGCAAGGTTGTTGTGTGCGTTGTGAAAGGATGGGAAAGAAAAGCGTTATAGCCCAGGAGCCGCGATGATAACCCCGCGGGGTTTGTTGTTGTTGCTGTTGTTGCGGCGGGCAGACTCAAACGGGGGTTTGTCCATTCGAGAAGGTGTAGCCTACAGATGCTTGAGGGCTTGAAAACTTACACGACTCAAGGCAGCGCATTTGCCAGTGCATATATCGTCTCAAAAACGATGAGAGGAAAAGAAAAAGGAGCGAAAAAAAGGTCCCACAATGGCCAGACCGAGCTGGAAAGGACCCCGGGGATTTTCCAGATGTCGCCTCGAGTGAGACAAAGCAAGTGATGTGCAGACAGCACACGTGGGCGACGATCTTTCTGTCGGCGGGAAGAGGCCCACTCTGATAAAGTTGGACGAGCAGTAACAGGGAGGGAGGGAGACAATGCGATGGGAAGAACAGACGGAAATAAAGTTTCGACAGCGATCGTCCTGATCCTCGAGGACTTGTGATTGGGCAACAAAAGGGTGTGGTTTACGACGGGCACGCAGGAATTGGGAGATGCGATGTGTAGCGTACATACAGCTCGGGTGGCGACAGATACGATGGGCGGGCGCGTTTCAGCTGCACAGTCGAACTCTTTGCATTGTGGTCTTTTTGCAAGGATTGAATCGCGGGCGGGCAACAAACTGTGTCTGCATGACTAAAGAACGCTGATGGTGATGTTGGACAGACAAGAATGATGAAACGGCAGGATCATGGAGTGCCCAGGCCAGGGACCATGGGAAAGGCAGCATAGGTAGCATGCTGTGCTCGATACCAAGAAAAAACAAGCTTGTGACCCGTGTGGCCAAGACGGGCGAGGCAAATGACGAGCGCGAGAGGCGTTGCGCCCCGATGCTTGGTCTGCTTGGAGAAATATGGGTGCCGGCCCGGGGCTGGACGAATCAGACAAGCCCGAGTCCGCTGGAAAATGGGTGTGGATGAATGAAAATGGGGAATTGGGAGGCGCCTATTTGCCTATTTGCGTAGATGGAGCTGCAAGCAGCAGGGACATCGACTCGTGCTGGGGAGACCGCAGATGTACTGTCTCAAGAAATTGGAATCAATTCATTTTTTATTTAATTTTATTATTTCTTCGTACGGGGCTGTATTTTACTGATCCATCCCGGTCTCATCTATCTGTCATGGCCCATCCCGGCTCGTCTGCTCCAAGAAGCACGCTACAGTACAAGCACGACCCGCCCGCGCACGTGGGCTGATGATCTTGGGGCAGTAGATCCCAGCCACCAGGGGGGACAGCTTCTGCTAAATTTACCAACGGCAAAGACAGATTTGGGTCGGCTGTGGATATGGGCATGACAGAGACAGGTGAGATGCGGCAGCTGCTAGGGCTGGTGCTGGTGGTGCTGCTGGCGGGTGGTGGTCTTTTTGGTGACAATGGGTGCGGATTACTGTTGCATGCTGATGGAGTATTTCTCCGTCTCCCGCAAGGCCACAAGCCACACCTGCTGTGTGGACCCTGGAACGGCTGGGCAGGGGCACAAAGTCTGAATGGCCATACCCCCGACAAGACCTCGCCTAGACCTGTCGAGGCTTGGTCTTCTGATTGGATGTGCTGCGACGGGGTCGGTCGTCGTCTATTATTTGGCATGACACTTTTCGTGTTTCTCCATGACAGCATAGCCCCCAAAGACCACGCCCTCAAGCCCATCATCAGCTCTTGCCCGCTGCTCCGTAAATCAATCAATCAATCAATCAACTAATCCAGAGAATGGGGCAGGCCACCAGCAGGAGAGACACCAACTACTGCGTAGCGTAGACAGGACCGCGCCATCCATCTCTCCGCCTCTCGCCCCAGGGAACAACCTGGCTTTGCCGCGCGGAAGTACCCATTAAGAACAAAGACTCTCTCCACCAATTCGCCCGTGCGCGCCAAAGACGGCCCGGCTCAGTGGGGCATCCCGCTGGAGAGCTCCGCAGGCACCTACTCATCGCCATGAAATAATTCCCGCTCGCCCAGGTGCCCAAGCATTTGTTCCGCCGCCCATCTGCCGGCTTGGCTGGCTTGGCCTCGCTTGGCTGTGTATGAGGTGCGCAGTCACGGCAGGCAGGCTGGCGGGCGGTGGACGGGGGTTCTGCCGAGCTGTCAGGGCCAAGCGCCGAGCACTGCCCCCCCCCCCAGCTGTATGTAATTGCTCACGACTCCAACGTCAACTCCACAACATCGTGGATACGGGATTTACATGCACAGTATCAGATCAGCGTCACGATGCAAACGGATCTGTCCGGCCATGTCCCTTCCCAGACAAGAAATTAATGCGGGGGAGGGGGGGCCGCCAGCCCACAAATTACGCGTACCCAAGTGCTTTCCTCCTCCCAATCCAGCTTTGGTGGAATAGCCGAAGCCAGATTAAGAGAGCAGCAGATGACAAGACTAGAGATTAAGCATCTTCGTCCCCAACCCCTTCTCCCATTCTAATAATAGGCGCCCGATTATGCACCGCGCCTACCGTTAACCCTTCTGGAAAGGCCCCTCTCTCGCGCTCCCCCATCATCACGCCTATGCGTGCGCCACCTCCACGCCGTAACCCCGACAGCCGGCCCGTCCGGTCGTAAACACGGCAAGCCAAATTCTACTTGGGGGGCTCCATGGTCGCCCGCCGCATCTGTTCCTGGAGCCGGGAATAGCCCACTGTCAAAAAAACGCAACACACGTATCACGGAGACGCTCAGCCCCCATGCGCCCTCTAGCGCTTGTTTCAGAAGCTGCCCGTGCCACGACGCCCGCCCGCCAACCACCCGCTGTGCGAACGTTAAAAAAAATAAACACAGCCCTATGAGCTGGAGGATCTTCTATTCAGCTAAACCGACCCCCCCCCTTCCCCCCCCGGTTCCCGCTCCCACGCTACTACATTGCTAGAGAAGTGCATCGTGAGGCCGACCAAACAGAAGCACGCCCGCCCTCGTGGCACTGGTACTCTTCCAGCCCACGAGAGGGAGGAGATCAGCAAGCAGGCCACGTGAAAGCAACCATGGAATCTGCCGACCACGAGGATGAGATTGATGACGGGAGAGAGCCCACAGAACTGCAGCAGCTTTGCCCCCCAGCCTGCGCTAACTACGCTATCTTGTACCAAAAAAGGAACCGCAGGTGGGCGCCCACACCCTGGCTCACCTGCTTCTGCTGCTGCTGCTTGGTGCTGCTGTACGATTTGGCATGGGAAACACAGAGATCTGCAGGGCTAGTATGGAGATCCTCCGTGCCTCTTTCTCGCCCTCTCTCTCTCTCCCTCCCTCTTTCTATGTGGCTTTGTCTCCGCGGGGCGTCGCTCGCGGGTCACTCAGCCTTACCAAAGTGCCCAGCCCTGAAGCAAGAGGAGGCACTAACTAGTTCTTGAACAGCGGTGCTTGGAGCTCGACCTGATATGCCCTTTACGTGCGACCGAGGCGTCATCTAGCGCCCGCGCAAATATTCGTAGCAGCCCTTTAAGGCCGGATCCTTCCCCCCACGAAACAAACGGCTTACACGATAAGTGCGTTTGGTCAAAACTAAACCAAGAAAAAGAAAAGTGACGGCAAGGCCACGAGAACCTGGTAAGCGGGAATAGCTAGCCCCAAATCGAGACAGTTTCTCTGAGGATATTGTCGGTCCGTCTCCAACCTCATCTGTACGGGCGTATCTGCGCGCCGCTCTCGTTGCTGTGGTGGTTGCCTCATCACAAAGGCCATCTCGGGCCGCTTCAGCAACAGGCATCTGTGTACGCGGGATGATGCAGCAGTACTCGGTCTACCACCAGGATACGTGCCACTTGGTCAGTGCTCATGCTCTCCCAGAAACGACGAATACGGTTCTTGGTAAGGCGTTGCTGGTCGGGTCTATCGATCAGCGAGGGGACCCGGTGCGGGAGGGAGGGGCCCGCCAGGGACGCTACTTCAGCACAATGGCGTAACCGCTGTTAAACGCACAACTGCTAGGTCTTACGGTCTGTGCGACCCGCTACTAGCTCTTCGCACCGTCAGTGGTTAGGGCAAGGCTTTAGACCAGTACTGTTCCGCTGGAGAGTGCCATGAGCGTCATCATCGTGGATCACAGGGGACATACGCCCAGCGATGAGAAGCTTCGGTTCCACGTGGGTAGCTTGGCTGCGGAAGTAACGAGAGCGTGAGAATCGCCCAAGGCCGACTGCTGCTAATCTCTGTTAAGCCATAAATGCTCGACTTTGTGGTTCTGTAGAAGGGATAAGAATCGAGCGGCGAGCGGCCGTTTTTCTGGACCCGTAGGAACAGACGGTCGAGCTTACGGAGTAACCGTTTGCTGCATGTATCGAAGTTTGAGCCCGTGGCAGACTCGATTGTGATGCATGGGAGCATTCCGCACGACCCCTGACATAGACATCAAATCATGCCGGCCGAATTGCGCGCATTTCCGGAGCAGACTGCCTGAACATGTGGGGAAGTCTACCGCCCACGTCTGCCAATAAAGCCAATAACGATAATGTGCTTCTCTGTACGTGCAAGCGAGGTTGCGTATTGCCTCTGGCCCCTCGTACGAGCAACGTATGTGGCTCAAAGCTGTCGATACAGCCCTGCGCGACAGCGACCACTCACGGTGCGTCAGGTGTGCACGCAGCGTCGCAGTAGGATTCCGTGGCGTTCCCTGATCGGGAGGTGGGTGTGGCTAAAAGGGACCAGGGGCCCTGGTGCCTGGGAAAGGCAGTAACATGGGCGGCCAAGTGGGGAGCTTGTCCAGGAAAGGATTACAGTTTTGGACTGGAGAACGGCCATGCCAAATAAACTGCTCAGGTGCAGTTGAGCGATTAATTCGGGCAGCCCTGCAAAGATCAGCGATGGTTTGGCTGTATAGGACCGCTGCAGCTGCCATCTGACTGGCCGACGCCACAGACACGTTTGAGCTAGACATGGATATGATCGCCCTCATCCTAATCGCTGTGTAGTGTAACTGGATCTTCTGTAGATTGGTCAGAAATACGGTGCACAGTAGGTGACCAGCCTCTCTGGTGCTGCTTCACGCGCAAGGAGGCACCGCCCTTCAAGGATGGCCTGGGCGATCTCACGATTGTGATCATGGCTGATGGCTCGGCAAAGCTTGGTTTGCGCCCACGGTGGCTGGGCCGGTTTGCCTGCGTGGGACGAGAGGCTTGGGCGTGATAATCCAAGATCACAATGCTTCAGTGTTGACGTAGCCTCGCCCGTGGCTAATGGTGGGTTCAAGCTGGCCAAAGCCATAGGGACATCCGGGGCTAAAACTGGATGGGCTTTTTACCTGGTTGGCTGCAGTGGGCTCTACAGCTCTTTCAGGTGTACGTGCAGTGGGCGTGAGCTTCTCCGTGTCCGTGAATTTTGGCAAAGCTGTGGTGACACTGACGTCCCTCGTCCTTCCAGTCTGCCAAAGCTGATCGCAGGATAGCGCAACAAAAACACACTCTGAACGGCAATGGCTTCTCGTTGAGCATGATTGTGAAATCCTCGCAAGCCAAGCCACATTCTCTACAGCGCCGGGGCTTCGCCCCTCGTCGTCGGTTCGTCAACTCAGCGCAACCGTTCTGCTCGCGCACTGGCGGATTGCGAGGCCCACTTGGCCAAATATAAGTCGATGGGCGAGCCTGCCTGAGGATCAGCAAGTAATGCAATGCAAGTCCTCTTTGCGTGAGCGTGAAACATGACCTCCATCCTGCTCCAAGTCCACCGACGGGAGCGTGTGCCGGTGCTGGTGTTCTCCACAATCGCCCCCCAGCCACGTGTATCTTTGAGACATCTGACCTAGGCGCACAAATACCAGAGTACACTCTTTGGGAGGAGAGCTTTGTGGCAGGTATCCTTGCGATTGCCATAGGCAAGCCCCTACGCCTGTCCAGGACAATCTTGCACACTGGCTAGGGAGATGGTCTTGAGGGTGGAATACATGGCCATGTTCAGAGTGGCTCATGAAGAAGGTTGTAGAGCTCCGTATTTCGCATGTGCTTGACTCGCATGTGATGGATGGAGCCAGGAAGCAGACATGCGGAGCGGCAATAACATCTAGTCTCGACTTGTAGATCCCTGTTTTCACTGGATCCAGACCATGAAACCGGGCAGAGTCTAGGATGTTGGCCTGATCATTCCAGCATAGCTCGCTCATACAAGAGAAGCCACTGAGCTCGAAGATCGACCATTTTTCAGCTCGGGGTTGTAGGGGACAACACGTGCTGATCAAGGACTTGACAGGCGGGCCTGTGAGCTGAGTGTCGTCTCTGGACGATGTGCGCTGAGCTGCACGAAGGGACCAACGAGAACTATGAGGATTCGCCGCTGGGCAAAGTACGAGACCGGAGAACTCTTGCTAATAAGCATTACTGTGGCGGGTTGGGGCGTGCTTGGCTTTGTGGTCGCCCCGGGTCCAGGGTCCTATGTTCGCCGGCTTATCTCATCGTGAGGCGTCCTGTGTACATGAACTGCCTGGAATAGCCAGCTCTCTTGCAGGCGAGCTTATACGAGCGGGGGCCAAGTTCCTTATCACTGACGATGTGGCGGCACCTCCTGTAGGGAGGCTGCGAAGGAGGTGCGATGGGATGCGGCGCTCTCTTGCAAGGACGTCATGTCAACCTGCTATGCTGGTGGACGGAGGTGGCGTCGTTGAGCGGAGGGGTGCTTTGGCTGGAGAGCTGTTTCCGCGTCACAACCTTAATCTCGCCTCTGGTGGTGGATGGGCAGGCGATCAGCTGGCGCTTTCCTAGGCCGGCAGGCCGGCTGTCGGCCATCTTTCCTGTCTTGGCTGCTGTGGGTGCTCTGCCCAGGAAGGAAGGACCCTGGCCTGCCCAGGCGGGCGTCGCTGCCCTCTCGCACCAACCTGCGCACCTCACTCGCTGCCTCCGCGCCGCCAAGCGCACCTGTCAACATCCCCGGGGCCACGTCCGCCACGGCGCACCTTTCCATCTCAACATCGACAGTCAATGCCTCTTTCTCGTGAGTTGACCTCGCAGTTCGACACGGGCAACATCAATATCCCCCGCATGGACTACATAGTTGAAAGCGCCACTAGTGGCATTTCGACCTCGAGATCGGTTGTTGCTTCTATTTTGGCAACACCTGCGGAAACGCACGCTACGCGGCCCCGCCCGCCCGCCTCTGGGGAGACAGTCGACGGCCGAAAGTGCCACAAGGCGATCCAATCAGTCACAACCAACCACGCTCCAGGACCTGGCACAGCGGAGAGCATGGCTGGCACAGCCCCCTCTATTGGCCGGCCTCTGCGTATCTACTACCACCCAGAGATCCAACGAGCCCGCCACCAAGCAAGCTCAATGCTTGCATTAGGACACATTGGAGCATGGCATGGCATATCAACTGCGGCACGGCAAGTGAGCGGTGTCTTCAGATCTTGCTACAGGGTCAAACGTGCGCTGCATTCGCACATGTTGCGTGGGTGGCGCTCATAGGGCTTACAAGATCTTGGTCCCTCGGTGACCGCCACAGCATCGTCCAAACTCATGCACAAGATGGCGCGCCCGGTTACATGTTTCGACAATTGAATTATCGCAGACAGAACGAGCCCTCTTGCGGCGAATAGCACACGTGTCTGTGCTCCTCCGAGGTACGGTCCGGCTTCGAGCATGAAGAGATCAGATTAGGAATGCTGCAGTCGTAGTCCTGAAGCTGGAAGCGGGAAAGACCTCGGAGCAGCATACAGGCGCTTCTGGGTGTCAAAGCGTGATTTCAAAAACGGCACCGGCCACTCCCAGACTACATTGGCCGTTCCTGAATGCACAAGAGCCCTGCAATATCCCAAATTAGACGATGTGGCATGGTGGCTTGAATCGGATGCAAGAAGTGGTGGTCCCCATGAGCCCCCTCGGCTGGCGTCTAGCAACCAATGCAAGCGACCAACGGGCCAGAGCATTGGAATGAGGCTCACCAACATATCAGTCAACAGGTCAAAGGATCTTGCTGAGCACGCACAATGTTGAGTTGCGAGCATATTGTGACCAAGGTGCACGCGAGTGGCCTGACATTTCGTCTCCATGAGTTGTCCCAGACCAGGGAACACGCCAGGACGCAGTCTCAGATAGACGGCCATGTGGCGCCGCGAAGGATCATTCTTGAAGTGTCCGTGGGGTAAGCAATGTCAGTGTGTGTCGTTGGCCGTGCACTATTGTTCCCAGAACCACAGAACGGGTCGGACGATGGTCCCCCGGTCAAGGAAGGTTTCGTCGTGTGAAGTCGAGGTACCTTGCAACGCGGCCTAGGAGACAGCCAACTAACCCTTTCGGGCAGCACTCCCAGGGACACTCCCTCACTTCCCACAACGGGCAATGCCTCGTTACGTTGGCCACGACACACCCCGGGCAGGCAGACCCTCCAGATAACGGGGCTTGGGTCTGTTGGCTCCACCCTGACCCTGGGCGACGGCGGCAGCAGCCAGGCTGGGGGACGCTAGACAACGACACCCGTACGCCCCAAGCCACTCCCTTGTGCACTGCGTCCGAATCTGGTGGCAGATCGACCACCAGGGTGCGGGCGATTTGCGTCATTCCTGGCCCTGCACTTTGATGGATGGTGACAAGGTTGTGCGCCGTGTGCGTGTTACCTACTAGTGCCAGTCACACAGCTGGAGCGAGCAAGATCGACAAGTTCTATACTGGGACACTGGGGGGGCACCATCTCCAACCCTTCTCGTCCTCGACGACTTATATCATGACTGCTTCCTCCTACCTTAAATCTGCTACCTCTGCTCTGGATCTATTGCTAACCAACAACCCTCTTCTCCAAGCCCTTCACCACCGCCAGTCTGCTTCAGCACAGCCCACCAGCCAGCCGTAGCAGCAACTGCTCTCTCACACAACCACACAAGACCATGGCTGCCTCATCCAACTCGAGCAACGCGGGCACAGCGTCACCTCGCTGTGGCCGGCCGTTGACGACTTCATATGCCGACCTCATGAAGCCCGACGAGGACTGGAGGAATCTCCCTGATGCCGCCGAACGCCGCAAGATCCAGAACCGCCTCGCCCAACGCGCATACCGTAAGCACCTGCACCTCTCCAAGGAGCAGTCGAGGACCAGAAGAGCAATGCAAGCTGACTGACCACCAACCCAGGCCGTAACATGAGAGATAGGACCAAGGAGGTGGAGAAGCTCAAGAAGCAGCTGCAAGAACTGCAAGGAACCCTCGGCCAGAACGGTAACACGACACCGCCCCCCGACCATGATTCACCACCGGGAAGCAACATGGCCAGCGGCCACAACACGCCACCCATGAGCACAGCTGCGCCCTACATGGCAACTTGGTCGCAACTGACTGGCCACGAAAACCTGAGCGGCCTCGGCCTGACTGGCGTCGATGCGAGCTTCGATCCGTCCTTCTTCGGCAGTGATGTCATGACTGGAATGGTTACACCGCCGTCGTCTTCAGCTGGTTCTCGCCCGCGCGCAACCACAGCCTCGTCAGTCCTGCAAAACACCATCCACGGTGCTCGCCACCTCCGCAGCAACAGCTCAGGAGCGATGATGGGCTCAAACTGCTCAAGCCCCATGCCCAATCAGTGGTCCGCTCCGACCTCAGAGCGCAGAGACTCGCTGACGATCGGGTCCATGTCTTCCACATCGAGCCCGATGCTTGCTGTTGCCGGTCAGGAGACTTTTGGATTGAGCTGCAGCCCCGAAGACGTTTCGTTCATGCAGGCGAGACCCAGCTTCTCCCTCGACGAGAGTCTCGGACAGGTCTCCTACCCGCCACCCCCTGATGTTGGCGCTCAAGCAGCCTGGCAGGGCATGGATCCCAGGACGATCTCGCAGCCCAACTTCACTCATGACGTTCCCATGGCTGAGCTTCCTGACATGACCCCAAACATGCCCGAGACTTCTGCACCACTGCTGCACTTTGCCATTGCCAGCGGAAGCCGCGACACTCTGCGGATCTTGCTGCAACGCCACGATGTCGACATCCAGGCTCGCGACCAGGTCGGCTACACGCCTCTCCAGCGGGCAGTGGCTTGCGGCCGGACGGACATGGTGCAGACGCTCCTCGACCATGGAGCCACAATTGACGGCGACCATGTTCTACACGACGCCTTCCTGCCGTCCAATTCCGACACGCAGTCGTAGACCAAGCCCGCCTAGGCAGGCTATACATTCCACCACAGCCCCCTTCGTTGGCGTTTCTCCCTCTACCTTGCGAGGCGCAGTCTCGTCTTGCTTTCCAATCGGGTTGTCTTTGAGCGATTAACGCCTCACGATTTCTTTTGTCTCATGTTTGGGCCGAGCGTTTGGCGTTTCTGGAATTCCCCATTGGCCAGGTTGGCGGCTTCTCTCAAGTCCTGGCTTTGAACCTTTTTTTCTACAATCCTCATTGGGCGTCGTCCCCAGGCTGGGCATTTATGGAGTATGGAGCGCGTGGTATCCTGAACAGGCTGTGTGGCCACCAAGCGTGGCTTTTCTTTTTGCCCTTATTTGCTGTACAAATCTAGCCATTGTTTCAAGAATAACCAAAATTTTACCCTCACTAAGCGATCTTGCTGCTTTCTTGTGATACTGGGTCGAACTGTGTGTGACCTTGAAGGTAACCGCCAGCGTATGAGTGTTGCTTCTCGCCCGGGTTGTCAATGTTGTGCATAACTCTCTATTCGAGCGACCCCATAGACACGACAAGGGACCTTGGTCTCCCATTGTGCTCCCAGAAACGCGCTAGACTTGAGGCAAGGCACCGGACATGATCGACAAGACATTTTGGAGATTGGGGCCACTAGTGTTGACCACGGCACCGGCCCCCGCATTGTCCTTGTTCGAAAATGGGAGTGCTGCTGTTGCTAGCGCCAGCTGTAATGGAGACTAACAAAAAGTCGCCCAAAAATAGCATGGGCAGGTTGTGCTTTGTGTGGCGGGGCACATCTGTGGAAGAGACCCCTCAAGGTCCTAGAGCCCCAGCGCGAAGATAAGGCTTGCAGCAGCGATCAGCGCCCATCACAGCCCACAATTCTAACTGGCATCCAATACTTGACTGCAGGCCGATGTAGCCTGCGTTCCACGGGGCAGTGGTCTCCAGCACCTTGCAGAGCCTGTTCTGGTGGGTTGTGCAGCGCCAAAATAGAGGGAGCTGAGACGCTGCCGGGCTGTGCAGAGAACAGGCTCTTCCTGAGCTCGTCAGATGCGTGGCTGGGGCCTTCAGTACCACATCAGGACGGCCCTGGAGGGGGAAGAGTACATGTCGCCCTTCAAGCTGGAGTTCGCTGCATTTGTAACTTGAAGCCGTAGGCACGACCGGCAAGGGCTGTGCCATGAGGCGGAGAGAAGGGTGCTCGTGGATCAACTATCTTGCTGGATGCTGAGGCCCACCCTGAATTTGGGGTGATCAGCACGCCCATTCCTGGCTGTCTTTGCCTCTGTGTCTCGGTTGGCAGGGCTGCCGGATGGCAAGAGGACAGGGAGTCTGCAGCGTGTTCGGGACCGGTCAAGCTGACTTGCTGGTTGGCTGCGAGGTGCAACGAAGATCACTGTTCAGCTCCGGACAGGCGCAGCCCGAGGGCATGCAGGGTGGCACAACCCCTACGCCGTCATCCGGGCGACGGATTCGTCTGCTTTTGCGACACGTGCGGGGTGTTGTCGTGGCTTGAGGTATGGTGACGAAGAGGGCGGCTGACCGAATCCTTCGGCGCTGTTGGTAGCACTATGCATTCAAAGTGAACCACGGGACGAAGGGGCTGGAGCATACCCCACGTCGATCTGTGCTGCTGCAAGTCTTCTGGCTGTGCCCTTCTCTTAGTGCTGATGTGCTGATGGGCTGATGCCTATCGTGAGGTGATGGCTGGGGAGCGTGGCATCGCGCTTGAGGCGGCCCCCAGATTCAGTACGCCTTACCATGTAGATGCGGCACCGCGGTGAGGTCCGCAGGTGAATGCGCTCAGGGCAAGGGATGGTGCACAGGGGCATGCCCCCACGCTGGGATAAGGTCGTGATGTGCCGCTCAGCAGCACGAACATGGAGGCTGGGGTTATCCTTGCAGCCTGCGCAGATGGCCTGTCACACAAGACTGGCGCACGGCTAACATTAGGCAGCCCGATACTAAGGCCAGGGGAGGGTCCTACATCGCCGGGCTTGGGTCATGGGAAGAGAGAGACTGGGCCAGTGTATTTCTCGATGCGCTGACAATGCGTTCTGCTCAGGAATCCGCTACGTCACTGGTCCGAGATGTAGCAACGGCCGGGTGCTTGATTTATCCACGGATTACTCTTGTACAGTACACGCTCAGCAGGATGTCGGGGAAGCACTTGCCTACTCAGGCTGACCAACCTCGTCTACCTAAGGTCGCGGAAGTAACTGGTCGTGTGGTTGTTGAAAGTGTGTGTGACGGGTTCACGTTGAAAGCTCGCGCACTATTCCGGAACGCTGCACACACCCACTGTAGGAACGCTAGCTATTCCCTGTAACGTCCCCTGTAGCGCCCACTGTAGCAACACTGTCGGGTGCACTAAAGCAACCACTGGCGTGCGGTCAATTTAGCTTGTATTGTGCTATCATGTACCAGGCTAGTCCTCACATGCGCAAACCTATTCGTCCTCCACGCAGTGCGCGCAACTACCGCATGCAAATAACCTCGCTCACGCGTATAGACTCACAACCCCTGGAGCTAGCGTTGCATGGCGTCCTGTTGCTAAAATAGTGCCCGCTCGTGACTTCTGGAAGTGTCGCCATAGTCATCGAACCAGTCCGCAGCAAACGCAAACGCCTGGCTAGGTGTATTTGAGCCGAGCATGAGGCACGGACAAGGATCGACTCATCTGCAAGACGACGACGAAATCGTCACACGACGACCCAGCCGGCACCGGCACCGACCATTCCCAACTGCTCCGCCGACCCCCGGGTGCCTTACATCAAGGAGTCGTATGCTGCACTCTTTCAAGAGGAGTTGGCTTTGGAACCTTATGCATTCCATCAGACCACTCGCGAATGAACGATTTGGAGAGGTACATTCGCGATTCAGAGGTCGACATGGCCATCATGGTGCTGTCTCTGCTGCGAGCTCTCAGGCCAGAAGGAATGGCTTGCCTCAAGCTTCTCGTCCTCGTTGGCGAACCCGGAAGGGATGTGCATGCGATAAAAGCGAGCCATACATAGTGCTTCAGCTCACTAAGTCAAGGCCTTCTGCGTAGAATAGCTGAAATTTAGAAGAATGTGCCGTTTATTCTTTGCTGTCGCCGGAGTTCCTGTCGCTCATAGGAGCTCCCGTAAATGATGGCAACCGCGTGCACCAGCCTCTTAACCCCACAAGCTACCTGACATGGAACTTTACACGACTGTGAAGGTATTGCCCGTAGCGAACTGGCGTTCAATAGTTTTGGCTATAGCTGCCATGGACTCTTGGAAGCCTAGTAGTCCGCAAATCCCAGGCCGCGTAAAACATCCGCAAAGATGAGGCTGATTCCTGCTCCTTGGAGTGCCGCGGTGATGGCAGCTATCCCCTGGCCTCCAGCTCCAGCACTCGTCAGAATCGAAAAAATACTCCCAGCAGTAACACTGCCTATGACGGACTGAAGGGCTGCTGCGGTGGATCCTGAGTGGGGGGCAAAACACCATTAGCATGGTATGGCTCCTGTCACGTCCCTGAGCATCGTCACTCGGATGGGACGAGACGCTGTGGCTTCGTGACGGGGACTTCGGACTGTTTTACATACCGGCAAGAACTCCTGTGGTCTCGAAGCCAAGGGCATGCAGGACCGCCACTGCTGGGCCACCAGCTAGATGGGGAGCGCCAATGAGAAGTAAAGCTCCGATGGAAAGCTGGGGGTTCTCTTTGGCGACCTCGAACATCTTGTCTGCGGCCTTGACAAGCTCGTCCAAGACAGACTCAATGTATGCCATGATCATCGCGTCAAACGCGTGCGCATATCCATAGAGATACTCTTCGTCCGTGCTGGCGAAGAACGTTTCTGGTGCTGGTAGGGCGACGAAGGCTTCTGGAGCTGGTAGGATGATGATATCTTCTGGACTTTCTACCGGGAGTCGCGTACCGGCAAGCATAGTGATGTTGTGCTCGTGACCAGCCGAGAGGGCTGCTAGAGCTGTATGCGCAACGGTGGTCAAATGACTTGCAACCATGATGTTGTCTCTGGAAGGTTCGAGATCTTGGCCGTGGCCAATTCGGTTGCTGCAGGGATCGTTGAAGTGGCCTGGAAAGCCCAATGCGTACGCGCCACCTCCGTTATGGTAAAGATAAAGTGCTCGTGGCACACGTCTGATAGTCGGTGTCGTCAGTCTATAATGCCTTAATCAAGGTTGCCGTCTGTCGGCGATGCGGCTGTGTTGACGCAGGAGCGCGTTGATGTGTCGCATCGTGGCGGTGATGGTACCAGTCCACGTGGTTCGAGGGGTTGGCTCACCTTCGTGGCAGTGGACGTGGGGGGAGTGGACGTGGGGGGAGTGGACGTTGGGGGGAGTGGACGTGGGACAACGACGGCAGCATCGTGGCGATACTGTATGCTTTGCGAACTCTACGAACCTGCTCGCTGCAGCGGGAGGCCTACCAGAAACTCACTCAACGTGTCTCAAAAACACTTTTCAACTCTATCCGTCTCGTATGCACGCGGAATCTCGCTAAGACCGTGTGCAGGAGGCTGAACACCGCCCGAGACTCTTGCCTCAACACAATGTTGTGACTCACGCGCAGGAAGCGTGCAAGCCACCGTCATGGCCTATCATAAGCCAATCCAAAATTGCTTTGTTTCAGCAGCATACAGTAGCGTAAGAAGCAAGTGCGCATTCCGCGCCTGAGCGGCTGCAACTACAACTCGTCCTTTCCCTTGTGGCTGGTCTGACTTTCCTCTTTTCTCCGCGTTGCCGCGGAAGCATGTTTGTTGTACTGTGCTACATGTGACCGTCTCTGCTCACGCGTGCTTCTGGCATGATTTCTCCTCATGGAATGTATCAGTTGGTGTGCCAGGTGGTGGCGAAGCAGTCTCACAGGGGGGAAAGTACCACAACAACTCCTTTATAGGTCCTCGATCAACATATATAAGACCTTGGCTGCCCATGGTGACAGCCACTTCCTCTTAATCTCACCAGTAAGCTCCGAAAGCAACCGACGGCAGTTTCTTCCTCATTATATTCCGACAACTCCGATCCAACGCTCTCGAATTTACCACTACTGTATTGCAATATCCACTCACCGACCAACCCCCCTCCTGCTGTGAATATGGCGATCACGACCGTCCAGAACGAGGCCCTGCAAGGCCTGTGCTCCAAAGATCGTCTCGATCTGATGGACGCTATCGATCGTCTGCGCTCCGAGGGCATCGACCATCTCATCTCGCTGCCTCAGATCATCGTGGTCGGTGACCAGTCATCCGGCAAGAGCTCCGTCCTTGAGGCCATCTCCGGCGTCCCCTTCCCAAGCCGAAGCAACCTCTGCACCCGATTCCCCACCGAAGTCGTACTGCGGCGAACCTCCCAGGTCAGCGCGCGCGTGTCGATCGTCCCGCATATGTCGAGAGACGACTCGGAGAAAGCTGCATTATCCAGCTTCGACGAGAAAATGGACACGTTCGAAGACCTTGCCCGGCTTATCGACGAGGCGAAATCCGCTATGGGGATATCGATTCACGGGCGGGCATTTGCTCGAGACCTGCTGCGCGTAGAGATCTCAGGGCCCGACCGCCCGCATCTGACCATCGTCGACCTGCCTGGCTTAATCCACTCCGAGACCAAGCATCAGAAGGCCTCTGACGTCGAACTGATCCAGGAGACGGTCGAGTCGTACATGTACGAGGCACGAAGCATCATCCTGGCAGTCGTGTCGGCGAAGAACGACTTCGCAAACCAGATCGTCCTGAAGCTCGCAAGGACGGTCGACCCCAGTGGGGAAAGAACCCTCGGTGTCGTCACAAAGCCCGACATGCTGACCCCAGGATCCGACAGCGAGGCTCTCTACATTTCGCTCGTCCGGAACCAGGAGGTCAACTTCCGCCTCGGCTGGCATGTTGTCAAGAACATGGACTCGGAGAAGGAGACTGGTTCGTTCCATAGACGCAATACCCTCGAAGCAGACTTCTTCGCTTCGGGAGTCTGGACTAACCTTCCAAGCACCATTCTCGGTGTCGCTCATCTCCGAAATCGACTAAGTAAAGTCCTCTTGAAACACATCACAGCAGAGCTCCCTAGTCTGGTCACGGAGATCGAAGCGAAGCGTCAGGCGTGCCGTAGTCAGATGGAGAAACTCGGTCGGCCAAGAAATACGCACTACGAACAGCAGCTGCACATGATCACGATCTCGGAGTCGTTCCAGCGCCTCGTGCGAAATGCTGCGGATGGCAACTGGACAGATTCCTTCTTCGAGGCCGTGGAGACTGACAATGGCTACAAGCGCCGCCTCCGCGCCTTCATTCAGAACTGCAATGACGACTTCGCTGCAGACGTCCTGAAGAATGGTCGGCGTCACCACATCAAAGAAGAGGGGGAAGAGGCCAGCGATACCTCCACAGATGCTACATTTATCTCACGAGATGACTTCATAGGGAGAATCATGGCGAAGATGTCCCGTTCCCGCGGCCGAGAGCTGCCGGGATCCTTCGACCCTATGATCATCGCCGAGCTATTCCGCGAGCAAGCGAGGCCATGGGAGGCGCTCGCGCTTTCCCACGTCCAGCGCACCTGGGATGCTTGTAAAGTCTTCCTCAGACAGGTAATCGACCACGTCGCGGACACCAATACGTCTTCAACGGTCCTACAGAGGATCATCGGCCCCGCGATGGACGTCATACTGGCCGACCTCCGAGTCAGGACGACCCAGATCCTTAAGCAGCACCAGGAGCTGCATCCGATCACGTACAACCACTACTTCACCCAGACGCTGCAGAAGATCCGGGATGACAGAAGCCACGCCAAAGTCGCTGCCGTGATCATGAAACACTTCGGTACAAAAAGCTTGAAAGTGATCTCACACGGAGAACAGGATCTTGCAACCCTGGTCAGCAAGATTACATTGGGCACCACAGAGCCTGACATGAACAAGTTCGCAGCGTCAGAAGCCCTGGATATGATGGTGGCATACTACAAGGTGACCTGTACTCCTAGCACCCTTTGATTTCCCCCAGCGATTCGCCTCGTCACACATCACGACTAACAAGCCATATTGCTACAAAGGTCGCCATGAAGCGTTTCGTCGACGACATCGCCGTGTCCGTCATTGAGGCAGGGCTTGTGCTCGCCCTGCACCAGATGCTGTGCCCGGCCGAGGTGTACAAGATGGATACGGAGCTCGTGGCCAGCCTGGCGGGCGACACCGAGGAGAACCGCGTTTGCAGAGAGCAGGCTGTCCGGCAGCTCGAGGTGCTGGACAGGAGCGCCCAGATCTGCCGCCAGTTCCCCGTTGACGGCATGGGTAGTAAGGTATCTCCAATAAGCTAAGTGCAAACACTGCTAATGAATCGTATGTAAGCATTAAGAAGAACAGAAAGGTTGATGATAGACATGCCCACACCGCCCTAACAGCAGATCGTATTGCCTCCGAGATTGATACCGACGAACCTGAGCGCGTTCCATTCCAAACAATTCAAGAGCGTGAAGACAGCCCTGAATTTATCGATTCCAACTCACTTGGAATGCACGATGGCGACGAGCCCGTCATGTCGATATCGAAGAAGAAATTCGGGAAACCTCTCTGATCAGATTATCTCTAGTGGAGCATTGTCGGGAGATCCACGGGGGATAAAAGAACAAATCTGCTCCAGTTTCACACTTAGCAACGAGGAGGGAAAAGGCCCTTGGAAGACAGCGCGGCTGGAAATCGCTACGGCATGAGGGTCAGAGGGAGTGCCGTGCTACCGGTGTAGGACATTTACTTAGCAAGCCCAAGTTCAGCAACATCTCTCTCGTCCATGTCCGCTGTGATGCCTATGGTGACCATGGCCAAAAATGTTCGTCATAATCGTATCATCAGGGCTCGTAAGCTGATGTGACTGAGAAGTGGCAAGCAAATCAAGAAGAACCAACCAAAAGTCCAGCTACAGAATAGTAATCGCCAAGACCCCGAAAAACAACGCCAGCGATGGCGAAAAGTCAAGCGTGACCGCTCCGAATCTCACTCCTCCCGGCTCAAACCCCAAACCTTTCCACGCCGAACTTCTTTGTCTTCGTGCGAGTACACGTTCATCGGGCACCGCCGAATGACCACAACTTCTCCATCATCAATCCCGCACGACTAAATCCGCCCTTGCCACTCCAGCCTCGTACTCCAGCCCACGCTGTCCCTGCTGCGGACCACCAGCGGCTGCGGCGGACACGGCGTCGGTAACGGCGTTCATCGTCGACCGGCTGAAGGACCAGAGCTTCTTATGATCGGATCCATCAGGCTACCTGCTGTGACTGATAGTGATGAGGTCTGCTCCAGGGACTGGGCGGGAGATCTCGTGCAACGGAGTCTAGCCGTGGATGGCCGCACCGATAAAGGTACAGCGGTGGCGGCGAGGCGCGTAGTGGTGGACGCTGAGTGCTGCGATGCTCTCCGCACAGGACATTGTGCGTGATATGATTATCAGGTGTATTCTCGCCGTTTCGTGTTGATTCGTTTCCCACATGGTACCGTACTGGAGAGCAATCAAGGACAGCAGGCGCTTGCCCAGGTATCGCGCTACAGGATTAGGCTCAGAGGGCTAACAGCACAGTGGAGTTGATGGCGTCTCTAGGTTCTAGTGGTTGGCCTCCGACGGGTGTGTTCTTTTCAGCACTGACAGCTGCTTTCTTTGTCCAAGAAAATACATAGGCGAATTTATCTCTTTCAACGCCATCGATCGCGATACATGCAGGCAAGCTGGGCGCGATACGGACAAGCCGAGTAGTTGCCAACTGCATTGCGCCCTTCCAGTAATCCAGGCAGCCATCTTTCCGGCCATTCTGGTATGATTGCATGAACATGTAATGTTGAAAGCTCTTGCTGTATAACAACAACTGCAGGAATGTTAGTTTGCAGGGACGCTACTTTATTAGCATATACCATATGCCGCTTTTCTTCTGTGCTCACCTCGTTAATGCAATACATAAAAGACACGGGACAATGCCACACCTGACCATTGGCGCGCAAAACGACTGTCCGAGATGCCCCGCCTGAACGTTTGCATTATCCACTTATGTTCCCCCTTTTGTCGAGACCGGTTGGCTCGTGCGCGTAGAGACTTGTGCTCGATGAAAGCCGGACACCGATTTCGAATCCGACTGTACTTCACGAACCCTCTGCTACACTAACGTAGATCGTATCAAGCTAACGCGACCATGGTGGTCTTGGCTCCTTTCCCACTACTTTACGAATTGCGATAACTATATCATTTGGAAATACATCTTCGCATGCCGCCAACCTCACTGTAAACAGCAGGGTCGAAATCTTGCACTTGACGTTCAGCACGCATACATACCACAAGGTTATCCCATTTCACGGCCTTCGAAAGCTCGGTGTTCAGGTTGACCTGCATCATTGTCCGGGCAATCGCAGTCCCCATTCGACGATCTCCGCGGCATCGTTGTCAAGCATCCGTCCACCCCTACAAGCAGAGCTGGATCTCACCATAGTGTCCTGATCATCCAATCGTGCGACTCTACGTCACGCTGCGGCTCATGGCCCTATCTAAGGACGTGTCCTTTCTCAAGTCCTCCAGTATAGGCAATACTTTGTCCAGTCCAAGGAAGCATCTCGCGACACTGTTCTTGAAGTAGTCGACCGCGGCTGCACAGTCTCTAACCTGGCCTTCAAGCCATTGTTGGTTGTTATGTAATCGACGGTTTTCTTCTTCCACGAGCTGTCTCTGTCTCGACTCTGCGTCTGCTCTGCTTCTTAGGTCCCAAACTTCTTGAGAAAGCTTCCAATTTTCCTCCCTGAGGATGTCGATCATGACGCTGAAGCTAGCTCCTGGGGTAGTCAACTGCACAGAAAGTTAGTGTTGGTGTAGAGCAAGATAGATAACATTCAATCCGTGGCTGACCTTACAGTAACGACACTAACCTAGTGCTGAGGTTGCCACCGAGGGCTCAAACCTTTGGGCTGCCGACGTCAGTCCTCTGGGATTCACTTGTACGTACCCCGTCGTTGTCCACGTCCACCCCCCCCCGTCCACTGCCACGAAGGTGAGCCAACTTCTCGAACCACGTGGGCTTGTACCATCGCCGCCACGATGCGACACATCAACGCGCCCCTGCGTCAACATGGCCCCATCGCCGATAGACGACACTTCCAAAAGTCACGAGCGGGCACTATTTTAGCAACAGGACGCCATGCAACGCTAGCTTGTGAGTCCTTGCGCGTGAGCGAGGTTGTTTGCATGCGGTAGTTGCGCGCACCGCACGCCAGTGGTTGCTTTAATTAGTCGACGTGTGGACATGGCACCCCTGACTGGATGGGGATCGAGGTGTTCGAATCTCTACCTTGAGGTACGTATGCACGTGCAGAGCGTACCTTGCGTGCACCCGATCCCGGTCCTAGGGGGCATGCCGAGTGCCCTAGGCCCCTAAGGTACTTAGGTGCTCGCGCTGGTACTGACTGACCTGCCTGGAGCAGACTCGCGCGTCAAGGATCAGTCAGTAACAGACAAAGGTCAAGTGCCCGCTGATCAGACCATCCACATCACTATTTCTTCAAGAGACAGCGCATTCCTAATGAGCTCATAGCCTGACTTGTACAGTACTAATTCTTCACGGCCGAGACGCCATGGGCCATCACTCCTGCAAATTCGCCCGCTGGAGCTCCGGGCAGTGCACTGCTGGATGCAGAAGCACAGCGCAGCCACGCTGACAGTCGTTGCTCCCGAGGTCTGGCAATCCAGCACATCTCGAAGTGCCAGATTCCACTTTGACGAACTCGAGAGGCATGACAATGACCCGCTGTCAGCTGACCGACGCAATGAGGCCACCACTCTCCGGTTCTGTCGAATTCACCCACGGCTGATGTAAAAGACGAATGCATTGCCATCAGACAGCCTCAAATTGCACGGTCATAACCTGACCTTTGTGAAACATCCACGAGACTTTTACACGTGGCAGCAGTAGTCCTCAGTCCCTTTTACTCGCAGATGACCCAGCGGCATCCATGGCGTCTGCCTATCCTTGGGCACACTGAGGATGATTGCCACTCGCAGCGCCGTGAATGGAGCTACAGGCGGCGAGGGGGGTTTCGAGGCGCGGCCGGACCATAAGCTAACTATTACTGTCACCACCGCCAACGTTACTGGGAGAAACCGTCGCGCGCATGTCCTATGTGATGGCTGAGCTCCAGGGGCCCTGCTTCTCTGAAAAGGGCATCTCCTAGAGCATTCTCGACGGCATTTTGGAAAAAGTAGGAGACAGAGCGGAAGGCACGTGAGTTGCCCATTTTCCTTCATTGTTCCGTGACTCGGCTCTTCTCTGGTCTGTTGTACTACACTCTGTCGCCTTCAGCCCTTTGGTGCACCTCAGGTGACACAACGCTCTCAAAATTATAGGTTTTGGCAAGGTGCTATCATGTTGAAGCTCTCAAAGGAACCCTGGCGAGTCTGCCGAGGGGTCTCAACGAGACGTACGACCCCATGCTGGCGAGTATTCCAGCAGAGCTCAGGTACGATGCGGCCAGGCTCCTGCGATTCATCTTGCCCACGGACGCCCCTATGACCGTTGACGAGGCAATTGATGTCATCGCCACTCGCATAGACGGAGAGCAAAGCGGGCGTGGCTTCGACCAAAATCGCAGGCTGTTCAGAAAGCATGACCTGCTTGATTACTGTCCTGGGCTGATATCATCCAGTCTCGGCCGAAATGATCAGCTGACTGTCACCTTGCTCACTTCTCAGTCAAATGGTATTTCTACGGCCAGGATCGATTTCCGCAAGTTTGAGATGGGACAGTGTATTGATGAGCCGGTTGTCGTTCAAGCCTGGCAATAGTAGCTCAACGATGTTAGGACGATGACCACATCTCGATGGCTAAAGTCGAAATGGCAAACTGGTGGTCTTTGGCGCGGTAAGGCACTACCGGTCTGGTCGATGGTGATCTGGCAGTGTCTAGACCATAGTCGACCCTCCATCGCTTGTGCCTAAATGCGAACGCCAGGGTGCCGTTCGCAATGAGGCCGCGGAGAAGGCAGCAGTGTGTGCTTGGTAGTTTCTGCCCAGCACCCTTATGGAGGAGCCTGCTCCGCATGAGTGATAATGTTACCAGGTGCCACTGGGTTTCTGATGTACGCGCGGACGGCATCGCGAATATTTGGAGTAGCCTGGGCGATGGGAAACCCTTGATATCAGATTGGCACACCCAATTGCCAAGCATGCCGAGCGGTATGTCCGTGGCTCCCGACCCGACAAGTCACGCAGGCGGAAAGCAGCCATTAGATCCCGGGCGGATGCCAAGTCCGTGGGCAAAGTCATGCTGGGCCTCGGGTAGGCACTTCTGAACCAGATTGAAAACTCCTGGACGTAGATCCAACGCTCCGGGATGTGGTCGATGAGCAGCCGCAGACCGCGAGTAGAAGGCTCGAATCTGGCGCAAAAGTTCTCACGCAGCAGGAGTCGTGTTTCAAGGTTGTTTCTCCCAGCCAAAAGTGCAAAAGCTGGCATGACCTTTTTAGGAGAACAGGTTGTGGCTGTGAAAGGTGTGAAAGGTGTCCGACGATCTCGACGTGCAACGTGGGTTCCTTTGTCCTGGCCCACAACAAACACCACTGGCTTGGACAGAACAGCTCTATTGTAATCCAAGTTCACACAACAGTATACGGTATCCTACTGTATGTTTCAGAGTCGCTTCCCGGAGCAGGAATGCAAGCAGTCATCTTTGCTTGATCTTGCTTAGTCGAATCAGCGTGTGGTGGTGACTCTGTACGGGAGGACCATGAGGTACCTTCTCAGGTTCTCCACCGTAAAGAGGTGCACAGTGCTTTGGTATTGGTGCTGCTTGTTAGTAGTAACAGCCGGATTCGATGCCGACCAAGTGTAACCTGATATTCTCATTGAGTGATCGCTTGAGCGCAAAGATAAGGACTCCCAGCTCAAAATTCTACGAAGAGCGTTCTACAACAACACTATATAGCAGGGCTGGTAGGTCAACTGTCCTGTGACTTGTTATCTTGAAGCGCCACGGAATCGCCTAGTCGCAGCTCCTCTTGTGAGAAATTCGCAAATCTCTGCTGCACACAAATATTCTCGAAACGGCTGAGAGCTGTGCTGGTCACTATCTCTCGCACATCAACAAACATGGCCGCGCTCCGAGTATTCGGAACGTTGTTCAAACCTACCAGAGAATTGGTGAGCGCAAGTGCTTCGGAGGGCGGAGGAACGGGCGGAGGATTACACAGTGAAAGCCCAGACAAGTGACTTGACAACGCCAGGGAGGCAGTCGCGCATTGCGTGTCGTTCTTGTCCCTGAACTCCGCCATCCGAATACCAGCCACTGTGGTCTTGTCTACGCCTTTCAACTTTGACTGAATGATGGATTGGAGATGACACCCATGTCCGCTGTAGCATCTCGGTCCGAAACCTGTGCTCGAGCCAAAACTAGTGCCCGTGGTCATCGCTTTCCACTGAGTAGACTTTATCTTATCTAGCGCGTCCATCGTCGACTCAATGCTCAGGTCGTGGATCGACAAGCAGAGATCTTGGCCAAGCAGCCCAGCCCTGTGTAACTCTTTCATGAGTGCGCCAAAAAGGATCGACGAACATTCGAACGAGTGCCCGGATTGATCTTTGAGAAGGTACTGTTGCAAATCATCCAGCACATCCAGAATCTGCTGGATTTGAGCTTCCCTTCGACTGTTGATGGCCTCTGCAGGTCTGTTAACAGCAGCACCCGGGTATCTTCGTCTAGCACTTACCAGCGATGATCTGCGGAATCGGGAGGCCTAGGCTAGGGAATGGGCTCTTCATCGTGATAATAGCAGTTCTTGTGACCGTTTCAAACAACGCTGGATCTTGGTAGACCCACGAGATGAGGAGCCATAGGACAAGGTCGCGACCAAGAGCTGAAGGAACTCTCTGCCTCAATTCTTTCAACCAAATCGCAGACACGATATGGACAGCCTCGTAACACTGGTAGTAGTCTACCAGGGCAGCGATCTTTGAGAGCATCTCAATGTCAACGCACAGGGGAACTTTGCCATTTCTCCCGTGAATAATGTTCATAAGCACAAAGAGCGCCCCCGGGTCCCAGTCCTCTGCTTTTACAACGCGTTCAGGGCGCGATTGCGCTGTGCTTTCTTGCCAATCGCCCTTCAGCATTTTTTGGAAGTATGGTGAAGCAAGAATCAAGTGCCGCGAGGAAAGTCGTAATCGGATGATCGGCTTCAGTGGTCTGATAGGCATGTGTGATGATTCGCTCCGTCGGTCGTCTGCATCGCCGGGCTTCAGCGCATCATTTGAACTCATGACTGTACTGCTCGATTGCCGAGGTGAAGGACATAAAGCCAGCGCGGTTTGTTGAAGATTGAGGTGGCAATTTCCATCTTGCGGCCAGACAGCGAATGGAGCACCAGGATTGTGCAGAATCAAAATGAGGTTCCCGTCGGGATCGAAATCGATGCTCGATCCTTCCATGTCAGAGGGCCGATACTCGCTGTATTACAGCATAGACACTGGTTCAACATGGCAAGCGTGAGTGTTCATGGATATGATCAGAGTAATGGGCACGTGAGAAGCTGGGCACGCGGGGCGAACTCTTTGAGCGCTGTTTCAGTAGCTCAATGCGGGGTCGGGCAGCCAAGGTGGGCTAGATGCAACTCGGTACATTACCGGGGCGGTCCCACGTAGAGGCTGAAAGCTCCGTGCGAAATACAGTTCACGGCAGTCGGCAGTCGAAGTTGCTCCTTTGATGACCTGAAGCGTGGCTCCCTGGAGGATCCGCGATGACTGTGCATAATTCAGTTGCTTGAAGATTAACGTATATTGACTACATTCTGCACGATCCCAGCTGAACCCTCATGTGACAGGTTGCTCGCGCACTTAACAAGAACGGGCAGGTCGTTTTGAAGGCTTAACTTTCCGACGGCAGTCCTAACAAGTTCTCTTATCTTCAGTCGCAAAGTCTTCCGTGTTACGGAAGATTGATATATCGCGTGCATTCGTGGCCTTCGATCGAACAGTCTTGAAGACTGTTACCCATCAAGAAGCATGGCTCCCCGGGCAAAGCTCTGAAATGGTAGTCGGCCATCTTCACGGTGTGCAGGCTATCTCCGAGGCCGGCTGGAAAAGGACCAAATCCGGGGCAAGGAGTTCACTGAATGCATCAGAGCGATGCGGGGCATACGTGCCAGTGCTTACCTCAGCAACCAGAGCTCGGATCAGTGTACACAAAGTCGGCCTGGAAACTCTCACCGCTGTAATTAGCACACAACTGTTAGCCGTCATTCATTGCATCATCCGGACGCTCAACCCCCGAGTCTTCCACGGCCAGCATACGTCGTGACGCGTCACATACCAGCTACGCCACTTGATCCCATCACGGATTGAGATCGTTATACAAATCATGGTCACAGCTCGACTAGCAACCGGGGGCATGGCCCCTCGAAAAAAGTTTAAGAGGTCGTTCCCGGTACCACCTTGGATACTACAGATGCTGCGGGATGACCATGAGACGAAAGACTTTTTATGCTCGGCCGTTCAACGACAATCTTCACAGAGTCGCCCCATAGAGGCAATTTATATCCTTTCAGCTCGGTTCTTGAAGCAGGACAAGATAAGCGACGCATTACAAATTCTGGAAATTGCCCGTACGCAGAACAACCAGAAGCTGAAGTTCTGCGATATTCCCGACCTGGAACAACTACTGGATCAGGCTCTCCAGAAAAAGAACGGAACCGAGTCGAAAGAACTTGTCGATCGTCTCGTGAATCTCTTCGATCTCGAGGATATTGTTGCACTAATGCCGAGAACACTGCCTAGGCAGGTTGCAGAACAACTGCGCACCCACGGCTCGGACGCAACTATTATTATTGGACAATCACGAATTCCGGTACACATTCGTGTTGTCTCAGCTCACTCTCTGTTTTTCAACGCAGCACTTAGCGGCAAGTGGGCTGAAAAGGATACAGTCACGTTAGATGAGGACACAATCTCAGAGTCTTGTACGAAAACCATGCTGGACGCCTTGTACGGAGGACCTTTCGAACTTCCCGCGGAAGGCTTGGAGCTTACGGCGGTTAGGCAAACAGCGGGGTTCCTACAGCTGGATGATATATTCGAGAGTCTGCTTTCAGCGGAAGAATGTCAGATGTTGAGAAGATCTACCGAGAGTTATATGATGAGTTCTACAATACAATCCCAGGCTGGCGGACCAACTTTCTGCTTATTTATATTGTCTTGTCACATCCACGGTGACGATCATCGCTGCATGTTGTTGGTATGCGAGCGCTCAACCGAGTCGCGGTCCTCCGACAACTACCCGCTGCCGCTCCGATGCGACACCATTACCTTTCTTCGTACTAAACACTGCATCAAGTGTATCGACGCTGAAGTCTTCTTACATCGGTTGCTGGCGCACCTTGACTACCACGACCGTCCTGTCGCACCGGGGTCTTGAGCGTTCCAAGGTCACCCATATGGTCTACCGAAAATCCCGCACTCATGCTCATTGTTCTATGGACCGCCGTTTGGAACACTTGCCCTTCGTATGCGTTCATTGGTAACCTCGCCAACCTCGTGGACACCGGCGAGGACTACCCCGCAATGTGCAGGCGGTCTTCAAACTGTTCGACGACACTCCCTGCCACAGTACGAAACGGAGCTAAAGGACGGAAATGCCGAGTGGAAGCCGGCTGGGATGTACCTCAGGTGAGACGAAATGCACTAGATTAATATAACAGATATCAGCGATTCGCCCATCGCCATAGATGCTGTAACACGTATCATGGATATCGCCACGGACAGTGACGATAATGCGCAGGCTGCAGACGCAAGGAAGAGTGCCTTTTCCAAGGACACACTGAGCATCGAAACTAGTGGTCCTTCACGACCCCAACTCACTGTGATCGACATTCCCGGACTCATCCAGTCTTCGACAAGAGGGATATCCGAAGAGGATGTGGTAATGGTGACAGAAATCACGGATCGCCACATTAAGCAATCTCGGACGATTTGCTTGGCCGTCATTTCCGCAACCAACGGCGCAGCCAATCAGTCTATCCTCCAACGAGTGCGAAAATTTGATCCAGCAGGGAAGCGAACACTTGGCGTCATCACCAAACCTGATCAGCTGCCTGCCGGAACTGGCACCGAGTCCAAATTCCTTGAGCTTGCCCAGAACAAGGACGTGTTCTTCAGTTTGGGCTGGCACGTCATTCGAAACCGTCGTTTTGACGAGAAAAACTTCACTACCACGAGCGGAACGCTGCGGGAGCTCACTTCTTTCAAGCGTCCAATTTCAGCGTTCTCCCCTCGGAAATGGTCGGCATCGCGGCGCTACGAGAGCGGTTGAGTCTGCTTTTGTTCCAGCACGTCAGGGCCGAACTTCCGCAACTCAATGCGGAACTCGAGAGAGCACTCGCAAAGGATCTTGGTCAGCTGAGGACGTTAGGAGACTCGCGACAAACACCTTCAGCATGCCGCATCTATTTGACACAGCTCAGCATCGACAGACTCGGTAGCGTGGGTGAAAAAACTGCTTCAGCGCTCCAGGGGTATAGAACTGACGGGCAATTTCAACCCGCAACTCATTGATGAGCTATTCTGGGACCAGTCCGAACCCTGGGAGCATTTGGCAAAGGATCACGTCCACAACGTTAGTCAACTCTGTGAAAAGTTCTGGACAAAACTCTTGAGACACAGAGCTCCTCAGGACATCAGAAGTCGCATACGGTCAGTCAATCCTTGAACGCATTCAAATCGAACTTCGGAATACTGACCGCAACTTCGGCTAAGGGCGAGGATGGTGCACAAGCAGCTTCAACTGCGAAAGTCGGCAGCCTCGCACGAGCTAGGGAAGCTTCTTGAAGATCTCAGGGGTTTTCCTATCAATTATAACCACTACTATACTGACGTGATCCAGCGTCGGCGGCAAGAGAGGCTTGAAAAGAACTTGGGAGTCTTCATGCCAGCCGCGTTTCCGCATCAGTCATATGAGAAATGCAGCCGTGGCTCTCACTACGAGAAGTATGCCCCCGAGCTCGACATGAACCGAGTCGTCCAAGCTGTGATGAAGAGCAACGCTACTACCATTGACATGGACACATTCAGCATCGAAGAGGCACTTGACTGCATGCGAGCGATCTACAAGGTGCAGTACAAGACCTTTGTTGCCAATGTGACAACCCAGGTGATTGAGAGGCATCTGGTGAGGGGTCTTGAGAACATTGTTTCGCCGCTTGTGGTTGTGAAGATGTCGGACAGTGAGGTGGAGGCTATAGCCTCGGAGCAGACGACAACCAAGCAGCAGAGGATCATGCTGGTGAGCCGGGTCCGAATATTGGAGGAAGGCCGTGCGATCTTCCAAGAATTGATTGGGTCTTAGCTTGGATTTGGATCACTTGACTGCCAAGTCTTCTATCATGTCTTACGAAAGCTCTAGAAAATGTCATAACCCTAGACTTGACCGCAGACATGGTTCTCTTTCGTATAGGTCTTCGCACGTGGAGAGTACCGAGGGTCACTAGCAGCTCACCGGCGCGACCGACACAGCACTCGAGCGTTATTCTGATCACGCCCGTGGCCCCGGATAACGGCCTCACTGGTTCCCCGCGACACTTCTTTTTCGGCAATTTCAGATAGTTCGCGTCAGCCCCAACGGAATTGGGCACATACCGGCGTGCAGGGGCCAGGTGAACTGCACCGCGACATCTACCACAGACTTGCTGACGTCAGTGCCGTAGAGCACATGATGGGTCTAAGGAGCACCACGCTACATATAAGAACGAGTTGTCTGCTGGGAGAATCGCTGGCTTGAAGAGAGAGCTGCTGTTAGTCTGGACTGTGCAGATTTGCCCACACGTAGTAGCTCAGACGACATGGAGCATAGCTCGAATTTCAATAAGCACGCGCTACATTATGAACAACCGCGGGAGCGGTTCACGGCCCGCACATTTCGCATGCGATGCGTGACCGAAGTGTTTGCGCTAGACACCGTAATTAACCTAGCTGGCGCTGGCTGACGCTGAGTGACAGCCATCTCGTTGCCGGCAGCTACGCTGAGACCCTCGATGGATCTGCCAACCACGGTGCGGCTCTCTGGTGGGGTCGCCCATGGAGTATCGACGGGGTTGGAAGACGAAGATGACTGGCAAGCACTGCCAAGGAACGGCATTGACAAAGTCAGCAAAGCGAGACATCAGTCACAACGTGCGAGCACATACCCCTACCTCAATGCTACTTGGTGGCCCGTGGGCTGCTCAGATCAGGCTGGGCAGTGGCGCTAACAGAAACAGTCGATTGTGTCTGTGCCACGGCAGCAGCAGTCTCAGATGGCGACGTCACGCGGGTCTGGTCCACCGGATTGCCCCTGCGTGTCGACCAATTATATATGGGTGGGCACGATATCACTTGCGGCTCTCCATAGTCTGTCGCAAGGTCAAGCTATCAAATGGTACCAGTTGCGTGCCGCGCATTAGTAGTAATAGAAGCGGCTCGCGCTGCAGAAAGCGACTTCACCTTATACGTCGTCCCTGGTATTGACGGACGAACCCCGAGAGTGGCCACAAAGTTGCAAACGCCCATTGAAACCTTTCAAGAACATATGCCCGACAAGCTGAGATCTGAGCTATGCCGCAGACAATTGCCTATACAGGGCAGCACGCCCTTGCCCTGTCTCCTTCATCCTGATGCTCACTTGTAAACGGAAAGAGTGTTAAGACAAATACTCAATTGCGACTGCCCCGATTCCGATGTTTGGGGACCCAAACGACGCGTTCTTAAGCAAGTGTGGTCCCGCCGACCGTAGTCTGCACTCCTGCATCAATTTGAAAATCCACGTGAATTATCGTTACGATCTCTAGACCTTTCTTAGCTGTGAGGCGATACGTTCGATACAAGGTGGCCCGCAAGCAAGTGGACCAGGTGAGCCACTCCTTGCCGCTATATAAGTTACCAAACCACTTAAAGTCACCATCTAGCTTTAAAAGCCCCAGGGACTTCACACATTTAATTCAATTGCAGAAGTTCTATTGGGCTTTTCTACTGAAGCAAGTGTCAAGCTCATCTTCTTGAGTGCCGAAGGGAGGTTGAGACAGGTGGACCAACTATGGCATAACAGAGTGCCATGACAAGAATCGAATCGTGATCAATGGATCGCAAGGTCCTGTTGGAGCCGCGCATGAAATAGCATGAACAGCCAAGAAAGGACTGGCACCCCCCTCCCCGAACTGGGGCAAGCAAGCTTTGGGCCGGACACTACCAAAAATGCGCGCCGGAAGGCCCTCTGTCTGGACACACATTCTATCAGCGAGCTGACGAACTGATGAATGAGCCCTGAAAGAAAGAACAACCCAAATAACCTCTCATCGCACCACCTTCTCGATAAGCTTCAATGGCAGCACCACGCGCTCCTGCATCTACTAACCGGCTGTAACACTGTATTCCTCTTGCATAACGCGGGCGAAATGCCTAATATAAAGCATGGAGACCAATGATGATCAAATCATTGAAGGTGCACTTTACGAAGCCATATTCGAATACGAAAGTCCTCCTAAGTATTCGTAGACTATTAAGCGTACACATGGTGCGAGTAAGTGTTGTACAATCTTTCTACTTGAATGCGCTATATTGAGATCGTTATTGGTTGCTTGGTATGACCTATAAACTATAATGTTGCAACCAGAATGTTACTTGTGAACAATCTGTCATCAAGACCAGGTCGCGAGTGTATCATGACACGGCAATCAATTTGAAGCAATCTGATCACATCACTTACTATGCCTCCCTCGGACACAGAATTAGGTGAATAGCAAGCTGCATTACCCATTCCTGGACAGCACAATAACGGCGAAAGACAACAGCTACCTGTGGTGTGGATGAGTGGCCTCGATTGCTCCATTGATGTAGCGCATCAACTCTACTGTTGTAATGCTAGTTGCGTGTCCGGAATTCCAGCTGCAGCTATCCAGACTTTTTTCAGTAGATTAAGAATGCGCGTGTTTTCGACGTCGCGTGCATTCCATGTGAATGAGATTTACACAAGATGTTACTTTCGAGAGATACAGCTCATTTCCAGTGAATCCAAAGAAGATATCCTCAACTAACTCGATAAACCGGTCCGTAGGCTGGCCATGAGCTGAGTCGTCCTAGGTAAGTCCCCTTCTAAAGCTCTTCATTATCATCGCAATTCGTGAATAGTGTTTCCAGAGCCCCCGGAAGTAAGGAGGGCTTATCCCGCGTACGTCGGCCTACGGCAATATCATGTAAGTTGATCTGGAGACACTGATCTCACTCACTGAAACCTCTCCATTCTTGTTTCTTGCATTGTGTGCTGGGAGGCGGAATCGGACCTGCGCGCTCCATTTGTCCCGGAGGCGGAAACGATTCGGTCCGTCCGTGAATGTGATTCAAGTAAGTACAGTTTAGACTGAAGGAAAAATTAGAAACAACAATCCCATCACAGAATTCTACGATTGGTTATAAGTGTACATAGGGAGGAAGAAGCTCTACGCTAAATGCGTTGAAACTGTCGTAGACAGATGATTCATTAAGGAGGACGCCACCACATATGTATGTCTCGAGGGATTGGTGCATATAGCGGTTTTTTGGGGTTTTCTTTCCAAATAAAAAAACGGCAGAGCTAGGTAGCCCGCTGATAGTATCGATGTTGGTACAAATACAATTCTGTCGTCAAGACAGAGTCGTTATCCTAAGCCAATGACTGGAGAATAGATGTTTCATGTCACACATCTGCAATTGGAATGGTAGTCTTTGAACCTTGATGTAAAAAAATACCTATTCTTCATTTATTGGTGACGAGTTTTTGAAACGAACCATCAGCCCCTTTCCAGTTTCGGCAAAAACACTTCTGGGAAATCAATGAAAGCAGATAGAAACTTTTCTAGCTCGGACAGTCGATAGAACTAATTATACTCTTTCACCGAGACTTTCACCGAGACTTTCACCGACGAGACTTGGCAAATTTGAGCATGGAGAAAATAGCAGGTGAAGGAATCACATAGTTATGGGTACCGTTTCCCGAATCAATCTTCATTTAGAAATAGTCATCGAAGAAATGCTAAGCATGCTCAATTTTAGTGATGATGCCAACGGGTCGTCATATTGGTAGTAGTACCCTTCGTTGGCCCATTTCTGTTATACGGCGATCTGAAACTCCATGCATGTTTCAAGGCCAGCGTGCTTACGTATAACTGGGTTGAAAATCATCATTCCATCTCAGTAAATTCTAGCCACATACATACATGTATAGAACGATGTCAGTCAACCGCCGTTTTCGGAACATATGCAAAGCCTGGTTACTTTGGTTACACACCCATTGGGTGCATGATAGAACTTATTGATATCCCGGCGTGATTTTATTCTTCTACTTCCATGTGAAATAATAATTCAATGGCACGGTGCAATTCTTCACTACTAGTATCAGAGTCCAGATGATCTCTTATGGGATTACTGGTACTTTCATTGCAGAGAAGATCATTTCTACCATTAATCGAAGTTAATCTCCAAAATGGGATTTGAATGTCTGTGCTACCATAATATTGTCAGAATGCCCCCCCATACGCCCGAACAAACTCGTTTTACCCAAGCGATGAAATTGCCATATTCTAGGTCTGCTTTTGTCAAAAATGAGAATGATGAACAAATGTAGAATGAAGTGATGCATTTCCTGGAGGTTGTTGCATTGACTCCGATCTCGAAAACTGTAGTATATGCTTGCTTGATCATGCAATTCAGTACTACTCTCAAAAAAAACTCATTGAATTCGAGCACTTCTTCAATAGCTTTAACAGAAAGGAATAGCTAGATAGATGAGACATACCGAGGCCTTTGTTGGAATGAGAAGCGAAAAAGAAGAATAAGAAATACACTGAATCAATGGTCTGGAACGTTGTTTGTGTAACAGAATTGATATGGGATGGTGATCGTGGCGTTGGGGGAAGAAATTGCTGCCCCTGAAGGGCAGGAAATGTTGTCCTGTTTGAACGCCCACGACCTTGGATCTAGTTAGTGTTCACTAATCTCTCTCTTATTATTTCATTATCTATTCTCAGATTCACATTTCTAACTCAATTTCTGTGAGGGATATAGGCGTGACCTTATAGGTTTGGCAGCCAGTCAGTGGCTATGCCGACCACAAGCAAGTGTGCAACTCTGCGTTCTCTTCCAGCGATAATCATGAGTTGCTTCCTGCTTTATGTTTTTTCGGATGACGCATAAGTCGCGGCACTCAGAAGCCGACACGCTCTAGATCCCGACACTTGCCACCAAAATGCCACCCCCAAGCTATGGTAGCGACCTTAACCTCTATATCTCCTATATCAACAGACAATTCTTTTCTATGCATCTATCTTATTTTATTACCTGGAAATATCAAAGAAAGTGCCAAAATCACGTATTTAAGCTATCGTATAGCTTTGGCCCCGAACGTTCGATACAGTCGAATTAAATCTGGACCACAAAATTAAGATGTGCTTTCTCGAGCTCCTGAATCTGTTTGGAAAAGAAAAGCATCGATATCTCACATAACAAAGTGCTCCTGCAAATGAAGTCACTTCCGGGAGTGTCGGAATTGAGGTGCACTCATTTGCTGACTATATTTAATGGTCTTCAAAGAAGCATGCTTGAGGCACTTAATGCTTACCAAGTCATGTCTATTCATCTCTTATCTTTCACTTGCCCTCATCGTTCGCTCACACGCGCCAAATTGTATTTCATATCCTTAATTGTCGTCACTCATTATTTTCTTTAATTCTTTGAGGGGTTTTTGTTACGTGCCCAATGAGCAAAAGAGAACGTGCTAGCTGGCTGGATCGATAATGGCTTCTTCATGCTTAACCTTCATTCATGCAGAAGTTGCCATGTTTTCTGAGTCGTGACAATAACGTGTTAAATAACATGGTAGTTACCCTGGCGAAGAATGAGTATAAGCAATCAGGGTATATTTTCTCTCTCGGAGGCCAAATTCAATTGTTTGGCATTAGATTAGAGGAAAAAGAGAGACAACGAACGTGATGCCTGTTGCTGGAAATCGACCCTCAGGGTAGCACTTTTTTGTTCTCGAAAATCGCGATAGGAGGTGTGTGCTGGGTAAGCCCTGAGAAGCCAACAATAAATACACTAGAGGTGCCACAATCCGTGTTATCTATCAGCCAGGCATCGAAGACGATTCTTATTCCTTAAAATTCAAATCTCAATGCGACGGCATATAGCGCATCCCACATGTGATGATAAATATGACTTTCACTCTCATTGTAAAGGCCGTCTGCAACGATAAGGAGAATGCGCTGTATTTGTTCAACTACTGCCATAAATTTCCCAAGATTTCAAAGATACGGGATTTGTCCCTCATACCGCTGTATGGCCACTCTTTCGCTTCCAAGAGTCTGTCCAACTTCATCCATGTTGCGGCTTTGTTGGCGCTTCGTCCACCAGGAACAAAAGATTATATCTGCCACGCATTTCCATGGATCAATCAAGGAGCTCTTGGACGTATGTGGATATTTGTGTTGTCACGAACCCTTGACTTCATCTACTTTCAGTTCTTGTTTATTCTTTAGTATCTTCGTCGTAGACCTTGTATTTCCTCTACTTTCATTGCTCTCACATCAATCAAGAAGTCCCATGATCTATCAACTGATCAAACAGATTATTGATATCGGTCTGGGACTATATATGCAAGCAACTACTCGCCACCAAATTCGCATGGCTGAACGAGGACTATATCCACCATGATCGACGCGCTATATGTAGCTAGTATACTTTTGATCTCGTGAACAACCAATCCCTCCGTCGGCCTGTGAACAAGTATCAGAGAAAATTGTTCTCAGCAGATGTGTGGTATTCTTACATAGTATAAAAGAAATAATAGGCTTTATAGACACATGAGCTCAAAACCTTTCGCCCATTGCGAATCGAGAATATATCTCTTTGTGAGATCAACATCAAGTAAATTTAAGTGTTAACTTATCATGGTTGGATCTGTTATTACAACCTGCAAATCACAAGCCATATTCTTGCTTTCATATAAGTCTCAATTTTTATTGACCTGGGCATTATCGTGTTGCATATTACATGTGTTCGGATTAACAAGCTACAAAGCCAAACAGGAGTGCGACAAGCTTCCTCGTGGTAATCGCAGCTCACTCTGTTTTGCCAGGCAGAGAGCGAGTTCTCTGTAACAAGTGAGCTCAAGCACCTGTGAAGTCGGCCGCCATATCGCAAGTCATGAAAACTGTTCTGAGAGAGCTCTGCCATCCTAGGAGCGCCACCACTATTTCTAAAATCCAATAACTTTTCAGCATAAGTCCGCGCTTTGATCCAGTGACTACATACCTAAATTTCAAGAAACAAAATGTGTGTTCAATAAAAATGATAAGTGCGCGATCCGACTAGCTTAGTAAGATATTCCATAACTAGTGTATTTCTTCTGCTTTTTTCCAGTTTTTTTAAGCTAGTGGGAGTAACGCCGGCTAGTAACGCCGGCTCATTCCATCACGTATGCACAATAAAGTAAGCCACTTGTTCTAGGTCTACTATTCACCAATGGCCAAAATCTGTGAGTATCTGACTCGCGTTATCTGATTTCTACGGTGACTTCACTGATACTGCGAGAAGAAGTCGGGAACATGCTTAGTAGTATCATCGCACGATAATAGAACAATGAGCGAATATGTGTCAATCTCACGTTCTTCCGGACCCTACCACCAATCCAATTTATCGTGCTTATTATTCATTAAAGTCACCTTCTGACTTTCACAAATCTGCCGAACGCAAGAATGAGCTTTGATTGGCAGATTTGTGAAGTAACAAGGAAGAAAATAATGAAGAAAAAGGGAACTTACTGAAGATCTCTTGTGGCGCAATCTTTCTTCTGGTCTCAATTGTGATGCGACACATAAATGGAGGAGGCAAACATGCACAGATGATGGGACAAGCACACTATTTTTCGCAGCAGTAGAATTCAAACATGGACTGATATACACACTTTCGCAGTATGTCTTGCCCAGCGGCGCCAAGTTCTAGCAAAAATGAATACTAGAAAGGAAACAGTAAACAGCTAATAACAGTCACAGTTACAGGATGAGGTAATGATAAAAACGACCAGTCAGTCAGAACATGCACTCGTAGAAATGTAATTTCCTGCTACGAGTGAGACAAAAGAAACGATCGAAGTCAATACAGGATGAGATTTAAAGAATTTCAATCGCTAGATGTTTTGAAATAACTTCCTGAAGTGGTCGTAGAGACATAAGTTCAACTGACTTATTTGCTGGCAGAAGCTGTTGAGTAAAAGGTTAGGGGTACGTACTGGTCTAGTCCAAGTGGTACAAACAACTTGCGATACAGACAGAGATTAACCTGGCAGGCAAGAATAATTCGGAGGAAAAAAGTCAGGTGAAGCAACAAACATAAGCATCTCGTACCGTACTCGTTGATGAAGCTGTCGAGTCAAGGTCCCGACTTAACGCGGGTTGCCCCAGAAAAGTCAATTAGGCCCTGCCATCCCTTCAAGAGGTCATGACCCAAGACCAATTCCTCGCTCTATTTCGTCGTTTCCGACCATTTGACCCAAATTCCGCAAGATTGGAGACCTTGATTAGTATGTCCGAGAGGTCTCTTGCAGCCTATTCAAGCCTGAGCTCGAAGTCACGGTGGACGAAGCCATGGTTGGTTCAATGAGCGCGTGGTCGACCGAGCCGGAGAGTGTCATATGGCCTGGCACCTACTAACAAAAACCGCAAGGACGAAAGGCAAGGTCGCAGGACCAATCGGCATGCCGAGGCGGCAGCAGCCTTCTGAAGTACTCCAGTGATGATAAGCTCCTGAACTTCGCCCGTGTATGGCGAAGATGAATGCGACCGTGCGCCGTGTACCTCGTCAGAATGCAAGTTAGAGAGCTGTACCAAAGTGGTAGTGCATTTGGCTTGGTGCTCCGTGCAAGGATATGATTCTTTCGGTGCTTTACGCGCACCCCTCAGGTCGCCGCATCTCTCTTTGAAGCCTCAACAGCGGGGAAGCAGTGCAACAGGGAGCGCCAGGACTAACTGCGGCATCGCCACCGAATTGGTGTGGTTGAAGAAGGGTACAGGGATGCCCTTCAATGAGTGTCAAGCCTTCCAAACACCAGCTTCATTACGTGAACCAGGACAACGCGACAGTCCTGTTTCTGACAACTGTGTACCTGGGCTCTGCAACCATGGACCCTCCATGGAGGCTCGCTTCTCCGGGCTCGGAGCTGAAAGCACACACGTTCCGGGAATAATGCTTTTGAAGCTCCAAGATCGATGACAGGCGATTCCCATTCGGCAGATGCTCTACTTGCCTCGGCCCTTGTAACGGTTTTTTCCTGACTCATGCTCAACGCTGAACGGTATGAAGAGTCTACTCGAGCTGTGCGCTTCAACCATTCACTTCCCGGATGTAGCCTTAGATATTCTTTTGGGATGCCTCAAGCGCCAAAGTCCGCGTCTGCTTGCTGGGACCATCAAAGCAGCGATCTCCATGCATTTTGCTAATAACATTGTGGGCATCGCTCTGGAGCGTATCCATGGAGATAATGAACAACAAATCGTCAGATCTGGAATGCACATGCGACACGGCCTCAAGAAAAAACGAGATAGATTTCCCCTGGTCGAATGCATTTTCCGTATTGATTCTACCAAAGTTTGCTCAACGGCCGCTCCAAAGCCCACAAACGCGCCCTTGGCCAGAAAGGCATGCATCGATGCACTTGTGGTCCAGAGTCACCTGGGCTTGGTTCCGTTCTAGTGTTTTCAGCCACTCCCAGTATCCATGGAAGGATGTTTGTGGATCCTGACAAATTACGTCTCTGCCATGAAATCGCGCGCCCTGCTTGCTGCTATGTGGCGTTTCGTCAATACTGTTATGTTGCGAACGAGCTTTTGGCATCGGACAAGATCGCTTGTGCACCAATGACACCATACAGTATTCAGACGGTCTAGTGATCTCGCAGCACGGTTTCAGCTCTCCCTGAGTGAAAGACAGAGAACCGCGATGCTTTCTGCTCTGGTGTAATCACTTGTTCTCATCTGGGGCTCATCAGGTACTGGCAAGACACAGACAATTGTCGCCATCATAGTTGGCCTGCTGGACCGGTTTCCAGATGAGAGAATTCTTGCCATGGCGCCCACTTTAAATGCAGTGGACAACTTGATGAGACGGTATCTTGATTACACTGGACGAACGGGCCCTACTGCTCTTAGAGTCTCAATCGAGGCGAGTTTCCTCCATTCCCTCACTTTGTTGTTGTTCGTTTGGTAACCATTTGTCCATCAAGCTGTTTCTGACATGCAGGACAGGTTCGCAAAGCGGCCGAGAACCTCGGGTAGTAGACGCTGGACGGCCGAGCAGAGAGATCTATACAAGTCGTACAAGTCCATGCAAGAAGCCAAGAAACGTGTAGAGTCCTGCCAAATTGCCTTCTCCACTTGCGTCGGCGCCGGAATTGGTCTGTGACGATCCGAGGACTTCGGGCTCGTAAGAGCCGACGAGGCTTACCAGCAAACTGAGGCTTCATCTCTTATGCCGCGGACCAGGACGTGCAAGCAGGCGGTCCTAGTTGGAGACGATATACAGCTCCGTCTCGCGGTGCAGGCCATCACTACGATCCTTGCTTACGACGTTTCGTCGTTTGAACGTTTGTACGATTGTTGCAGTGACGTGGAAGCAGCTGGTCAAATGCCGCCAAATACGCAGGCGGATCTGTCAGCTGCTGTCGGACGTCCCTCTTCCTGATGCTCGTGGGGAACACGTCAGGCAGACCATTATACAAAGCAGAGTACACTGCCTAGGGGATCCGCGATCACGGGGCTTGAAGAGGAAATTGAAGTGTCCACTATTGATGGTTATCAAGGTCGAGACGTGGAAATTGTCGTTCTCGTTACAGTGCGGTGCACTGAGCATGGCGAGATTAGATTCCTCGGGGATCTGAGAAGGATGAATATGCCCCTTGACGAGAGCTAAGAGCTGGCTGATCATATTGGGATGCCGTGCTGCACTTACCGCCGGCTCATATGGGAGGCAAAATGAACTGAGTACTGTTGTTGCGGCATAGAAAAGTCTCGTGGATATCTTCACAGAGGTCGTCAGGCTGCGACCATCATGTTGGGGCGGTCGGATGATTAAATGCCATCGTCTCTTACCATCGGTCGTGGGTGGACTCGGCAAAGCAGGAGAGTGATGGTATTTTTGCGTCTGTTAAATGACAGCGTGTCATGCTTGTGGGAGTTCGGCCAAGTTTACCCTGCCGCCTCAAGATCTATCGGATTGCCATATATGGGTAGCAACGACTTTCAATGTGGCTGCGATGTGCTTCTGTAAGAAACAGTGCACTGGGCTGCCCGGAGGCAATCTGGCGGCTCGGCCGTGAAGAATTGCCTGCTGTCAGCGATAGCGGTGCAATCCACACGTCGAGTATTTACGATGGCCAAGTCGACGAATGAGGGTAGCTATCTTGGAGGTCAGCTGCACGGCTCCTGAAGAGAGGTAGTTTGCTCCTATGATGCTCGTGGTTGGCGAGGCGCAGATCCAAACCAACTTGGCGGACCCCATGGGCTCGTGTCAGATATCTGTCGATCTATTGAACAAGGACATACGCAGGCTCATGACGGACAAAGTGGCGGATATCCACGAGCTCCCAAAATCCACGAGCTCCCATTGATCGCCATGATGCTCTTGCCGGGGCAGTCGATCCACAACAACCGGGTGCGTCCGGGTGACAACTGGGAGGGAATTATGGAGTATGCGGTGATATCGACAAGACTGCAACGAGCGCAGAAAATTGCCAACGCTCAAGGAGACGCTTTGACGAAGGAGCTCCAGAACGACGGTCATACTAACGGAGAACCAGCAAATACTCCAAATGGCTGCTCCTTGAGATCGAGGGCGCCAGTCTCATTCGCGACGTTCGAGCCGACCTTGCCACACGCATGCAGAGCCCTGTCCATGGAGATGAGCCGTCATGCAATTGAACACGGGCGAGGTTAGATCCTCCGTCGTCGTGCCTACTTCGCCCGCAGACGGCGACAAGCTGATGCGCGTGCTCGTGGGCAAGCCGCAGAGCAAGCAGATGGCCCACATGCTTACGTCGAAACTCGGCGGGCTCATTGATCGTCAGGTCCTCCATCTCCCATTCTCCCACGCAATCAAGGCCGGCCAGGCCGAGCTCGCCGTCATCGACAAACTCTTATCCCGCTGCCAGACGGGGGTGGTGTACCTCTTGTGCAGCTCATATTTTATCCTTCTAGCTGATGGACGCCGAGCATAAAATAAGCCACAAGGATGATACGGCCGACCGACTTCCGTAATTGCGTGAGCACATCCGCAGGCACAGCCGCGATGTGGTTGACGAGAGCGATGAGAAGTTCTGTCCCAGATTCGAGCTCATCAAGGTCAGCAGCAGCCCATTGACCACAGCCCGGAGCGCTGGACCTGCACCCGGGAAGTCCTCGATCTAGCCCGGAGATATCTTCCCAAGGCCCTGCATGACTTCCCCATGGAGGTGACATCCTCCCGGGATCTGGAGGTTGCTTCTCACATGCGCGACTAGTCGAGCCGAGGGCTGCAGGCAAGCTGCACGACATGCTTGTCGGTCGGGTGTGCCAACACGGTATCAAGGCTATCCCCATCGCTCAGGCTGCTCCAAAATCTTCGCGAGTACATCATAAGTCGGGTGAAGTAGGCTCTTCCGCTGGTTTCTCGGCGGAGACTGCCAAGCACACGCTGCTTCTGCTCCGCGACCTCGTCGCGAAAGGCATCCTCACCTTCGAAGCGGCGGAGGATTGACTGATGTATCAGATACTACCAGATCACCGCAAGCCAGACTGATCGTGTCTTTCCACGCCAAAGACCGCCCCTTTGCCCGTTCCGAGGTTTAGCCATCCGGGTGTGAGCGACTGCTACGAGGGCTTGAACGACAGGGAACTCAATGACGTGCTGTCCCCTCTCGACCACTCCGGCCAGCGCGTCAACAAGTACGTGACCTGGATCAAGGACTTCAAAGCTACTGAGTGCACTCAGCCTCTTGACCCAGGAGGTTCTGGTACGTCCCACGCCTGCGCATGCCGCGTCTGTGATGCTAATGTCCTGCGAAGAAGTTCGTCGCCGCCGCCGAGGCTGCGTTGCGTGCGCTTGGTGGTTCCCCGCCCAGGGTTGCGTCGGCGCTAGGGGCGAGCCTGTGTCGGCAGCCCATGGCGGTCGGCTTACTTGGCGTTGGGTGATAGCTCCCGAGAGCTTAGCTCGTGGTGTTGTAAGTCGGGCCTTGCTGCGTGTGAGACTCAACTGCGCTATGACCTTCTCCAGCTTGTGCGCCAGGTTGCGGAGCAGAGTAGAGGAGGCGTGCGCTGCGGGGTCGTGCGGGGGCGCTCCGGACGCTAGAAAAGTGTTGCTGTTATTGGGCCTGTGTGTTGCGCTTTTGGGCAGCAGCACCCTGGAACATCCCACTGAGCGCCATGATTGGGAACTGGTGATTAGGAGCGAAACAGGGTCAGCGGGCAGCTATGGTGCACTGTGAGGGTGGTCAGTACACCCACCCCACACTTACTCAGTAGGTCCCCATCCCACAGGGGTCACACATGTAGTCATTCCTCCACAATACACATCAACCGTCACAATACGCACTCTGCACCCCTGCATCGCCACTGCATGCCATGCACCATAAAGGCACAGGCCGCCGATTTGGCACGACGCGTGTGCAAGGACCCCAACCGTGGTCAGTCACAGCATGGGGTTCAGCCCAAGCTGGTCAAAAGGAGCTCAGCCATCCGCTCCTGGGTCACGACCATGCCAGCAGCTTCCTGCTTTCTCTTCTTCTTTCTCTCTAACGTCGCGAGGCGTGCATGCGCGCCGCTTACAGAACGAGGATGCTACCCCACCTCCCTGAAGAGATCATCTTGAAAATTCTCAACAACCTCGTCCCTACCGAATCTGCCACCAGCAACACTATCAAAAACCTCCAGCCCAACTTTAGAAACCTGTCTTATGCGAGTCGCGTCTCTCGTCAATTACGCCGTGTCGCGGAACCTTTACTATACCGCTACATCTACCCGACGCGTCAGCTCCTCGAGACTCTGTGCGAACGGCCCGAACTAGGCAATCATGTACATGAGGTTGGCGAGTCTAGTCCGCCTTTGACCTTAGAAGAACGCGAAGCCGTCAAGCCACTCCATAATCGAGTCCATGAACTTGCGAAGGATATTTATGACTGGCCAGTGCTTGACGCGTTCCTGGAGTACTCTAGTCCTCCTAAATTGGATGAGAACCACATCACGACTGATTCCCGCGACGACAACACGACCTGGCTTCCATCAATACTCTGCCTGACACCTCATGTCCAGACGTTACACCTAAATGTGTATCAGCTAGAATGCAAGAAGCTCGACACGCTTGCGCAGCTGTTTCAGTTGTGCGAAGACCGCATTGACTACGAGAAGGAAGGTGGAGATGCAGCATCGAGAACGCCAGCGCCGCTGTCAAAGCTGCGGTCTCTACACTTGTACGCAAAGAGCGATCCCTACCACGCTTTCTTGTACCGGTTCCACCCCAGGACTGGCTCTGGTTCTACTCAACGAACATCCGCCCGCTAGTGCTGTCTACCAAGCTTCGGACATTGAAGACTAGCGGAATAGACTGGGGTCTCACGGGCATGGGCCCACGCCCAGACGCGGAAGAGGCAAAACGAAGGGACGACAGCATATTCCCTGGTGGGCCACCGCGCAGAGAGCTGTATACCTCCCAAGGTTCTCATCCGAACTTAGAGAATCTTAGTCTCTGCGACAACCGATCTCCTGACCCCTCTCTCGTGAAGGAGATGCTGGAGGCCTATCCTAATCTCCACACTCTCGTCCTGAAGCCAAGTCAGCGCATGGCGCGACAATCTTTTGACTTCAGCAAGTACGGCATTGTACTCCGCAAACGCGCCACGGGCCTGCGCTGTTTAGATTTGGGATTTCCCGGCATTTCCCACTTTGAATCGGACGGTGGCGCGATCGGGTCTCTGAGGCACGAGTGTACTCAGCTAAAGCAGCTGCGTTTGCCCCTTGCTGCACTGTTTGGCCTGGATCCACCCGGGAAGCTGGACCTGTGTGATTACTTGCCGATCAGCCTGCGCTGGTTCTGGACCACTTTGCCGGAGGAGGAAAATTACGCGCAGGTGTGTTCCAACGCGCTGGCAAGCATGCTTGACGACAAAAGGCTACCACAGTTGGAATGGGTTCTGGTCATCCTGCCTGAAGGATGTGAGCTTAAGCCCACAGGATTCAGCGCGTTGCGACACGGCGAACGCCATGTTCTATATTGGAGAAAGCCAACCTGTGTCATACGTACGCCGCCGGGGTGGGAGGATGCCAATGTCGAGAAAGGCGTGGCGCTGCCTTAGAGGTCAAGTACGGAAAAACAGGGGCGTAGCCATTTTCTGCTGGCTCATTCATGAGTGCAAGGTCGACGACCCAAAGGGGAATGGACTCAGCAGGAGTGGGAGTTGGAGAATCGACGCCACGAACGCATGTGCCAAACGGGCAGTTATTTTGCGTGCCTGTTCCGTCTGTATAGGAACCTCTAGACCTGCCTGTGTACTCAGTGAACACATGACGAAACTCGTTTGCCAAAAGTGATATCATCTCATGTCACGTCACTACGGTTCTCTCTGCAATCGCCTGAAAAAAGTTGTTGCTACCTAACTCATGCTATTGCCCTGCGATCAGCTCTTGAAACCCATTCCCGATCCTTCTCAGTGCTTTTTCCCCCGGTTTGGGTTGACTTCAGGGCTTCGTCGTCCCATAATTTTGTCCAATCGCCCCCCCCCCCAAAGTCTACCAGCCATAGGTTCTCGTCGTTGTCGGCAAGGACATTTCGCGGCGAGGACTGCAGCAACGAGCCATCTGATGGCACTCAATCTGGGAAAGAAGGGAACACCAACCGATGACGGCAATGGCGTCAAGGAGACAGAAGCACAGAAGTCAGCTGAAAAAGGTCGGAATCGAGTTCATCCAGGAATCCAGACCGCACCGGCTCAAAGGCGAACGCAGGCTACGCACATGCCACGACTATGCCAAGTGCCGAGAAATATGACTGCTCCTGTGACCTGCCACTTGAGCGACACAGTCACCCTCCGTAGTACTGCAAACGCGCATGGGTGGCGATTCAAGGGCATCCCTACTCGACTGGAGGATGCTAAGGTCACAAGCAAAGCGTCAGGGCGACCAAAGAAGCATTGGAGGGCCCTCGCTGGGACGACCTCCAGAGCTGCATCAGGTATATGAAAGCCAAGAAACTGCTACAGCAGAAGGCCGAGGAAAACAACCACAAGAAGAAGGAGAACCCCAATTGTGTCCCCGAGACAGCGTTCTATGCGTTCATACCGTGTGACGAGGACGGATCAGAAGCTGACCTTCCAGTCGTTCAAATCTACGTGACGACGGCAATCCCGAGCCCACTGCGCGACTCTTGGCTCCTCGATCGCTGTGCGAGCCAGCTATCACGAACGACAAATCCCTTGCCGCTCCAGGGTCACATAGAACAGCGATGGAGACTCGCATGGCCCTCGCCGGCGCATCCAGCTTTGACATCAAGTTGAGGCTTGGCCGAGAACATCGGCCGGGTCAATCACAGGTGCCTGTCGTTGTGGTGTGCACGCCATCGCAGCTTGTTGCCTGATCCTCCATACCCGTGCCTCATCTTTGATCCTTGCCAGCATGAACCCTTTCCTTGCGTGGCCGGAACCATCGTTGCCCAGCTTTCGACTGGTCATTCCGAGATGGACTGTCTCCTGCAACACATACAAGTCTATCTGCTCCTCCGCCTGATGCGCATACCTCCTCTTGAACATGGTCTGTACAGGTGCCCGGGGTTTCAGTCGTCTTGCACCGGTGTCGTGCTCGGCCTGCAGACGGCTTTTCTGCTCTTTGCGTGTTCGACCACTTTGCTGATACCGTTTAGTGGAATCGACAGCTAGCGCCCCGCCCACCTGTTGAAACAACAGCTTCAGGTACTCTGCTGGGCTAGCAGGCGGTTTGCCGTTAGCGAAAAAGCTCTCATTGCCGAGGATCATGCGAGCAATATCCATGCCAACCCATGTCAGTGCCTCCTTGAACTTCGCTGCTGTCGCTGGATCGATGCCACCATTGTCCTCCTCCTCGATGCTGAGCATCCCTTCCTTCTCTAGTGCCTTGAGTAGATGCATCGCGCCGCCGATCGACTCACACACATCAGCAACAGCGAGCCCAGCATCGCGAACAACAGGGAATCATAGACTGGCCAGTCCGGCACGCAACGCACGGTGGTGAGCAAGTCGGAGATTAATGGCACCGCTAGAACACGGTCGTCTTTGAATTTCTGCTCGCCGGTTATGAAGTGCCGAGGGTCTAGCGATGGGTCAAAGCTGCTGTACGTGCCGTCTATGTACGCGGTGAGCTCGTCATAGATCGAATAACTGAAGTTGTCCGTGATCAATGGTCCACAAACGAAGATCACATCCTCACCCCAGCCTTTCAGGCGAAGCTGGAACGCGTGCAAATCAATGAGCAGCTTCTTGAGGCCGCCGCTTCGATGAGCGGCGTGACGTCCTTGAACATGTCCCTGGCGAGCCGAGTCGCCATATCCGTCGCTAGGGTGGCTGCGGCCAAGTCAAAAACCAAAACAAAACCCGCTTTCATAGTTTTCCCACATCCATTTGACGTGCTGGGACTTGTACTTATGGGTTGAAGCAGAATACGGTCATCGCGAGCTTCTCAATCTCAGACCGACGCTGCCAGTTCCGAAGTGCCTGTCGCTCAGTAGCCGTGACATCAGCGCTTGAAGTTGCCAAGGGGTTATGGAGTCCGGCCTTCACGACCGGGTGAAGACTTGTGTCATCTAGGCCATCGTTCATGCAGCATGACGCGACGTGTCACGCGCAGCTTTCTTCTCCCCAACACTATCGTAGATAGCTGAGGTTCTTGGCTTGCAGTGGTGTAGCCCGCTGTCATGCCTTATGTTTCCCATCCTGGTTCATGGCAACTTGTTCCCAGGCATGGCACCAAAACCTCTGAATCTCTGCGATGGGGATCCATCACACGGCCGCTCAATAGACAAGAAGTGGAACGCCGACTAAGCCGTGGGTTGGCAATTGATTGAGGGTGTTATGCCCAATTGATGTCAGGCCCTTTTCACTCCAGCCCAGTTGACAAGATCCCTGCCTTGCAAAAGTGCGGCTGTGCACGAGTACAAGGCTCGAAGACGCAGGCATGGAATGAGCGTGGATGGTGCTGTACGTCTCGTGAAAAGGTGTAGAGCAGGCTATTCATGCTTCGATGTCCTGTGCGGTGGAAAACCTGTCGTAGTTCATTGCTGAAGAAAGATTCATGGCGCGAAGCAAAGGCCGCATGCATCACGTCCAGCAGGATGAAGGCAGCCTACGTACGAGGGCGGATTGCTGCGTCCGCACTATATCTGTGCTGCCAACAAGTGGCAGCCATAATGCTGCCTGGAATCATCAGAGGCCAGACACTGAAGAAAACAACGGATCAGCACGGCATTATGGGAGCAGCAGACCCGCCCTTGGAAAAGGCTTGTAGAGAAGGCGCTAGAGCAGGGGCGAAGCATGACACAACTACAGAAGCAGATGCCGAGGGCAAATGATAATGATGAAGATATTAGGACGTGCCTTCACAATTTCTGGACCATCCATGATTCGGGCACGTGCGGATACACAAGAGAGAGCGGTTTTGGAGACAATGCTCACCGCCGCTGCTTTAAACCCGCGGCTAACGGAGGCACTGTTCATTTTGTCGTTCGACCTGGTCACAACGGACCAGGGCCAGGCGTCTTCTACTCGACTGGCTCGTTCGACCACGCGTTACAGTGACAGGCAAGATACGAAGCTAGTTCTATATGTATCGTCTCGTCAAGTACCATCATCTTCTTCCAGAAGCTCATGACGTACGTTCGAGGCCTTGGTGACCTCTGTAGTCAGAGGCAAAGACAGACGTCTGAAGCCACCGCTAGTCTTTCTCATAGGTTCATGGGTTCGTGGGTTGGTTAACAAGATCACTCGCGAGCACTATTTCATCGAGCTGCCGAAGGCTTTCCTCTCGCTATATCCCGGGGATCGGTCTAGCGGTGTCGAACAGCGATTCCAGAGATTACATAGAAATTATCTCAAGCTCGTCGCATCAGTCGTGGTATGAGGAGGCCTATTCTATCCCTCACTGATTCGGAAACATCTTGCCACTTTGTTCTGGTCAACGCAGGTAGTCTGGGGACACTGAAGCATGACAAGTATGGGACTTTCATTCCGAGACGGTTGTCGTTACACTCAATTGTTAGTGAAATGGAGCTATCGAGTGTCACCTTCAGATTCCAAATGGAGCCGCCTGGCAAGCCAGCATGCCTTCCAGTGAAGAAGGATCCAGATATCCTCTGGCAGACCTCCTTCATCCCAACATCCCTGCCGGGGCGGCCCCTGCGCAGCCTCCGGGGGCGCAATGAGGGCTTTCATAGTCAACAGATAACACCGCAAGCAGAGTTAGAGAGTACAGGCATCTATGTAGCAATGCCAGCCGGGCGCGCTGTGGGATTCACGGTTCCACTGGTGGGTGACGACAATGCTATTGTCGTTATGTCTTGTGCTGGGTCTTGGTCTACAACATCATCTCGGTTGGCAGCTCATCAAGAGTCTTGGATGGAAATGCACTGGACTACATAGAATCATGAAACTTTGAGAGTTTTGATAAAAACTAGTAGACAAAAAGTCGCATCGGTGTTTTAGGAGTACCACGCGGTGATATGTATAACGATGGCCTGAGAGTTTCCGTCTTAAACTTGGGTACATTGACGCGCGAGAAGAGAAAGCCCGCAAGTTTGCTGCTACCTTGTCAATCCGATAGCCACATATATAGCTGGTACACGCTGCCACCGGACACGCTCCACGTTCGCAGGCTGCGAGGACTGGTGTCCATTTTGAGCACGGTCTCATGGCCAGTAGACTCTCCAGCCTCATCACTCTGCATTCAAATGCTGACAAGCGAGTGGCAGTCCTGTTGGTCTGACGATCAAACGATACGCCGCAGTAGCTGCCGGTGCAGAGTCGTTTCGTCCTAGGATGGTGTACTACAGGCAAGTAAATTGCAATTGATTAAACGCGCAGACTTGAAGGGGTACATTCTGTGTCGAGCCCAGAGGGGAAACTGCGCATCATGATGGGCGAACCATCACTTTTGGATCCGCACAACTGACGGCTCGGGGTTTAATTAGAGCTCGGTGAAAGCATCGACCCACGGGGCATGTGGCTCACTTCTCCACCCTTTAAAAGCCTCGGAACTCTGTTGGTAAGGCGGCGGCCGACGGCGAGTTTTGCAACTGGCAAACGATCATCGCTCGTCACAAGAACAGCTTCTCGCTCGAGTGCCTCGTCGCTTTGCGGACCTGCGAGCAGGCCAGAGCACTCGGACGGGTCCTGCATTATAGAGAGCCAGTGGTTGACTGCATGCCTCCCACTATTATTGATTCGGATGAGAATGCAGCCTGGCAATTTCCGGGGACCTGGGAGCAACTGGTTAACTGCGCCATCACAGGGGCTCGACACTGTGATAGAAGGGCTTTTTCTACGGAGTCCTCTCGGGCAGCCAGGAACAAACTGACGAAGCTGGAGAGAGGCGGCGAAACACTTCAGGCTGATGCAGAGCGAGACAGACCAAGGTGCACGGTCGGATGGTGGGAGACTAACTCTTGGACCTTGTTGCGGGTGTGCTTTGCCCCACTTTACTTGCAGTTTCGTTCTTGATGCCCGAGCTCGATTGAAGTCCAAGGGTTCGCCGAGCGCGCAGGCAACGTCCAGGACGAGGCAGCTCACGGCATATTGAAGCACAAGCATAATTTCGGCCTGGCGGCTGGTGCCGCTCAACCTGCACGGAATGGACTAATTTGGCGCCTGGGGGGCGCCGCGATGTGGCAGCCATGGCGGCGTCCTGAGCTTTTTCTTTTTAGCTGTGTGCACGCACTCTGGGCGGGATGGAAGCTTGCAAGCAGGCTACATTTGCTTGGGGCCGGGAATCTTTCGGTGCGCAGCATCCTAGGGTAAGAACAACAGCACTTGCGTGGTGCATGGGGCGAGCAGCGTGGACTTTCATGGGACATAGTGATTGGGGGCACGGCTTATGGCAATCTGTAGTGTCTGAGTTGTGAGCTCCACCATGGCGCATTGCTGCCTGATTGTCCCGCTCGGTTTGCTAGAGAGCACAAGAAAGGGCTCCAAAGCCGTAGCCAAGGTACCCAGCCGTCTTCTCTCCTGCAACACCCGCTCGAACACCAGGATTTGCATCCCATCGCCGCGGCTTCCCAAACACCCTGCCGTGTATGCGCAATGGCCAGCGACTCATTGCATATAACATCGATGTTGCCCACACTTTCTTCCACGTGGCGGCCCTTGCTCGTCTTGATCCCTACTATCATCAACGTCGCCAGTATTTTCAGCGATCCTCTGAACACAGCTATCAACTCGATCTCGACAAACCATGAAATGCCTTATTGGCGCATAGTACTGGACGCAGGACTGCTGGGTCTGGTAGAGTGGGCCTATTTTCCGCTCAAGCGAGGAGCACCAGACCCGACCACAATAGGCAGCTCCATCGTTCTGCGCCTCATGCGCTACTTCCATATGATAGTAGTCGACATCTCTGGTATTCTGCACACTCTACTTCTTATGGCAGTCTCTCCCAGACAGGCTGATGGGCCCCCGTGGTTTAAGACGCTAGGTTGGGGTGTTGTTGTGCTGTTTGTTCTCCACATGAGCTGGACTTTCAAGTGTCTTCTGGTCGGACTCGATCACGACGCACAAAGAGACGCGCAAAGGACTAGAGCGAAGCGATAATACGTACTGAATTCTGACCCGACGACATCAAGAACGAGACAACACACTTTGTTGGTATGGATGAGAGGCGCCACCTGCGCAGCCTTCTCGACCAATGGTCAAAAATCCGAAGATGACGCGACAACGAGGCGACAAGCATGCGTTGACACCGAGGCGATCGTCACACCAATTGTCCCGGCCACTAGAAGCACGCCGCCCAACGTGGGTCTCAGTCGCGGCGGCCTCGCAGCCCAGGAGGGGCTCGTGGTAATGACCGGTCGTCATACCAGAAAAAGGCGAGCGGCAGGCTATCATCTTAGCCTCTCGAGGTGGCTCGCTCCTGCAGAATGAAACTAGGGTCATAAGTCAAAGCACCTGGATTCCGACACCTATATCAACCAAGACAACACCTTTTTTTGATTGCGAATAGCTTAACATATTTCGACTCTAGAGATCCGTGTTTCCAATGTATAAGAGGGAACTGTGTTTATTATTATCATTAGTACGCGTACTAGTTAGGTTTCGCGAGCCTATGAATCTATCGTATCATAAACCATGCCGGAGCTGGATGAAAAGTATACGTTACGTATTCGGTACGCCTAAGCGGCGTCTGCGCTGCGTGGTTCCGTCGCGTGTCACGAATGGCTCTCACTAGCCAGACGTTCTTTGGGCGAGATTGGTCGCCTCCCTCCACGCCTCCAAACCGGTGCAGCTCCTGGGTATGTGTGATTTCGGGGCGCGCGCGCACCGCCAGAGCTGCGTGGGCGCATCGTTGACGGCGCTCCCTCTTGCGGAGGTCGTCGTCGTCGTGATTCCTTCTCTCCTCCTCCAAGCCATCGTCAACCTGTAAGTGCTCCTCGCCGGCCGCATCGAAGTCGCGCGGCTCCAGCGTCACTGTCGAGGGCTTCAAGCTAACCTCCTTCGCAGCAGTCGCAGCAGGAACAACAACAACGATGGGTATGTCGTCGCCTTAAACCTCCAACCTCACCTTCTCTTCACCTGCTAACTTCGCAATTTTTCAGACCCCAACCCTCTCAAGCGCACCCTCCCCGGGGACGTGGAGGACGAGGCGCACGCGCGGCTCGGAACCGTCGCCGCCGGTGCCTCTGCGGTCATGGGCGAGGCAGGAGAGTTGCTGCATCTCCAGCAGCAGCAGCAAGCTCCCCCGGCCCCCCGGACCCCCTCGCCGCCTCCACAAGTGGACGGCCCGTCCTCGCCTTCGGCGTCGGTGAGTGTCGCTCGCGCTTCGTATCCGTAGCGTCGTCGTTCTCGCGCAGCTGATATATTTCCGAGACAAAATTCAAACATTACCAAGAGCGTCTAGACCAATGCATGAAAATTCGTAACAGATATATTTGGTGTTCCTGGCAGACGAAGAGCCATCAAAACTGTAAGGCCCGTGGACGCCATCGATACGGCGCAGGGCTGGCCTGGCACCGATTCGGTGTCGATAAGGTGGAGATGCCCAATGTGCACAACTGTGCTGCATCTACCGAGGTACGAGGAACGCAGACAGTGGGAATGGCAATCGTCTTCAATGCTTGGTTGATAGATAACATAGATAGATGTATGTTAGAATTACATTTACATTGTCCTTGAAAATGAAAATCATACAATCATACGTATTATGGCGCTCTAGTGTGTTGTTTGCTTGAAAGGCATGCAGCATACAGCTAGCGTATAGGGATTCTCTGCAAACATACAAGCGAATATCATGATTATCTACAAAAGCGCTACCTGAAGCGGCGGCTTCCAACAGGAGCAATGACGTTCGTTGTATCTCTTTTGCCTAAACAATCACCCTCCCAGTTCCGATATCAGCATGATGCACCAATGCTGCAGAGGTACTGTACAGGCTGGCATGATTGTAGAGCAGGAGTCGCACGAGGCAAAGCTCACACGTCAGAGTCCATTCACAGCCAGGTGGTGCTCCCCCCGTTGGCCACCCTCAAGATGGCGCGCTGGAATCTGCTGTCGAAGGTAGGTCTAAGGACTAACAGCTGGAACCAGCAAAGACCTGGGCATTGCGCGATCGGTTAGCCCTCAACTCTTACGGAGCACACTCGAAGGTGAGCAGGCGACTTTCTTAGATCGCGCCCAGTAGAGCTCTCAAAAGATTTCGACAGGCAGCAGTATGGGCGCGTTCCATCTGTGAAGGTCCAGCTGCGTGCAACACTCTTACAGATGTGTTTTCTCTACATGCATCTTGATTGTCTCCCAATTTCACCACCGATCAAGATAGGCCCAACTAGATGATATGATGGACTGCCTGCGAACTTTGCTAATCTAGAACCTAGCCTGTGCGAAAGAGGGCTGGGAGATCGCGGTGTTCTAGGAGTCGTTATGCCAAACGGAGAGCGGAGATGTGAATCACTCTGGGCTAGGGGATTAAGCTCCAACAGCTGGAAATGGCGCCGTTGGCTGGGTGAAGCTGGCTCTGGCGGTAATCCGCAACTGAGGAAACTGCTCCTATGGAGTCGGCCGACGCTATGCGAAAATCCCCCAGAGATGTGAGATGTAGACTGAGCTTGCACAACTGATTATGTGCGAGTCGGCGCGGCCAGGAAGTACGTCGTGACTGGTTTGTTGACAATTGCGGATGAACACTTGTTCGAAAGTGACTGCGTTCAACCACGAATGGAGGCGCGAGTTCAGTCAAATGCGAGCCATGGATGAGACATCCCTGAATTCTGGGGTCAGTGGCAGGAGCGGGTCCACGCCGTGCCTTCCCGGGAAGCTCAGAAGGCATGGAGGTGAGTGCCCCACTACTTCGGTACCTACGCTAGCGTAGATTGACCCCTCAACCCTCTAAATAATTTATTTGTTCTAGGCCATGACTGCGCTGCCCCGTCATCGTTCACCTCAGCGTATTGATGCTGACTGCTCGCGTTGGTACCAAGCTCCCTGGTACAGATTCGCGCCTCAGTGCGCCAGCGACACCCTGAGCCACGGCGCTACACCGTGAGTGAGAACAAACACAGGTCAAGTGCCCGCTGCTCGTTGGCGAGAACGCAAATATGCAGCCGCGTCCACGTGCACCTCGAACGCCAGCGCAATGCTCCCCTCTAGAAACAGCCTGCGAACGCGTACAGCCAGGATGCTTCGAGGGCACAGCGATCTGTCACGTCCAGAGACAGTTTATCCCGAATAATCTCGAGGACCTGATTTGTCTCTCGCACGACAGCACAAATCCAGTTCATCACGGCCGAGGCACCAGCGGCCATCATTCCTGCAACTCGACTGCGGGTGTCTCCGAGTCTAGTGTACTGCTTCCGCGAAGGGCGCATCGCAGCCACACTGATTGTCGTAGATATCAAGGTCTGACAATCCAATACATCTCGAAGGGGCAGATTTCACCTTGACGGATTCCGACAAGCATGGCACGCTGCCAAATAAGTATGAAGCTATGTTTCCTGCTTTCACCTAACTCGACCACGGCTGAAGGGAAGAGACCACTACACTGATGTCATCGGACAGGCCCTGCTTGAACTGCAGGGTCTTAGCCTGACCATCAGGAAACTAACCACAAGACTATCTCATGCCACAGCTGTAGTACTCTGTTCATTTTGCCTCCCAGATGAGCCGGCGGTAAGTGTATGGCGGCATTCCAATACGCTAAGCCCGCTCTACGCCGTCGTCAAGACAACATGCACCCCAAGAGTACGGCGACTTCAGGGTATTGTGATGACGGGTCGGGCTGTTTTTGTTGCTGCCGCCGCCGATGTTTCCCCCTTGTAGCATTTTGTCCCTGCTGGCTAATTTCTGCGCCTAATTCCCTGGCGACTGCTTCCCACTCATCTGCCATGATCGCAGAAGCCTTAGCCGCAGAGTCGCCCGTGTGCGACACCGCCTTCGCCTCCGGCGCGACATTCTCGTTATTTCCCCGGTGGCGTCGGATAGGGCAGCCTTGAGCAGCAGCTGCTCGCGCTCAGGGTGTTGCTTGTCGAGGCGCATGGCCACAACGCTGCATACCTAGGGTCGTTGAGCATTGCGGCCATGCACCGCCAGATGTCCTGGGTGCAACGTCCCCGGCGTCGCCCGGAGAGCCCGCCGCCAACCCACTCCACCTCCGGGCCGCTTACGCCAGTTCAGAAAGCCCGACGAGCGCCCGGACAACTCCCTCTGATAAACCCCGAACCCCACGAGATGCAGACAGATATGGGTGACCCGGGGCTCGACGTACAGGTCGAGTTGTGGACGCTGGTCACCTCGTTGATTGAAAGTCATTTTCGGGTTTTGATTTGGTCACTACCGTATTGCGTGCACCTGTAAATAAACCAGTGCTTCCAGGCCTACACTCGTCACGCGCGCGGTGCTCAACGTGAAGCGTCTTCTGTATCACACGCTGCCTGGCAATTAACGGTAGTGTGGCGGCTCCCCACTTTCCGCCAAGGGAGAATCACCTTCGACGAGAGCACGGTGTATGACCCGGAACGGGACCAAGAGCCTCTCACGGTCGGATCAGGGAGCAGATAATTGACACCACCAAAATGCTGGACATTCCAATGGAGGATCAGGTCACTCAAGAAATGGCGAACATCCTGGGGTACAGTGAGCAATTGGCCGTCGATCCCCGAACCTACACCAGGCCTGACCAGCACCGAATCGCCTCGAGAGAAGCCCTACCTCGAATGGTACAGGGACGGCGAAAATATCTGACTTCAGCGGATGAGATGATGAGCGAGATAAGGTGACAGGTCCGACTCCGCCGGCCTGCGCGCAGCCACCTCTCACATCCAGAACAAATCATCGACAACGACAACCTGCTGAATGGCCGCGCCGCTGTCGAGGTCCTGGTACACAGCAACGACAGAATCGACTGCATAATAGCAGTGGCACCAGAACACCCACAGCCAAAGGGATGATTGCCCCAGTAGAACAATCCCGCCGGAAAACAGCCATGAAGTGACCGACGGGGTGCCTCACATCAGCAGCGAACTATCAGACAGAAAATACGCACGTGGTTTCGCGTCCCAAAACCTCACAGGGCAACTGGAATCAGACGAGAACTAGTATTGCGAAAGTCCCCACGGATATGGCGACGCCCTCACGAAGAAGCGCCCGACAAGCCCAGTCCTCAGCGAAGAAGATTGAAGCTGACCGACAGCAAGCAGAGGGGACGGCACTAGAAAATGGGCGCACACGTACTTCGTGGTGGGAGACATTCCGACAGCGGAAGAGGAGGACCAGCCTAACGACAATCTGCAGCTGGAAACCTGCTTCTCCGTCATCAAAGCTGCCATGACGACAGCGGCTGATTGCGTCCGTTCAGAGCACGCCAAACGACCACCAAGCAACTACCAGGAGGCTCTCAACCACCCATCGGAGGGCCTGTTCCTCGAAGCTATCAGGCGAGAGCGACGAGATGTCCGGGACCCATCGCAAGGAGATCATGGCGACTCATTGTCCGAAGCCGAGTCGGTAAAAGGCAGGTGTTGCCCCTGAAATGGGTGTCCACCTACAAACTGGACAAAGACGGCTACATCGCAAAGTGCAAGGCACGCATTAGCGTGCGAGAAGACATTGAGAAGGATCTCAGGAACGAAACGCACGCAGCCACGCTGGCGGCGAAGTCATTCCGCATGATGTTGGCAATTATCACGAGAGACGACCTGGATGTCAGACAGTGCGACGTCATCAGCGTGGAGCCTCATAAACAAGGAGGACCGGTTGTTGCCGACTACCAGATGGGTACGTCCATCTGGGGTTTCTCAGGACGGAGAGGATCCCACAATGGTTGCAGACCCGCAGAAGGCCCTGTATGGACTCGGGGAATCGCTCCTGTTATGGTACAGAGGGATCTCATCGTCTCGTACTTTAGACCTCCACCAGCGTACAATGACCTCGTCGCGCCGCCTTGACGTCTTCGTTGGGCAGATTCGCGGAGTCGTAATAGACGACTTTGCCATGTTTCACGTTTATTTCGCGAAGCGTGAAGTGGTTGTTGTCAAGTGGAGACGGAAGCAGCAGATGTTATCCCGTCCCTCTCCCCTCGTTCATTGTTGCACCTGCTTCGCGGTCCCTCCAACGGTTTGGCCAAGGGTCTGCCTCCCGTTCCATAATTGGACCAACAAACCGACGCGGACATTAGGCAATTTTCCAGCGAGATGCATCGACAACACCAGTTCGTGATTGAAAGCGTGTCGTTACTCGATCGGCTACAGACCAGAATTCGAGAGGAAGTCATGAGGCATGGTGCTGTCGGAGACAAAGACCTGGCGAGGCAGCCCATGCAACTGAGTGACCCCTGGAGCGGCTTTGACATTGGGCATGGGTCGGAGTGGAACCTCCTATGTAACTATTTTTCAATGCGTGCTGGGTACTCAGTGGGTACCTGAGGCCCGCCCCCCTCTTACCAACTCCCGGCCGGATCTGTTCCCTCAGCCACACTGCATAAGTTGCAGTTGTGCATAAAACCCCTCCGTTATGCCACAGCCGCGTAACGGCCTGCCAAAGCAACGTTTGAGCAGGTAACTTAACGGAAGGCCAACTCGAATTGTTCAATGGCTGAGGCCAATCCCTGTTGCCGCTTGCACATCTTCATAATGTCGCCCCACGCGGATCTTGTTCCAACGGTAGACTCATGAATGCTCGCTTTCCTTGTGCGCTTTTTGTGCGGGTATGAATTGTTCGGATGTTTGCTGAACACGATTAGCTATGTCCCAAAGAGAGGCCTTTAAGAACGCTTAAGAAATTGATAAGGACGACCCAAGCCGAAGAAAGGCAGAGAGGGTAAGCGTGCACGAGTTCGAGCCAGACTGGAGCGACCAACGCCCAGTCAGAAGTCAGCGGTTAGATCGACGAGGGCCACTTCTCAGAATCAAAGCAATGTAGAAGAGCTCTTCGTGCCGTACGAGAGTTGAGAGTGTTCCAGTAGCATCCTTGGTTTTCGCTCCCTAGCGCAGCTTCGGTAGAGCAGCGTATCGAATTGCCGGCACGAAAGGCGGAGTTCCACTGCGCTGAATTTGCGCGACAGCACTTGACCACTCGCACGAATGATAGCGCCAATTCTTCTACATGGACGTCGGAAAATGAAGTTGCAAGCAAGCTTGCTGAGCTCAGTCTAAACAAGATCGTCTGGCTTACAGATTAATAGTCTTGTCAGCCTAATGACGCCAACAGTCGATCACTTATATGTCTCTAGGTTTGCTTGAGGAGTTGTGAACAGGAATCTACCTGCTGCGCTTGCTGTCCTTGCCTTTGGACTCCTTGCCCTTGCCCTTGCCCTTGCCCTTGCTGTCCTTGCTCTTGCCCTTGCTGTCCTTGCTCTTGCCCTTGCTGTCCTTGCTCTTGCCCTTGCTGTCCTTGTCCTTGCCCTTTTTCTCCTTGCCTTTGGACTCTTTGCTCTTGCGCTCCTTGCACTTGCTCTCCTTGCCCTTGCCCTTGCCCTTGCCCTTGCTCTCCTTCTCGTGGCCTTCATGCTTTTGCGGAAGTTTAGAAGGTCCTGGCTCGTAGAAATCACGATTCGTATAGGTCGTAGGACTAGGGTCGGGGGCTATGACGCTGGAGTAGTTATCGTCATCGTACTCAAAGTCGCTATCGTCAGAGTCATCATCATCGTCGTCGTCGCTGTATTGATCATAGTAGACAGGTTCAATGGGGGAAAATGGTGCATCGGTGGCGGTCGTGTCAATGCTTAATTGCTGAAATCCATCTTCCAGCAGAGAAATGTCATCAAGGTCATATCCGACAGTACTGCGAGCGTTGTGTGTCTGCTCCAGTACTCCCGAGTGTCGTGACTAGGAACAGAGAGTCCTATCAGCATCAGGGCAAGCTGTACAGACTCTCTTCTCTCGTCGCCTTTCTGCATCTGCGATACCCACTTGTGCACTACCGGGTGCACAGAATAAGTACCTGACTCAGACTCCTGCGTCTCGATCATCGAATACCGTAGCAGCAGTCGAACTGCATCGAGGAATCTGACCTCGTTGCACGCCATTTCACGCACCCATCTGGGCCACTGTTCCTCGCTGCCGTCAGCAGCAGCCTGCAGAAGCCCGTGCCACATGTCTTTATGTGCTTTTGCGTTGGCACACGTGACCAACATGGCGGAGGCGGCCAAGATCAGCGACCTCAAGGGTGCACGCGCACCGAACAAGGACAGAAGGGTCGAAGGTCGCTCAGCCCGCATTTCACGAAGCGAACGTCGCATAAGAGGACAAGCGGCCTCGGCGTGGGCCGATGAGCGAGGAAGGGGAGTGGCGGTTGTCAAAGCAATGTTAGTGGCGAATCTCCAGAGTGCCGTTTTGAGCCGACAGGTCGGTCCGACGTGCGGCGCAATTTAGACCGCACCGAGAGGCCCCACTTCGGCCGGGTTTCCCTTCCCCGGAGGCCTGCTCACTGCCCCGGCAAGTGCGCCAATTTCACCGACAACCGAGCCGGTTTCCAAGCGATGCGGAACCCCAAATGCCCGTCGGGACAGTACCTCCTGGTTGAGGCCACTTGAACGCTCGATGAGCTCCAAAGCCGAGAACAGTTCCGCTGGGTCCCGGCCCATGTCGGCGTATCAGGCAACGAAATGGCGGACCAAGCCGCCAACAGGCCGCAGGACCCCATGCCGAGGCGCCTCCAACAACGATCCCCGGGATCCTTATGGCAACCACGAAGCCCGCCGTTCGCCAGAAGCTGCGAGTCGAATGGGAGAAAGCCTGGGAAATTGCCCTCTTCCGGCTCAGCGCGCGGCCGGGCAAAGCGACATTAAGTACACATCGCGGAGCACACAGAGCAATCAGTTCGGTGATCACACGGATGCGCACGGGGAAGATTAGCCTCCGTGCCTACCTCACACTCCATTGACAAGGCCGATATCGACCAGTGTCGATGCGACTACGGGCCGCAGACGGTGCGGCACATCCTCCTGGAGTACCGGATTGGATCCACGAGAGGTACAGTCACTAGCGAAATCGGCTTCCGCTTTTCACTCTTTTGGTTTAATATCTAATGCCCTTTTTTGGGCCTCTTGGCGCTTACACCGTGCTTGTTCCCACAGTCAAATGTCCCGGATAGTACTGGTTTGCTTGCTTACCTAAGGCACGTGGAACAGAGGAACGGCCTTAAACAGTGCAGACGGGGAATTACAATACGAGAGCGAGGTTGCTGTATGCGCGCTGTTAGGTCGCAGTCAAGCCTTGTTTGGCAATCAGCACAAACGATGTTAAGAGGTAACTTGAAATTAGGGTCATTAGATAGCTATTAACATAGTCCTATATTCTTGGTCTACGATGACCGGATGTACCGAGAGGTCGCAACGTAGATGGGTGTGATATCTCTGGCGGGCTCTAGGGACGTACTAGACGCCGCCCCACGCATTGACATCGGCGCCGTTGTCCAGTAGGAGTTGTATAATTTCTCTGTGGCCCCAGGATGAGGCAGCTTGGAGAGCGTTGCCGAACAAGCCGCCCTGCGCGTTGACATCGGCGCCCTTGTCTAGTAGGAGTTGCACAACTTCTCTGTCGCCCCCGTATGAGGCAGCTTGGAGAGCGTTGCCGAACAAGCCGCCCTGCGCGTTGACGTCAGCGCCGTTGTCCAGTAGGAGTTGCACAATTTCTCTGTGGCCTTCATGTGAGGCAGCTTGGAGAGCGTTGCCGTAGTCGCCGCCCTGCGCGTTGACGTCAGCGCCCTTGTCTAGTAGGAGTTGCACAACTTCTCTGTCGCCCCCGTATGAGGCAGCTTGGAGAGCGTTGCTGTAGTAGCCGCCTTGTGCGTTGATGTCGGCGCCTTTGTCTAGTAGGAGTTGCACAACTTCTCTGTGGCCTCTAAATGAGGCAGCTTGGAGAGCGTTGCGGTAGTAGCCGCCCTGTGCGTTGATGTTGGCGCCTTTGTCTAGTAGGAGTTGCACAACTTCTCTGTGGCCTCTAGATGAGGCAGCTTGGAGAGCGTTGCCGTAGGGTCCGCTCTCGGCATCAATATCTGCTCCCTTGTCAAGCAGCATCTGGACAGAATGGAACAGACCAACAAACGAGGCGAAGTAAAGAGCCGTGGGCGCATGACGTCTACCCGGGCCCCACCGCTGGATTTCATCCTGGCGGCCCCACTGGTTGTCCGTATCGCAAAGATCGTGGCCGAATTGGAAGGCAACCTCTGAAGAGAAATATTCGTCCACTTCCGAAAGAACCTCCTTCCTAGACAGTTCGACGTCCACCGCATATGTTGACCAGTACTGTGCTGCGAAGTTTGCCAACGGTGTTCCTTCTGTTTCTTGAAGCGTATCTCTGGAAGCGTTGTCGATTAGGTACGAGAGACAAACCCGCACAATCTCTGCCTTTGCGTTGGTCTTTTCGAGATCCGCTGCCATGGATTCATGTACTCGAGCGGAAACGAGGTATTCTTGGACAGAGAAGTGTGCGAGTTGTATTTCGACAATCATCGTCCCGCTCCGATGGTCTTCTTGTCTGACTAGAACCACAAGACTCGAGCAGTACCTCGCCACTTCTTCAGCATCTGGCATCCGATTTCGTGGATCGAATCGGGGCTGGCAGTCAGGATCGACCGCGAGTGCGTCAACGGCCTCTTCAATGCGGAGTGGCCGTTCTGAGTAGGCGAGGAACTGTAACAGTCGTTTTGCACAGTCCATGTGTTCTGGCCGAATATTTTGCAAAATCCTTGCGTACGTCGCATCGAGCGTTGGTGGAAGATTATTCAACTCCCTGAAAACGGATTTAGGGGCAAGGCACTCCCTGAGAACGTCGATCTGGCAAGACACCCAACGGAACCTGACTTGTCAGTACATTTATATGATTACCGCGGTTGTGAAGGAACTTACATTCCATTTGCCTTCTGGCTTAATTCAGACTCGATCTTCTCCCGGATATCAGGCCGGTCTTCCCACCTAGACATCTCCGCTGTTTGTGCCTTAATGTAGGCGTTGATATCGTTCGATGTTCGACCATTCTGGAGGGAAATAACCTCCCCCACTTGAGACCAGCTCTCGATAGAGCTCCTGATGTCTTGTTCCGGCCGGCTCGTTACCAGGAGGTGAACGTTGAGGCTGGCATCACGAAGACCTCGAATCCACGGAAGTAGGCCGCCGGTGAGCCCGTCGTTTCGTTTGTGACATTCGTCTAATGCATCAAGCACTATCCAAGTTTCGCCAGCCTGCTGAAGCAAACTCCGAAAAGTCTTGAACAGTGATGCACTCTCTGGTTGTCGACGTCCGTTTTTACAGGACGAGAAAAGAGCGTCGACCTCCTTCTGCAGCTCTGTTCGCTGGTTGTAAAGCTGATCAATGAGTGACCGAAGTGCGTCGTCCGTGGATTGCTTTGTGGCGTCGTTGAAGTCGAAATAGAAGTATAACAGGCTCAAAGAGCTGACGCTCTGTTCAAGATCGGCTACGACGGAGGAGCTGAGGACCGTCTTGCCGCAGCCGGGAATGCCGTTTAGCCAAAGGAAGGAGTTCCGCTCCTTCTTCCACTTCGCATATTCATGACTTTCGAGAAACCACTGTCCAGTCCCTTGATAGCGCTGTCTGCGCGCTTTGTGGAGATTGGTAGATGGATCGGATGGGGAAAGCCATGTTCGGATCTTATCTAGTTTGTCGCTAGAGTACATGGCCTCAGTGGTTGCGTGCGTACCTCGGACTATCGCTTGCGTGTCCTCGAGTTTTCGATGGATTTCACCAACTAAGATGTTTGACGCGTAAGTATGAAGAGTTACCGTTATTGGATGTTAACCGTAACTAACTCTCATCTATTATCGCACGCATCAGAGGAATCTCCTCCACATCTCCGCCAGGCACCTTCTGAAGGACAGCCTTGCAATAAGCTGCCGCAGTGGCCGCCGCATAGCAGCGCCACTCGTCGTGCTTGTGCGTGTCGGCATAATCGCTTATACCGCGGATCACCAAGCATGGAAGCTCGTCCATGATTCCAGCCGCTTCCATCTCGAAGCATATGGCACTTTGGTACCCTCGAGTCAGTTGTTCGCGGTCTTCGGGATTCTTGACAACGCCACTGCCTGATAAGATGAGTCCTCGATGTGTGAAAGGCTGAGTGGGCAACGAGCGCGTGTGGCGGCGCACAATCTCCTGGTCGCCTGAAGTCAGGCAAGCGCTGCAGTCTTGTCCCTTCTGCACGTGTGGGAATGTGTCGCTAAACAGGATATCTTCGCTGTCGGGTCGCCGGAACATGTCGTTTTGCTTGATGATGTGTCGTAATACTTTTCTGATGGGAGATCCGCCACGGAGCTCATCACCCTCCAGCGAGCGAATGGCACTCAACAAGACGCGCGGCGGCTTGTTTAGTGTCCCTTTTCGTGTGAAGCCGCCATTCTCGTATTTGCCATAGTCATACTGGACGACACCGGGCTGGTCGTCTCGAGGAACGCTGATAGCAACGTCGCCAAGGCGAATGTCAAGTTGTTTGCTAGGGATGCCCGCGCCGATGCCGACCATCAAGGCAAGGCGGACGTTGGGGAATTGATGACTGACGTATGCAGCGCAGTGTGCTGCATTGACTGTTCCCATTTCGACCGGCTCGGCAATAACGACCTTATGCTCGCTGATGCGGCCATACGTGTAGACGTAGCTCTGCTTGCCGGAAGCCTTGCAAGTAAACTCTTCGTCCAGTGTATATCTGACAGCTGCGGACTCTTCCACAAGGGCGCAGAAGATGGCGACCGTGATATCGCCTGGGGAAGTGGGTTGGAGTACTTCCTCGTCAGACTCATCCGTGCCATCTTGCCGGACCCTTTTCCTAGGCGGCACCATGGCGCAGAGCGATGCCGCAAGAGCAGAAGACGATGAATGGCTTAAGATCACGCCAAGAAAGGGTACAAGGGATGGAGAAGAAGTTGGCTGGAAAGAGCAATACGCGCGGGTGATGAACGATGAAGCAACAAGGTGGCAGGAGCAAATGAGGGGTGTGGGCTACCTTGCCGCTCACTGTCTAATGCAAGCCAAGCGTGGCTGGTCACCCGCAAAACGGCCGGGCTACGGAGCAGTTACATCGATCCAGCTTATCACAAGACGACCAAGCCAGGCGCACCTGCAACAATTGGCCGGGCGCGACAGGTAGCATTGTGATTAGTAGACTAACAGGGGCAGCTTGGGAGTGTTACGGAGTAAGACGTAGCCAGGCTCCTGCAACGCAAGATGCTAGAGGCACGAGGCAGACACAAGGCACTTTGCCACAGCCTGCCTCAACATGGCGCTCATCCTGCTTTGGAAAGGACCCCTGGACTACGCTTCTGTGGACGGGTTGGATGTCTCGCTTATGCAGCCGCACAATATTCCTCTATCAGTCTCCTTCACGCGCGCAGACATCGAGAAACCTTGGCCACAACTGTCTAATTACGATTTAATCCACATCTAGCTTCTCCTTGGAGCTGTTCGCGATTGGAACGCTGTATACGCACAAGCATATAAGTCAGTACCTATACTGAATCTCGTCCGTCTCGCTGACCCGCGGTTAGATCCCTCCAGCCCGGGGCCCGTCTAGAACAAGCAGAAATCGAATGGAGATTCTTCAGCGATGATGGAACTCTAGAGTCCAGCTCAGCGCTTGTAAAATGGAGCGACACGCTGTGTCGTGCTATGCGGACGGCGGGACTGTCTCTTAATATCGACGGCCGAACGAGGGACAAGCTGGAAGCAGTTGGCTTTGTAGACGTCTCCGAGGCGATCATTCAACTGCCGATAAACCCCTGGAGCAGTCAGAAACGCCTAAAGGAGCTCGGCGAGTGGTTTCATGACTGCCTGAGCCAGGCAGTTCACTCAATGAGCATGGCGGCCCTCACAAGAATCGAACAATGGTCGAAGGATGATGTCCTCAGGCTTGTGGAAGATGCGAGGGAGGAAGCTCGCAGACTCTCGATTCATGCATACTGCAAACTGTGAGTCGCCCTACCAGTAGTATGTGGATGGCGATGATTGGTGGTGCTGATTCTCCAGCTAGACATGTATGGACAGCAGAGAAGCCCGTCTCGACGAAGTCGTCAGATTGATGGCATTAGGATGGCGGGGTACCCTGACGAGTCTCTGTGGAGCTTACCTGCCAACTGGGACTTGGCAGTCACAGTCTGCGCAGCCGCCAATGGGGACGCACGCTGCCCAACCTGGCGCTGGTCGGCCCCTCCACATGTGGAGCGACTTCCTGGGAGTTCAAGAGTCAGTGACTAGGCTTCCAAGGGGCGACGGGTAATCTCTGCCCTCCTGAGAGCTGGTGCTAGCGTCTTCGTGAACTCGTCAGCTCCTTCGTAACTTCTCAAAGTAGTGGCAGAACAAACCGACATAGAGCTCAACAACCCACGCAATGCCGCTACCTGGTGCTTGCCGTGAAGGCAAAGGGGAGGGTTGAGGGTCAAACAGCAGAGCTTGGGATGCCACAGGCGTGGAAAAGAATGGCCTTACCTTTCTCTCAGGATGCGCATTGAGCTTTGTTCGGGTCGCCTTCGTACGCGCCCTCTTCAGGGCATCTGCCGGCACAGGAGGAGCATGTCGGGCGTCGTCCGTCGGAGGACGGTGGAGCGGGCATTAGCCGTTTTCTGGACACAGCCTGAACCGGAAGAATAGGGCGATATGTTCTCATGCTCGGCGTGGTTAGTATTTAGGTGAAAGTCGTGGGCCGCCTGCCCTTTATGACCGCCGCAATGATACATCATGATCCCGTCATAGATTCGCGGCTCGGAGTCCAACGATGTATCCGGCGCGCGGCACGACGTCGGCCCGAGCTGAAGAGCAGGCTCCGCTGCTCAGCGCGGTCGAGACGGGACGCTGTCAAGGCCTAGTTACCCAGTTCAGGTCCGCTCGGCGGTATTATACCACCCGTTGGATCATCACTCGTGCAAGGCAGACGAGGCTTTGGGCGCCGTCTGGTGCGGACCAGTGAGGGCCGCCTGGGTATGGCTCCTGGGCAAGATAGCGCACGGAGACGGCCGGGTCTCCGGGAGTCCGGAGAGTCACACCAGTTCGTCCCCTCGACCAGGTGAAGGGTACGCAGGTGGTACAAGACAGATGCCAGGGGATTGATGGCCTGTCGTGAGGGCGTGAACGCGGAGACTAGTGTCTGCTAACCGAAATGACAGATTCGCATCCTGTCCGCGCTTGGGCCATCCCGCTTCTCAGATCCTGGAGCCCAATAGATGGCGACATGACGGGAAGTGGATGATGCTAAGATGTGCAGCTGCTAAGTAAGACTCGAACAGACATAAGACCGTCACTCCGCCGCCCGCTTCTCCTCCAACAACCGCAGACGGTCGCGAATCGCAAACTTCCACTCCTTCGCCACCTTGTACACCAGGAGGAGGCCCAGAGCGAAGAGGACGATGCTGGACAGCGCGATCACTATGACGCTGATCCAGAACGCCGCCCCCCTCCAACCACCCTCCCCGCCGTTCCCGACCGCGACGAGGACCTGCATTCCGCTCAGGACCACCGACGCGAACCCGATCACGAACAGGATCGGCCCGACGAAGCGCGCAAAGTAGGACCCGTACTGGTACTCGACCCTCTGGAAGTGCGACTTGCCGAGGAGGAGCGGAGCGTACAAGTTGAGCCGCGTCAGGCGGATCTCGCCGTAGGTGTAGCGCAGAGAGACGTCCCGGTCTGCAACGTCGCCCAGGCTGGACGTGAAGTCGCAGAACTGCTCCCAGGTGATGTCCGGCGGGACGAGGCACAGGCTAGGGTCCTGGGCGATGCGCAAGTCCGACTCGTACTTCACGAGGTGATAGTAGGTCCTCAAGTAGCCCAGCGCCGCTCGTCGGATGCCTTCTCCTCGTCCTCCGCTACCAGCCTCCGTGCAGAGATAGTCCCGCCAAAACGCGTACGAGCCGATGTATCGCGGGAGCGGCTTGATGAAGACGCGGTCGTAGATCCACACCAAGTGGAGCTTCGGGTCCTCCGTGACGACGATGGCGCGCCGTTTCACCAGCTGCCGGTGGAGCGGCGATATGTTTCCACTGTCCTGTTTTGACATCCACCAGAGCCTGTTGGCGATCCGGTCAAGGTCGTCCGAGCAGAATTCTTTGGCCAGCAAGTCCCACACTTTGCTCCGGTCCTCCAGAGGAACGCGGGGGTGTCCCGGCACGTGCCGGGCCAGTGTGTCTCGGTTCCGCGATAGCTGATGCGCAAAGGCAAAGGGCGGTGTCGGGGCGTTTGACACCATCGTGAAGGTGAGGAAGCGAAATTTAATGAGGCCAGAATGACGAACTCCCTTGGTGAGGCTGGGACCGGACAGAACTGTCCCTTACGTCACGTGATCGTCAGCCACAGCAAACCGAACCATCTAGCATCTCTCCTGTTTGCTGGACATTCGCTGGCACAACATTCGGGAAGAATGGCCTACTCCTCGCGCCATCATGCCGTCCAATACCTGGAACGAGATTGCGGCCTGGCCGTATTGGGCCACGCCGGTCTGTGCCACCGTCATCGTCGTCCTGGTAACTGCTACCCTTATCCGCAGATGCTCCAGGCAGGCGTCGGAGGCGCCCAAGAGCTTGACACTGCGCATCGACGGTATCCCAACCGATCATGCCGATGAATTGTTCACCAACCTGAGGTCTATCGCCGAGAGGAGTCCGGTCCTGCGGGCTGCCGCTGCTACCATGGCCCTTCGCTCTTTGGCACAACATGGCAAGGACTCTGTATGTGCCACCATCTCGACCACCACGTCACTCTCCGGAGACGACCTGTCCGCCCAGCTGCGCCGAGCTGGGAACAGCCACCCGTACAGGTACACCTGCAAATTCGAGGGAATCACGCCGCTCTACGAGGACAAGAACGGTGCAGATGCCGAGTGAGCCTAGCCTCCGCCGACCCTCCTTACTCGTGCTGACTCCTGCAGCATCATCGCAGTACCCGGCCTCGGAAGCCACGCACTTGGCTCCTGGAAATCCCCGAACAGCGACGACGTCTGGCTACGCGACTTCCTTCCTAAAGACGTGTCTAACATCCGAGTGCTGATCTACGGCTATGATACCAAGCTGCCCGGCAGCCTCTCGAAGCAGTCCATCAGAGACTTGGGCCGCACCCTCTTGGAACAAATCAATGCCTTTCGAGGAAATGATGGTGTATGTGGTCTCGCCTGGTGTCCGGTATATGCTAACTCCTGTAGACTGCTCGCCGTCCGATCATCTTCATCGGCCATAGCCTCGGCGGCCTGCTGATTAAAGAGGTATAACGCGCTGCCGGGTCCGTGGTGATACAGCTAGCTGACTGTTATAGGCGCTTATTCGCGCTCGCAGGCCAAGTAACGACGTGAACTCCGACCTGTCCAAAGCCTGTTATGGACTGCTTTTCTTCGGCGTGCCGAACCTCGGGCTGCGAAACGATCAGCTGAGAACGCTTGTCCAGGGCCAACCAAACCAGGCCTTGATTGACGACCTCCTCGTGGATAACGACTCGGAACCCTCGACCTTCCTGAAGACACTTGCCGAACAGTTTTCTGAGAGCTGCAAGGGCTCCTACCGAGTCGTGACGTTCTTCGAGCGCGCGCTCAGTCCAACCTTGAAGGTGAGATGCACCGTCAGAAGCGCTTGAGGTAATGCTGACTTGTCCTGCAGCTTGATGACAGGGACGGGAGATGGCGCAAGACTGGCGACCCCTCTTTATTGGTGACCGAAAAATCAGCAACCGGTACGGGCTTGGTGGCCGTGGCCGACGAGGACAACATCCCCTTCAACACGGATCATTCAGGGCTCGTCAAGTATTCCAGGGGCCAGCCCGACTACACCGTCGTCAGAGAACGACTAAAAATACTCGTCAATGAAGCGAAACTGGAGGTTACCAAGCGATTTGCCGAGCACAGTGCGTCCCTCTCTGATGCTTCGTGAGCGCTGCTGATTATAAAGGGGAAGGCCTCTACCAGCCCCAGTCAGAGACAACGCTAGCTTGCCTGAGATCACTGGCCTTTGATGATATGGATGGCCGGCCCAACGAAATCGACAACGAGGCCGATGGCACCTGCAAGAGGCTTCTCAAGCACGAAACTTTGGTCCAATGGACCCGTCAGCATCGAGGCCTGCTCTGGATTAATGGGAAACCAGGATCAGGCAAGTCAACGCTGATTAAATATGCCCTGCGTACACTTCCTTCCCTTTACGGAACCGACACACTTGCATTTTCGTTCTTTTTCCATGGCGGTGGCCATGAACTGCAGAGGACTCCGCTTGGTCTCTTCCGATCCATCTTGCACCAGCTACTCAAGCGTGTCCCTGGCGCCCTACCCAACCTGATTGACCATTTTGACGGAAAACGGAAAACAGAGGGCGAGCCTGGAGAGAAGTGGCAGTGGCACCTGCAACACCTGCAGGATTTCCTCAAGTCGGCACTTAAAAGAATTCTGAAGAGATTTCCAGTTATACTCTTCATCGATGCGCTCGATGAATGCGGCGAACAGCCAGCTCGCGAGCTGATTGGGCAACTCAAAGACCTACTCTCAAGCCTCCCGTCTACCGACTCTCGATTCGGTATCTGCTTCTCTTGTCGTCACTACCCCATTCTGGAGCTCGACGGCGGATTGACGATACGGCTTGATACCGAAAACACACAGGACATCGTTACATTCGTTCAAGCCTACTGCTCTAGAAATCGTCTAGATGCCGACGTTGGAAGACTGATTATCAGCCGCGCCCAGGGTGTTTCCATGTGGGCACACTTGGTCCTGAAACAAGTACTACAGCTGGACCTCCAAGGAGAATCGACAGCGGAGATCGAGGCCGAAATTGAGCGGATACCGCCAGACTTGAACGGCATTTACAATGAGCTGATCAAGGCCGTGAAGCATCGCTCAACTACCTTGCAGCTTATGCAATGGATCTGTTGCTCCACGCGGCCGTTGACAACGGGCGAGCTGCAATGGGCCATGGCAGTTGATCCCGACTGCACTCACAAGTCACTCGACGAATGCCAAACCTCGGGTAAATTCATCGCTAACGACAAGATCAACAGAAGAATCAACACCCTCAGCTGCGGTCTTGCAGAGGTCGTCCAGTCCGACAACGCCCGCGTCGTTCAGTTCATCCATCAGTCAGTCAAGGACTTTTTTGTCGAGGGTGGATTGATGGCTCTGGACAATACTATCAGAGCAGCAAATTTGGTGGTCCCTACGGCCCACTGCCGCCTATCCCGGTCCTGCGTCCGCTACTTTAGAATGGCCGTATCTCCTCATCCGGGACGCTTCAGTAGCGAGGACAAGTCTAGGTTCCCTTTGTTGCATTATGCAACAACATCATGGGTGTCTCACGTGAAGTTGGGCGAGCCAGCCGAAGTATTTCCGAACGATCTTCTGGATGTGCTTGGACGGCCGATGGAGGGCCTAGTTGAATCATGGGTGCGGACATACAAGTCATTGGAGCCATACGCAGGTGATTGCCCGTCAAGCGGGAGTAGCGTTGTACACATCGTAGCGAGACACGGCTTGACCAAGCTGCTATCATGTCTGCTCCTCGACACCGGCAAGGTCGACGTCGATGCGAGAGACGAGTATGGCCGGACACCTCTATCGTGGGCCGCCGCGTACGGACACGAGGTCGTGGTTAAGATGCTCCTCGACACCGGCAAGGTCGACATCGACGCGAGAGACACAGAATACGGCCTGACACCTCTATGGGGGGCCGCCGCGGGCGGACGCGAGGTCGTGGTCAAGATGCTCCTTGACACGGGCAAGGTTGATGTCGACTCGAAAGACGATGATGGCCAGACACCTCTATCGGGGGCCGCCGCGTACGGACACGAGGTCGTGGTCAAGATGCTCCTTGACACGGGAAAGGTCGATGTTGACTCGAAAGACAAGAATGGCCGGACACCTCTATCGAGGGCCGCCGCGAACGGACATAAGGGAGTGGCCAAGATACTCCTCGACACGGGCAAGGTTGACGTCGATGCGAGAGACGAGTATGGCCGGACACCTCTATCGGGGGCCGCCGCGGGCGGACACGAGGTCGTGGTTAAGATGCTCCTTGACACGGGCAAGGTCGATGTCGACGCGAAAGCCGATGATGGCCGGACACCTCTATCTTGGGCCGCCGCGAACGGACATAAGGGAGTGGCCAAGATACTCCTCGACACGGGCAAGGTTGACGTCGATGCGAGAGACGAGTATGGCCGGACACCTCTATCGGGGGCCGCCGCGAACGGACATAAGGGAGTGGCCAAGATACTCCTCGACACGGGCAAGGTTGACGTCGATGCGAGAGACGAGTATGGCCGGACACCTCTATCGGGGGCCGCCGCGGGCGGACACGAGGTCGTGGTTAAGATGCTCCTTGACACGGGCAAGGTCGATGTCGACGCGAAAGCCGATGATGGCCGGACACCTCTATCTTGGGCCGCCGCGAACGGACATAAGGGAGTGGCCAAGATATTCCTTGACACGGGCAAGGTCGACGTCGATGCGAGAGACGAGTATGGCCGGACACCTCTATCGGGGGCCGCCGCGGGCGGACACGAGGTCGTGGTCAAGATGCTCCTTGACACGGGAAAGGTCGATGTCGACGCGAAAACCGATGATGGCCGGACACCTCTATCGGGGGCCGCCGCGAACGGACATAAGGGAGTGGCCAAGATACTCCTCGACACGGGCAAGGTTGACGTCGATGCGAGAGACGAGTATGGCCGGACACCTCTATCGGGGGCCGCCGCGAACGGACATAAGGGAGTGGCCAAGATACTCCTCGACACGGGCAAGGTTGACGTCGATGCGAGAGACGAGTATGGCCGGACACCTCTATCGGGGGCCGCCGCGGGCGGACACGAGGTCGTGGTTAAGATGCTCCTTGACACGGGCAAGGTCGATGTCGACTCAAAAGACAAGAATGGCCTGACACCCCTATCGGGGGCCGCCGCGTACGGACGCGAGGCCGTGGTCAATATACTCCTGGGAAACGCTGGTGTCCAACCCACGAGGACGGATCGTCTCGGCAGAACCGCATTGTTCTTGGCTTCCAGAATGGGGCACCATAACGTAGTTAGAGTCTTGCTTGCGGATGGTCGGACCCCCCCGGAGGCCAAGGATTGGCGCGGCTCAACATCATTGTTCGCCGCAGTGAGGAATGGCCACGCTGAGGTCGCAGAGCTTTTGCTCCCCGCTGCCGGTACGGCTATAGAGGATCAAGATGGCTTCGGCCGCACATTGATATGGTGGGCGCGACGTACTGGCAACTCCCGGGTTCTTCAACTCTTGGTGCAGCAAGCCGAACGTACCAGCAGCCCTATCCATGGCAACGCTGCTCCTCCGGAGACCATCTCTGCTCCATTTATTTATCAATCTGCTTGGTGCGACGCTTGCACGCTGAGCATCCCGGAGAGCTGTGGCTATTCTTGCAGAATTTGTTTAGGTGGGGCCTTCTGCTTGTGCGCGGAGTGCTTCGACAGAGGTATTGGGTGTTTGGATCCTTCTCATGCGCTACCCCTTCGGTCTTCTGAGTCGGCTTATGATGCCTTCCTCCGAACGGCCTCTGGGTGAGTTTGGCGGGTATCTTAGATACGGTTACTGGGTCCCCATCCTGCTTTCGTCAACTTTCAATGTCAGTCTTGTCTGTGATCTCCTGACCTCAGTCCACACATTGTGCACCTGTGACGATGCTCCCCACCTCAGAAGCCTGAAGCGCTGCGAACAAACCATCTTGCTCGGTTGGCAGATTGACCAGACGACAGACATCCAAACACGCCATCGGGATGACCTACTAATTTGTTCCATCTTTCTTCTCAGCATCACCAACAAAATCGACGACATCTCCCTCCGAGCACCGGATAATTCATCAGTCGCCCGCAAGCCCCATTTACCGTGCCGTTCCCCCGCGACCCCGATTTCGTTGATCGGCCTGCAATCTCGGCACGGATCAGAGAACAATACACAGGGCCTGCCAGGCGAATGGCCCTTGTGGGCATGGGCGGGTTCGGGTGTGGGCATTGCGCACAAGTAGGAGTTCCTTCCTGGCTAACCGAGTGGAAAGCAAATCACAGATTGCCGTCCACTTTGTACACAGCAGACTGCTTGATACCGAAACCATACTTGTCGACCGGTTTGGCTGGTGGGACGAAGCCCAGCTTGCCTCTGTGCTGCTTGGATTCTTTGGTGGCGTTTCCGTGGTACAAGGGCTTCTGGAGAGCTAGGACTTCGATGCTGGCCGTGAACCAACTTCACAAAAATACTTGAAGATTTCGAGAGAGCTTCGTGATAGAGACGCTAGGGCGTTGAAAGGACGGAAACGGGCTGTGCAGTACATGGATCGGCTGTGTAATGTATATACTGAGCTTAAGGCGTAGGATGTCATCCTTTGCGACAGAGAAACACAGTTTGATTAAATATAATACATATAAGCGTGACAACCTGAATAAACTAAACCATTGGTGTTCGTCTGAGTGCCCTGGCATGGAATCCTTTCCATCTTGCTGAGTACAGATGGGAGATGGTGAAAATAGACTTAATCTTACACCACAGAAAACTCTCTTCCTTTGAGCTTCATGCTATAATGGACTTGGAGGGCTCTCCACAGAACGCCCGGGAAACCGCTCCGAAATTGGCTGTGTATCTCGTTCCATGACAGGCCAGTTGTCGTTCTAAGGCGAATGAGATACCGGTTCTTCGCCTGGCGTAAAGGGTTCCCGATTTCTACACTCGCTTCGTCGGGTTGCTTGTTCGGCCGACACGTCTTCGCGCTTGCCGCGTCGGCGTCTGCTTAGCCCGCCGACGGTCCACGCTCCAAGAGAATTGCAACTGGAACGTGGTTTCGCTTCCCTCCGTCACCCGCCGCAAAACGACGTTGTCGAGAGGCCATTCTTGGAAGGCGGCGATGGTTCTCCGTCCGTCGAGTCTGGCTCAATGGTGGAACCTGATGAGGACGGCGCGTGGACTTTGCAGGCGGAGAGGGTGCTAAGATGACTGCGTGCTCGTGGGGTGGGCCGGTGTCGTCGATCTGCTTGCGCAACGCTATGTCGAGCACCTCCCATCTCCTTATATGTCGTGCGGCGACGTTTTGGTGCAGGTGCGTTGTCTTGAAGCACGGCGCTCTCGTCACCCTCAATGTCGACTGGCGTGGGAGTGTACTTGCTGTCGCTGCTGCCCGAGTCTTCCGAGGGAGACTCTGTGTCGTAGCGGTGTGTTGTTGCTCGCTTCCTCCGCCGATGGCTTGATGACGTGTTGGAGCCGGAGTCCCGAAGAGAATGACGGTTCGGAGTTTGCAGACGCAACAGCGTATCTTGCCGTCTTGAGCGATCACGAGGAGAGTACTGACGCGATGTCCGTGGGATGTTGATAGGAGAGGAGGGAGCCTCGGCAGTGTCCAACCCGTCAAGACGGATAGTCTCGGCAGAACCGCATTGTTCCTGGCTTCCAGAATGGGGCATCATAAAGTGGTTGAGATGTTTATTGATCATCAAACTAGTTATAGTCGTCCGGGTTCTTCAAGCGGCGTGGCCATTGCCAATTGCTCGTATTGGGTATGAGCTACATTTGAGAATAATCCTTGGGAGGGCATTGGAGTCTTCAACCTTTCAGCGGTCTTGAGTATAATGACAGGCTTGAGTGGCACCCCATGGTCGTGGTATATATGGGCACGAAAGGCAATCGTATCGCGTAATTCCAATGTCCCTTCTTTGCACTTTGGGAAAGGGCAAGGGACTGGACGACCTGCGTGCATGCTCAGGTGGCCTTCGACATGTTTCCACATTGTGGTTGTCCGAGTGAAAGACCGCCCGCAGAAGATGCAAGGGTCAGGCTGCTTTCGGCCCTTTGGACGCTGTGAAATCGGGCTGGACTGCTTGATAATAATCCGAGGGCTTTGGGGAGGGAGCTTGATGGGTGCTGGGGCTAATGACGGTGCAGAAGGGCTGCAAGGCGGTCTGAGAGCAAGATTGGTTGAGAGCGGGGTGAGTGGAAGCTTGTCAACCTGCAGGGCAGGCACAGCCGGAGCTACGTCTCTAATGAGAGATGCGTGCGTCGGTTTCTGTTTAGGGGGTTGAGGCGCATTTGGCAACTGGTTGTGGTCAACCGGCTCTGGCTTCGATTCTTTGACCTCGACCTTCCAAGCCAAAGCCACCCAAGCGTCGATGGCGTCGATCTTCCGCTGGACTAACTCGTCTTCGGGCATGTCCGTGTCCAAGTCGCCTAGAAGCGCGGAAACACGTCTCCGTTCCGGCAGTTTGAAGGTGACTGCAGGTAGGACGTGCGCGGGCTGAGGTTGGCTGAGTAGTTGCCTGTCGAGCTCCTCGTCATTTTTTTGCTCGAACCAGCGGCGCCGGCAGCTGACAACCACCTTCCTCTTGTGCTTCTGAGCGGCAGTCCTCCGCTGCTGCAGCAAGCCTTCGTACTCCGTTTTGTCTTGACCAATCGCCAGGCTTGCTCGGCCGTACTTCTGCTCAAGAGATGTCCGCAACGTGGCCACCTTTTCGTCCAGGCGAGAGACCTTGGTGCCCGGGCCAATAAACCGCATCATCTCGTCCGTGACGGCTGTCGGTGCCTCTTCATCGATCTGGAGCCCAAGCTCGTTGAAGATGGCGAGGTAGGGACATCTGGTGCCGCGACCAAGGAATACGTCTTGGGTCACCACGTTGGTCCTGGAGTTGTTGTAGAAGTCCTGGAAGGTGCCGTCATCCTTGTGGCGCGCGACTTGCCTCCGTACCGTTGAGCGGCAATTTACTCTGAGCTGTCAGAAGCAGGGACAGACAAGCGGGGCTGTAGGGCCTTACAGTCAATGGCCTCGAGGTTTCCTCGCCAGTAGTCATAGTTAGTGAGGTTGTCAAGGAGACCAGCAGCTCGACCGAGATTCCTTGTATTGTTATCGAGCTGGTCTTTGCGCAAAGGCTGGTCGCTCTTCGCATAGCCTTCCAGGCACTTGATGGTCCGTCGAAAGACCGGGGTATGCATGAATTCTTGCTTCTACCTGATCTGTACACCGGGCACCGAGAGCTTGGTGCGGAAGAAGGGCTCGGCCCGTGAATACCCGTCGTGGGCGACCACCCCTTCTGCCAAGGCCTTGGCGAGGAGATGGGAGACGGGGCAAAGAAGGGGCAGGTCTTCTTCGATGAAAATGAACGTGGTCGGCCGCTGCTCCCCCTCGTGTCCCTCGTGGAACCGGAAAAGAACCGTCATGACGAGTCGATCTCTGCTGTTGTTGTTAAAGGGGTCTCGGATGATCCACAGCTTGATATCCTCCCAGCACAACACCTTCTTCGCCGCAGAGATCCTGTCGTCGTTCTTGCCGCACACCCAACAAGACCACTGAGGCGGCACAGAGTTGCCCTCTTCAGTGTCGGTGAAGGCATCCAGCTCATCGTTGTATTCTTTTTTGATAGCGTCGTTGTTCCCAATCCTTGCATGGGCGAATTCGTGTGGGCGAGCACCCGTGAACATCTGGAAGTGTCGAAGCGTCGCATCGTCAAGTCGGTCCAACCCGATCTTGAAGACGTTCTTCCAGTCCCGCACCCAGCGAAAATGGGAGAGGCAGATGTGTGCATCGGGGCCGATGTGGTTCTTGACTTTGGGCTCGGTTCTCAGGTGGTGCTTGCGTCGCGTGACGTGGGCAATGTACTCGAGCATGTGGGTCGGGAGTCGAGAGTCGATGGTGAGATTGGTGTACTTCTTGTGGACAGCCCAGAGTTGGATGAGATATCTCTCAAGCGTGGACTTGCTGGTGATCTTTGCCCCTCGCCGCTCCTTGCAATACCTGATGAAGGCTTCAACATCGCCGCGACTGTCGTAGGTCAATGTCTTGACCTTCTCCCGCCAATCCGGGTATCTCATGAAATCGCAGAACTTCGCCCATCGCCGTTGGCCCAAAGCGATGTTGCGTTGGTACGAAGGGGCGCGTCGTGGTCGGAGGGGGCGCCGGGCATTGGCCTTCTCAGCATCAGCCCGTAGCTCCTCTGGTGTGATCCCGGGGTCAGAGTTGTCGGAGAGGTCGGTGTCAAGGTCCTGCTGGACGCGACACCAAAGTGGGTCCACAGCAGGCTTCGCGTCTTTCATGACCGGGGAGAAGGGGAGACGGGGGGGAGAGGGGGAGAGCGCTGGTGGCTGGGCGTCAAAGCGGGGTTGGTGCACTAGTGTGCGCTATCCGGACAGCCATAGACCACCATTATGTCCACTGCAACCTGAGGTCGATCTGAAGGTGTACACATCGTGCTGCACCGCAGGCGGTACTCTGACGCAGGTACAAAAGTGGGCGGATTTAAGCCATTTACCTTTAGGTCTCCCAGCATGACTTCGATGATCTTATGCGGGGTGCTGATCTCAACTTCAAGTGGGTGAGCAAGGATGCCAAGAAGGCGTGGGGAAATCGAGGAGCGTGGGGTGAGAACTTCCCAGGAAGTTGGTGACTCGGTGGCAGAGGGACGCAAGTGTTGGCCTGCCCCTTCAGCTTGACTCTACTAGCACGTTCTCGTGGATGAGAGGCAGTTGCAAAAGTGGCAACTGAAACATGTTCTCGGCGCCTACAATAAGCATTTCCACAACCCAGGCTCTGAGGCGCCGCTCTGCTGTCTGGGACCCAGTTGCCTCCACCAGTGCCATGATTGCCTTTCATCCAGGTGCTGAAATGCTCTTGGCAGTACCGAGCTCGCATGAGGAAGTCACAAGGTTTCGCGACAGGCCAACTGTTCGTGGGGCGGCGCTCCCAGTTGCAACAACTTACCACAAGTTCTCCCGTAAGCATTGTTTCTGCGCATGAGCCTCCCGAGCCCCGAAGGCGTCGCCCCTTAGTCCTTCGCATCCCAGCTCGCTGAAGGGTGGATGTTCTACGCAGCGCGCCGATAGGTGACGGAACGGTCAGAGAACATCCACTCACCTTCTGGGATTACAAGAGAATCTTGTGTGCGACGAATTCCATGGGTCTTGCGTCGCTTCACCATGAAATACCATGCCACAAGCCAGGCCTGCGATTCGGCGCATATCACTCTCCACCGTCTCTTCGGCACTCCTTCGAGGTGGAGAGGGTCCGCGACGATGTGAAGCAGACCCCAAAGGTGAACAACGACCAGGACCCTCGTCTGAGCGTTCAGCCTCGCTATGGGTTCGACTAATATGCCCCCATAAATTGTCGTTTCGAGAGAAACGCCTTTGGCAATAATCGCACTGAAAGTCTCGCCTTTTCTCGTGGACGCTGGGAGTACCTGTGTCAGTCCCACTACCGCCTCATAGCGGAACAGCTTTTGGAGTTGACTGACGTTTTCTCATGTCTATTGCGTTGATGTTCTTTTGAAAGCTTCTGGAACAAATAATGAACCTGCACTTGAAGTTGCGCGGAGGAGGGGTCTCGATGTCCAGAGCGCTGGGCAGACTGCTGCAGCCTTGTGGAACCACTGCCGGCATGGGCGGGTCCATCCCACTACGGTAAGTATCTACACTGAGGTCAGATGGCTCCATAGGGACTGGAGGAAGTCTGCCTCGTGTCCACAGACACGGGACCGCTGCAGGATGTGTGTAGGGGATCTAAGTTGTCGCTACGGGGGAATGATTGATTGTGGTCCATCTCGAAGCTTAACTGAAAGGAATGCTGAAGATCTGCAGTAGTAAGGCTGAGGTTTCGTAGGTTCTGTGTCGAACTCTGGTTTTGACCGTACCACAACACTGCGGTCATCATCACCACTGAAGAAAGACATGTTGGCGTTAGGGCTGGAAAATAAGCGACAACGATACAGAGCCCAGAAATCTCCTCTAGCATCCTGAAAGCCTCTCCTTTATAGAAGCGCGCTGGACACAACCGTACACAAGACGTAAATGGCTTGAAACAGGCCGGTTCGGGCCAATAGCATATGGGGAGCGCATTGCACACCAGAAGGCGTTCGAGCAGAAACGGGCAGGTTCGGGCCAATAGCATATGGGGAGCGCATTGCACACCAGAAGGCGTTCGAGCAGAAACGGGCAGGCCACATCGTGACCGTGGCCGACTCTGTGATGGCAGCACAAACGTGGTTGTGGTAGGCTTTGAACGGAAGCTCGCTTTCCGAATGGGGTTCGGTAAAGGCTCATCCATTTTCATCCGTAGAGCTATAATTAGAATCTTGCCTGTGAGAAACGTCCATTTAAGTTCACCAGGCTCATCGTCGGAAGGCCAGGTCGTCTGGGAAACAGCCATTGGCTTATGCATCTTACCCGTCTCCTCCGATCTTCCCCTTCTTTATTGAGCAGTCACGGATAACTCACCGAAACCATGCCAACTCGACCGTCGCATTGGGAAAAAATGGCACTACAGTTGCACTTGAGGCAATCAGAGAGCATCTTCAAGCGATGAAGAAGGCACCGACGCCTTCACTCAAAGAGCTTGTCGAGATGAGGACGCGAGAAGTTGGAAGCCTTCGAAACGAGTTGGCCTACAAAGTAGCCAAAACACAGCTTGGCGATGACTTATGTGCCGAGCTCAAATACATTGCAGAGAGGTTACACATGGCTATCACCACGTACCAAAAGAACAGAATGACATTGATCGGTCAATGAGAGAACAATAATTTGGATTGGCAGGCTGCGCTACTGACTGCCTTACTTTCCAAGATCTGCTCGAACTCATTGCATATGAGATCTAAAATAATGTAGAGCTGACTCAAGGCATCAGGAATCATTTCATGCTTCGTGCCCCCCCCCCCCCCCCCCCCCCCAACCCCCCCAACAACCCAACACACACACACACACACACACACACACACACACACACACACACGTGTGTTAAGATGACCACGGCTGGAAGTCCAACATTTTCACGTCGACGTCGCCGGCCCAAACGTTCCCTCTCAAAACGGCTCGGGGGATTTGTGCATACTGGACAAAGATGGCATTAGCAAGGGAATTCGAAATAAAGAGGAGTGTGAGCATACGAGAGACGAGAGTCCTCCCTTTGCGTATTGAGAGCTCTGTCTGAATAATGCTTTCGGGGCCCATGCTAGTGTAGCAAAGAGTGATGCGAACCCAGGCGCTGTACTGTCCCTCGAGACGTTTGTTTAGACAGATAGTCTCCTCTGATGAAGAGTCCAATGTCAAGAATCTGGACAATATAAGTAATGACCGCTTGAGAGCATCTGTGTCTGGAACTCACATAATATGTGTCAAGAGCAAGCATCTCGTCCATGAATTCCCTTACCCAGAACCTGTGTTCTTTCGGAGGCGACAGCGTCATTCGTAGTGAAAGCATCGCGGAGCATACCCTCTGCTTCCAATTCCCAGTAGAGCGCGATCCGTCGACTCTTGGCCATGCATTGTCGGTACAGACGTAGTAGTTCTCGAACGTACGTGAGCTGACCGGCGATGCCAACGTCAGTCGCGAAGAGCAGGACCGTACCGTACCGGCCAAGCGATATGGTAGTGCCATATGGGCTGTCCACGAGAGCACGGTATTCTTGTCTGGTCTTGGCAGATGCTTTCAGCGTGAATCCTCGCCGTGGCCGAGCAAGAACAACAATAACCTGCCGGCCACCCTCACCAGTCTCTGTCCGGCAAATCTGAAACGGCTGCGACTCCAAGAATGATAAAGTAGAAAAACCCAAGACAGTGAAGTAGAGGAACCCTCCGAGCAACACAGCTGTGCCTAGCGCCTCTGTCACTGCTCCCCCGTTCCCGACTTTAGATCTTCCTGTTATTTCGGAGGGCGCTTACATGGCTAGCGTGGTCTGGTCTACAGCCTCGGTTATTATCGGTGGAGTCCTCTTCTTCTTTATTTGTTTCTAAGTGTGCGGGTGGAAGGAAATGCGGGGACAGTCCCAATGGTCGCTGCGGAAGACGAAGCATGTTGCAAACGTGTGGTCATGATTAAGTTGCTATATATACATCATGTACTTAGACAGGTCTGTTCAACTCCTCATCCTCAGTTCCAAGGACGTCCTCTTCGCCGCCTCTGTCGGTTCGGCCTCGGCTTTCCGTTTGTTCGTATTCCCCTCCAAGGACTTCTTCTTCGGCGTCTCTGTCGGATTGGCCTCGGCTTTTCTTTTTGATGACTTCACTGGCTTGAAGGTATTGCTATGCAGTGCCTTAGTGATAGTCTCACAGATTGTGACTCTCATCTCCTCAGCACCTGGACCTTGTTTTTGTGATGGGACTGGCATTCCAAGCATCCTCAGGCGGGCGGTTTCAACTACCAGAGGGCCGCAGCTGGAACCATCGTTCTGGATAAAGCCAGTCTACGTATTGCAAGTCAGTGACGGGCCTAATAGGAAAGTTCGAGCGTGGCTCACTCACATGTGCGTGGAACATGTAATCTCTGAACTGTGCTCGACAGGCATTCTGTCCAGATCGTCAGTCCAGCGTCCGACTCGATCTCGTCGCGCAGCCTTACCTTGACGTCTTCGTTTGCGCGGTTCATGGAGTCGTAGTGGAAGATCTTGCTTTGTTTCGCGTCTATCTCGAGAAGAGTGAAGTGGTTGTCGTTCAAGAAGAGAGGGAAGAAGCCGATGCAATCTTGCCCCTCCTAGTCCATTGTTGCACCTGCTTGGCGGCGGTTTGGCCAAGGTTTTGCCTCCACTTCCTTGAATTGGAATCGAGAAACCGACGCGGACATTGGATAACTTGTCCACGAGGTGCATCGCCAAGAGAACCAGATCTTGATTGAACCATCTGCCGGTGTTCAATCTTCTGACACACGCAGCCTCAAAATGGAAATCACCAAGAAAGACTGTGTCGGATTTGGAGACTTCGCCAAGCGGTATTTGCAGCCTAGTGATCTTCTCTGAGAGTGATGCCGACTCCGTCCCTGCGTTGACTGTGAAGCCAAGCTTCGCAAGAGCCTTCGCAAATCGTTTGTTATCTGTCTGGCCCTGGTTGATGAGATCACGGAGGTTCGACTTCCGCTGCCTGGAGAATGGCCTGCTTCATCGGGCATCCTTCAATCCGGGCAATAGATTCTTCCAGAGCCTTGTTGGTTTGCATTCCGAATGATCTAGAATGACAGTGAACGCGTGTCGTTATTCGATCGGCTGACAGACCAAACCTCGAAATGAAGTCATGAGGCATGGTTCTGCCGGAATCAGAGACCTGGCGAGGCAGCCCTTGCAACTGAGTGACCTCTGGAGCGACTTTGACTCCATCTCTCCGCTCGTTGGGAAGCCAAGACGGGCGGGAGCGGCATTGGGCATGGGGCTGAGTGGAACCTGTTCAGGGGGTTGACAGAAGGTCTCCAGAGCCCCGTGCACGCGCTGCAGCAGCTTTCTGATCCAACGACCTCCTTCATGCCTGACCGGCACGGCATATCTAGGCACAACCACCGGCACACCGCAAGGCTGCGTTGTGCATGGCTCCCGCCTTGCCGCACCGCCTTGCCGCACCGCCATCGACCAGAACTGCGCCGCCTTATGGAAAGGCGAAGTGCTGGCTAATTGGTTTAAGTGAAGTGGCCTTATCTATTGTCTTTTTATGACCAGCAAGAAGCATTGTTAGTAACGAGAAGTTCAGAGCAGTCCACTAGCCACCCCAAGGGAATGGCTGCGGGTCTCGTCATTGTCGTTCGCCGTGGGCCACGACATGTCATCGTTCGTGCAACCAGTCACCCATCCGTCCATCCCACGCACAGCAGCGCCAGCGCGCCCTCGAACTCGAGGTTTTATACCTGGACAGTCTGTCCATACTACTGGGCTTGGTGTAGTTGCGCTGGGCGCCGGTCAATTCTGGGGAGTTGCCCCAGTTCCGAGCGTCTGACGTCCTGTATTTCTTGTTGAGTAATTGCGTTCTCGGGCTTTTGGCAGTGATCGCCTACGATTGTGTTCTCAAGGCCTTGCAGCAGTTTCTTAGCGGCTCTTTCGGCTTTGCAGCATTTCCTCTGATGAGGATGTTAGCTGGCCGTTAATTTGTAGGAGTGGTGGGGTGTTAGCGAAGGTTTCGCGTCTAACCTGATTGTGAAACGAGTTATTTGGCTTTTCCCCAAGAATAGAGCACTTGGCCTATGAGTTTAGATATAAGTTAGCTTTTATAGTTACATGCGAGGAGGCAGGCTTGTTGTCGTCCACAGCGGTGATTTGTCGTTCGAGCAAGGATCTGGGAGGCATGGCAGATAACCTGAGGAGCGTTCACTGGTCCGGACTGACGCGGCTCGGGGTTGGTAAGTCAGCTCATATCTGCGACTTACCAGACCGAAGAAAGAACCAGCTTCTACGGGCTCAACTGTGACAGCCAGTAGAGCTTGCGCGAATACTAGCATGGAATCCTCAGAGTCTTCTGGTACTATTTGCTGTTCATTGTGGCAGTTGATGTCGTGCACGAAAGGGCGTTCACCCTACCATACACAGCGACATCCCCAATACATTCCCCTCATCACTTTCAGGTGTATTGCCATCAAGGGTACCTCTGATACATTGGCTATCGCGTCTCATGGTACGGCTACCTTTGTTACCCTACTTTCAATGGTCAACATGCTTTTCATGAATGTCTAACGACGAGCTTGTTTCTTTCCCTGAGATGAAACCTGCTTGTTGGTAACGCCAGCGAATGAGTTCCTCCTGCTGGCTATGGCGTCCAGCTCGATCCCAGCATGCTTCCACAGCATCCATTCCACTTGTCCTGCCTCGGACTACAACGACCCAGTTTGATCCCCAAACCCTGGCGGTAGTAGTGCTGGTATTCAGGACCCCACTGTCCCTCGTGCCCCTGTACACTGCCATTGGAGACCTGGCGGCTCTGAGAATGGCCGTGCCCATCTTGCATCAGCTTCGATGGTTCCGCTAGACTTCCACTGCTACCGCTTGTAACGCTTTTGTTTGAGAGGTCCTGGAGATAGCCGGGTGTTGGGAAAGAATCAATATGCATCACGGACTGATGATACGCGTCAACTGGCCATAGAGACATTGACGTTGTGTCATCGCTCGATTGTGTGGAGGTTGCAGACGCGAAGCTGCGGCAGCCGATTGGCAGAAGCCCTATCTGCCAAATTTCAGGTTCCATCAGAATATTCTTGGGAAACGGTCGTTTGGCGATGGATTGCGATTCAGTGGAGGGCCAGCGGCCGGATAGCGACTTTTGCAAGAGAGCAAGGTAGGACGGACAGACAACTAGAGTCGCTTCGTGTTATGACCGAGGCCAAATGGTTGGTGAATAACGTAGGCGGCGGTGGAAGACTACTGAAGGGAGAAGGCAAAGAGGGAAGGAGAGGAGAATATCTATGTAAGACTGAAAATAACTTAGCATCCTGGTTTTGGCAAAGGGCAATCTGCCTTGGCTGAGCTGAACTGCAAGGCATAAATGAGAAGGGGCTAAGACAAGGTATAACAGACTGCAGAAGTGGCGGAGGCGACCGGGGTCCGGAGTGGAATGCATTACTACTGGCATGCAGGAGCCGATGTCTATAAGGGGTTATATGTAAGCGAGAGGTTACTCGGTAACCTAAAGTTCTCCGAAGAAGATCACCAGGAAGATATTGGAATTGGGAAGCCGGAAGCCTCTCACCGGCAAATGAAGAAAATTCGCCGAAAATCCGTAGTATATACATACCACGAGAGGTGTTTATCAGTTATGCCTGCTGAAAGCTAGATAGGATTATCTGTAAAACGTACGGATCACGAGGATAGATTTAGACAGGCAATGTCGCGGATCGCCACCATCGTAGGCAATGTCGAAAGAAAAAAGAGCCTTAAAACCAGCACGTATAGATACTCTGGTACGTCTAATAGCATTGGAAGCACCAGAAACAGCGATCCGCTCCGCCCATCGTAACTAGCTCGGCGACTACTCCTCTCTTGCTTCCTCGAAAGGTGACGGCGCAGTAGTAATCACAACTGCAGTCATGATGACGAGCCGAGATCATTGCCAGCAGCCAATTTCTCTGGTGTATGAGATAATAAGTACAATGAAGGCTCCTTGTGGGCTGTCCTGCTTGCCGTTTCGCTGCTGGTCTGACAGCGTCGTTATGTCATTACGACAGATTTCGGTCGAGCAGCCCTTACAAGGTACAAAAGCATCGACTTCTCCGACTCCATACTGCGAATTTATTGCCATATGGCGCCATCGAAATCTGAGCTCGGACAGCAGAGACGAATGTGGATCAGGCAAAAGACGTTCCGGCAGAGAAATATGACCCCGGGCCAAAAGTGGCTCGATTCAGTCCTTGAAGACAGCCGCTTCAAGCCGAAACGTCACTCGGTCATCCCGACAGCCCAAGAAGATGTGCTCGGTACTCTTATAGACGATATTTTCCACGGATTGCCCTATGAGGTGCTTCCCTACAAATCAAGGAGCAGCAAGCCTGTCACAATAGTCACGGAAAACCTTTGCTACTTCGAATCCCTTTACCGGAAGACAAATCAGGAGGCTCACGCTTATTTTACAAACAGGTTGGACGAAGCCTCATTTACCAATTTCCAGAAACAGCACGGACCCCGGCTGGTGGAGATTCTCAGAAAGAGCCATCTCAGAGGCAGAGACGGGTGGCTCTGTGAGAGCGAGATCTTCACGTGTCTGCAGCTTCTTCTCGAGACTGTTCCAAAGAAGTGCATTATGGCCCCAGATGAGGCCGTCATTCCAGCCATTGAAGGGGAGCCCTTACAGCTATTCGACCACAAATTTCTGGCGCAGGTCCAGCAGGAAAAGCCTAAGTGTATACTCCTCCCCTGGAACGCTGGACATCACTGGGTTCTTTTCCTGATTCACCTGAGCGGGAAGGGTCTTTTCATAATTGACACGGTTCCTCGAAGTAATAGCGAAAAGTTTGCGGTCGAGTGGGCTGCGCACTTCATGCCTGTCTGGGACACGACCGGTTTGGGCGAAATAAAGTCATGGGCACTCTGCAAAATTGGGAAGCAAGATGACGACTGGAGCTGTGGCTACTGGATGCTGGAGGTTGTGCACCGGATCTGTTTTCAAAAAGGCCTACTCGAGCAGAACTGCAAGGCCCCTACGGCGCTAATCAGTGCTGGAGGCCCCATGGGGGTCGATCCACTCCTCGATTTCATTCGCTCGGCTATCAATATCAACATCACGGAGGACCATCTCGACAAAAGCATTCTGCCTGAAGGTCATCGATCATAGAATACTGACAACATAGATTACAAGCATAGATGAGGGTCTGAACCTCTTACATTAGAGCGTGGTCTTGTGATTGATGATAACTTCAAAGGCCTATGATGCACTCCACAAACGCGATAAGGGTAGAGATAATTGGAATAGGAGTAGGGATACCGCTAGCGATGTACAACAATTTCGCACAGGTATGGGTCTATGCTGTCGAACTCGACGTGTAGACACTTGCATCTTCTCTCTTCGCAATACACGCATCATAGAACGAGGCTCATAACTCTAGGAGTGTGTGCGATAGGTTTGAACCGGCTTGGGCCGGAGGTCGCTGGCCTGAGGTCAACCGCGTTCCACTGTGGCGATAGTTCTCTGGTTAGCAATTCCCACTCTGTTATCGTTATCTTTAAACACGAGCCAGGAAACTCGATTCCGGTATTGATAGGGCTCCGGTTATATGCTAGGGTGTATTCCTTGGTCGTGCATCTGTGTAGAAGCTTGGTAAACTTACAACATGCTTTAGATGCTCTTGTCCACGTAGAATGGTGCGCTTTCTGGTATGTGGATATTCAAGAATAACGGTGCATTACAACTTGTGTATACGGAGCTCAGAGCCCTCGGGGCACTATAATGCAGCTGGCATGCCTGGCCGAACTCACATACATTCCCTCGGAGACCGGTGTGTTATCAGATCACATTTGCCCAGTCTAGCAGGCACGGGGCTCGAGGGTGGAATGCAAAGAAGCTACCTCGTGCTGAGACGCAACATGAATAGCGGGGTTAATTCCATTTACTGAACGTTTTTCTAGAATACGAGCCTAAATAGTTGGTAAAACATGCGGGTAAGACATTAGTCAATTCTCTCGCTTCAGCCTCGGCTATTGCCCTGCGTCATGCACGATCTGTTCTTTGACCAACGCAGCATCGATGACCTTGGCCACTTGTTGCGCGATGCTGGCTGCCGGCCGGCTGACGGCGTCACCTCTGTCGCCAACTTCCAAGTCAGGCGCGGCGACATTGAGCGGAGGGAGGGCGGAAAAGGTCAGTGTATAATTGAACTGGTTCTCGGACATAGTGCCTGCTGGGATACTGCCGAGGTTAACGCTGATCTGGGGCGCGGAGAAAAATCGGCGCAGTGGAAAGCCACCCCCGAAACGTACCATCAACATTGACACTATGATCCGAGGATATGAAATCTTTCGGCAGGAGCAATTGTTCGTTTACGTTCGACTCCACGCTCAGGCTCCAGTTCGGTGTAAATACCTTGTGTCGGCAAAGAACAGGGGCAGTCTGTTCCCGTGAGCCTCTAGATGGTACTACTTGTAGGCCGTACAAAATATCCGAATCAGTATTGGAATTCGTCTGCCGAGAGAGGTCGACAAGCAAGTCACCGCTCGGTCTTCTACGGAATTCGGGGTTGCATAGCTCGCTGCTGAGAGCCTTTCTGATCAGGGGCCACGCGAAATTCATTTGTGGCGAAGATATGCCATCGAGCGCTGGCTCATCTGAACTGATGAGGTATTCGAAAGCGATCGCCAGACCGACCATTGACTGCAAGTCGGGCTCATCACCAAGGTACTCGTGGCTAGCTTCAAGCCAGCGGGCATAGGAAAACGATTCACCCTGGTTGATGTTGAGGCTCTGTGTTGCCATGAAGTCGGCAAGACGACTGGAGTTACTGTCGTCAAGCTTCTGGGCTCGGACAATCCCTTGCACCATATCGCTCAGATTAGACGGCTCTAATCGCATCTCGCAGCTATCATGTTGACGTTGTCTCCTAATGTGGTCATGGAAGGCTACACAGTCTGTCTGCTTAAGCAACTTGTCTGCCACCAATCGGGGTATTTTCTGGTCGCTTCTCATATGACGCAGTATCTGTCCTACCATCCGCGGCTTCTTTAATTGATGAGCGTACAGCAGGAGGAAATCGTGTGCTGATTTGAGCCTTTCGACAACGAGTTCCAGAAAATCCTCGTTTGTGTGGTCGATGATGCTGTAGCAGAGTTCGTCCATGACTTGTTCGGACGGCCTCCAACCAAGGCGGTCCATAGCAGCGTTGAAGCAGTCGTGTGCACGAAAGTTGGCTGCGGCTACAATGATGCGGCGGAGGAAGTCGGGATTTACCTGTTTGATGTGGGGTTTGGCTTCGTCAAATCTTCCCTTCCGCAGCAGTGCTACAGCCACAGCTTCTCTCCATTCATCCTTGTCTTGGTGGGGATACCGCCGTAAAGATATCAAAAACCAGTCCGGGTCGCGATTGGGGATCTTGTCTTTGGAATAATGGCTGGTATACACGTCGATGGTAATCTGGTCGATCGACGTCGCGATGCCGCCAGGTCCGCGACATAACACTGTCTGCTCCTCATAGTAAAGGAATAAATAGGAGGAGTCTAACGTCCGATGCTTGACCATGCTGCCGTAGAGTCTCTTACTGGCTTCTTCCCCGTAATCGCGCAGTTGCTGGCACGACTGCGCCACATTGTAGAGCTCACGACAGCCAAGAAATGAGACTATCTCCCAGAAAAGATCTGCAGGCATGCGTAGGAGCGGCGGCAGCGGTTTGACCTCACTCATTGTGTCGTGGTTGGGTGATACCTGCGGAAGTGTGCAGCGACTGAAATGGGTTTCCGTCGGGCAGGACGAGCAGGCTGTCGATCTAAATTCTGGTGGGGGGGGGGCAGTAGCAAGCTGCACCTAGCGGGGTTAATGTCGGCTCGGCTGCAAATAACAAGTCGGATTGTCTGCACTTCAACGATCTTCTGTCGCATGCTTCCTTGTAGAGCAGACTGAGCAGTTCGTACTGGATCGTTCGGCCTGGTCTTGCTAGCCGCTGACTCAGCGCAAATCGCCCAGCGGCCAAGGCATTTCTCAGTGGGCTGCGCGAGATTATCGCATTCTCGTTCGGCACAGCTATTTCAATGCAGAAGCTGTGCAGAATTTGTTTCGCAGTAACACTCCTTGACATGGTACTCCATCATGCCGGGGTGAAGCGCGCTTGAGGACAGAAAGTCCCGGACATGCTCTTCGCTTCTGCGCTATCTCCAGCGGGCCGGCGTGCGCAGCAGAGTGCCGGAGTGCAGAGCCGTCATACCATTACCGGGAAGGAGTGGGAACGCACGGCTAATTGCCAGGCAGGGTGCAAGTCTCGCCCGAGGGCGGAAAGAAAGTGCTCCAGGAGATGTACTTAGGCTCTAGTTGCAAACCCCTGTCGTCTATCGCCCTGCCATCGATCTGCCAGACAGTGCAAGACACCACACGTTCGGCGCCACGTGCGTGGCGGCTGTATCAGCTCAGCCGTGCAGCTCCTCCATTAGGCGCATCGACTCAGGCCTGACAGTCACTGTTTACAGGCGCACGCGCACCGGAGTGCCTGCACGCACGAATCCAGAAGGTCTCCTAAACGATCCTCCCACTGATCTTGTCTTCGACAAGAGCCCAGCGATCCTATGACCGTTCGGGGTGTGTGCACACTTCATATGGTTCCAGAAAAGCTCTTTCGTTCCCGAGGGTCTTAGTCCGATCGAGACCAAAGCCAGAGACGTGATTGCGGAAGAAGCGGGCTAGAAATTGGCTAGAAATTGGGACAAAGACCAAGGCCTGATCGGGAGCCTCGTTGCAGAGGGACTGGCACGATGCTGACCGCACAACAATGAAGAGTCCCATGCTCGCGAGAGCCACTGGCTTGTGGTTATCCTCCCTACACAACATTCTTCGTTGCGCTCCTGTGCACACAGAGACCCCCGCTCCACCAATCGGTTCCGTTCCAGTTTGGCGCGTCCTCCTGATCTTGCACCCCGCCTCGCGACGCAGCTCTTACCGCAAAGAGCGCAGGGTCTCCCTGGGGCGGAGTCGCCACGACTGCTAGGCGTGGAACGGCACGGGCCGCGACAGGATCGGCTCGCCATTGGTAGGCATTCTTCCCAACGATCACCCCACGTGGACCCAAAAGCACCAACGCCGACTTGGCGCGCGATTCGTCCGGGCGAAACGTGATTGAGGATATTGCTGGGGAGTCCCACTTCGTGAGTGGACAATTGGCACGCTGGTGCGCAAAGCGGCATATTGTCTTACGAGGTTTAGAGCTGTCCTCTTTCCCTGAGGACCGCAGTGCCGTTTGGTCGGACACAGCGCGTGGTACGGATGGCTTACACGGTAGTGTTGGCGACCCGTGGTATGGTTACCGAACGATGGGCAATGCGAGTACATGGGGGAAGAAGGTCAGCGCGAACCTCGACCTGGATGGGATTGCCATCTTACCTACGTGCACAGATCACGGCACGCGCAGAGGCGCGGAGTTTCTGCTGCACTTGATGCGGTACAACTTTACGCGGGAGCAGTGGGCTCTGGCGAGCTTGGCCGCTGCCCGGCCAGTACCGGGGGGCATTGTTGCTGGCGGGTTGCATCACCTAACATTATGGCCGAGGCTGCTTGCGGGGCAAGGCACGCACAGTCTTCAGGCGGTGGCCATGGCGCTGGAGAGCCAGGTCGGGTGCCTGCAAACAGCTATGGAAACTGGAGGAAGGAGGAGGAGGAGGGATAACAGGAGAGAAATGTTACACACAACCACAACGGTATGTATGTCATGATGGCTCGTGACTGTCATTGATCTTTTCCCTGACCTTGTCCTTGCCGGTCTCGCTAGTTGCTCAACCGTTTTTCACACTGTCTCGCAGTCTGAGCTCGACGGCAGCAGTGGATTCCCTCTCATGTAGCCATGATAGCCGTCTTGCAGATTCGACTGGGAGGAAGAGCATTGAACGGCCACTCTTACTGCGACTCTTCATTGATTGCTTCGGTGCGTCTTCTACGGCGCCGCTCCGTTTATGGCGGGAGAATTGGGCCTGATCTCTTGCCCTTCCAGCTTCGAGGACTTGGATTGGCAATGGGTTCAAATAGCCACCTCAGCGTACTGCAGCATCCCGCCTCCCCCTGTTGATTCAACAGAATGACCTGGGTGAGTTTCTCCGTGGGCGCGAGGCCGGCTGGCAGTGATGAGATGACATTAAAGCTTATCCTAGATGCTTGAGATCATCAGCTTGCATGTAATACGTGATGGGAGTGATCAGGATTTTAGTGTGTGCCCGCGATCGAACTTGAAACTATGAAGCTGTATTCATGGCATGCAACCTAACAATACATTCGGATCGCTGCCCACGTTGCATCAACTTCCAAGAGACCAACTGCAGCACACATAACGACAGCAAATGGCTTAGAACAGTTCCATCCGCGTTGAACATCATTCACTCATGCTGACTCTAAATACCCAACCTGTGAGCAACTAGCTGTCCAAAACAACCAAAGAAAGGCAGAGCAATCTCAACTGCTCCCGTCTCGTCGGAGACGACGAGCAAGTACCCTCTCGCTTGCGTTTTGTCCTACCCTCGCGCGATATTTGCGAAGATCTCTTAATTTTCCGGATCGCTGTTGTTCAATCCTGAGCAAACGATTTGTCGCAATTGCATGCAGAGGCATTCTATGCTGTGGGTAAAATTCGTCCCCGACTTGCTGAGAGCCCGTGGCAGGTGGGTGGACCGGAAGTGTTGCACAGTCAAAGTCAATGAGCATCACACGGTCAGTCTTGGAGTTCCAAAGTACATTCGCATCGCGGAGGTCGCCATGAACCACACCCAGCCGCTTGACTGCTTCTTCTGCTGCATGCCGCGCATGCGCCATTCCTGTAGAGCACTGCTGATCTGGTCTCATGGGTTCGCCCGCCCAGGATAGGAGCAGCCAATAGACAAGGTGCGCGTCGGGAAGGTAGTAGTACGGCCGCTCGAGTTTGAATGCGCCAAGGAAAACCGGCACATGAATGCCTTGCAGGGTCTCAAGCGCCTTGTACACAGAGACCTCATGTTGAAGGTCTTCAACCAAGTGTGAGGCAGTACCTTTCGCGACGATTGTGTAGCCGTATCTGGCAAGCGTGACTTGGAATGCGGCGCCTCGAGCTCCTTGTTTGTCGAGCTTTACAATGTTCGTGTCTAACGATTTGGCCAGCTGATTCTGGATGAGTTGTAGCCACTCGTCCAAATTGACCGGATGGTATTGTGAATCGCCTTGTTGGTGCATGCCAACATTTGGACATCCCATGTCAAGCACTGTGCGTCTGGCGAGTCCAAGCAAGCATTGTTGTGTACAGTATTGTCGCTGCGATGATGTATGCTTCGTGTGTGTATCCTGGCTTGCACCGGTCCTTGGTTGCCGCGGCTGTGACTCGAGTCGTGCATTTCTTAAGCTGGGGCTCTTCTGTGTAGAGCGACCACCTTCGTTGTCGGACTGATCAGAGGAGTCGTCGTCATTTGAAATCACTGACGCTGGTCGACATGTTGGCCCTGTAGCCCGGCTGCGAAGACCGTATGGCGATCTGTTGACTTGACGATATGCTTTGGGAGCATAAGCTGACGACGGTGGCGACTTCCGGACACTCCGTGGTATATCCCTGAGCACGGCATCGTAGTCTACCGACCACCGTCCGAGGTCCTTCATTACTCGGGAACGTTCATCCTGACCCGGATTGAACGGTTGTTCTTCGATTGCCAAAATTGTGAAGGCGAGAACCTGGCTGATCGCCGTGCAATATACAGCATTGTCGGGGTGTGCTAGCACCTCGGCTCGTGGCTCCGCAAGATGGAATAACAAATGCTCGGGAGTACTCCAGTCGACCTTGAGGAATACTATTGCCTCGCCAGTGGACAAGTAGCTGTACCTGAGGCCGCTTGTTATCATATAGTGATATGTCTGGCACACGGCCGCGGCGACAACTCTTTCCGCGTGGTAGATGAAGAGCTCGTTCTCGTCCGTGGGAATCTTCTGTCTGTCTATGACCTCCTGCTTGATGTTCATCTCCCGCAGACCTAGACGCAGCTGAGCCGGCGTCAGCTTGTGCGGTGCCTTATACTCAATCACGAAGGCCAGGAGGCGTCCGCTTCCCTCCGCGTCAGCGTGCCGGAAAACGCAGACCTGGTCGGCACGAAGTTGATTTGAGTCGCGAGCGCCATCGCTTAGCGCATTTGGGTGGTTGTCGAAGGTAACACCTTGCCCGAGGGCGAATTCTCGTTTCGTCGCATCGTGATTCCTGAGAGCCTCGATGATTCTCGCGACAGGTGCCTCGACGATGTCGTGCTGGACAATTTCAAGGTCGCGTTCGTTTGCGATTTTTTTCGAAGCGTGTTGTCGACCAAGTTCTTGGAGGAAGGCTAGACTTCCAAACGCCCGCTGATCCTGAGGAAATGCCGAGCGCAATCTGCCATGGTTATTTTTCTGGTGCGTGAAGAAATCAGTCCACGGTAAGAGTTTGGAAGGCACAGCTTTATCCTGGGGGTTTGTGATGGTCCCTTTGGAGGTGAGAGATTTGTCGGACTCGACGGCCACCTTGAGGTCGAGGTGATCATGACAAAAAGTGAGGAATTCTTTCAGTGTCGTTGGTCGAGACAAGGCTTCAGCTTGCTCTGCGCGTTCTTGTGCCTGGCGCAGGAGCTCCTCTAGGCGCGCGATCTGGTCCATGAGGCGCGTCGCTCGTCTGTGTTGACATTGTGACGGCTATCCCGGACATGTGGATCGCTGATGTCAGTTTCCCTGGTGGAGTCAGCAGCACATATTAGTCAGCATGCGATGCTCCCAATGCGACCCACTTTGGAGAGCTCATCCACCGTGAATGGTCGCATCCGTTCTGGACATTGCGGAAGCATCCAACCCAACACCCGGCAGTTCAGCGGAAACACAGGTAGGGTCGAAAGCTCGACCTGAGCGATCGTGGTTTGTCAGGATATGATGAATAGTTCGTTCCCATTGAGAAAGGCCTGCGCAAGACCTTGATGGTGTGTCACAGTTGGAGGCGCGCCAAAGTGAGATCTGCGTCTTCGAGATGTACTGGATTGCCAAACCATGGTCGACGACTGTCAGCGTGGCTGCGCTGTGCTTCTGTAAAAAGCAGTGGACTGGCCTGCTCGGAGCTCCGGCAGCCAATTTACAGGAGTAATGACCCATGGCGTCCCGGGCGTGAAGAATTTAGTCCTGCACACTTAATTAAGGGACAAGTCAGGCCATGATATCATGGGGATACGCTATCTTTTGAGGTGGTAGTGACGATTGCTGGCTGCCCCCTAAGGGGCCTGCGGGCAGCAGGTGTTTGCAGCTCCTTCAGTGAGCATCGCGTGAGAGCACGAGGTGGACGCACATGGGCTCTCACGAATGATCTGGCGCTGGAAGTGGGAGCCTGCCCAGGCATAATGTTGCCAGTGGGAGCAGCCGACGCCCAGGGGAACAGGTCAACTCGGTGCTTGTGACCATGGGTGTGTAAAGTAAAGTGACGACGTATCGTGTAGAGTTCACTACGGTACATCTGGTGGAGTGGCACACCATTGTAGTGTGCGAAGGCGCAGTACGAACGGCGTGGGGGAGGATGCGGGAAGATACGTGCATGCCTTTAGGTACAGATTCGGACACCTCGATCCCCCGTTAGTCAGGGACGTCCAATCACTGGAAGCCACGGCTCACACGGGACTGAACATATGTCCCATTCTAGAGAGAGAATGACAGCATCTGTCGACACATCAGTCACGACAGCCACGTCGAATATCGCCGGTCAGTCCATCATAATGTTGAGAGGCAGAGCGAATATACAGTAGGGTTCGGGTTCAGCGTTCACATTTTAGCGTTCAGCACCTTTTGTAGAAGAAGTCGTGGTGGGGTTTGTGGACAGTGTGTAACCAGTGCCTTGAAGTACCGCTGCCACCGCCCGCTTCACAGTAGCCGCTTTGGTCCCTCGCCCCACCTAAGCATTTCTCCCTGCGATGCGCGCGTTCCTCGCTCGTCGCCCTCTACATAGCATCAACACTTTAGACGAAGATGAGCCAGACACAAGCAAATGGATATCTTCGAGATGCTATACCAGTATGATTCCCCTCCTTCGCCTCCCTATTCTTTGTACTTTGCAACAAAAAAATGGAGAAACAGACGAATCCCGAATCTGAGCGCCTTGGCCAGTGCCATACCCACGGGCCCTACCGCTACACCTGGTCGAAGCTGCACTGGCCTAAGAGTCACCTTGAGCCCCTCCGCCAAGAGTATGATGAGTTGGGATCGGCTGCGCTTGGCAAACTTCAAGAGCTATCTCGCACGCAGACATCCTCCACCTCCCCACCTGAACGGACCGACCTTCTCGCCCTGCTCAAGCAATTCCACCCTTCCGACCACACACTCTCCGCATTCTGGCACGAACTCAACACCGTGCCAGAATGGGTAGATTGGGCACAACTTGCTCGAGGCCAGCACTTCTTCTACCGCTATGCGCCCGCAAACCTGATGGGCTTCGCCTTGCAGGGCTTCGTTGGAGAGAACTCTGCCGCGGCGGGCGTCGTCGAGGTCCTCACCAGGACAGGAGGGTTCTCTACACGGGTGCTGTTTCGCCGACTCCTCGAGACATTCCAGCTGGTTCTCCAAGTAACCGACTTTTCCTCGCCAGTGGATTCTCATGTCGGCCCAGGCGGTGCTGCCTGGGAAACGGCCATCCGCGTCCGCTTGCTCCATGCATCAGTGCGGAACAGGATCCTAAAGCTCGCAAGCGCGAAAGAAGGGTATTATGACACAGCCAAGTACGGCGTGCCAGTTAATACTCTCGACTCGATTCACTCGATCTCTACATTCTGCTGCAACCACATGTGGCTCCAGCTTCCGCAGCAGGGTGTGTATCCTAGCCTCCAGGAAACGGCGGATTACATCGCGCTGTGGCGATACGTGGGGTACCTCCTGGCCACTCCGACGGACGAGTACTTCTCGACGGTGGAGCGGGCGAAGGCGACGATGGAGAGCATGCTCATGCATGAGCATCAGATCACGCAGACTGCGGTCGTCCTGGGGCATAACTTCGTCGAGTGTCTCCGGGACTTGCCGCCATTTAATGTCTCGGCTCAGTTCATTGAGGCTGGGAGTCGGATGTTGAATGGCGACGGGGTGTGTGATGCGCTTGGCTTTGATTTTGAGCCGAGCTGGTATCACTATGCCTCCTGGAGGGGTTATTGCTGGCTGGTCAGAGCACTGGCTGCGTTGCAACAGAGCGCGCCTAGTGGTGTAGACGAAATAATCGTGCGGTGGTGGAGGAACACCCTGCACGGTGCGGTGATCCAAAGTCATGCTGGGCTTGCTGGAGGCTCGAAGATGGACTTCAAGTATGTGCCGCCGGCAGACCAACTGACCGGAAAAGAAGGCAACGGCCGGTCTAGACTGCCACGATCTCCACTGTACCGACCGGTAGAGGCGATCTACCTTGCCGTGTGGTTTTCAGGGGTAGTGATGATGGCCATTGTGGCCGCTGTACTGGTATCAACCCTACAGCAGCTCACTTGTTTTATCGGGGTTGATAGAAACTAACAAGCTATGATAACTTGCCATGTCCGTAGTCTCATGGGGAGTCGAGAGTGTCCTGTCGCCAGCCGGATAAGAAATATAGCTTACTCGTCGTCGCACTTCTCTAGCGACCAACATCAGTCTCCTTCTCCTCCATCTGGATAAAGGACTTGAGCAGCTTGACAAACGGCTCGTGACTCTCTGCAAACATGATATCTGTCATCATCTGTCCCTTGCCTATCGACTTCAACCCGCGCGGCAGCATGGTTGCCTCATACTCACGCACCACAGCATCGAGAGCATCCTGCGTCCTATCCCCCTCGCTCAGTCCTGCCCAGCGATTGATTCGGCCCGCCAGATCCAGCGCATCCGTCATTGCCAGATTCACACCTTCGCCATTCGGCGGCGTTAGGTGCGCGGCATCACCGGCAAGCGTGACACCGGAAATCGTCTTCCACCCATGCTCTCCACCCTCAGCCAGCCCGGCCGCGGGCAGCGAGTACAGTGACCACCCGCGGAAATCCGTCGCGTGGCGGATCAGCTGCTTGTAGCTCTCTGCCCAGGTGCCGTAGTGCTCGTCCTCGAGAAGCATGCTTCGGGCAGCCTCAACTTTGTCGGCGTCAGACAGGTCGTATTGTCCACCTTGCCGGAGGACGTGCTCGGGCATCTGGAAGCCAAGATACAACCTGTACGACGCATCCCCTTGTTTCTGCGAGATCAGGATATGGTTGTCGCCGATGGCGGTTGTGGAGCCTCGTCCCATCAGGGATTCGGCGGACTCGTACAGGGGATTGGTGGGCTGGATCCGGGTCTCCAAATAGGTTCTGCCCGTGTATGCTGGTTTTGAGGGGGTGATCTAGAAGGAATGTTAGCTCGGTATGCCCGCATTCCCGGCGAAGGTGACTACTTGAAATGCAGACTCACCAGCGGTCGAACTTTGCTCCACGCCCCGTCCGTGCCAACGACCAGCTTGAACCCAGAGACCTTGACACCATTGCCAAAAGTGAGCACTGGCCGGCCATCGCTACCAATCTGGGCATCTACCAGCGCGTGACCCCAGCGGATCTTGTCCTCGGGGACCGAAGCGAGCAAGATCTCCTGCAGCTGCAGGCGGTCAATCTCGGGGGCGTCGCGACCCTCGCCGAGGCGCAGATGTTCCTTGGCCTGGGTGTCGCAGATGGTGAAGACTGTGTCTTCGTAGCGGGCCAATCGCTTGAATTCGTCGAGCAGGCCGGCCTCTTCGAGTGCTCGCTGGCCTGAGCCTGGGCGCAGGTCGAGGCTGCCGCCGGCCCTGTTGGCCGCGCGGCTCGCGTCGCGCTCGTAGACGGCATAGTCGGTCACGCCATGCTGCTCGAGAAGACGAGCAAGTGTGAGGCCGCAAGGGCCGCCGCCTATAATGGCGATCTGGGCCGTTGTTTGTTGTATCGTCATTGTTGTGGGCGCTGTGTAAGACGCTTTCAGCATGTATGGTGGATCGAAGTATTAAGCTTCGTGGAGCTATCATCTATATCTCTTGGTCCGGGACCACGGTCAAGGAGATCCTATTTATACTCGACCCTTTGAGCACCACTCGGGCCAGGACAAGCTTTCGCCGTGCTGTCAGATCGGCAGAGTCTACCACCCGCTTTGCCTATATGCTCAACACCAACGAGATCGGCGGGGCTTTTACTCCGATGCAGGTAAGCTCTTGCGGACAATAGCAATGCCCGGGTCGAGCTAGGCCAGAATTGGAGCGAGCGTGGCCGCCAGCTAAGACCTGCTCGGGCCAAACCAGAGGCCGTCAGTGGGAAACCGGGGCAAAGTAAAGCTCGAATCGTTGAGGCACGAGTAGAGAAAGTGGCAGCCTGGTCGCCAAAGCTGCACATTGTCGCTCTCATCCTTGTTGATGCCAGCAAGGCAATCGGGCGCTTGCACGCTGTAAGCTGCCAACTACCATGTTAACCCTCTGCCCCTGCCAGCGATCATGCTGGTCTTGCCACACACTCGATGATGACTCATGCACCCAGCCAGACTGCATTCATGAGGCTTACGAGATAGTTAGCTCACACATCAGCGATGGGCTGAAATCGTAGACGGAGGAAGTTGCAGAGCCAAGAGCCATGAACATGCACCAGTTCGCCAACACTCTCTTCATGTCATTTAATCCTAATTTGAGGCCCTGTTGACCGTGTTCAACAAGCCATCTGGGCGGATGAGAGAGCGTGGTTCGGCTATACAACTACCATATTCAAGGCTGACAGATGCCGTCCCGCACCATCTTGCTTATCGACGCAAGCAAGACTTCCGCCAAGGCTCCGGCCATACTGCTGAACAACCCCGCAGCCAATATTTTGATCATGCATGTCAGCAATCAACCGAGATGGGTCCAGTCGGCTCATCTTGCGAACAACAAGCCAGCCGAGGCCCATCAACACCGAAAAGCATACTGGAAGGTTGAAATCATCAACGTTTGATGCTTCAAATGCGGAGTTTCTTGGTAAAGCGCCAGACTATGCCGCAGGTCGAGACGTGGGAAATTCAACTCTGCGCCTGCTTTGTTGCATTCGCTTCGGCAGCTGACCTCACCGCGTGGAGATTGCTCCGTAGACTTTTCCAAAAGCAATGGTTCACACTTCCCGCCCACACGAAATTACTCATAGGCCTTCGCCTAGCCACAACGCCAGCCAGTGCGTACTACCTGTGGGCGTCCCTCAAAGTCCTGTCATATTCCGAGGCCGCCATCGTGGTAGATCAGGATGGTGTCCAGTCCTTGGCCAGGTCCACATGGTCCGTATGCCCCAGCAACACGCAACGACCAGGTCACAGACACAGAAGCTAACGCTCAGGCTCAAAAGGCTCCTCGCAGCTGCCATTTACGCATACGAACTGGCAAGGACCTTTCCGCCACGACCGCAAGACATGGTCCACCACGTTGGCTGAATGGGCGTCACCTTCTCTCTGTACTTGTCTGCCATGAGCACGGATCCGGCCATCGCCACGCTGATGATCCGCAACGTGGCGGCATGCAGCTTCTTCAGCCTCGGGCTCAGCAGCACCATGCAGCTGGCCATGTTGATCATGGAGCGTCTGGGGCCCTGGACGCGTCCGCCGCTCAGGACGGCGCAGTGCTTCCGCGGACTGGCGTGGACGCTGGTGCTGAGCCGGCCAATGTCGTGGGCGGTGTACATCGTCACATACGAGGCGCTGTGGCGGATCACGGCGACGCTGGCCGACTTTGCGGTCATGGCCGTGCTTACCATCGCGGTCCTCGGACTGGTGGATCTGCATACGCAGTGGTCAATGGGGTTGCTGCGCAAGGAGGCGCAGCTGTGGAGGAATTACCAACACACTCGGTTTGGTGCCTTGGACGTAGAACCGAGGATGTCCCGAGCTGGCAAGGTCATTGTGCTCACGACATCCTGGCTCGTTGTTGTCGCCATGGCAATTGTAGTGTTGACTCGTGCTATGGGCATGTCGTGGGCTGCTATGCGTCGTTCCTATATAAACAGCCCAGTCACATTCCAAATGAACCGATCACGTCACCCAGCCAGCATGGGTACTCGGTATCCAGATGTGAAATTCGATCCGAGGGCCATCGCTGGTCCGGAGGGTTCCAGTAATTCCATTGCAAATACGGCATCTAGCAACATAGCGGACATTCCGACTTCCTTCATCAGCTCTACAGCGGCGATGTCTAACCTCGTCGACATACTGTCTCAACTCGAAACCGACTTGCCATCCATATACGTTGACCTTGAAGGAATAAAGCTGTCCCGCGAGGGGTCGATTTCCATTTTGACCCTCATGCTTCACCCGTCTGCGACTCAGAAACACGTCTACCTCATCGACGTCCATACTCTAGGCGGACTTGCCTTCAATACTTCAGGAAAGAACGGCGTGACTATGAAGGACATCCTCGAGGAGCCAACCATCCCCAAAGTCTTCTTCGACGTCCGTAACGACTCTGACGCGTTGTACGCTCACTTCAACATTGCTCTCCAGGGAGTTGAGGATGTGCAACTGATGGAGAATGCTTCGCGACGAAGCGGGGCATCCAAGAGATTTCTCAACGGCCTTGTCAAATGCGTTAAGTATGATGCAGCCATCGGTTATCGACTCTTCCGGAGCTGGAACCAGGCAAAGTTCGATGGAGAGCTCCTATTTGATCCAAAATGGGCGGGAGGCTCGTATCAAGTTTTCAATTTACGCCCGCTGCCAACCAAGATTACAGCCTATTGTATCGGAGACGTGCAATACCTGCCGCATTTGAGGGATGTTTACTGGGGCAAACTTACGGCCCCGTGGAAGGTGAAGGTGGCAGAAGAAACGAAGAACCGTGTGCTACAATCTCAGTTGCCTGGTTATCAGCCTTGCGGTAGTGACAGAGCGCTTGGCCCATGGCAGGATAACGAGACTATCATTGGGAGCTTTTGGAACCAGCACGACAGCTTAGAGGATCCTTGGGATGACTGGCAGGCTGAGAACGACGATGACTGGTTTGATACTCGTGATGATAATGATTACGAGGATTGGACGAGAGTGCCATGGCAGGGTCCTCCCTCTTAGCTTGTCTAGGGACATAAGGGAGATGGACTGAATTGGTCAAACTCGATAACGGGGTAAATAGCGCCAGATGAACGTTGTCTGCCCACGCTTCTATAGCCTAGAGAGAATTTAGTGATGGTTCTCTGAAGTGGATACATTATGAGGAACTCTTACACACGTCACAGAATCCTTGCTCGTTTATAAATTGAACCACTGTCGGCGACTCATGGCATTCGAGACAAGAATCTGGATTATTAAGTTATATGGATCGGTGCAGGAAGGGTTCGGGACTCACGTTGGTCACAGTAATCTTTATATCCAGACACGGTCTGGCAGTTGAGCTTTTGGCATGTTTTTTGATTGCTTGTGACGTTATTCAACCAAAGGCCAACTTTGTCCCCATGACTGCAATCATCTCCCGGATCCGCCATAATGGCCGGCCGAGTGTCAAGTGAGCGGATGTGTGACAAACGTTGTTACTTCTAGCAGACGTGATCATGAAGAAGTGCGCGTGGTGCGGGGGCGCCGAACGCGGACTTTCCAGTAGGAGCGGACTCCACGTGATGTTACCCTTAGCCTGAAGAGCCTAATATTTTGTTGCTCCGACATCGCCGCGCAAATTGTGCAGGCATGAAATTTGTTGCCTCAGCTCGCTTAGGTACGTACTGAGGTTGCACCCCCGTGCGACTTATTCTAGTTTTCCAGAACCGCTTCTCGAACGTTTGTCCAAAGGGCCCACGTGCTTCCATCCGAGATCTTGACGATTGCCACGCCATCGCAAACGGCCAGTCTCCGAAGTTGCCCTTGACACTAGTTGACTGTCGGTACAGTACTTGTCGCGGGGCCAAAACCGGCTGCTGTTAAGCCAATGATGATATCGGTACTTTTGTGCGATGATTACACACTGTCTAAAGCCCCGCTGTGAACTATTCTCCAAAAAAATTCGTGCCAAAATGCGGACACTGAACCTGAACTCTACTGTACAACGACCTCTCTGCTAGCGTCTGTCTTCGCTGGCTGCGAGACAAGCAAGATACCGACGGAGCGATGGGCATCTGGAATACAGACGGTCGTGGGTGGAATCTGGCTTGGTTCCAGCCTGACTTCCGCAACATCAGCGCATCGTGGTAAGTTCGGAGCTTTGAGAGGTGGCTGAACAAAGTAGGAAGTATCGCGCCGGAGACCCGCGAGTCTGTGCTTTGTGACGGCCTCTGCAATGATGGCATAATCCCTGGCGATGCTTATATTGCTCAGCGCTCAGATGACAGTCACATGATCGATTGTCGTAGAGTGCATGCCACAGAGGAACGCCTTGGCTTTGGCAGAAGCACGAGCGCGAGGAATGGTGACTTCATAAGGATTACCGCACATCAGGCGACCATGCACTCAGAGGCGCGACTGCGGCAACAACTACACAAAACTGTGTTCTATGATCTCGAACTCTTATTCCAGACGTGGCTCTGGCTATATCCCTGCCAGATTTGATTCCAGCCTTGACTGAGTACCAGAACTTCTGTTGGTCCAACTTGGACTATGTTGTGAGACCGTGAGCCATGAGGTCTTATGAGTTCGTCCCGTCCACGTCAGTAATTAGTTCTGACACCACCGCGGATACAGAATACCCGTCGCTTTCTTGGTTCATCAGTCTGATGCGAAGAGCACATGTCGGGTCGCGAGCAGCTTTCGAAGATCGAACACTTCCACTCCAGTCAGATGCGCTTGTCTAGCGATATGCGTCTTCTCTGTTTGCGAGGAGGAGTACTTGAAGTCAGTCGTGTATGGATGATTCCTTTTCTTCTTGGACTAAGTCGCCGGTCTCCTCGGCTCTGATATAGCTCTGCACAAGTCGTGCCGGCCAGGGGAAGGCCGGTGCAAGAACCAGCCAGATCCGTGATGATGCCATCCAATGTCCTGGGTGACAACAACACTTCTTTTGAGTCCGGTATGGGCCAGATCTGTTTCTCATACAGGCCGCGCAGGAGGTTACCCAGCATGTATGACTCGCATTGGTTGAGACCGTCGTTGTTGATGCGTCGTTGTACGCACAGGCTGTTGCCACTTGCACAGCCTTTCAGGAGTTTGTCGATGTTGGTGCTGATGGGACGAAGTAATGCCTCGATCATCCAGACCTTCTTGGCTTTCACGTAGTCTGTGGCCGGCCGTCAGCTGGCCTGTGACATCCACATCACGTTGGCACACGTAGCCAGTCTTGGAAGACAGCAGCACTGACCGACTAGCCCGGGAGGAAGGACAGGGGGCGTCAAAGCACCCTCCACAGCAGCTCCATTTGGCATGTCCATGACGAGCCGTGTCACAGTTTCTTCGTACTTGTCCTTGTGGCCCAGTTGATAGAAGATCCAGCTCAGACGCAAGAGGCTCTGCTCGTGCTTGTCGCCTGTCTGTAGGGACAGGACCCAATGCGCAACAAACGGCTGGAACAGCGCCATGCAGTCTTGTCCGCTGTGACCACCAGATCGTATAGTTTCACGATGAACATCTCAGACGTGCTGGGGAACCTCGAGTACCTTGTCCCATGCATCATTCGCAGCAATCTCTCCATGGATGACGATGCGTCGTCAGGCAGCTCAACCTCCCACTCCCCACCCGGATCTCGCTTGGCGTTACTAACCGACTCTCCAAATCCGCCGAAGAGCAATCTGCCGAACACAGGCGACTGTCTGGCCATTGTTCTTGAGCATACGCGAAATCGCACCTGGCCGTCGCTGCCCATCGAGTCGATGCCCCCAGTGTGGAGCCATAGGTCGCCGCGTGGGTCAATGACCAGCTCGTCGATTTTGTCGGTTCTGGAGTTCTGGATGTGCGTGTCTGGGAGCACCTCGGCCTCTGTTCTCGAGGTATTGTTGTGCTCCACGGGGCTTGCCATCGCGACAGTGCATTTACGAGGAGAAGGAAGTGGGAAAGGAGTGCCTGAACCCCGCTGGAAGACTTGATCGATGCCCAATGAACTGAGACACAGTGCACACAGCTGAAAGTGCTGTCTCACACCAAAGAGTCCTTTCGATTGCCAGAACTCCTCGGCCTTGCCTGTTCCGATCTCATGGGGTTGCGACGAAGTACGCGTTTCGTCAATTCATTGCGGGGCATGAAAGCCAACAAAGGGAGTTCCGAAGGTTTCGGCTAAGCCCGGGCAGAAACACACCCCGAGGCCAACATGTTTATCACTCTCCTGCCCGCACCAACACACCATGCCTCTTCCAAGAGCTAGACAACAATACTGTGGCACACCCCCCTCACGCGCATTATGACAACGTCCGTAGGCCAGCAGGCCGACAAACCATTGGGAGCGGCGACTGGTGCATCCCCGGCTTTTCGTTTCAAGATAGCGACACCCTCGGCCGCAATATCGGAATGTGTGATCGACCCCCGCGGCGATCTGTGGCTGCACACCACAGGCGTGGCCGGCACAAACGAGCCGGCGAGCGCGCCTACCAGGTTCAGAGTCTGCTCGCGCACAGTAGCTCGGTCCTCGCCCGCCTTCGACAAGATGCTCTTTGGCGACTTTACTGAGTCCAAGACCCAAGACGGCGCCGAATGGACCGTTCAGCTGCCCGACGATACAACCACAACCATGAGACCGCTCCTCGAGCTCATGCACAGCAACTTCGACTCCTTCAAGCCCGCCAGAAACCAGAACCGGTCCCACTTGGTCAGGAGTGTGCACTCTCTCATCGTTGCCGCGGACAAGTACGACTGTGTCAGGTTACTGAAGCCATTCGCCGCTCAATGGGGGGAGTTCCTGACAGTGCAGAGCAACGACGAAAGGGAGCTATATCGCCTGACATGGATCTCCTACCAGCTGGGCTGTGCAGACAGCTACATCAAGGCGGCCACGAGGCTTGTTGCTGATGTTCCGGCCTCGGCCTCTAGCTCCGACTGGTATCGCCCATTGCCGCCAAATCTATCAGGTGAGCTGTCCGCTCTGTTTCAAGCGCATTAGGATTGCTGACGGGCTCTTGCTAGAGAACGTGTCGCGGATCCGACGTAGCATGATAGCCCTTCTGATCGCGCCCGTCCAGGGGAGGGTAGACTCGCTGGTACAGGGTGGCACCGTCTGCAAGTTTAGGACGTCCGAGCCGGATGACTGCGAGGCTCGAATGCTGGGCCACCTTATCCGCGGCCTGAAGAAGCACGACCTCTGGCCTTCCGGACACTGCCAATGTACGGTTCTCCCCCAGCGCACTCGCCAAAGTAGCCGAGGAATGGAACGGCGCGGGCCTATTTGGGTCGCCAGCCCATGTCCAGTGCCGTGCCATCCCCCTTCGCACGGCCGGCACGGAAGCCTACAGTCCCAGCTATGCCTACACTCCGAGCAAGGAGGAGCTAGGCTACATTAGCTGCCAAGCCGTGCTGATGGGCACGACCTCATTCCAAACGCTGTTCCCCTGTTAGGGACTCTATTGTTCTACCATGCCAAAACAGAAGGCTGTTTAGACGAGTCCTCACGAGCAGGTGACCAGAATGACACGCTCCTTCTAGACAAGATCGGTGGTTGAAAGCGGATCACGGAGCGCCCCTGCCTGCCCATAGATTCTCCTTCTCGCCTGCCATGGAACGCCAATCCGGGCTGAAAGGGGGTCGTTCAGTTGCCCCGTCGGCACCGGTTGGCATTCCCACTTGGGCTCGGTCGCAGCAGTGCAGTTCCATTGTCCGTCGTGACTTCTCCTGCTGTGATCCGTCGCGGATCGTATGTGCTCCTTCTTCTGGGGCGCTTGGATTACAGCTCCTGCACGGATGGAGAGGATATGCTCGATGATAATCTTGCTGGAGCTTTCTAGTGGTTACCCTATTCTGTTTGGAGAGTGAAAATTCGCGATAAAACGGATTTGAAGCGTGAATACGGGGGAAACTCGACGTGCATTCGAGAAGAAGGACCATGTTCGCATCCAGACCAAATGGTGCACGATGGCAAGTTGTGTGGTTCCATCCTCGTGTTCTTTCACGCATCCCAGCTGAGGGAAACTCACGCCAAAGGCAGGACAATCCGTGGTGGCTGGTTTTGTCCTGTCCTGTCCGAAGTGATGTCCATTGGAACGGCGTGGACATTCAGCGGTCGACACGGTCCAAGTCTCCCCAGAGGCCATTCATAAGCAGCCGCTGACCTCGAATGCGCAGACTGCCTGACTTGTACATACCGGCGCAAAAGCTGTCTGGACGGATCGTGTCTAGGTGATCTGGGCCAAGTGACAAACGCAGGTCTAAATGGTTGTACACCATTCGAACAACTAATTTTAGGCACCCACAAATAAGGCGCCCTATATAGTGCAATCACATGCAATCGGCTACCAGTTTGAAGGCGACTTGAATGAGTCCTTTCTCTTATATTTGAATGGGTTCTCAGGCGAATTGTAGAGATGCGCAATTCGTGGTCGATTGAACTACCGACACAGCGCCTGGAGCCCACTGAATTTTGCTACAAACTACAACCACAGGACGGAAAAAGGTTTATGGTTGATTTCGAGGCGTACAAGGAAGCTCATCCCAACAACCGGTACATCAAGAGCACAGACCCCTGTGGAATTCAGGATCGCGAGGATTCGTGTCTGCGCGACGACGATTGTGACCCTGGCGAGCCAGAAGTGTTCTTGTTCCCCGCTATCATCCCCGGATTTGACTTATGCGAAAAGAAATGGAGTACGTCGCACATAAAGAAATCAAATGTACCCTCTATCTGGCTAACAGATGTTTAAGAGGAGATCGAAGTGGATAAGATCCATGACGTTGTATGGAATGACAACGCCTTCAGGCACTTAGTTGCCGACGAGGATGTGAAGGAACGAATCGAAGCCGCGGTCCGCAAGCAGCTTGAGACTAGGACTGATCACATCAACAACAAGGGTAAGGGGCTCATCATGCTCCTGCATGGACCACCAGGAACCGGAAAGACCTTCACAGCTCAGTCTGTCCGCCTGGGCTCAAAATGGAATTGTATCATGCTTCTGGAAGGAGCAGACATTTTCATTCAGCAGCGCCAACGACGCGACACTCTCGTGTCCATCTTTCGGAACCGCCTGGAATACGAGGACGGTATTCTGGTCTTGACGGCAAACAGCGATATTGCATTTGACGAGACTGTCACGTCGCACATCAAGATACGAGTGCCTCTTTATTCCGCGGTGCTATAGTGGGTGCTTCAGTGGGTTGGTGTGCTGGGTAATGGGTGGCTCTGGGGCTGGGGGCGCTCCAGTGGATGGCTCAGCGGAGTGGGTGCCCTGTAGTGGCTCGTTTACTGTGCAAAACGCCAATCTTCAGTGGGATGTTACAGGGATGCTGCTGCCTCGAAGCACGACTGGCAGACCTCACAGAAACACTTTTCTAGCGTATGGAGCGCCCCATGCACGACCGCGCAGCGCACTCCCCCTCTACTCGCCTACCATCTCCTCCGCAACTCGGCGCCCAAGCTGGACCAGACCTTAGCAGGGCACTCGAGTGGCGCACACAGCAAGGTCCAACTCCACGAGCTAGGCTCTCGAGAGCTGCTACCCGACGCAACCCTCGGTACGGAAACACCGACCGCACGCAACGCAGCGTCGCTGGCGGCGCTGGTGAATTCCTATCGCAGGACATCAGCATCGCAGACGCTGTGTGCGCAGGCGCGGGACGTATCGGATCCTCCCGGGAGGCCGCGCGGTCAGCTACCTCTATGAAGTGGGCAGCGGCTGCACGCGTCTCCAGATCGAGAGACAACTAGACACATGCGGCAGTTGGGGCTGTTTCTTCGTCACCCAATATCAGTGGTGGCCATCACGAATCGTTAGCCAATCTTCACCATGCACTCCGCAAGCTGACGGCAAAGTGTGACGCGGCAAACACAATGCATATCATTAAAGGCCAACTTTTGTCTCTTCATACGCGATACTTGTACAGCAGGAACCACTGACTGTGTCCGCTTTTCGAAATTAGTTGCTGTTAACGCGCGAACCGCCTAGCTGTGGCACACTATTACAAGCTCTGTGCCAACAGATCCACAACAAGCACCCGTCAAAAATACAGTTGACACATGGTGGGTTACTTTTGTTGTCGCGGCTTGAGTCCCAGCTCCTCAGCCATCAATCAAGCCCCGCTCGGTCCCAAAATTGTCACTCATACTGGAAGTCTGCGTGCATATATCATCAACCACAAGAGGCTATTCAAATCGATGATTGAGTAGCAATTCCATCCAGCGTCTTTCTTCGTGATATTGAAACTGAAATCATGACTAGACGCGGTACATTGTATGAGGTTCGCATTCATGTTCTCTGTCTCTCCGATAAGTTAACTGAAAGCGTCAACTCTCTCACTCCACCTTCGACTAGAGCCCCCTGTCATGCACGATCTGCTCTTCGACCAATACCGGATTGATGACCTTGGCCACTTGTTGCACAAGTCAGATTGCTGGTTGGCGAGCGGTGTTATCTCTGTTGTCAATCTCCAATTTGAGCGCGGCGACACGGAGCGGGAAGGGGGTGGAAAAGGCCAGTATGATATTGAACTGGCTTTCGGACATGGTGTCTGCTGGGATCTTGCCGAGGTTACCACTAAGCGCATCTCCGATCAGGGGTATGCGAAATTTGTTTGTGGCGGAGATATGCCAACAGGCGCTGGTCCATTTGAGCTGGCGTGATAATCGAGAGCGGTCGCAAGCCCGACCATTCTCCATTCCGCCGGGGTGAAGTGCGCTGGAGGACAAGTGACGGAGTGCAAAGCCGCCATGCCATGACCGGGGAGGAGACTGCCAGGCGAGCCTGTGTGCCAGTGTGAGGGAAGGAAGTGGTGGAGCAGGTTCCTGCTCCGGGAGATGTACTTAAGCTCTGGCTGCACACTCCAGCCACCTGAGGTACCCGTTCCATTCGTTCAACAACAAACCACCCATCCCCTGTCGTCTGGAGCCTTGCCATCTATCTGCCAGACAGTGCAAGACGCCGCACGTTCAGCGCCGCACGTTCAGCGCCACGTGCGTGACGGCTGTACCCTGCTTAGTCGTGTAGCTCCTCCATCGGGCGCATCGACTCAGGCCTGAACGACACTGTTTACAGAATCAGCACTCCCCATTATCTTGTCCCCGACAAGAACCTGGCGATCCTATCACCTCTCGGGTGTGTGCTCGCGTCATGTGGTTCCAGAAAAGCTCTTGCGCTCCCGAAGGGTAGCTCGATCGAACCAAAGCCAGAGGCGGAAAGGAGGGCGGGCGAGCTATTCCAAGCTATCCGGGGTACAACGTGGCGAGCTGCGACAGAAGGACCAACTCGCCATTCCAGGGAAGAACCACCACTAGGGTGCCAGCATGGAAGTTGTGCCGGAGCACTGTGAATCATGCTTGCACGTTTGCTCAGGTCCAAGCTAGCGCATGGAAAAGGGCGTAGGCAGTCATTCACCGTAGAATAAAAGCGATTCTCCGCCGCAGTGTGATCCTAAATTGGTCAGGTCCAGCAGCGTCAGCAACTCCCCGCCTCGTAACATTCCACTGGTGCGATCAAAAACCACAACGCAGACTGGCCGCCGTCGTAATGCCAAGGCGGCGCAACACCCGTACTCTGCCGGAACGAGTCAGGACGGCGCCTGTGAGCCTGCGATATGTACCATGTAACTAGAACACAGGCTCTACAGATGTCCCGTCCAAGAACGTAGCGACGTGCAGCCCGCGTTCAGCGAGACCTCTGTCCGCACAGGCTCCAGTCGAAGCCTGTCTTGCAAGGGAATACACCATTTGCAAACACGTGTCGTCGAACTCGACGTCACAGACGTCACAAACCTCCATATCTTTCTGGTGTAGGCGACTGGGTAGAGCCAATCGGAGTCGATCTCGCCGTTGCAAATTGCGGAGAGGAGGAGTCATCCTGGGGAGACCCGGACGTCGGAGGGCAGAAGCGGTCCCACCGCAGACCGTGTTCTTGAGGCAGTATGAGTGGCTGTCAAAGTTAATCGTCAGGCGTCAAGGGTGAGCAGCTGGCGAGGGCGCGTCGGTAGCCAGTGTCGAGCTTGCTGCCTTGGCACGTTCGCGTTTGAAACTAGTCCATGAGGTCGAGGCCGAGTGTCTTGTAACAAAGACCGCTCGAAAGAGCAGGCGTTCAAGTGAGGGCTAAACCCAGGCATGAATCGCGAGTACACCGGCTCTTGCGGTGTTTGACGGACGCCATAGCCTCTGTTGACATGGCTCGCAGGTCAGAAGCTGCGCGTCTGACGAGCCTGTTGAACGAGAGCGACCCCGTTTGCAGCATTCTCTTGTAAGCCACAGGTTTACTGCTCTCATCGCTGTGAATGGTCACTCTGAACGTGTTGAGAACATGCACCGCGCCACGATTGCCAAGATGCGTGTTGTCAGTGGCGTCCTTGGTGCTTCCTCTTCTCATGGCGCTGACAAGATTGTCAGTCACCACGAAAACAGTCTCGATACGATTGGAATATTACACTCAGGTTGCTAGGATCCGTGAACACCATATCACATCTAGAACAGCCCTAGAAAAACTTGCCAACAAAACTCGACTGGGATGTGTAATAGTGAGAATGGGAACTCACATAGGGCTCGTCCCTGTGTGGGTTCTTTTATGGCGCTGTAGATATTGTCCGCCGACACAACAACAATCTTGACAGGATGGTACTATACTTTTAATTGACTAGCCTGTGTGTAAGCTTACGGGCACACACGACAGATCTGGATGGAGCTGTCAACAAAGCTCGACTGGGAATACACCTCATCCCTCACTGGTCGACGTTTTAGGAGGTCTTGATCGATTCCATTGGGATCTGGAGCATCAGGCCTTGTGGCCTAACTTGTCGTTACACTAGAACTCCTCCAGTGCTTCACAACAAACGCAACTCTGTCAGCAATGTCCGTAAGCTCCTTAGGCAGCACCACAAACGGCAGCGAGACCTCCTTCAGAATCTGCCTAAACAAGTCTTGAGTCTGAAGCCACTCTCCTGTGGTGCTGGGCATCAGCCGCACCCCGTCCTGTGTAAGCCAACTCACATCCGCCTCACACACGACAATCAAAGAGCATGCCATTCGTTTGCACATCAGCTGCCAGTCTTCGAGTGACATGAGCTGCTCGCTTTCTCGTGGCCCAACATACTGTCTGGCGTAGACTATCGGGTCAATGGCCGACCGATCTGATATGAAGAACGGCGGGGCCTCCTCCATCTGCATCGCCGAGGAAGAGGATGTCACTACTTTGCGTTCAGCGATAGCTTGTGCTTTGATGATCAGCCCTTGCAACTCTAGCATCGCTTCCGGTGATCTCGCAATCTCGTTCGCACTATCTTGCTGTTTGCTCATAACGCCACGAGCAACCTCGCGGACGATGCTTGGGGGAATAGAGGTAGACGATTGACAATTGGTGAAGTGGTCTTCGAGCGCAGAGACGATGGTGGACTTGCCAGTGCTTTGTGCACCGATGATGTAGATGTTGCGTTGCATCAGAGCTGTTGCCGTGACTTCCATCGGAGAACGTATGTAGAGTATGGCCACTTGAGAGGGCCGGCAGGAATGGCGAAATGATGGTAAAGTGCAACAAGAGTAGCCGAGCAAGTCGCGGCCTCATACCAAGTGTGCCCAGACCTGGTCTGGACGCTGCTCAGATAAGTAGGTGCACATGCGTCTTTCTACCCCGCAAACCTCTCTTCCCGGATGATAGCTTCGCAACAGAATGATGCCGCCACCCAACAAGCCTCAGCAATCCAGGCATACCGCGACGCCCAACATGCCACCAAAGCTGAGCTCAATGGCGTTCGAGCTGAAGAACTCGCTTAGCCTCGATGATCGCGAATGGCGTTTCCAGCTTGACCGGCTGCCAAGTCCGCAACAGCTTAATGCCTCGAAACTGATCAAGGTGATTGTGCTCGCTACCGAAGGCGCAGAGCAGCGGATGATGCTCAGATTTGACACTCACCAAACGACACGCGCGACTGCATCTCATCCACTAGACAGTTTTCTAGTTCTCTCATTGACAGGATTTCGGCCTTCGCCGGGCTTTGCGGCCGAGAGTGGTGGTAATCGTCCGATCACGTCTCGCGAGCACAAGGAATACGTGTTGCGCCTCCTGCGGGCCGGTATCGTGCTACAGGGGACCACCTACAACTTTTACGGACATAGCAATAGCCAACTAAGATCCAGAGCCTGCTTCCTGTTCGCCGCCCCCAAGGATACGATCAGCAAGATGGTGGAATCGCTTGGTGAGTTCACCTCCATGAAAACGGTTGCCAAGAAAGCAAAACGTCTCGGGCTTCTATTCTCCACGGCACACGCCGTTCTTCAGGTTGGGGGTGACCGATGCGAAGATATTGCCGATATTGAAGCTAACGGCTACACATTCACGGACGGCTGTGGGCTGATGGCGCCTCAATTCGCGCAAAACGTGTCACGGCGAATGCGTCTCAAGTTCCGTGACAGACGCTACTCGCCCTCGGTCTTTCAAATCCGCTACAGAGGATACAAAGGAGTCGTCATAGAAGATCCAAGGATGAAGAATGAGTCTACTTGGCTGCGGCTGCGTCAGTCCATGAAAAAGTTCAATGCTGCCGAAAACCTCTCGTTCTCCGTTGTGGACTACTCGAAACCTTACGCTTTCGGCCATTTGAACGACGAAGTTGTGATGCTTCTTCATGCCCTTGGGGTGCGCAGAGAGACCTTGCTGCGCAAACAACGAGAATATCTTGATTTCCTGGTCGAGGCTGCCAGCAATGCACGCCAGGCTTTCCGTTTTCTCTGCTATGTCTCCCGACACGACCTCGCCGAAAAGGTGCTTCTGGTGTCCCTTGAGTCCGTCAAACCACAGATCCAAGCATTGATCCAGGCAGAGTACGGCAAGATGTTGAACAAACGTGACGAGCAGCGCTGTCGGATCCTCGTCTCACAGTCACGACTCCTTTTCGGGGTCTGCGATGCCTGGGGTATCCTCAAGGAAGACGAGTGTGCCGTCAAAGTCACCATGGACGGCGATGGCCTTCCGTACGCACTAAAGAACACAGAAGTTCTCGTGGCACGGAACCCTTGTCTTCACCCTGGTGACATGCAGAAGTTCAGAGTAGTCGACCATGCCTCTCTCTCACACCTTGTGGACTGCATCGTCTTCCCAACACGTGGCAGACGTTCGCCGGCGGACATGATGTCAGGTGGCGATCTCGACGGTGACAAATTCCTCGTGTGCTGGGACAAAGACTTGATTCCGTCGACCATATCCCAACCAGCCGAGTACCCTGCCACCAAAGAGCCCGTCAGGTTTCGTCCCATCACGGATGATGATAGGCTGGTCTACTTTGCCGAGTACACGAACGCATCCCTGGGCAGGGTCAAGAATCTTTATCTGGACTGGGCACGTGTGAAAGGACCTATGGCTCCGGAATGTCAAGAGCTCAATCGGCTATTCTCACAATGTGTGGACGGAATGCAAATTAAGATACCGCCGCGACTGGAATCTATTCCTGTTATTCCGTCAGACAACCAGAAGTTCATACTAGATGAGCTACATGAGGTAGCTGCAGCTGACATCGCTCGCGGACGACTGCGGGAGACTAATTTGGCCTGCGCAGAGTTCGACATCATCGAACTCTTGGTATCTCGTCAAGACATCGCGATCACGGAATTTGAGCTCTTGAAGTTGACGGCAAAGTGGTGTCGCAGGCATGGGATGTGTCTAGGAGACTTCCTTCCTTACTTTGACATGAACTCCTTGACGGCCGAGGAAAAGCACTGGGTTCTTTCTTCGACACAACAACTACAGTGGGCACCTTCTCTCATCCTCAATGCCCTTTGTACATCCAAGATCGTGTCCGAGAATGATATTGCTCACCATCAGCTGGGTACTCCTCGGCTGAGATGGAAGAGGGTATATGACTCCTCACAATGCCGACTTGCCACATTCCTGGACACTGCCGCCAAGACGTTCGAGGAATTTCACAGAAAACTGGTAGTGGCTCAGGTGGATGAAAGATTGTCTCTCATGATATATATACCACGGATGATACCGAAGGCCCAGGACTGTCTCGTCCACGATACTGTTCGCGTTATTGCCTTTCCGCATGCTAAAGACTTGTCGTCTTTCGGCCGTCTGTCTCGCTCGACTCGGAAGAACTACCGTCTGTATTGTGACAACAACCTGTTCCAGTTGTTTGAAGGACAGCGGAGCAACACATGGATATTCATCAAGCGAAGTGCTTCGGACGATACTGCATACCGCAGTACTGTGAATAGAGGTGACCGGCGGCGCCTGAGGCAGGCTACCATCGAGGACGGTCGAAACTTCGATTATCGAGTCAGCGTGGCGCTTGACAAATTCAGTCAGGGCCTGCAGCGACAGATAGGACGTGTAAATGGCCATGGGTTACTGGCTGCAGTAGGTTAAGGACCAGATCTCGCTGCGACCAGGGCTGACAAATCCCGCAGGAAATCTATGTCATCAGCAACCGGGACCTCGAGTCTATGAAGACTCTTGATCTATGGCTGCAGTACGTCGAGACTGAAGTCGTAAAACCCATATTTGACGAAGTACCAAGAGACTACTCCCTCGAAACCCCAAGGGCCATAGATCTGAACGGGGTACCCGCGCACCTGCAGCAAATAATGAAGGGGAACATGGCTATGATGGATGGCATTGCCTCCCAGGAACAGCTTGGCAAGGTCCTCAAATGGCTGGGACAGCACAATATGACCAGTGTCACCCAGAATATCTACGGCCATGTCCTCTCACGCGTTTGTACCGACGATCCAGACATTGAGTGTCTGAGCTGGCAAATGGATGTCCTGCTGGATCACCTGTCCATGGAACCTTCGATGGCCGCTAGCTTCTCCAGGCTCAGCACTCGAAAGGCCCACCTTCCCAGAGGAGTACTTCAGAAGCTCCAGGATCGAGGACAAGAGATTCTGAACGCAATCGTCCGCTGTGCCTGTTCCGCAGATGCTCTACTTGTCCCGGCCTTTGAGTCGGCTCTGTCCCTAACTCATGCTCTAACGCTGGACGGTATGACGAGTCTCGTCGAGCTGTGCGCTCTAACCATTCACTCCCCAGATCTAGCTTTAGATATTCTTCTGGGATGTCTCAAGCGCCAGAGTCTGCGTCTGCTCGCTGGGACCATCAAACCACCGTTGGCCATGCACTTTGCCGATAACATTGTTAGCATCGCTCTGGACCACATCCACGAAGCTAATGAACAACAAATTGACAGAGCTGAAATGATAATGCTACACGACCTCAAGAAAGAACGAGATGGATATCCCTTGGCCGAATGCGCATTCCGTATTGATTCTGCGAAGGTGCCAGAGACGTGGGCACATGTTCGCTTAACGGCCGCCTCAAAGCCCAAGAATGCGCCCTTGGCGAGAGAAGTATGCATTGATGCACTCGTGGTCGAGAGTCGCTTGGGATCGGCCACTTTCCAGTGTTTCCAGCCACTGCCTGTGTTCGTGGAACAATGTTCCTGGATCCTGACAAACTACGGCCCTTTCGCGAAATCTCGCGCCCTGTTTGCTGCTATGCGGCATTTCGCTGACACGGGTGGCCAATACTGTTGCGTTGCGAATGAGCTTCTGGCATCGGACACGGTCGCTTGTGAAGCAAGTGCCATGAGACCAAAATCAAACGGTCGTACTGCTCTCACAACGCACTTTCAGCTCTCCCTCAACGAAAGCCAGAGAACCGCGATGCTTGCTGCTCTGACGCATCCACTTGTCCTCATCTGGGGCCCACCGGGTACCGGCAAGACACAGACAATTGTCGCCATCATACTTGGCCTGCTGGACCGGTTTCCAGAGGAGAGAATTCTCGTCACGGCGCCGACTCACAACGCGGTGGACAACTTGATGAGACGGTATCTTGATGTCACTGGACGAACGGGGCCTGTCGCTCTTAGAGTCTCAACCGAGGCGAGTTTACTCCATTCCCACACTTTGTCCTTACTCGTTTGATAACCCCTTGTCCATCAAGCTGTTTCTAACATGCAGGATAGGTCCGCAAAGTGGCTGAGAACCTCAGGCAATACACGCTGGACGGTCTAGCAGAGAGAGAAATATACACGTCGCACAAGTCCATGCAGGAAGCGAGGAAACGCGTGAAGTCCTGCCAAGTCGCCTTTTCGACTTGCATCGGCGCCGGCATTGGTCTGTTACGTTCCGAAGACTTTGGCATCGTGATAATAGATGAGGCTTCCCAGCAAACTGAGGCTGCATCTCTTGTGCCACTGACCAAGGCGTGCAAGCGGGCGGTCCTGGTTGGAGACCATGTACAGCTCCGTCCCACGGTGCAAGCCATCACTACGACCCTTGCCTACGACGTTTCGTTGTTTGAACGTCTGTACAATCGTTGCAGGGAAACGGAAGCAGCTGGTCAGATGCTGCCAAATACGCAGGCGCTAATGCTCAACACGCAGTATCGTATGCATAAGACGATATGCTCTTTCAGCTCCAACTTGTTCTACCAAGGCAGGCTGCGCACAGATGTGATGATAGAAGAGCGGTCATTAGCCCTCTCATCATTTCCCTGGCCAAGGTCATCTGCCTCGGGGGATTTCATCCGGACTGTTTTCATCAATTGCAACGGACGGGAAGACCTAGGGCAGAAATCCAAACGCAATCGAGCTCAGGCGGAGTTGTGCTGCCGAGTTTGCCAGCTGCTGTTGGATGCCCCTCTTCTCGATGCTCATAGGGAATACGTCAGGCAGACCATTGCTGTACTGACGCCTTACGCAGAGCAGAGCACATTGCTCAAAGGCACCGCGGTCACGGGGCTTGGAGGGGATATTGAAGTGTCCACTATTGATGGCTATCAGGGCCGAGAAGCGGACATTGTCGTTCTCGTCACAGTGCGATGCAACAAGCACGGTGAGATTGGATTTCTCGGGGATCTGAGAAGGATGAATGTCGCCCTGACTAGAGCGAAGAGCGCGCTCATCGTATTGGGATGCCGTGCTACTCTTACCGCCGGCTCATCTGGGAGGGAGAATGAACAGAGTGCTGCTGCTGGGGCATGGAAAAGTCTCGTGGATAGTTTCACAGAGGTCAAACTGTGACCGTCATGTCTGGGGCTGTCGGACGACTAAATGCAGCCGTCTCTTACCATAGACTGTGGGTGAAATTGGTAAAGTAGGAGGGTGATGACTTCCTTGTGTCGGTTGACTGACAGCGTGTCATGCCTGGAGTTAAAGCGACACCCGCTGCTTCAAGATCTATTGGATTGCCAGACCTTGGTAGCAACAACTCGGTGTGGCTGCACAGGAGTGGTGACCGCTGGCATCTCGGCTGTGAAGAATTGGTTCCGTGCTGTCATGCGAGAGACAAGTCGGGTCCATGAGATGAGCTGTCTTTGGACGTGATAGCTTGCTGTGGCCTTGAAGTATGCTGGCTCCACGTGTCCGCAGGCTGTTTCTGGACGGGAGCACTGCGCTAGAGTTTGAGGTGCACCTGGACGCGGCTGCATACTTGCGTTCTCGCCAATGATCAGCGGGCAGGTGACCTGTGTTTGTTCTCATTCATGATGTAGCGTAGTGACTCACGATGTCGCTGCCGCACTGAAGCGGGAGTCTGTCGCAGGGAGGCTGGTACCAACGTGAGCAGTCAGCATCAACACGAGGGAACGAACAATGATGGGGCACTGAGGCATGCCGGGGCACCAGGGGCCTAGCGCCCGTGTCCACTGTAAATTTGTGTTCAAAGCGCCAATTCCACTATGGAGGTCAGGTTGGAGGCAGGAGCGCCACGCGACACCCGCTGGACGATAGTCAGAGCTGGTCATCATCTTTACAAATCGATTGATAGCACCTAGAGATGTATTGATACCCCAAAACTAGCGCATCTCCGGCCGCCGCGTTCTCCTGTTTGAGGCGTAGCATAGGACGGCCACGAGAGGAACGACTTCAATCTCGGCCACGCTCCTAGTGTGTGAACGCCTGACGCCTAGAAAGAGTAAGGACTACGTCCGAAAAAGAAATACAGTGTATCAAACGCCAAGTCATTTGTCGCCTTCATAACCACTTTGGTCTCCTCTTTATTCAGTAAATCCTTGTGGTCGGCGAAGGTCTCGAGCACCACTTGTCGCAGGCCACGGGCCGTGTCAGGAGTAGCGTTATACGCCTCCTTTGTCGCAGAGAGGAAATCTTGTGTGCCCCAGACCTCCATGGTAGCAGCCGTCTTGAATTTGACCACTGCAAGGTCTTGAAGCCCTTGAATCAAATATTTCACTGCCATAGTGTACACTTTGGCGTGGAAGAGGAGGCTTGGGCCATCCTGCCCCTGTGCTTCTTCGACCGGCACTTTGTAGTCCAAAAGGTAGAGATACTGGATCATCGCGTCCACGACGAGGGGATCGTCATCCTGAAGAGACAGCTTCCCAGTAGTGGCTTCTTTAAGTCCACTTCGGCAGCACCCCAGGAAAAAATCGGAGTGCGTGCATAAAATAAACTTATGGACAGGGTACTCCTTGGTAGTCGAGGCAATGGTGAAGTCCGAGAATAATTCATTGTCATAGAATTTGGCGATGCCGCTGTGAAGCGTGCGTTGTGGTGAATCTGTCGTGGGGGGCTCTTTAATTGAGCAGCTAGCGTCCCGCCGAACAGGGGGCCCGTTGATCGTGGGGGCATCTGAACACCTTCGAAAAGTTCCGGAAATGCGGCGCGGGCGGAGTCGGACGAAATGAAGATATTGTCTCGTAAGAGGGACTGAAGAACTATGACGAGACGCTCCTTAGACAGACCAATAACAAATAGATTTGCCCTGGTGACGATAGCATGAATAGCTTTTCGTTTGCGGACGTGCGCGTTGCAGTACTCAGAGAATGTAGCACGGACGCTGCGGTCTCTGTAGACCCTGACTCTTTCGTTCCGAGTCGGTTGCGCAGTCCCTCCCGATGTTGGGCGTGGCATGCCGGTGCTACTGTGGTTCATTGACAATGCAGAACTTCCCTTACACAGGCGGGAAGGTGGGGACTGCTGAGTCTTTATGGTTCAGTAAAGTCCAACCTCCCCAGTCCCTTATCTCACATGGGTGGAAATTTTTGGTGGGTCAAGGGCTTCACTTGAGCGCTTGACATCCCTTGTTGGAGATCGTGCCTGGGCAGCGGAGGCTGCAATAAGGCAGCCCAACGCAAACCTCGGTGGGGTAAGGCATTCCATGCTGGTGATGAGTTTCGAGGGTACAGCCCATTTTCACGTATTACTAGACAAGACCGATCAGGATTTCCTCTTACCAAATTGACCTGGACAGGGAACTATTACGCAGTGACTTTTCGGGGACGGTCCCGCTTTTCATCACCGCTTACAAGGCCGCAACGACTAACGCAACAATATCGCAGGTACCAACCTCTTCCTCACCCTCCTGTAACCCTTTTCTCGTGAGATACGACACGACGCCGAGGTCACTGGGGCGTTTGCCGCCGAACATCGCTGGCATTGCCACTGTGGGCCACGACGCGCACGTTGCCACTTGAGACCGAGCTGTACCTTGGATGTAAAGAAGTATCAGAGCATCCAAGCACGCTTTGAACCACGAGACACTGTATTCGGCATACGAGAAAGGCGGCGGTGAGACGTCGAGTGGCCTATGATGCAGCCAAGTCACAAGCCATCGAGTGTATAGCACGGGCAACAGCAACAAATATATGCTGTGAACCGTGTTAGTGATGCTACCGAAGCCATGACCCAGAGAGCTGCCCGAAAGTGGGGCCGGGGCAGGAATTGCTGAGCCTCATTCCCCCTACTTTTTGCGCGAGTTGGGCAGAACGCGACATCCAGGAATGGGCATGGGTTTAGCAACCACTCTCCCTGGCAAGACGGTGGTATCGGAAATTCGTAAGGATGTTGAACAGGCTGTAGCCACGGCACCTCACTCTCGATGTTTCGTGATCGAAGTGGTTCAGAGGACCTAGCGCCAGATCCTCGCGCCTGCAGATCATAAGCCCTTTGATGGCTGGCCCACTGCGGGGTTTGAGGCTCCATCAGCTGCACAAGCCCATTATCCCCTGCCTCAACCTTGAGCCATCGCCTTCATGGCCGACTGGGTTTTGCACAACGTCGCAACACTTGAGCGTCGAAAGCATCAGGGCATGGCCAAGTAGGTGTATATGCTGTGAAAGTGCCGTGCAAGATGTGACTTTCGGGCCAGTTTCCGTCTCAAATTAGATGTGCTCCGTAGAACGCTGGCCGCAGGCATTAGTCAGAAGCACGGTGCAGCTCTCAAGTCAGTCCTGAGCCCGTCGCCCACGAGTGTGCAGGCACTGGAAGGCTTGGCTTTCCAGGGGCACTGAGGCTGAACGGCGCTGAACGGGAGGGTGCGCCTCTTTGATTGCATGCACTTATCCGCTGTTGTCTGCAGGCCACTATCGCGCTCAGCTGTGCACAATTGGCGGAACTCTGTGCTTCGTGGAATAGTCTGCTCCTAATCAGCTTTAACAGGTCGCGCCGCGCAAGGCGCTGCAGTATTCTGCAGAGGCCAGTGTCTTGGGATGCACTTCGCATTTCAAGTCTTGCCAGGCCTAGTAGGACCGAATAGAGCATCACACGCTCAGATCTCAACTGAGCGAGATTGTTTATGGGGACCAGAGGCTGACTATTTTTCTCCGCCTAATCACAGCACTTCATTGGTGTAGGGGAGGCACGAAATCTTACATACGCCTTATCAAGTGTACATCAAACCCGTGATCTGGGCCACCACTTCATACCATTTCGGGTGGGGATGTGAAGTCAGGTTCAGGTACCGGCTCAAAGTCATCCAATCTGCATGCCAGCTCATCTAGCCTGGCCTGGTCTTTCTTGAGCAACTTTCCCCCTCTTTGTTTCTTCTTCGCTTCCAACGATTCGATTTCAGCATGCAATGGCTCCCTCCTTGCGTCTGCTTCCGCTGCCTCTCGCTCTTTCTTCTCAAGCTCCTCTTTCCATGCTCGACGAAATTACGGTACGCAGCAGCATCTCTGTAATTGACATAGTTTCTTCAGCATGGGCGGGCTCCATGATGGTTGATGTCAGGAAAGCTTCGACACTAGGGTACGTGACATTGAGAAGTGTCCTTGTGTAGTTGCGCAGCCACTCGTCCTTTGTATCCGGCAGCGGACAAGCCTTCTTGACAGCAGCCAGGGCCTCGGACGGCTCGAGGCGACCAGCCCGACTGTCTATATCGTTCTGTGCCAAAGTTACCAGGCTATCGATGCCGTACTGCCTCGCTGTGGCATGAACATCGAAACTGCAGCGTAGCCATTCAGCATCGCGCTCTTTCGTGTCATGCCCGTCCTCACATAAGGCAGGGACATCATAGAACGCCTTGTACAGGAAGTTGACGAGTACGTGCCCTACTGCGGCGGAGACTCCCGGCATGTTGATCTCATTATTGGCTGAGACCAAAGAATGAAGCTTTGGCACGGTCTTGAGTTCGAGCCTGTGCAAATAGAATTCTTGATCTGTGCAGCGAATGGTAATAATGCCCGAGTAGGGTCTAGAGCTGATATCAGTTTTAAAATTGCCATTGGTAGTCCGGTGCACTCCACTCACGACGCTCTTCTAGGAGAGGTGGCGCCCTGCGCGCAGGAGAGACCTTGGACTCGCCACCTGACGTAACGTCCATGACGACCTGGAGCATCTCTGAGGTTGTCGGCAGGTGCCGGGAGCCGCGGAGATGCACAGGGGGGATTCCGCTGATGGAATAAGCAATTGATTTATCTACAGTGGCAAAGGATCGAGGAAGTGAAAGAAAATGTACAACGCTACGCGCCGGAGAAGGAACTCACTCCCTTATAGACGGAATCCTGCACGCTTCCGATTATATCACATGCTCAATATGCGAGATAGATCAGGCGCGACATGCCCGGGGCTCAATTAAGTCTCTCAGAATCCCAAGCTGGAGGCTGGTTCGGTCGAACGGCGTCAAGCATCGCTAGCCTTGGTTTTGTTTTGAATGGCGCTTTGTTGGAGTTTCGGCAAGTCTTGCAGGAGCATCACCTCCTTGCGGTGCACACCTTTGCGAACGAGGCTGATCAAACTCCGCGTGTGTCTGAGGAGGAACTTCCACCGTCCGTCTCTGCTGAACTGCGGGGGAGGCCTACTTGCGGGCAGTTGCCTAGAGCGCGATACATGGGTAGCCAAGAGCATGTTGGTCACTGGATCTCAGGCCTGCCAGCGACGGCAGATGAGAGACAACCGGGACTGACAAGGTCAACGTCTACGTCTTGTCCATTTGCCAAGCCGCAAAAAGGGCTTCCCAGAATTGGGAGAATGATCCTGCAGAGCCGCCTGGATTCATGCGCTGGGCCCTGTGCTGGTAGTGGCTGTGGTCACGCCTTATCTCGTATGAGGAAAGCACAGCATAATAACGCTCATCTTTTGCTGGGGTGTCGAGCGCTTTTGAGGGAGCGTTGCGCAAAGCTACGGATAATCGACACCACCCGCGATGACGCCCTGATCAAAGCTTATTTCGCAAGCAAGCACAAGCAGGCTTGGTCTTCAAAAGACCGTCTCCAAAGGAGCTACCCGAGGTATAAGTCCAGCAGGAGTATTTGTGGTCACGGGTCGACATGCAGGTCCTCCTTGTCTGCGAGTGCGCCCCTCACGCAGGGAGAAGCTCATCTCCTCCGTGCGCAAGGTGTCACTGCTTCAACAGAAACAGCTGATTTGCGATCATCGTGGGATCTCCTACGCCCAGAATTTTGGTCAGTATGTGAATGGCTGATTTGTGCTTTCCTTCTTGTAAGACGTGGATGGGAAGCTTGTGCTAAGCTGCAGTCAAGGTTTACCACTTCCTTTTCCGCCGATGCTAGGCAACCTTGATGCGCGCACCGCATCGTCGTCGTCGGCGCGCCTGCGTGAGCTTTCATAAAACATGTGTGAGTGAAGGTACGACAAGGCCAGAGTCGACGACTTGACCATCGTTGTCGTCGTTGCCGTGCTGCTGCTATTGCTGCGCTTCGTGGAAGGCAGTGTCAAGGTGCGCAAACGCGCCGATGGCAACGACAACATCGCCGTCACCACAAGGGCACTCATGAGTTGATGACGGGCTTATAGAATGAGTGAAAGAGGCAGACGACGAACGCAGCAATGAGGCCGACCTCTAGCCAGGTACGGCACCAGCTGCCCCGGACAGGGCATCACGAACAATCGGCAGACTGTGCAGCGCTGGTAAAGCGCTCATGTATAGCCCACCCAACGTGCACGACCCGCATGATGGGCATTTCTCCATTGGATGAAGGGCGGGTGGGCATCTTCTCCTTCCTCTCTTGACAAGGCTTGACTGGTGGAGAGCTCGTTCATTTGCATGCAACTAGAGCATGAGCATGGAGCGTAGACACTCATATGAGAGCAGAATCTGCGATATATAATACTTGGCCCACGGTCCGGCCGCGCCTCTAGAATCCCCTAGCCTGTAATTTCATCGACGGTAGTGTTGCCTGCCCCATTGCCATAATGAACAAAACAAAGAAGCTCAAATCCCGTTAGATATCACTCGTATGCCATCTTGGCGGATGGTTAGTAAATCGGCTCTAGCGAATCCAAAACGAACACCAAAATCGTTGTAGTCAGCTCAATTAGCTCATCATTTGTCCGGCGTCCAAGCGCCAACGATATGCCTATTCTTTGGAAACTGTATCTTCAGTCAGAGTAAAGACGCCATCCTCTTACCTTTCCCAGAGATCTTCAACGCTACTCCAACCGGTTACCATCTCAAGGAATTGGAAACATCCAATCATCGTCCCTGACGCACCCTGAGATTTCGGTCAGCTGATTCGGACACTTGACCTGCTTGAAGTTCACGGTCGGGTTGTCCGCGTTCATGAACCAGTCGAATCGCCAATTGCACCCGCCCTTCAATATTGCGGGCATGCTGGAGCTGTCGCACTCGGACCGCAGCGAGACGCCGCCGTACTGCTGGCCAGGGAAGGGCCCGCCGTACTGCTCTCTGCAGCCGTCGAAGGCACCCACGCCCCCTCCGGGGACTAGAAGGTCGAATTGATTCAAGACCAAGTCGCTCCCCGTGTTCGTTGCCTGGACGATCATGGTCTTGTTGCTCAGATTACCCGAGGTGAACTGCAATCTTGATATGGTTGGGTGGCCGAGTCAGTTTGGAAACATGGATAAATGCTCTAGGTAGGAAGGACAAGGACCTACTTGTAGCAAGCGCAGCACCAACTCGACTCATTATGGCCCTGAATAGTCGTGGCGGCAAAACCATCTATTAATGAGCGCATATCGCATCAGCCTGCTTGCTATACGTTACAATAATCTGCTGCATCTAGTCTGCATCCGAGCCTGCGGTTATGAACTACATAAATACCGCGAGATTGAGAGAAGAGATCACATACAAGCCAAGTTATTATTCACCGCCCATGGCGACATGTTCGCACAAGTGAAAGCCGGACCGCCATCGCAACCCGACCACGCGTTCGGGTTATTCAGTGGGCTGTTGTCAGCCTCACAGGTTTCCACGGGTTGGTTCACATTGGCCTTACCGTACCACGAGCAGCTTGGCTTGCAACAGTCCCAGTACCGCGTGGTGTGTCCACTGCCCGTGGCTGCAATGGTCAGGGACGTGAGCGAGAGCAGCACGACGGCCGCTCTAGTGGCGGTGGGGGAGATGATCATGCTAAGATGTGTGTCGTCGTCGAGCCTTTTATTTACGCAGTGCTCTTCGCGAGTGATTCTGTGCTCAAGGACAACTTTGCCAGGTTTTCGCACGTAAGGGAGCATCTTAGTCACATTTGACGTACGAATGGAAACGAGTCTACAGAAGTCGGAGTCACTTACAGTCACCTAGGAGTGGCTGGTCGCAGCATTTACGTTGAAGGCTCCACACTAAGAACTCGGACTCGGTAGAGAGCAACACGCGTCTTTGGTGCTTTCTGGGACGTGAGATCATGGGTTGCTCTGGGCTCGCAGTAACGTATTTAGTTGTCGTTCTAGCTCTGAACGCTGGCGTGAACCTGTCATAAAACTTCGGTCCTGTCTGGATATACAGCATGATTACGCCCGCCATCCGTTTCCGACAGTTGACAGGAGCGATACAAGGACTGCCGCGCCTAAATATGAAAGTCCGTCTGAATGCAGCTGACAAGTGTGAACCATCTCTCAGCAATCATAGCAAGGTGGTGCTGCTCCTTGAGCACCCAGCGCAACGTGTAGGTTGAGGCCGTCCAACGGCATGCACTCGTCTTTTCCCATCAGCCGTGGGTGAAGTCGGCAGAACCGCACAGTGGCGTCTTCGTTGCGTCGTTCAGCTGACAGCGTGTCATGCTTGTGGCTGTTCGCCGAAGCGGGATCTGCCGCTTCGAGATGTGCTGGATTGTCAGACCTCAGTAGCAACGACTGTCAGCGTGGCCGCAATCCGCTTCCGTAAGAAGCAGTGCACTGGGCCGCCCAGAGCTCCGGCAGCCAAGTTGCAGGAGTGATGGCCAATGGCGTCTCGGTCGTGAGGAATTACTCCTGTACACTTATTCAGGGGACAAGTCAGGCCATGATATCATGAGGAATGCGCTGTCTTTTGACGTGGTAGTGAATGCTTGCTGCGCCTTTGGAGGATGCTGGCTGCAGGTGTCCGCAGGCTTTTCCGGAATGTGCATTGCGCTGTCGAGGTGGACGTGGACGTGGACGGGGCGCTTGGGAGCATGTAGCTCTAATATGCAGTACTTTCGTGCGTACCTGGTTCCGGGAGCGTAGCCTAGGCCCGTACCTTAGGGGGCCGGGGCCGGGGCCTGGGGCTCTCGGCATGCTTAGCGCGGGGATCGGGTGCGCACAAGGTACGTCCCTCAAGGTAGAGATTCGGGCACCGATGCACTCTTCTGACCCCACAAGTCACGGTTGCATGGTCCCCAGGCTACAAGCTGGGAAGGCCGCGGTGGATACGGGCCTAAACACATGCCATCGTCGAAATGCTGTTCACCCGCAATTGTCGACACATGAGTCACGACAAGCTTCCCAGCCACGTCGAATAGCACATCCAGCCTGCAGTCTGTGCGATCTTAGTCCCAATGACCGACCCTCTGTCTAGGTCTTGCCTCTGATACCAGATGTCGATCGTCTAGCAACGCTTGGACCTTCCCTCAATGGTGAAATGGACAACAAAACATCATCTGGCTGCGAATAGACTCTGATCTGCGCAGCTTTGCCTCAGCCACTGCTTCCCAACGTGGCTGGGGCTTGACTGAATCCCCGGCGAGGCTTACATTGGTCGGCGTTCAGATGATAGCAACAAGATCGATTGTCGTAGAGTGCATGGTCCAGGGAAACGCCTTGGCTGTGGCACAAGCACGAGCGCGAGAAACAACGACTTTATGAGGATGACCACGCATTAGGTGACCATGCACTCAGACCCGGGGCTACCACAACAGCCACAAAAAACCGTGTTCCACTGGCTGTGTCTATGCCCGATCGTACAGCCAGGAAGCAACCCCACTTTCGCTGTGGGCGCCGACTGTGCGGTCACGCAGCCTTGAAAACTTCCGAAACTGTGGTGGCATGTCAGCTCTGTTCTTGATCTGACACGTGCCGATCTTCGCAAGCATATACAAGATATGACGCTAACGCTACTGAAGCCACGGCCGCGGTTTCTTCCATTCCTCATACCGTTCCGTCCTCATGGCCTTGTACGCCTCGGTGGCTTCGGGAAATCCAAGGTCTCCCAGCCTCTGCTCAATCCGCACCCTATACCCAGGACCATGACTCACGTTTTTTGCCTTTTGCTGATTCTCCATGTCCAGTGCCCCACAGACGGCGAACTTGGTTCGTACCCACTCCAAAGGGCTGAATCCAGCCAGCTCCCAGTCCAGGATGGCGATCTCGGTCTCGGTCTCGGTCACGAGGATATTGGTAGGTCCGAGGTCATTGTGAGACAGGAAAAACACAGAGCAGTCCATCCCCAAGCTCTCACAATGCTTTTGGAGGGCTTGTACTTCGGAACTGCGCTTTTCCTGAAACGGTTCCAGCCAGCCGTCATCGAGTACAGTGAGACTGTCGGATTGGAAAGCTCTAAGCTCAGAGCAGACCTGAGAGATTCGAGTCACCACGCCCTCCTTTTGATCCTCCGTCATGTCCCACCATATGTCGTCGAGTCTCTTGCCCGGTATAAGTGGTTCGAGCAAGTACGTCTTGCCGGCCTCTTCAGCGTAGAAAAGAACTTTCGGGATGTCAAAGCTGAGTGTCTTCCCAGCTAGCAAGGCCAGTGTCTCCGGCTCTTGTCGGGTGCCATGAGTCGCTAGTCTTATCTTGAGGATGAGGGCGTCGCCAAATGCGAACACGGCCGACGCGTCACCAGCATCGTGGATCTGGCGAACATGGCTGTTGTCGGGGATGGGCCTGGCATTGGGCAACGGCTCTGGCGCTCGGGAAAGATCGTAGGACGAGCCATCGCTACTGTTCTCCCACAACGACCCACTGTTGCCGGGCCCTTGCTCGAGACGTAGAACATGGCTCGTGCCGATAAGCCATGTTGTGTTGTCAATTTGTCTGACCGAGTCGCGAACGTGGCTGCAAGATGCCATATTGAATGATAGCGACTTCTGTGCGGGGTGAATCCGCCCAATGTCGTGTATGGAGTTGATGTTGTAGCGGTTCACAATGATTGATCATGTTCGTCTCCCTGGGGTTAAGAGGGGAAGGAAGGGCGGTCTAGCCCACTGAGACTAGCAGAGCAGGGCAGGAACAGCACTTCTAGAGATTTTTAATGTCGTCCAATCAGCACCCAATCTGACGTGGGGTCACAAGAGCGGTTACCTAACCGCTGGAGCTTTGAACAGAGGTTTGCAGCATCACAGGCAACTAAGCTTTCACTCACTCACTCACGTTTAGTCAAAGTGGTTTCGGACGTTCATTACCATGAGATAAGGACAGTATCTCTCTCTCTCTCTCTCTCTCTCTCTCTCTCCCCCCACCAAACAAAAAACCTCAGCTTCCAGGCTCTCTCAAAGCTCGATGAGTGCCGCTCTTCTACACCCCACCATCTACTGCACCACCTGCTCTACGCGGTCTTGCCAGATTGAGGACAGTCCCCGAGAGGGCTTGATTGGCTTGATACCATTAGTAAGAGTGTTCGCGAGACGAATGGTGCATTGACTTACAGCTACGAGACATTCTTTGGCTTGCCACAGGTCTTTCCATTCACAGGCCCTGCGCACGTGTCGGCATTGGTTATGTTGTTGTATCCACAAGAGCAGTTCCACTGATTCGTAAGTTCGTGAAGCGAAGCGACAGCCATATTTCGTGATAGCGGACAATGAAGGGTCTAGACACTGTGCAAGGGCGAGACTGGGTGAGAACTTTGCTTGTGTATAAAAACGTGTTGGAAGAGGGCCTGAACAGGTTACACCCTGATGCCATTGACGCAACAGGTCTAGATTTTATAATCAATCTACTCGAAGTATTCTTGGTCAATGATGGGCGCAAGCTGATACGCCTACAAACTACGAGGGCATCTGTGGATCTCGCGTGCTCAGTGTGTCCCGCGTACTGTACCCGGTGTGCTTCGTGTCCCCCGTGTACTCTGTGTACCCTGTGTACCCTGTGTACCCTGTGTACCCTGTGTACCCTGTGTACCCTGTCTGCCCTGTGTACCCTGTGTGCCCTGTGTGCCCTGTGTGCCCCCCTTCGCGCCACGCTTGCCTGGTGCCCAGGCGAACGATCTGTGTGGGAGAAGTCTCCTTATTTCACTTTTCGTGCAGCGTGCAGCTTACGAGTTCGTCAGTCGCCTTACTAATGCGCATATGAGGTGGCAAGCACGCGGGGCTAACACTGTAAAGAAGCTCCGTTTGTGACAAAATGATCCAGGTTTACTCGCATACGCGGTAACATCATTTGGAACACCCGCACCCGCCACACCTGGTCGCGCCAGGATTTCCACCACATACTCTGCAGTCCTGGCACATGTTTGTGTTGAGCGCTTTATGACGGCGAGGGAACCTGGACGTAGGGGCTGCCGAAGATTCTGTTAGTCTGTCCAAGTTGAAATATGCTCGTATGCCATATGCTATGGATTATGAACTCACCAGAGGGTCGACAGCGAGACGGATATGTTTTGGGGGTAAAACAGAATGTTTGTTGCTATCACTCCGACGGCTCTGTGAGAGAAGCTTATGTACGGCGGAATGACTTGGTCACAGGGAAAGCAGAGGATGGATAAATATAATGCCAATGGGCAGGGATCATCTTGCCGCCTTGTCAAGCTTCAAACAAAAGGTCACGAGCACGATCCTTCCCCGCTCAGCTAGCTTCTCCACTCATAGTGTCCGACGCTCACCAAGATGGCACAGCGCTCCTCGAAGCATAGACCACGGCCAGTAAGTGAATTGCGCATGCCATCAACAATTCTCCACCTCTATCTACAAGCGCTAAATGATGTAGGCTCGATTTTTAAAAGTCATTGAGGACATCGTGGAGAATCTGGACAGCGTCATAGCCTTGCTAGTCAACACCCGTCAGCAACTGCTAGACCTTCATGATGGAGACGACGACAGTGATTTTGCCGACGAAGACGGGATTCAGGGCGAAAAGCACAATTGTGATGATACGAACATGGACAGAAGTGTGGAAGTTAATACGGCCTCGCAGCTTCTCTGCAAGACTGAGCACAGTCCAGAAGCGCCGTTTTTCTGCCCCGAGGACGAATGCAAAGGCCGCAAAGCCGACAAAACATGGAAGGAGTTTGCGCGGCACTACGAAATACGTAAAGCTACAAGGAGTCTCTTCCATTCCAGCCCTTCAGCTAACGTCGAACAGATGTGCCATGTCAAATCCAATGTTCCATGTGTGAGACCACTCCCCGTCATGTCGCTTCGTTGAGAAGGCATTTCACGGAATGCCGGGAACTTAAGCGGAAACGAAAACTGCCAGAGCATGAAGGTGAGATAGAGGAAATGAAACGCCAGAAGGAAGGCGCGTCTCGCAAAGCGTCTAATAAGGCACGGGAGGTCATGAGAACTTGCACACAGAGCCTAAGTGAGCCAAGTTCTCCAGAATCACGAAAAAAGCCGAAACTACAGACGCCCACACTCGCCTCAACTGAATCAAGCAAAGAATTGTCCCCATTCCATACAGCCGACGAGACCTATCTTCCATCCCCAATCCGAAGCTGTGTTGGAGATGCATCTGAGAACAGTGAAATACTTCAAAGCATGGCGCTGGGTAGCGATCCGTTAGTAGTGAGCACTGCAGAGAAAATCAACGACATCAACAATGGGCGTTTCTCATCCGCAAACGGCGCTGTAACGGAAGGGGGAATCTTGGAGTTTACGGACCCGACTGCCCTGTTTCCATCAGCAAACCAGAACTCAATTGCGCAAGGTACCACTTCACCTATTGGAGTTTCGAATCATCTTGAGTCGCCAAGAGACGAATCGGCTGTGGCTCGTCACGGTCAGATGTTATCAGTACAGGATTCAAGCTCATTTCTTACCAAAGCCCTGAGCTTTGAACTCTACGCCATGGACGGCATGGCCGGCCTTGCACACGGTACAGTGGGTGCCGAGAGCATATACCGCCTTGATGAACGGTACTTGGAGATAGGCATTACAGCATTTGAACAGATGGGTGCCTCCGAGCTTCACTCAGCTGACCAATTCCGCATACAAGAAAATCATCAACCGTGGCTTGACTGAGTGCGGCTGCATGGGAAACACGGCCTCCGCTGTGACTGTTCTGAGGGAGCAGCAGGCTGGTTATTGCGGATATCTTGTTCTTGATTCATGACAGCAAGAGCTTGTTGACTGCTTTTATTCAAATTTGAAGTTCAACCTGAAACCCTGTTCCTGTAGCTTGGAGACTTTTGATCTGAGGTCTTCCATATCGGGCAGTGACATTTTTGCCCATGTCGCAACTTCTTCATCGGTTCCGAAAGCAATGTTGATGAACTTGCCGTGACGGCATGTCCAGCCCAGTCGGCTGTCAATGATAGCACTACAACGGGGACTGATGTAAGTAGACGCCCTCCTAGCGGCAGCGACAGAAGTACACCTACTATCCACCCTTCGGGAGATCGACCACCGTCTCGGTGATTCCTTCCTTGTCCATATTTGATGTAGGAGTCCTCAAGAGCCCCCAGTTCTCCGCGTCATCGGCGTTAAACGAGTTGGATTGCGACCCATTGTAGTACGCAACGGTGGACCCGGGGAACCAGAACTGCACGACGAGGGTATACACAGCTTCCTCCTCCTTGTTCCAATCGCGTATATGGAAGAACCATGCGTACTCGGAAGAGAGTCGATCGCTAAAAAACCGGAGGTATCCCCAGCGAGGCTCGGGAATAAATGATCGTATGATCTGTCCTACTACCTGGATACAACCATGACTGAGTACCTGAGTAGGAGAACGGACGGAACTCCCTGTCAACCTACCGGATCCCCGAGAGTGTTATGAATGATGAAGTCCAATCCTTCGGGCGTTTTAGTGTGATACCCGGCATCATAAAACAAGGCGAACTGTCTCCCTTTCGTGGAGATCTCAGTCTGCGTCTGATCCTCCGCGTCTTGATCCTTCACAAGATAGAGACCGGATTGCTCGATTGATTGCTTCGCGCCAGCTACTACCTGGGAAGGCATCGGCGTCATCCTCATCTGGGCTTTCTCATGTAACCCGCGAGTTGATGTTTTGGATCCTTTTCAACGCCAAAAGGAGGGGTAGTGGGGCCTCTCTCAACACGGAATTGGGTACCCATGTTGGCGCCCGAGTTATCCCGTCCTACTACCCGTGCCGTCGGTTGAAGTGGAGAATGGACGATGAATCAGCCCAGAGTGGGGTAAAGCGAGTCTCGGTCTGATTGCCAGATCAACTCAGCTGCCATGCTTGTGTCTTCCGATTTCATGGGGCTGGTACTCGTTCGCCAATGCAGTGCGCCATGAAACGGAGTACCGAAGCTCTGAGCGAGCCCCGCCAGAGACACAACCTGGGCAAGACGCCCACAGACCACCAAGTTTATCACTCTCCACTGCGGCACCATGCCTCTCCCACGCTGAGCCATGCAACCGAGCGACACTCAAGGCGCTTGCAAGTCCCTCTACACTGGCCACGAGACCTGGAGTTAGCGGGCTTCCTTAGCAGGTCAGGAGCCACCGTGCACCCCACCAACACGTTTCATCGCCTGCAACGCAAGCAGCTGGCCTCGGAGAGCTACTCACAGTCTACCTCAGATCGACTTTGTAGATGTCACTGTCAAGCTGTCACCGCCAAGAAAGCGCAATGGTAACTCTCTGAGTGCTTGCATTCTTATGACCATTCCGGCTCAAAAACCCGGGGTCCCTCAGCCCTGACTACCCGCGAAGCACAGCACGCCATGGACGTGAGGACACGCTCCGTCGCCTTTCCCAAATGCGACTTCTCCCGCCACCATGTCGGCCTGCCCCTTCTACACGTGCCGAGGTAGAACGCATAGCCGCATCGCGTCGCTTCGACCAAGATGTCGCAGAACTCCTGATATGAGCAGACTCCTTGCCTCAGTCGTTTCAGGCTGCCTGGAAAAGAACTAGTCAGCCGCACTACGGTAGACGTCTGGGCTCTCTGACCTACTGGCAATGGCTAGTGTTACTCCCGATCACAAGCTACTTTTTGCCACCGCAGGCGCCGCATGTGTATCCGCCATCGAGGCCGGTGTCTTTGCATGTCCTGCACTTATAATCGGCCATATCGAGTGAGCGAACAAACCGCCGCTCCATATAACAGTCGCTGGCCATGACCAGCAGCTCAAGACCGCACGGTGGCCCCTCGGCTGGCATTCCGAATGGGAGCAAAGCTACAAGCAGCTCTACTGCCAGAGATGCTGCTGTTCGCCACCTTTAGAGAACGCCACCTTTAGAGAATGCCACCTTGAGAGATCATACACGACGAACAGATCACAAGTCTACGCTCCGTCCCGTCATCTGTCACGGGCCAGGTCATTATGCCTGTCTGACCTGCAGTACAGCGAAACAGACAGGATGGGAACGTGGCGGCCAAGAAATTATAGGGAGACATACCCAAAAAGCCGGTGAAAGCAAGACCTGGTGGTTAGAGAATGGCTGCCCCTAGCACAGCACGCCGCACACCCCAGAGTGAGGCTCGCGGAGTGGATGGCACGCATAAGGGCTGGAAAAGAGATTTTCTGGGAAACAGTGGGTTGATGTTGGCCATAAATGATGATTGCCATTTGGTCTCCGCAGTTATGTATCATTAAACAGAGTTCAATGTTGAGCGTGTGGTTGCGACCGTACAGTCAAGCCATGCTAGCTAAGGAGCATTCAGAAGGGACGATTGAATGTGCTACGGATCGTCCCGACAGTGAGTAACCTTGACTGCCGAACACGGAATCATCATCATCGCCCAAACCTTCCAGCCTAGTTCGTTCGAATAATAGGATTGTAGTAGCGAAAGCGATTGTGGGGGTCATATTGGCGCTTGAGCCGATTGAGCCTCTCTCGTCGCCATCGCTCAGAGCCATACATCTGCTCCAATGTTTCAAAGCCATTGGCGTAGTTCACGTAAGCCGTCGCAGGACGATGCGGCTGGCCGTCCAACCACAGCTGTCTGACTCTGTCCGTCCAAATCCGACTGGTAGCTACAACAGAGTCACTTCGGGACGAAAGGATGATCTGCATTGCCATGAGGTGGTGGTCTTGACGAAAGGGATACGCCGAGCTATCCGGGTCCCGCTCCTGCGCAGCCTTCGTGGAGTAGCCCTCATGAATTATAGCAGCACCGGCGGCAAGCTCGGGCTGACTGACCATCATGCGGGCGAAGTCGTCAAAGATGCGGCGCTCGCTGGTCGTATTGTAAGTCTGCAGACCTATGGTCATGGTCATACGATTCTTGCCGTGCTGGCAGATCGCCGAACTCTCGTCCGTACTTTGTGCTTTGGATATCTCTGGATACGGCACATCGCCAGAACTCTGCAGCAGTGGTGTGATCGCATTGAACGGCGCCAGATACGGTGAGGCCGCCTCTGATGTGCCTCGATATGCAAACGTCCATACAATGACAGGCTGGCGGTTGTCGATATCAGGGCGGACGACAAAGGTCCCATAATTCAGTGCCATGTTTACGGGAGTTGACCCATTCTGGTGAAGCTCGTTCAGTGCTGTGAAGACCGCCTCCAGGTCATTCCCGTGCCATACATAATTATGGTAATGCCAGGTGTCCGGCCCTCGTGGCCACACCCGGAGCTCGAAGCTGGTCACGATCCCGAAGTTATGTCCAGCGCCTCTCATTGCCCAGAATAGCTCTGGGTGATTGGTGCCGTTGACCCGGATCGCCTGCCCATCGGCAAGGACCACATTGAACTGGAGCATGTTGTCGCTAATCATACCATACAGGCCTTCATGACGGCCATGGCCCCCACCAAGGCCAACCCCTACGAGGCCCACGCAGTCGCATGATCCTGTAGTTGTGACGTAGCCGTTCTCCCAGAGATGTCGGGTTACCCGACCAGCATTGACCCCAGCGGAAAGCCATGCGGATTTGCTGTCAGCCTGGATGGCAATGTTGTCGAGTTGGCTGAGATTGATTTGGACACCGCGGAATGATCCTAAGCTTTGCGTGAATCCGTGGTTGTGGCTGGCGGCGAGGAAGGGGATGTCTCTTTCATTGCAGAACAGAACCTTTGGTTGACATGTTAGTCGGGGAATTTCATATAGTGAAGTCAACTTACTGTCTTCTGAACGTCGCTCTCGTCTCCGACAAGCACTACCATCTCAAACGTTGGCTCGAACAACGTATTCCAACGAGATGTAGCATCCCCGAATAGAGGATCCTCTGGACCGAATATCACTGCGTCCTTGGAAAGTTGACTTCCCAACTCCTTCTGCATCTGAAACACAGTGTCTCGAGAGCAGATTGAAGTCGAGTCTCCGAAGCAGTACGCAGCCGCAGCAACGTGCAGCGACTGCGCAAGCAGCAAAGCGAAGGAGGCGGCGGCGCGAAACATCGTCACCGAGATCAAGCCCTGGGAAGGTCTTCGTGCTTTCAGGTGGACGTGCAAAAGGCCTGTAGAGGCTTTGCCTTTGATAATTGTCGGTTGAACAAGCTAGATGGAGGTTAAGGCCATGGCTGTTTCTATCTGCGAACCTATGAACCATTGCTTTTATAACTTGGGATGACACGTTTGAGATCGCCAAGTTTGTTTCTATTTAACACAAGCATAACGAACAAACTGTTTGTCTGTACAAGTCTACGCACCAATCAGATACGCTTGAAGGTTGACTGGGCGTGTTCTCCAAGTCACCAACCAGAGTAGTGGATCATGGCCGAATCCAGCAGTTGTGGCGACGCGGCAGAGCTAGAGGTGGAGCATGCACTCCTTAAGTTTGCTGGCCTAGAAATAACAGACAATTAGGCAACAACGGTGCTCACATGGGCTACTGCACGTAGACCGATTTCGCGCGTTCGAGGCTGTCGTAGTACTGTACAGGTGGTGGCCAGTCTGCCGTCTTTTGGACGAGTGCACCAAGCTCACGTTCGAGGGAACTTCCACTTGCCACTGGCGAGGTTGTGCAGCGTCCATACTAAGCCCCAGGCAGTCACTGCGTTTATTAGCGCTTTGGCCGGGACCCCATATTAGCCTGCTATTGCGCGGTCGAGGAGGACTCAAGAGAGATGCGAGTTTGCATGACTTTCGCAGCTGGTGGATTGAGCTGGCTGGCTTGACGACATGCTTTCAGCAATGCGTCGAGCTCCCCTAGCGTAGGTGGAGACGCGATCGGCAAAGTGCGGCTAACGGGCTGTTTGTGCACCGCATGAACAGCGGATGCAGGCCCCCACGCAGAAATTGCCGAGGTTGGCTTCCGCTGCAACCGTCCCATGTTCGCACATCCCTGGTCCCGGAATGTTTCTGGAGGGTGCCGAGGTGTCTTCGAAGTGGGAAGCTTGTCCCGGGATCTTCCCTGCAGGTACGTTCAGGCTAATGCATGTCGTGCGGTCCAGCGCCACCACGCGAACCAACACAACAAAAGAGCCTGGCCTGCCAGCCTGGTTCCTCAATTACGATGGATGGCGAGCTGGGCCCACAGACCGACTTCGCGAGAGGTGGAGAGTGGCGTGTTGTTTTGCTCAGGCGGATCCGTCCACCCGCCATTCCAGGATGACTGGAATCTGCACGTCCAGTGCAATCCATCGCGCCCACAACGGTGAACGCACCGGCCGCAGCATTTCCTCTGTCCATCGGGCCGAGCTCCAGCGAGGCAGAAGACGGCTCACGTGGGGGCCTGGGGACCCCGGTCGCCGATGCACATGTCAATTGATTGCAGCTGGGCAGGGCTCATGTCCGGCTAAGATAGGGTGCGGGGAACCCAGCCACTACCATGCGCGGCTTGGGCGGCGCCACACCTGCGCGAGCCACTTTGCGGCGAACCTCTCGGGGCCAATGTGTGATCCCAAGCCAAGGCGCTCGCTATATGGGCCAAACATCGCCATGAAGCACGCGGCTGCCAGAGACGTGGCTTGCTTGAGGATACGCATACATACTTTGCAGCTGCGCACTACAGGCTGATTAGCGTCCACAGCAGTTGAAACTGTCAAACCCATGAACTCTGTGCCGCCCTCCAACGGCAACCGCGTCGAGTAGCTAACATTAGACACGAAGGGACCCGGGGTGTCCCAGTCCCAGACGGTCAATCTCTCGGGCTTCCATAGTGGCCAGCGGGTCGAAGCTCTCTCTGCGTTCCTGCTCTGTCGCTGCCCTCTCCCTCTCTGCACAGGTGCCTCGTCCTTTATCGCTTTCATGTACCCGTGCTCTGAGATACCACCCTAACCCACCATCATCAATGTTTGGTCTTTGGAATTTTACCCTTGCACATCCTCACGTACAACGACACTTGCTCCCTGCTAGAGTGTAATGCCAGGTTCCGCCCATGATCTATCACCTGCGGGATGTTCATTCCCGGAGTTACGTCGTGTCCTCGACCGAATGCACCCACTACGACAAGACAACGAACCTCTCCTGATCTATACTGAAAATGTCAGCTTATTTCGTCCACAACGCCAACGGAAAATCCTGGGCGTTGCTCAATTTTACTGTACCACAATCGACCTCCCACTACCAATCGGCTCTGTCATCCGATACCATCAGATCAACCAGATCACCACCGCATACGCCGTTCTACCACACGAACCATGCACCTGCATCCCTGCGCCGTCTAGCTCCGCGCTTGCTCGAACACGATATGGGTTCAGTGACACTTACAAATGGTCGAAAACTCAAGATCCCTCTATGGAGGTGCAGGAAATTGCCCGGAAATAAGTATGACGCGGTCTCCATGTCTTGTTCAGAGTCACGTAGACTAATGCGGACTACAAAGTCGAGACCCCCAAAGAAGAGTAAGGAGAATGCCGTCTGAAGAGCGGCATCCCTATTTGACGCTGGGATTTAGTACTGGGCGAAGCGCATCGTCTTTCACACGGGGCACAGCGGTTGAAGAATCCGTTATGGCCAGAGGTCTCGACATGGCCGGTGGCAGCGCTGCAGCAGAGGTTGATTGTGCCGACCAGGAGTATGAAGAGGATGCACGCAGGTTTCAAGGCCAATGTCCTGCCCACCTGCTCGTGATTATGGAAACCGGACATGCGTCAATCCGAGATTGCTTCAACTCAACCATGGGCTACCACTATCAGCTTGCGGAAAATCTCCGAAATTCCCTTACTGAAACCACGCGAACTGTTCCGCAATTTCGTTACATTATGGCCAGCTTTGTCCCGGTCTCCAACAGAATCACTGAGGACAGCACTCCTTCGCGGGACGCAGCACTCAGCGCATTAATCATACTATACGGCTTTGCTAAGGATAAGGCCATTGTCAGCGCCGAAGACCTTCAAGCCTTGGTAACACTGAAGGGAAGATTGCAAGAACGACCGGGAAGAGGAAAGGCACTGTAACGACATCAGACTTGCCTGTAACTTGATCGTCCTTCGTCGTTCGTCATTCGTCGTTCGTCGTCCCCGTGCCGCTCTCGGCCTTATGTATTTGAGATTCGTGGTTAGACGACGATAATCCAGAAAACCGCCAGATGAAATCAACAATATTGTGTAGCAGCTGGTTGAGCTTCTGTGATATACGGTCATTCACCCGTGGGAATGGGCTGGGCAGAGCTGCTAAAAGCTTACCTTCTACATAAAGGTATGACACAACTGCGGACAATCGTAGCGGCTCTTGAATCAGGGAGACCTTAACGATCAGAGCCGTCGATTTATGTATGCCCACAGAAAGATGAAGGAACTTGTGCTGAGACTACTCAGCACTTGCTTCTAGAATCGGCGCTACAATCAAAACTCTCTAGAGATTATCTAGTACTTATCGCATCGTGACTCAAAGAACTTGAGGGGCCCATAATGGTTGTAAGAGCTGAGCTATCGATCTAGCTGCAGCACGTTCTCTTTGGTCCCATTGGTGCAAACGAAGGATTGTATGATTGCCCATCGCGCAGGGCGCACTATTCGGCCCTTGGGCTCCGACCCAAGCTCCCTTGGAGCAGATGGGGCATGAGTTGGAAAAGTGGCCCCACACGTATCATATGAGCCCGAGATATTCAAATAGCCATTATTCATTCAAAGGCATGGTGTGAGGTCTATATACGTATGTGCCGTTTCGTTAGATGCTCCATTTATCTGAATCGGCACCAAGGACTTTGGTGATGCTAAATTTCGTCGAGCAGCCTTGAGTACCGGGATGATGGACACGGAAGTCTACACACAGATCCAGTAAGTATGCCCATAGCCTGGGGGTGTTCGTACTTACTGGTGCACAGATCTAGGCTGCGTGGGGCGGTTCCATTAAGTATATCCCTCGAAAGACAAAAATGATTGAAAGACACAAAAACGAAAACAATCTCATCCCGTTATAAATCGTAGTGGATCCGTAGATGTGTGAGGGATAGACCTCATTAAATAACCACAACCCATGCCAGGCAGGGTTATCATTGCGTGCTGAGCAAGTTTCGATGGCGCTAGAAAAGGGTAGATGATAAGCACTTAGGCGCAGTGGGGATGTAGCGGGATCCAAGCAAATTTCACTCTTGAACTGCTTCCTGGTATGGGAGCTGTCTTGTGTATCCCTATCACTTATTTCAGATTCCTTGACATAATCCTCGTGATTCCCATCCACATCCGGTGGACTTATCCCCTCGTCGAGGGCCTTGACATATAAGCGTCCCGTGCGATACTCTTTATCAATCTGCATAATCTTGGCTTGTAGGCTGATTCTCACACGCTCGTTGTGTTGTCCATGACGCACGTCGCCCAGCATCTTCGGGCGCATGTCTTCACCAACCACCCCGTTCCGCCGCAAATGCCTCTTGCCAGACTCCTGCGTCTCCACAAGCAGACTCGAAACGGGAGGCCCATCAGGATCCTCATCGAGGAGCTCAAAGATACGGGTCTCGCCAGTGGCCCAGTCCGTCAGTTTGGGTGGATTGCTGTTCAGGTGTTCTTCAGTCAGCCCCATGGTCCGTGTCATGTAGTTGACGAACCCCCCGTGACCGAAGACGATGATTGCCGGCGCTGGCCGGTCGTCGTCCACGCATGCCGCCCTCCCAATCATTATGAGCATCTTGATTGCTTCCTTTCCGCGCTGGATGAGGTTCTCCGGGTGCCAGAGGCCGTGCTTGAGATGCCATAGCTTGTTGTCTCTGTCGTTTGCCCCTGCCGGGTTGCCTTGCGGGTGCGTAGTGTCTGTCTTGCCAGCGACGGCGAGCTTCCCGAACGTGATGCCCACGTGCGACGCGTCTTCTGGCACGGACTGCACGAGCTGCTCCAGGTTGAAGTCGTCCAGTCCGCCGTGAGGGAGCGTGATACCAGGCTTCCTTTGCAGCTCCTTGTCCACGAGTCGTCTCAGGTGGTTGAGTGGTCTCGTCCGGTCAGAGAACCAAGTTGCCTGCTCGGCAATGAGCGGCGAGATGGTGATACCAGACCTGTTATTGAGTCTCTCGGCGGGGAGCGCGATGAGGGCGGTCTGGATCGCCCTCGACAGGCTCGAGATGACGACTAGACTGTCAGTGGTGACAAGGGAGATGTTGGGGTTGTCGAACATGTCCTGGTACTCTGCTCGTGTCTTGGTGGAGCAGTAGTCGCGGCCAGACATCTCGGCCTTGGACCAGGCTGCCCTGGTCTCGTCGGTGGCCAGCAAGGGGTCCATCTTACTAACGGCAGAGTTGTCTGGGACGTTGGACTCGGACTCTCCATGGCGGGTGAAGATGATCCTGTAAGTTCGTGATTTGTTTCGTCCTGGTGCCATTCTCCTGTAGATGTGCTTCGCCTATTTAATCCAGGTTTTGGGTCTTAATTGAGGAGGGAGTTAAGATTGAACGAAGGTACTTCCTTTCCCCCTTCAGCGGTAAGGTGTGGCTGTTCTTTTTATATGTGGCTCCGCTCTTGCCCAATAGATATCTGCTAACGCCTGGTTTGGCTGCCCGCTTTGATGCTCATCTGCCTGGTTATTGCAACACAAAAAGCAGTGCGCTGACCAGGCAGGCATAGTGGGCTCGCATTAGCGTGCATCACCTCACCTTCCCCGGCCCTTGTTACTGCTGATAATTCTGCATGCCTTATGCCGCCGCTTCCCCCAACAATCCCTGCCAAGGCTCCCTTCTTAAGGCTACATCGTTATGGCCTAGAGACGGCTCAGGTTGTGCCCGCTCCGTGACAATGTGCAGGGATGCATGATTGGCCATTAACTTGGTTGAGAACCGTGGTAAGGAATGACAGCGGTGGCTCTTTATTTCACTTGATTCGGTTGCGATGAGCGGTGATGGGGGAAAAGGGAAAGGCAGTGGTGCCACATGTGCATGACAAGATGAATCTGTCACGCTCCGTGCAGCATCTTGCAGAACGAGCACCTTTCCTAACCTAGGACACCGTTTCCGGGCATGCCTGTTCTCCTGGACCGAAGCCCAGTCATCGCTGATCAATGCTATCGTCACCGTCATAGACAACGAAAGCGGCTGTGCCATTGGAGTATTTGGGTTCCATGTACTCGGCTTAGCACTTTGAGCGCTGTCCCAGGCAACTTGCATCTGAGCTTCGGATCATGCAGCCAGGGACGCACCACACTCCGGGCGGATGATGCTCTGTCGTCGTACTCCACTCTGGCATGGAGCAGGCTCCAGTTGTTGATAAATATCATATCGCCTGTGCAACTCGAGATCTTCGTCTGGTGCTGGCGTGCCACCCTCTGCACCAGGGCGAGGGCGTCGTGCTAAGGCTGGGCGCAGGCTAGGCACGAGCCCCGCGCGTGCGGCCGGGTGGGGCCCAATGCGGGCTGGGTCCAGAGCGATGACCAGCTTGCCTGCATCATCCTGCAGGGGGGTTGCCAGGACGTAGGGGGGCCTTTTCCCGGCTCTGGTTGAGGTTGCGCGCCCGCGTCAGCGTCTGCTTCCTTCCCGGAGTGGCTATTTCGGGCAAGCACTTACACCTGAACTGCCAATCCGCGGCAGCGAGCGTAGCCAGCACATCTGGAACTTTCTCTCGAAGGTGGGCATGAATAGCATCCGCAGGGACAAGCACAACTCTCCACGAGAAGACGTCCTTGAGCGAACATGCATAGCTAGTATCGAGCAACACATATCTGTGTGGAATGGCTGTGAAGTCAATTCGTTAGTGTCATGTCCCAGTCGTCCTGGCTGTTGAGCGGGTCGCAACTACATACCAGCTCACGGTTCGTATGTATTCCATAGCGGTGTTCTCGGGGCGTCGACCATAATTTGAGCTCAGTGAAGTGGGGTTTGAAATATTAGCGCGGAGATGGCATCCGGAACTGCCCTCACTCTTCAAGAACAGGACGACGGCGCTGGCACTTACAGAAGACAAGTCCTGTAGGATTGTGGATCCCCCCTTGAGCGCCGATGTACCTCGCGAGCCCCAGGAATATGATGGTATTGTCCTCCACAGGATATCTCGAGGGATCAAGACCTCGCAGAACTGCGACGCCCAGTTTGGTGGGCCGTACTCGCAGCAAAGTCAAGTCGGGCCCGCAATGACGGCAGAGAGAAATTGCCCGGGCCAACTTCATCACCATTTAGCTCAAGCTCTATGGTTCAGCCAACATGCCTACAAGTCCGGGCGCCCGAGGGCCAGCACTTACCTTTGAAGATGTCGGGGGTTGTCTCGACTTCATGCACATCATCTTCCTCGGGCTTGACAAGCATCATGCAGTGGTCCGGAGCGTGTGGGCGAGGCATGGCGACCGATTGATGGTATTACTTAAATGATCCTGAATATCATAAATCAAAGCGTATGTTGGTGTGAGACTTTTGTGGTAAGATGCTACCGCTCCGAGGAAGTACGGCCGGGCTTTACGGCAGCGACTCTCAACCAAATTGCAGCATTGTATCATGTTGTCTCGGCGATGCGTAAAAACCCGACGAAATTTATTACATATTTGTCCGCGTTTGCACCGCCAGCAGACAGAGACGCATGGTGAGACCAGCAGCATCAGAAGCCATTTTGTGCGGCTGGTGCTGTCCCGGCAAAGGCACCGGCGAGTGATGGCTCGCTCCCGCTTGCCTGGGAACGGTGAGTCAGGAAAGACCGCGATTGACTGGTGCATCGAGACGTTGCTCTTCTGGCTTACTTCCCTCGTCTTTTCCGCTATTTCTATTGGGGCGCCTAGGAGGAGATGATCGGTCATCAGATCGAAGACGGTGCGAGATTGCGGGCGGTCGGTCTTATGCGATATCCGTGCATGTCGACTCCGGTCTCTCGAGTGCTGGCCTTTTCGATGTTGCCTGGACCAGTCTTTTCGCGAGCGGGGCTGTTGGTTGCGGGTGCTGGACATAAGGCTGTGGGAGGCGGCTGGAGCCTCTTGCAGCCCGAAAGCTCCGGAATGTGACGAATGTTCAAGGGCATGGTGCATATGCAGAGTGGCTGTGATTTCGCAATGATCCTTGTTATCGCGAGCCAGCTTGCCTGGTCTCCAGGGCTTCCGTTGACGACCTCAGGGCCATGCAAGACCATGCGCTAAAGTCTCATTGGGTGATGGTGGGGCCGTGAGGCGGCCCTCGGGAGAGCAGGCAGCACCCATGCTGGCCAACTTGGAAGCATCTGCAGACAGCCTCACAAGGACGACCGCCGTGTGCGAGAGCAACCGTCCCAGAGGTGATGCATTCTTATCGCAGACTACACTGGACAATGGAGTGCCGACCGTTCCCGACGAGCGATGGGCTTTGGCCTGCAAACGCGTGCAAGTGCCTTGTCCATCCAGAGATGCTACTAGGTAGCGAGTTGACGCCCGTCCCACTTTTCTGTTGTGCGCCGCCCACCCGCCGCGCGCTTCCTCGCGCCTCCAATGGGGTCGCAACCCCAAATTCAGCCCTGACGACCCTCCGCGCATTGTGCCTATTCCCCTCCCATCCGCACATCTCGCAGCATGCTCGTGGACAACACACAGGACAGGAGTCTCGTCAATTACACCAAGTTACAAACGGGCCGCTTGAGATCTCGTGTTTGGCACCAAGTCAGCTAGACGCGACCAACACACGAAACCGCCTATCGGCAGAAATCGTACTTCCCCACTCTAGGCACACTCGAGCTCGATTTCACCGCCACTGCCCTTCACACGGCCTCTCCCATGCCCGGCACCTAGCACAACGGCCATCCGCGCACGGCCAGTCCCGTCATGAACTATATCAGCAGGACCTTTCCCCGACAGCGCTTGTGTGGGGACGAAAGTTCACATCACAACAGTATTGCACCCACCATCGTGGCCGGTTCCACGCCGAGCCATCATGGCGGCCGATTTCACATGGCAAACGGAAAACAACCCGTACGCTGACGGACGACGAGGACAACCAGGTACCTACCGTTCGCAGCAGAACACCCGGCGCACCGCGGATAAGTCACGCAATCAGGATAGCTCCTCTCGCCGCGAATCCAGGGATGAACCTGTGCGAAGAGATTCGCGAGATGTGAAGGGCCCATGGGACGTTCGCAATGATCTTGCCCACGGAGCACAAGAGAGCTCGCCTCAGCAAGACAGAGCCAGCGTGGTCAAGGCACCCGGCTTTCGTAAGTTCGCATCCGTGATTCCCTCATGGTGGTCACATTTGCTGACAGTGAGCGCCATCAGTCTCTCGATCACGCAGTGCTGCCCCATCCCGTCTCGTTACAGCTGCCAAATCCGAACTCGATATGCTCAGCAGCGAGCCGCCGACGACTGAGAATCCCGGGTACCAAGACCTGTTCAACACCTTTTGGGCTTGGAGTGACACATTAGTTCACCGTGTGTCAGTCAAGTCGCAATTTTCAAGATGGAACGCAGAGGCTGGGCCACGCCGGGCCTTCAATACAAAGCTGGAAAAGGCAGACGAAGGCACTTCCATGGCTCTGCTGCGTCGGACAGAACTGCGACAGCAGGAAAAGGATGAGAAGCTGTTAAAGACCAAGACCTCAGAGACCGACAAGAACCATCAAAAGGGATTGGAAGTGCTCATTTCGAAGTTCATTGCACTCACAAAACCCCCGCCTATAACTGCCGAGGTCTCGGAGAGACATTGTGGCACAAATCAAGCTCTCGAGCGTAAACTCGACCTCCTGCAAAGCCGCATCAAACAGCAGGAGGCAGCGTTTGCAGCTGGAGAGCATAAACTTGAGCAGGAGAGGAATGTTGGCGCATGGCAAAAAGAGATGCAGGACCAACATAATGCAACTTTGAAGGCTGTAGAGACGCTGCGGTTGGAGAACGAGAATCTCAAGAAACAGCTCACGACGCAGATGCGCGAAGTCTCCGAAAAGTCTGAAAAGATGTCTGATAAGACCTCTACTGAGTGCGATGGCTTTAGGAAGGACCTCAAGAGGATCGACGATGACAGCAAAGCGCGATGCAAGACCATGGAGGCTTTATGTCAACAGACTGTCGAGAGATTATCTCAGTCTTCGGCCCAAGTAACGTCTAAGATTACGAGCATGGAGGCAGCACTGAACAAGCAGGCGCGGGAGTACGACAACCTGGGCATACAGATACAGCAGGTCCGAGACTCATGCGCCAGTTTAACCAGCACAATCAAATCATTAGAGGCCGAGATGGAGAATACCACAGAGAAGGTCGACTCACTTGACCTGGAGAGCTTGGACAAAATGGTCAACACGTGGGTTGACAACAAGATCCCGGGACGGGTCAAGGGTCATGAGGCAGAGATCAACAACATGCGCAAGGAACTCTCTGCGCTCAAGGATCATCTCTCGGTCAGACACGTCTCGGCTGCCACACATTTACCGAACCAATCAGCCTCAGTCTCGCCAGATTACCTCGATACGAAGTTGGCAGAGTTGTACGGCAAGGTGCAGACGACGGTGGCGGAGACGAGTGATTGGCTCGGCGATGAGCTTGATGGTCTGAGAAATGACTTTCAGAAGCTCAGGGACGAGAAGCTGGCGGAACGCATCGCCGCCCTAGAGGCTGGAGGTCTCGAGAAGAGCTCCGATTCTGCTGCAACATTGGCGCTTGCATCGCGTTTACAAGATCTGGAAGGACAAGACCTGCCAGGCAAAGTGGACTCGCTGCAGACCCTCTGCATGGCTCGCTTGGGGGAGGTCGAAAAGTCTGTCAAGGACTGGAATACACAAGTGCAGGAACGCGCCAGTCAGGTTCTGCGCCAGGACTTCCAGGCTGTCAAGGATAAGCTTGAAGGTGTCACGATGCAGGCAAACCACCTCGATACTCAATTCCAGAATGTGACGACCAAGGAGATGGCTCGAATGATCCTTGGTGAGCTCAACCAGGTCACCAATAAGTCCGACAGCCCGGGACGCAAGGCCATCGAGGCTGTGGAGAAGCTCAGCAGTAGGATGGATACCATTTGGGCAGACCTTACACAAGTCAAGCACGACCACAACCATATGCAAGACGAGTTCACGAAACTGAGCAACTTCGTTGACGTAGTCGTCCGCAGTGGGCAGCGCACAGGCGACAAGAGGTCCGCCGAGGCACAAGCGAATGGAGCCGACAGCCCTGTCGATCCGAAACGCCCAAGGCTTAGCAGCAATGTACCGCCAAGTGCGCAGTGACGGACTACGCCGTTTTGTGTATGTCGGGCAGTGCTTGTTCTGATAGAGCACTATTCTCATCATACACAGCCGTAAGTCCAGCACAAGCATGATTGTCTACGCACTATAGTACAGAAGGACTGAACTTGTCCATTGAATGAGCGCGTCTCCTATGTATCATGCCACCAGGAGGTGAGGCCGAGGGCGTCGAGTCCAACTTATTGATCTAACCTGTCTACGCGCGCGGGTACACAGTCCCTTCCGAGCCAGCCATTACGCTGTCGCGGTAGACTCACTTTCATTCGTGCATGCCGGCATCTGGCCCCGTACGCGATCTCGTACAAAATTGTGAAGCCACATGACGGACAGCGCGAATGCCTCGTAATGGGATAACTTTACCTGACTTCCACAACAGAACCCCAAAGATCCAGAAGTGGCTGTGGTCCCCGAGTGCATCATTAGTCAGACTGGTATGCACTCTTCCTCGGGCGCGTATTGGGCCGCGAGGGTCCTATGTAAAGGAAGCACCCATTTTCCCCCCCGCGCGTGCGATCGAGGCGGAATAGAACGGAGCACGAAATTCTTCTGAGCTGTTACCTGAATGTCCACCATAACCAGATCTCCACCTAACTTTGACCATCACTGGATGGAACTAAAGCAGCGCAGGATATGGTGCACCGCCGACGTATGGTGGCATTGGGCCCAACCTCAGCCTCCCCAGGCAAGGCTGTCGCCGCCGCGGGCCGCCACAGGGCGACCACAAAGCAGTGGCGGCCCTGGCCCTTTCGTTTCTGGTTACGGCCACAACAGACCACCAGCAGAAGCAACCGCAGTCGCATGTAAGTCTGCTTCGTCCAGTCGAGCGCATATCATGGGCAAGTCCGCGTGATTACAGCCGACCGCCATCAGTCCTCGCTCAGCAACCACAATACGTTGCTGCTGCTCTTTGAGCACCCAGCGCAACGTGCATGCGCGTCACCTGCCCACTAGCTGACTTAGCCCAGTAGCTGTTCTCATGGGAGACGTAGAATGCCACGGTCAAAGAATGCCGAGGTCCTGGTAGCCGGCACGGTCGGGTTTGGTGGCCGGATCCGAGTGCTGGGCTTGCCGAAGCCACGACTTGGCTGGGGAGCTACGGTGGCAATCAGAACTTCTTCGTTGGATCATGCAGACAGAGGGATATGAAAGCAGCTGAGCTGAGCGGTGTTGGGCATGGCAACGGCAGTGTCAACTCCTCAGCGACTGGACAGACGGCGAATGCAGCGAGCTAACCAGCTTGGGCATCCGCGCGAAAAGCAAAGCCAGCACAACAGCAACTCGGTTGAGGTTGTGTTCGACAGTCATGTGCTCCACAAACTGTGGTAGACTATCTTGTGCCAGTCCGTATTTTTCTTGAGTGTCTACCTCGGCTTTGTAGGCGTGACGTCGGAAGTCTACGCCAGCCAGTCTCAGCGGCCGTGAGCACACGAGCACCAGTTCCCCCTCCGCGACCAAACCGTCAGGCTTGTCTGCAACGGACATATCGCACCAAGGGTCGGGCAACAATAGATCGTCTGATATGCTCCCAAGTGCGGATCGTCTTGGCGCTGCGTCGACTTCAAGGTCCGTCATTGCATGACTTGAGCTGCGCGCATCCTTGCGAGCAGACATGATGAATACTTGACAATAGCCTCGAAAGAGCACAGGATGGTACTTGTTGGTGCATGCCGCCCAGCGGACGAAGATGCACAACAGGCTCACTACGACCAGTGGCTTCTTGTGAGTTCCAGCCCCAGCGCGCTCATATCAATTGACATGCGCAGTCGAACGAGACAACCCACGGTTCGGGCGCTTGAATGGTGTCCATTACAGGGCGACGGGGGGTTGTGGTTGATTGCATGGCCCCGCTGTTCATTCTGACCGGCATTGACCAAGCGTCTTGCCCTTTCAAGGGCTTCAACGCATCGCCTCAACGCGTGCCGAGAAGGCATATCTCGCGAATGCGCGGCCCCTTCGACAGGGCCGCTCAGACTCCGCAAAGGCACGTCTCTCGCTTCGCCATGCTCCAGAAGCAAGGTAGCAACACAGTGCAGGACTCGGGCTGTGCCCGAGCCACGCCTCAATCAACCATACCCATACCCGTGTTGGACCACGTCGGTTGTCATTCGTCACTGTTTGTGTGCCCTGTTGCGCATAACTTGCCGCGACCTTTGCTTCGGGTGCCGCGCGATGATTGCTACATGGCGCAGCAAGATGCTTCCGCACTCCTGTGTCGTGGGATGCCTCAGCCCTGCACAATGCCGTCCGGAACCCCACACCAGGGATGCAGACTTCAGTGTCTTGAGTCTGCCTTAAAGTGTCATGATCGCCACAAAACTCAGCCGAAGGCTTCCTTCCACCGCAACCCACCACCTGGCACGCACTTGTGTAGGACCAGTGATCATCGAGCGGCAGCTGCCAGATGTCAAATGCGTTTGACCTTCTCGACTGTCTCACGTTATGTTGGTAGTTCGCTGATGCAGTGCCAAGATGGTGTTACGGATCAGTCCATTTGTGATGGCTTGTGCCCACAACCACCCGGGACCGTCAAAGTCGTGACACAGCGACACGAATGCATACCACCTTTGGCGACATCTATGTCTTCTTCAACTGAAAACAACGCAGCTCTTGAAGCTGCCCAACTCTTTCAGCCAGCCGGCTTTAGGTCTGAGTTGATTTGCATTCACCACCACGAAATATCATGACTGTACAATACCAGTCCCATCACGCACGTCCGCCCAGACGCAGTGCCAATAGCCTCTTCCGTGTCACCCAAAGGTCTTAGGACTAGATCTCAGGGCGATCCTGGTGTTGTCTTCCTCGAACTCTTCTCCGAGCTGCCAGCCGCTGAGCACAGCATGGTCGATAACCGCCTGTGACATCGTCGTCTGGCACTGCTTCACACCATGGGTGGACATCACCACGTTCAGTGTGTCGCCCGTGGATTGGGTCATAGCAAGACCAGTCCGATCTCGCCCGGCGATTGCAGCTGGTCGCCTGCTTTCTTAGTGATTGACTGCATATGCGGTTGAGCACCTGATCTCGTCGCAGGAACAGCTGCCACAAAGTTTGCAGCGCCCGATTCAGTCGCAAATCGCCGAGGTTTCTCAGCAGTGTGGTGCTCTTGCAGGGGAGGAATCTGCTCGGAACCACCCGATGCTGCAGGCTGTTCTTCGTTGAGCGAGATCATTATCGGACTCGAGGCATGGATCCCTGCGAGGACCTCTGCGAGCTCTGAGGTCCCGATCCGAAGCCTCCTGGACACTACCAGAGCTGGAAATCCGAGTGGAGTCGCTCACAGCTCGGCGGACCGACAGTCAAGGAATATGGTGGCCATTGTGATCGCGAGCAACCGTCCCGGGATTCAGTGTATTTTGGCCCAAAACCCGGCTCGCCAGTCACGGCTAACGGTTACGACAGAGCCACGAGCCAGAACAACCTGCCTGTATTCAGGGAACGAAAGAGAACGGAATAATACACTTCAAAACTCTTATCTACTGAACCACAATCGAGAACACGATCGTCTGATACCTATCAGCAAGCCGCTGTGGTGGGTTTTGAACATAGGAATACCAGGAGCAGTCAAGATATGAAAACCACTACTTGAATGAGAACCTGAGCGTCTTGGATTTTAGTGACGGACAGCGTGAATCAGTGCGGGTTTATGCGAAAATACTTTGCAGCTTGGTGGCGTCGGCAAAATTGGCGGATAATGCGTGAGTTTGCTGGCGAGCCTTCGATATCCATGACCCTATCCAGAGATGCCCAAGGCTGGTCTGGATAAAATCATGGTGTTGGAGTTCGTATTGTTAGGACCATCTCTCGAGGATCGAACCTAGTACTGTGCAACGCATGTCGTCAAGTACACTCACGAGTCAACAGCACAGGGTATGGTTGTCGAATGAGAGGTGACTATTGCGACTCAATACCTCATGTAGACGTCCCAAGGAGGGCCTTCTAGCTCGTAGTGCTGAGCCGCCAGACACATCTCCCGGCCGCAGGGAGCCCGCTCTGCCGCATAAAGTGTACTTCCTTCCCGCGCGCGTTGGGCTGCTTCATTCTCGCATGTGCTTGTACGAAGAAGTCGGGTCAGGATGAGGCATTCAGCAGTGAGGAGAGGTACCGCCACACGGCGGCAGTGTGGTAGTACAATCGGAGGCTACTCTCGAGGGTCAATCGGCGCGATTGAAGACTGTGCACAACACCACCCACGTTATCCTCAATTGGCCAAAATAACTCCTCAACATCGGACTGCTACAGGCCACAACCTAGTACGCTCCAAATCGACAATATCTCTAGCGCAGGCTCTGACGCCCAGGGCGATTACGCCATTGCTTCGGTTCGAGTTGCGGAAACGGTACGAGCCCTTGCTGCCAACAGCGACAGAGTGGCATCGACCGGCGATGCTGTTGCCCATTCAGAGACGGCTGAAACGACCACGCCACAAGTCAAATCCAGACAGGAGGATGAACGAAGTCATCCCACAGATACGCCAGGCAAACGCCGATCCAAAGGCTCCATTATCAGCAGCACCATAGTGAGCTCAGCTCGGAAAATGGCGAAGATGCAGGCCCTGGTCCCACACCATCGACCAGTCCTGGTGAAAGTGGTGCGGGCAGCGGACAGAGCTACGACGAGACTAGGACAAAGCCGCCAGCAAGCACACAGGTACCGCGGAGGGCGACCTCAACCAGGCAGGCAACACCGTCAAAGAGTGTGCTGACGCGTCAGACCTGGGAAGTCAGACTGTGGACCATCCACTGGACGTCACCTTTGGTAATACGACGCCGGCGCGGCTGTCCACGGCGACATGCCGAGCTCAACGGAGGACCGTGGTCACGACACCGGCGATGCTGGCCGTGCCGGCAGCCCTGCCTGTGCCAATGACACCAACAGACGCCGTGTAGCCCAGTTGAGGCCGAATTGTAGACGGAGTATATCAAAATTAGCATCGTAGGATACCAGAATAACTCTCCGTCGTCCATTATTGAGAACCTACGGCAACTAAATAAAGGAATCACAATGATAATACTTATGCGCTACAACCTCGAAATGTAGACGACCGCCTTAGCCGCGGTCGTCGAACGAAGAGAAAGTAGCTTAGAAAGGAGGATCCCTCAGGATTGATCAGGTAAAGGATTTGAAGGCTTACATCGACGCGACGTAGCATTTGTAGGTAGGAAAGAGTTAAAATAGTGGTCATACGAGGAGGCTAGAAACAAGCGCGCGACGGTTTGGCGTCTGCGGCGAGATTGGCCATAATGCTCGTACATGTCAGATTTGCTGGATTTCC